ATTACGAAGATTTCTTACTATCGCTCGTCGCGTCACTCGGTTTTTGGATTTCTAGAAAACATCGTTCCGCTTTCATGCGGCTTGCGTCGTCGCGCGAGTGATCGAGCGTGAGCGAAGCAGGTCGCCGTCGCTGTTCTCGTCGCTCGCAAAATCGTTTACATTCGGTTTATACTTCACGCTGTCAATAATATCGACTCGAGCGCGCATAATTTCATTTCCACGGGAGCGCGTGTAAATCAAACCCTAAACCAAGACGGGGGCTGCAGCCAGCAGCTTTGAGAGCGTCATACAATGGATTATAGTTTGACAGAAGCAAGCACACACTTCGCTAGCGCATTACAGCCTTGAGCGCTCGAACTTCCGAAAACGAAACCAGATTTTGCTACATTTTGGCTAGCTCGAAACATTTTTTTTTTAAATATAGGGTGTCTTTTAGCTATAATCTAGACTAAGAGAAATGTGTACCTTCCCAAATTATATTTATGTCGCCGTACTATATAAGTAATAATTATGTAATATCGTTACGTTCATATAAAATACGGGGGGTGTCACCGGATCTTCGTCTGAAACAAAAAGTCTGCTATAGACCGTTTTATCGTGGGTAGCGCCATTTTGAGGGCGAGAGAGAAAAAGGGAAAGGGCTACCGGCGCTTTCCCCCTTTCTGATTGTGTAGAAAGAGTGAAAGTCCCGGATGAGAGGCATGGCCGGTGTTGGGTGTCTGCTGTGCCCCAACTTCTTTCGCGCCTTTCTTTTCTGTTTTAGACTCGCAAACTTAATTAGAGCCACGGGTTTCGATGGCAACAGTCCGCCGGTCATCGGGACACTATTGCTCGGTCATAGGGTGCACGAATAACGACAGAAAGCGTCGAATACCGCCCAAGAACCTCGTAGCTTGCATGGAATTCGGCAAGGCACGTGCGGCTGCAATGTTTCGAAGCTCCACCGCTTTCCGCGTGACTGGAAATGGTTAACCATTCATAAATCTTTGCTTGCAATAGGCCCCTTTCAACGCAGCCGTTTTTAGTAATGAACTAGCGATACACGAACCGGGAACCTCAATTAACTTTTGTAAACACCCGGAGCTGCTACAGATCGTTTTGCTGCGCTGCTTTTTTCTTGCGTGTCCGTGTTCTCATATTTCATTGTGGATGAACGACGAAGACGTTCTAGATGTGCTTATATCGAACCGCAGAAAGCGTCAAAGCAGCCACGAATTATTTTACTATTTGATGCAACATTTTGAGCACTAACCTCCAATTTCTACCACTGACACGTTCGCTGCCGCTGTTCCCCCCGTTGGCGCACTGGCGGATGCCATGACTCGAACAAAGAAACGTACACACTGGGCTCGAAGACGCAGATCGCAACACACGAGTCGTACCCTGGAGCGACTATCCAGCGCTTCAAAGCGCCCAATCAACGGAAACAACCCAAACAACCCACCAGCGGCACTCCAAGGAGCGCTTTTGCCGGCTCTCTGGTATCGCACAGGGGATCGCTATTCAGGAAAACCGATAGAACTACCTTTCCAACAATTTCTAGCCTCAGCCGGCGGCGAAAATAAGCCTTCAACTAAGTGTTGTAAATTATGAAATCGAGTGAGTCACCACTGCAAATTATCAATATTAAGATAAATTCAGTTACAAAATTTTACAAGCTGAAGCAGCAATTATCACGAGAATACTGGCACGGACCTTGCGAGCGTACCCCATGTTCATCGGCGGTACAGCGTTCGGTGCGCGCTTCATTTACAAGATGTTCCGAGCACAGTCGATAGGATGGCGTTTAGGAAACGTCTTTTCGGTTTACGGACGCAATCCACTGCCGCCGAGACCGGGGTCAGCCGCTCTCGCCTTGCCGGATTCATTGCAAGCTACATAGGTCCTCGGACAGTATTCGACGCTTTCTGTCGTTATTCCTGCACCCTATGACCGAGCAATGGTGTCCCGATGACCGGGGAACTGTTGCTATCAAAGCCCGTTACTCTAATTAAGTTTGCGAGTTCAAAACAGAAAAGAAAGCGCGAACGAAGTTGGGGCACAGCAGACACCCAACACCGGCCAAGCCTCTCATCCGGGACTTTTTACTCTTTCTACACAATCAGAAAGGGGGAAAGCGCCGGTAGCCCTTTCTCCTTTTCTCTCTCGCCCTCTTTCAGTATTGATTACAACTAGTGATGGGACGAATCTTTATCCGAATCGAGATTCGAAGCCGAATCTGAAGATTCGGAAAGATTCGGAAAAGTAGGCGAATCTCAAGCGATTCGGAAAAGTTCGGAAAGATTCGGAGCGTTGCCATGGTTGCCAAATCACGTTGATGTGTGTTTCAACTTTTCGTGATATTAAATTAAATAAATTCTACAAAGTGCACGAAATAATATTGTAATATAATATCAGATTAATAAATAAAATGTTCCGCTTTGTTAATATTATTTGGGTGTTTATCGAGAACGGTAGCCTAGCCAGACATCGCGGAAAAATTGGTTTCGGTTCCGGATCACGACCCAAATAGGCATGTTGGTGCACGCACGTGGAAATACAAGCGCATGTTTTCATCGCCGCAAGAGATCGATGCCGTACATGCTGTTCGGTACCGACACATTTCGTGCCCATAATTACTGTCGCAGTGGCACACACCACATAAGTGAGTATGTTCGATTCGATTATCTCCAACGAGTGCCCACTGAAGTATTTCTATTGGAACACGGGAAACAACCTGAAACTCCTGGTTAATGCAGGCTTTCCGATTTAGTGTTTGTTTCCGAACAATGAAGTTGTATTGTACACCCGTGTTGTGTTTCTTTTTCATCAAATAAGGTTCATGTATACAAAACTTGCTGCCGAGAACGCAGAATCGACAGTTGTTCTTTGCCACCGGTGCCAGTACGCGGCCCAAGTTGTGACGAGCAACATTCATCTCGCTCTCGCGCCTTACAGGTACAGACATACGCAGCTCTAGAGAAGGAGACGAATCATTTCCTTGCCTGAATATATATTTATTGTGCGTTGCGCCAGATTACATATAATACACAGCGTTTCGCTACATTTTACCGATCACCGCGAAACCGCACAGAAAGCGAGACCGTGCATTGGTTAGGCCTACGTCAACCACACCGATCAGCTCAGCTGGACCTGGGCGCGTGCCAGGGTTTACAATGACAGTACAGTACATACCATACGTTGAAATAAACAAGACGAAATCTGGTTATATGCAAGAACAGTATTTAAGAAGAGCACAACTGACCGTATTCGCGAGGTTTACGTCAAGCTTCATGCTACCGCCTGCATCCAGCGACGAATCTCCGAATCTGCCGAATATTCGTCGCGAAAAGTTCGGAAATTTCCGAATCTGTCCGAATCCGAATCTCCGGTGATCAGAGAGGGGAGGAAGTGGCCGAGTGGGCTAACGCGTCTCAGCTCGGAGCGTGGAGCGAAAGCTTGCGCTGGGAACCTCCTGGGTTCGATCCCCGCCGCCCCCGCCCGTTTCGATCTGGATGAGTTTCGTACCGGCACGCGTTCGTGTGATCACTACTGCGTGATGCACGTTAAAAATCCCAGGTTAGCGGTTGTACCGCACTGGCTAAATTTCTCATCTACAGCTAAGAGACCGATTACCCGTTGAGGCGCATCTCCATCAAGGCTGTATAAACATAAAGAGCAAGCCAATTTTTTATTACAACAGAGTAGGAGTGTCGGGTTGTTAGTGCCTCTGTTCGTTGTTTGTGTATGTAAATGCTTGTATGTTGATCTTGTGGTATGTGCTGTGATGTATGTGTTCGTATGCTGCCGTCCGTGTTCGATCGTGTCACTTCCGCGAATGCCAAAATGTCCTTCATTTTTGTAGTTTTCTGCATACTCACTAGGTGGCGCAAGCAGCCGCCCAATTTTATTTTAGCTTTGTTTGTACGTAGTCCATTTATGTGTAAGGAACCACACCACATAGCTACAGTCTAGTAGAAAAGTAACCGCGTGTTTAAATGGCGCATAGCGCCGGCGTTCAGTTGGTCTTCGTTTGCTGGCCGTTTCGGTAGCCGATTCGTACCCGGAAAGCCGCAAAATTTGCGTACACACGAGATATGAGTGGATACGTCGAGACGTCGCGTACAACTTTGCTCGCGGTAAAGAGGTGAGCGGGACGTCGGTAACGCCGGTCGGGTAGGGTCGGGTCGGGTCGGTGTCGGAGCTATTCGTCGTCGCTCGCGGCAAACGGGCTTTTTCAATAAAGTTCATGTCTGTGGTCGCGAAAAGATAACTGCTGTGGAAATTACCCGGCGTCGGTGACAATGCAACCGGCTTGAGGCCTCGGCGATCGGCTGAACCGCCACGCGAACGAGACCTGCTCGATGGGGAAGCACGCTGCTGGATGCAGTCGATGGTCGCTCCCACTGTCGCGTAATCGCCGTAATGGATACGGCGTCCGCGCTTGGGGGTGAATGCTTGCGGTAGTTCAGCACGTATGGACGATTACGAACGAACACGTGCAAACTACGCTTTCGCTGCGGCGAAAAGCCGTGTAAAGCGCTGGGCCTCGCTCGTCGAACCCGTCTTGCGTCAAACGGCCGCCATTGTAAAAAAACACCCCTAGACGTGTGATCGCAGAACGAAGTACACGTTCAAAGATGTTCATTTTACACGAGACCTCGGGTGCAAACGAAATACACCGAGCCTCGCGTGTAAAACGAACACCATTTGGGGAGTCCGCCCTGGGACAACGGTTTACTCGTCCAGGGGTGTACTTTTTCGCTGTGTGTGTAGAGACTTCGAGCTTGAAAAACACGGTGAGGACCAAAACTGTAAATTCAATAACTTCGCGAAAAAACAATATTTTGACCTAGTATTTGGGATACTATTTTCGCGATGTTTGTTGGTTAGTTTAGCAAAATTTCAAGCAAATCGGAGACAATGAAAAAATCGGTGGAGTAGCCCTTTAAAACCGAAACACCGAAACTGAATGGCGACTTGGTGCGCCATTCAGTTTCAGTTTTTAGCGGTACAATAATATGGCGGGAAAGAAGTAATGGAGATTTGCAGAAAATTGGTAGCAGCCACAAAAGAACATCTCGTCACATAAAGAACGAAACATAAGCTCGTAACTATGAAACTAACAAAAAAAAAAAAAAAAGGCATTTGCCGGAAAAGCGGTCTTTCGGCTTGGCTGATTTTCCGCTAGTCTTATTTTCACGTCACGCCCAACTTGTTGGTCACGCTGGTCACGCCACGGACGTGAAAACAAGTAGATTGCCGGTAATTTTCGAGGACGGACGAACTGTTTGTGTAGTACTCGTGTCTATAATGGTAGTCCTCTAGTCTCTAGATGGGTTTAAACGGACCCAGATAAGGCGTCCCACCGTGCTCCTGAGCTTATCTTGAGACGCCGACATTGCGCCGACGGAGCGACGCCGGTCTCCAAAGTTGCTTCGTTGTTTGAGAAGCACTCGAGGGCGGTGCCGTCTGACAGGGATTCTGGGATTCTCTAATCTACTCGGCCCATCTGGGGTGGATCGCCATTGAGCACAGATCCGTCGCATGCTTCGCGCCTGGAGCAGTCGACTCCGTCCGTACTGCGCTCGCAGGTTTTACCTACTCGGCGGCAGCGACAGGTGAGCGCAGTTCAGCGGCATACTAGTGACGCCGGATACACCGTACCATGGCATGACGTCTGCCTGAGTGTATCGCAAACGCTCGAAAGCGCGTTTTGCCAAGTCGCTCGGCGTAGGATGCATGCGCAGAAAAAGATAAGGACAGAGAATGAACATGCGCTACACACAAGCGCTGTTCTGTTCCTTCTCTCTGTCCTTGTCTTTTTGTGCGCTGTTCTGTTCACCACGTCATCATGCTCACTTGCCCAACTTACAACTCTTCTGCTATGGGTGGTACTCGCAAGGCGCCATATTTGAGTCCGGTGTTCACAGTGCATGCTCAGGAGGAGACCTCACTTATCTCCTAAGCTTTATAATCTTGGCGATGTGGAAGCTCGTCGTATGCTCGCACTCGGCAGCAAAGGACTCGCCTTTATCGGCCAGTAAATACTATACTTCATTTCGCTTTAGGGTGGATCGCAGCGGACGCTTCAAGCCATCCCACCCAACCCAATGCTGTGAAAGCGTCCTCCCGAAGGTCACATGACACTTGAGGGCATTGGATTGCTTCGGATGTCTCGTAGCGACCTCCACGGTTATCGTAAGCTGAAGCAAGAGCTTCCTTCGATTTAAATGCACCTGCACCGGTACAGAAAAGCAGGGTGGTGTACTTTATTCAGATACGACCGTAAGTACACTGCCCTACACTTTTCTGCACCGGTGCAGGAGGTGCAGGTAAATCTAACGAAGCTAAGGTATTGGCGATTCCACTGAAACGGACGCCGCATAGAGGCAATGCTGATAAGCTCAAGAGAGGAGGTTGTTTCGACTGTCGTCTGCTATCGGTGCTTGTTTCTCGTAAACAGCATAGAAACAAACATTGTTTCTAGTAATTATCTCTATGCTTTTGTCATGTCATTCCTACGCAGAATAAAAGGTTTCTACTGTCGAAAAATCGCTTTGGTTTCATATGTAACACAGACTTTACGCTGCAGTGCAGGAAGTTTATGGTGTTCATCGTGCTGAGCGACGAAAATAACCACCTTTCTTCCGCCATTCTGCCTGGCCAGCACGCCCCCTATATAGTTCGCTGGAGTCGTGAATACCCATGCGGGTAGAAATTGAGACGAGAGCGCGCGGGAACGTCGGAACGCCTTAGTTGATAGATGCAAAGCTAGCTGCAGCTGTGTCTTCACTGCACTAGTCAAATGCTGGATGCTGGCATTCCGCATTCTAATGCGTTCGACGAGTGCTTTGCATCCATTCTCTAATCCTTCCAATCGGAGCTTGGCGTTCCGACCTCCCCGCACGCTCTCGTCTCCTCTCCCTCAGTTTCTACCCGCTTAGGCTGTTCCTCAGTGGGTGGTGCTGCCTCGTGCCGTCTTGGAAGCGAGCCCGTCTACCTCGTACAGTACCCGTCCGGCGGGCACGATGAGCGGCGACGGCTATGTGGTGCGGCGCGGTGCCAGCAACCCTCCTCTCACGTACCGGTTGTTCGACAACGCGGCACATGGTCTGGAGCCCGAGTTCCGGCTCCTGGACCTGGCAGACATGAAGGGATGAGGGTGCAAGGTTCCCCAGGGCGTGCTCCAGAAGATGCTCAAGACGCTGCAGCCAGGTGGTTCGTCGTCTAGCAGCGTCCAGCACGGCCCTGCGGGAACGCAGATCGGTACGTGCACTCCTATAGGGTTAATGTAAGTGTCTAGAGGGAAAGGTCTCGCGCATTGTGGCCACTTCGGAATGGCGGTGCACGTACGCGGACATTGGTGCTCCCAAGTGTGGTCCCAACGGGCCCACATACTGATCTCCATGGCAGTTGTCATAGATATCGGTCAACCCAAATCCCTGGCAATGCTTTAATATGCACAAACAAGCAGTAAAGCATCACCTCTAATGTTTGTATCTACTGTTTTTCTAGCTCTATTTTATACTTCGTGAAAGACACTGGTGTCGTGCATTGTATAAGAAGAAATTGTTGACGAGCGCTCAAGCAACTTAATTCAACTTGTCGCGGTAAAACGGACACGCCTAACTTTTCTCTGCTTTCTTTCTTCACTCTTCTGTCGCCCTCTTTCTTGTTCTTGCTCTCTGGTCTGCCGATGGCAGCGCTCAGGATTTGCGACATTCTACTCCCGTCTTTACACCCCTGGCTGGTGGGTATGTCTAAAGTGGCAATCTTGGCATACCCAGGGACGCCATTGGGAGGTGTCCCTCGTAGCTTCGGCTAGTATAGCTTATCTCTTTGGAATGCATGCTTATCTCATTGGAATGCATCGAGTGAGCTTAACTGTCAGATGCGAATGCAACTAGCAGAATGGCGCTAGTTTCTAAAATGCCACATTCAGCTTTTGAAGCTTGACTGTAGCTGATAGTTATACCAAAACAGTTTCTCTACGAAGCAGGGAAACTGTTCTTAGTTTACGAACGAGGGGTGGATGAATAAAACAATACAGCTAGTCTGCAGCAATATACAGAGGGTCCCCCCCACCAAAAACAAAATTGCAGGATTTTTCTCATCGCAAAAAAACAACTACACATTGACAAGTGCTCCCTCTCTGCCCAAACGTAGCACTAGCGGTCCAAACAAGATGTTAAAATTTTAAAACTAACCATTATCTGGTTCAAAAGTTACAGGTGATTTTCTGCAATTTTTAATGGGAAAATGGTGGCCGAGAGAGCTCTCTAATACGTGGGTCCGAATGGCACCAGTTACCAAACACTGGCCATATTTTCCCATTGAAATTTTCAGGAAATCACTTGTAGCTTTTGAATAAGAGAATGGTTGGTTTTAAAACAACGGTGTCAGGCTCAGACCACTAGCTTTACATTTGAGCGGAAAATGAGCGTTCAACGATGCAGAGGTAGTTAAATTTTGCAATAAAAAAAACAAAAAAACATTGTAATTTCTTTTTTTTTTTTTTACATTTTGTAGATGACTTGATTATCTAGGACTCTGGGACCATCTTTGATTTACGAGCAGACAGCGAGCAGACGCAGCGGCAGAATCGTAGCACTGCATGTATGGCTATAGCTTTCTAGCAGGATAGAGCCACGCTCTGGGCCAGTTGCGCGTTGCAGCAGACGTGCTGAGCAGCGTTTATCGCTCTCCCCCAGACATAGGGATGGACTCGAGCGTCACCCCCCTGGGCGCCTCTGGGTTCTCCCTGGTGCAGACCATCGACTTCTTCTACCCGTCGGTGGAGGATCCCTACATCAGCGTAAGTGTTGAGGCCCCGTCGCTCGCACGTCTCCGCCACACTAAGGTGCCTGGAGTGCGTCTTTAGCCTGTGTGTTTACCGTGTCTGCATTTGTGGTCCCTGGCAGTGGCACAGTATCGGAGGCGGAATAGGCAGACGCCTGTTCTGCTCTGGGTCGCTCTCTAGCTTGACAGTTCACTGAAGCTTCAGCGGCCAGGAGTTGAAACGCTGCGACGATGGCGACGCTCCCAATCGCTCGTCTTTTTGTTTAAACTTTCACGACATCTGGCAGGATTGCGGCATCCGACGGCGTGACGTTCTGGCTCCTGGGACGTAATTTGCTGCCACTTTGTGACCACTTTCGATGCATGGGCGGTATAGGATACTAGACACTCGAGTCAGACACTTTCCAGGCACCGTACCCATGCTCGTCTCCCCCTTTCCGTCAAAAGGGCAAGATAGCGTGTGCCAACGTGCTGTCTGACCTCTACGCCCTCGGAGTGACGCGCTGCGACAACATGCTCATGGTGATGGCCGTGAGCACCAAACTGACCGAGAGCCAGAGGGACGTCGTGGTGCCCCTCCTCATCAAGGGATTCAGGGTGAGTTGTTCGAAGGCCATAGACCACGGTGGAAGGACACAAAGGTGTCTGAGAGGCGCCACCTCAATATGGAACAAGTGTGTCGAAGGTTTGCTCTCATTTCTGGCAAACGCCACAAGATGCGCAACATGTCTAGGGACCCCAAAGACCGTCGTTACTCGCGTGCGTGGCGTGCTACCGCACCTGTGCAGGGGCCCTAAACCGCCAGTGCCGCCGCCAAGAGATGGGCGAAGCCCGAGCTAATTTTCGGCCTCTTTTCTGGCTTCATTCAGATGCCTCTCCTCGTCGACCGTGCCTTAGGCCCCACAAGGGGGCCACGGTCACATTTGTGCAGACGAATTCTTCTGCGTCTGCCAGTTGAAGCGTGTTCTCTCCTTTCGAAACAGGCCCATTAGTCCGACAAGAAGGGCATTTGATTGTGCTTGTATATCCACGTCTGCCAGTCGAAGCACGTTTACTCGACGGATATGCATGCTTCGGAGCAGACAGTTTTTGTGCAACCACTTTCCTGTCGCGCCTCGGATGGTTCTGTCGCGGTGGCCTTTTATACAACATATTAGAAGTGGGACCGTGCATTTGGGGTCCAGTAGCACCGACGTGCATGCTCTTTGCAGGACCTGGCGGCAGAGGCTGGTACCCGCATCACGGGTGGCCAGACGGTGCTCAATCCTTGGCCCATGATCGGAGGAGTGGCTTCCAGTTGCTGCCGGGACGCCGAGATCATATCGTGGGTAACCCTCGGCGACGTACGCCCCCGTGTTAAGGAAAAAAGCGCGGCCCGTCTGCATCGTACGCGTTAATTCTGTCCCGGGCTGTGCCCACACCACTTACAGAAATCCAAGCCTGCACGCTAAAATTTTGACATCATAGATCAAGAGCAGACGCAGATTGGACACGAGTGTTGCGTCGGACACTCGGCATTGGGCTCGGGACCGATTGCCGAGTTGTCAACATCCGGCTGCGACGACATTTTGTGGAGAGAGAGAAGGACATTCGCAGGCCTGGGTTATTCCGCGTGGTGTTGGCTGTGCGGACATCTATACCTCGTTTGACCTTACGATAGACCGCATGTAGACTACTAGCCATCATAGCTAATGCAGTCTGCGAACATATCGAGCGATCACAGTTAGTCCGATTGCTCTAAGCCGTCGTGTTGTGGCCACCTCTGTCAGCTCGAGGGGTTCGGCACGTCGAAGATGTTGGTCAGCTCCCAGCAACCGCCTTTCGCAAAGCCTCCCTCCCCGGGTCACGCTCCCACCCCGTCCCGTCGTTCCAGGCCGGACGGCGCCGAGCCCGGGGACGTGCTGGTGCTGACCAAGCCCTTGGGCACCCAGGTGACCAGCAACGCCCACCAGTGGCTGGATAGGCCCCAGCGCGTGGAGCAGTTGGAAAAGGCCGGCATCGCGGCCGAGGACATTCGCCGCATGTATTTTCGCGGCATGGACAGCATGGCACGTCTGAACCTCACTGGTGGGTGTCCCCCTTTCGCCTCTGGAAGCCCGCAGTACGCTGCCTGCAACGCGTCTCCGACCGGTGTGTCGGAGACGCGTTGCAGGCGACATTGTGACCCTTCTATAACGTCATCGGGCACAAAACCAAGGTTCGCTTTTTTGGACGTGGTAAAGACGCCAGTCGGAGATGTGTTTGGGCACCGCACTCCCGGCACTCCCACGCGGTGCAGCCGAGAGCGGGAGTTCTTTTACACTCCGTCGAAGGTTAAGAAAGGAGAGACAAGCTCCCACCGCAATGCTCTCCACTCTTTCCACTTTAGCGAGCGAATGCTGGAGAGGAGGCGAGTGGACTTTCCTCCGTCAGGGGAGAGCGCAGTTGCTTGCCCGTCCTCACCTGCTCGCCTGCTCTGCCACCCTTGTTATTTGCTGTACTTCGTTCACCCGTAAAGGGACACTGACAGGGTAGTTATGCTCGCCGAGGTTTTTGTTTGTACATGACATGAGAACCCAACTCCCCAGAACACAATTTGCGGCTCGAAATTACTTCTCTTTCCACCCGAAAATCGTCGATTGAGAACTGGCCGGTTTGAGTCGCACTCACTCTGTTCGTTGTACTAGTCGTGTTCCGTTTTTTGAGGTGTATTGGTGTGTACCGAAATTGTAGCTTCCCTTGAGGTACATCGTAAAGGCACGTCGTAAAGGCATGTTCACACACTTGCAACACCTTACGACCAAGTGCCTTAAACTTTTTGGGATCTCTCGCAACAAGACAACAGACCAGCGCCATCTTTCAGGCAACCTCAGGACACCCTGCATTTTCGTATATTTCCTCCTTTTTCTTCGCACATCGTTCCTTTCTTCTTGGCTTAAGAAACTGTTATCAACAAACATTTCTTGTAGATACCGTATTAACTCGAGTAATAGCCGCACTATTTATGAACGAGGCGCTTGCTTCTACTTTCCTGCAAAGCACATATACAGCCAATCATCGCGTTGCACAAAAATAACATAGCGGATAATTAGATCGAGAATACGATTCTCCATACAAATGCAATCTTCACAGATGGTATCTTCGCGCGAAGACATTATGTCTGTCCTCTAAACCGCTGGAGTCATGCTGTCGATCGCGGTGATTGGCAATCTGTGTGCTTTGCGGAAGAGCGAACCCTCAGGTTTTCTTCATAAACAGTGCGGCTATTACTCGAGTAAATACGGTATTATGTGTGTTTGATCTCTCAAATACTGCAGAACCTTTGCCCTAGTGAAACGCAGCTCCAGGGACACCTCGTAGGTGGCAGCAGCGTGCCAGTGCATTTCTTGTCAAACAAGATTGCAAGAGCTCGGTCATAAGCAAATGCAAGCGTGGAAACAGGCCTTTAGGCAAAACAGAGTATTTTCTGCCAGGTTTGTCAGAGCGGGAGGTGAGAAAGCGTACACGGAGGCGCGCGCTTCACTCTTCGCAGCGGCCCAGCTGATGCATCGGCACGGGGCTCACGGAGCGACGGACGTGACGGGCTTCGGCCTCCTGGGCCACGCCCAGAACCTGGCGGAGGTGCAGCAGAAGGCCGTGGACCTGCGCATCCACACGCTGCCCGTGATCCGAGGGGTGCCCGAGGTGCTGGCGGCCACGGGGACCTCCTTCAAGCTCATGCAGGGCTACTCCGCTGAGACCTCGGGTGAGCGCGGGGGTTTCGTGGAAAGGCCAGTTCGGACCAACGCATTAGAGCGTCCTCGAGTGTGGTGGTCGGCCCCGGAACTGCGCCTAACTGGGCACACTCACGCAACCAACATGTACCACGTGCCGGCAAGCGTCGTACCGTGTTTTACGAAACTTACCACACTCTAGCATACTCTAACGAAAATGTCCAAACCAGCCTTAATAAATCTAAAGATGGTCCGCCATCTTCCTGCGTGTTTCTGCTGCGTTGGAATGGCAAAGCACGGAGACAAGCATCGGTTGCTGGCAAAGCCCTTAACTGTTTTTGTTTTTTTTTGGTTTTTGTTTTTTTTCTTTTACGTGCCTTTGCATTTTGTTGCCATTTTTAAAAATGTGTAGACTATAAAAATGCATGCTGCCATCTCTGAGCAGCGCCTCAAACTAAGCTCCGAGCGAGCCTGCGTCGTCCAAAACAGTCAAGGGGCGAGGTAGGGTGTGCGGACGAGCTACACTCGTCCTAAATGCTTTGGGGATGGCTCTAGGTGGACGAGCCAGGTTCGTCTAAAACGGCTAAGGGGTTAATGAGCACGAGGAGGTTGCAAATGACCGATTGCAAGGTTGAACCCTGGTAGTCTTCTCAGCTTTATTTCGTTCTTACCCGCTCCGGTGTAGGCCAGTGCAGGTAGGTCGGGCTAGCCTACTAGTAACACGAGTAGCTGCTGATAAAGTGCAATGAACCAATCTCGATTTTGACACGTGAAAAGAGCGCAGAGGGGGCAACTGAGTGGCGCAGCAGTAGACGTCTCTCGCAATCTCCCAATAGCAGGGGGGCGTCAAGAGAGGGCACCACGGATCCAGGAAGCGAGGAGCGGGGGTGACGAGTGTAGCGGAGTGGGGCGGGAGCGCCAGCGTGCTCTCGAACGAGATCACAAGAACTCGGTCTGAAGCAAATCCAAGTGCGTGAAGGGGCCTTAGGCATCTGAGATGGTCTTCTGTTGGAACGTTCCTTCAAGAAGGCTGCGTGGTGCAGGGGGTCTGCTGGTGTGCCTACCGGAGGAGAATGCTGTCAAGTTCTGCGAGGAGCTGCAGCGGCTCGAGGGCTACCCTGCCTGGATCATCGGGGACGTGGTGGAAGGCCAGAGGCGGGCCGTGCTCGTGGACCAGCCCCGGGTGCTGCCCGTGCCTTCGGCCGACAAGGAAGGAGAGCTCTGGTAGCGGGGAAGGAGGTGCCCCGGTGGGAGACGGATGAACCTGCGGCTTGAAACGTCGACTCGCGACGTCGGCCGCGGGGGATGTTTGGGGGTGCTCTCGCCGGGTGACGCTTGCTGACCCGTCTGCCGGAACAATAAAGGACGCTTTTTACGTTACTCCTGCTGCCGATCGCTTTTTGGTCGCAGAAGGAACAGCACGTACACCAACACTCGGAACCCACTTTACACGGTTCGCAAAAATTGGTGTGCGTATTGCGCTGCGATTTACTACAGAGATGCAGCTAGGTGGTGGAAGCTTGGAGTGAAAATATCAAGAAATAAAATTACCATGTTCAAAACACAAGAAAAGAATAACCGAGTGTAGGCAAACTATTGCTGTGTAATGCTGCCAACGAATGTTCTAAGCGTCGAGGGCTGAGGAAGCATAGTCCAAACTTTCAGAAGGTTGCCTGCCAAGCTTGGCACTGAGATGTCCTCGACGCTTCAGACCTCTGAAGCGTCAAGGCTATGTTTATTTGTTCATATTTTCACTCAAAGTTTCCATCACCTAGCTGCACCTCTGTGATAAATCCCGGCGCAACATGTAAATAAACCGGAACAGAGGGCAGCTGCTGTGACAACTAGCAGACGACGATGCAGCAGCCGCCTGCACCTGCCTAAGCAATCCTCCAACTAGAGCTCAACACTGCGACACCCCCGTAACCCCCTATGCGAGAAGGTTATCCTTATCGCTCCATCGAAATATATTTCGTGGACGCACGGTTCGTTGACATCGCAATGTTTCATGAACACATACTTCTCCGACGTTTCGTTGACAAATTTTCTTTACTTAATGGATTGGATTGGATTACTGGATTATTTTCTTCGCTGGAAGCATACCAGAACTAAAGCGAACTCGCCCAAGCTAGAGTCCCTCGATCAGCGCTTTGCTAAGTAGCGACAGCGATTGATGGGCCGACTCCTTCTTCCAGAGGTATGTGCCCACATTCCGTTTTCAGTTAGGAGGAACATGGCGGATTTGACTCTACCTCGCTCTTGAGTAACGGTTTGCCACCTTGGCATTCGAAAACCTACCTGCGTCCAACGTCGTTCTATCTGGATTGTCGTGTGACGTGACCCGCCAGAGTAACTCTGAAGATTTTGAACACAGCCATGGTGGGCGAGTTATAACATGGTGAACAGCGCGCTAGCAGACGACAGGAGCGAGGGGAGGAGGGCGGGGAAGGAGGACTTATTGCTACCTCGCCCAGCGTTATCTAGGGACGTTAACCCAGGCGGCTCTAGTAGGTCAAAAACAATTCTTTGAGCCCTAATCATAATTTGTTTAAATAACGCCACACTATGCGCTAACAGCCCTCGTCTCGCCCAGGGAAGCTTTCTACCGTAACATCCCGAGAGATAACCCGCCCCCTATTTTTGGCATGATTTGCTTTCAATTTTAGGTGGGCTATCTCTGGGGATATTGCAGTATAATCCCGGGGCCCGAGCTTGCAGCCATCCTCGTAGGAACTGCCAAGGGTCAGGCAACTGAGGCGATGTGCACAGAAAGCAACATTGGCAGAAAAACGCTTTCAACGAAACGTTGCGAGGTGTGTTGATGAAACAAACGCGGGAACTTTTCATTTAAACAAACTCGATGAAACGTGATGAAATAAAAAGCGAACATAAAATCAGGACAAGAAAGAGGACACGTACGACGGCTGTCGTACGTGTCCTCTTTGTTTGTCCTGGTTTTTTTGTGTGCTTTTTATGTTATCATGATCCACTACCAAAACTAGCCCAGTTTTCAACCATGCTGTCGAAGAAACGTCACAGTGTCGACGAAACAATGCCGGTGAAACGTTGTTCGAGGAACCGATTATCACCGGTGTAGACTTTGTAGAAATTAAAAATCTGAGTTACGATCGGCATTTCTCCCAGATACTGCAGAAGCACATACTGCATAAGTGTCTATGTCTTGTCGGCTAGTCCGACAAGCCCGAGAGTTAATATTGACTCGAACAAGGCCTTGAAGAGAGAAGCAAGCAATCAAGCGAGCAATCTACGTGACGTCACTGACATAAAATTGACTTTTTATTTTATTTTTTACTTATACGGCGGATGTCACAGCCAAAAATAAAACTTACCGTTCGCGGACACCTCTAAAATCCGTAGCAAAATCAAAGAATTCAAGGAGAAAAGCGAATGTGAGTGGGATGCACGTGACATACGCGGTGACGTAATGACGCAGTTTTCAAACTTTTCAACCTGTTTCAAACCGCCGAGTAAACGAACGCGCTCTCCTCTTGTACACATGGCTGTTGATTGAGCGACAGTCGTGAGCGTATTTTGATATCATCTCCTAAAGTCTCCCTCTTGTTGTGAATGGGAGTGCTTCTTCTAATATCCTAGTTCAGCGCCAGGACTACGGTCCACCCTTTTTTGGGGTGCTTCGAGCGTCAACATGTCCAACCGTGTGCTGAAGAAGTTGCAAGGGGGCAACGATTTTGGTAAGCTCGACGCCCAGTCAGACACTGAAGATGAAGCTCCTGCCGGTTCAGAGTCGAACGGGACCAAAAAGAAGACCAAGCAGCAGCGAGCCGCCAACCGCTTCGAGTTGGTAAGCACGCTTCGGCATCGCCTGTCGAGCCGCTGATTCGTGGTTTGTTTCTTGCCCTGTACCTGGACGTCGCCTAGCAAGGCCGCACCAGTTGCCCCGAGTTCACTACGTTTATTCGGTTGTCGCGACTGAGCTCCGATCAATACGTCTAGATGATGCGATGATTTCTGTTGGTCATTCCACTTTCTATCGCTGTGTTCAACGGTGAAACAGTAGTTGGTGGGAGTCTGCACATGTCAGCACTGGTACAGAGCTGTGCTTCCAGTTGGCGTTCTACTGTTTACAAATACGGAGCAGCAGCGGCGGCTGAAAACAGTAATTGTACGGCGTGGTTTGCATATAAAAACAACACGCGCAAGCATCTGCAGCGAAGAGCGAAAATTCGGTTTTTAAAACATCCAAAACCAATAAGTTCCGCTTCGCTTTAATTCCTAGAACGTCCATGCAGTATTAAAAAAAAACCAAAAAGAAAAGAAAAAAAAAAAGTAGTCCTCTTGTAAACAAACTTTCTTTGAGAGAAACAGAAAAAAGTATATTCAATAGCCTTCTACTACGTTTGCCATGAAGCGTGACCAGGTAGAGCTAACAGTCTGTTGTGGCACTCGGCAGCAATAATAACAATAACAACAAAATATATTAAAGGTACACATACGCAAATGTTGTTTGGGCCCACAAAAGCATGCACATTTGCACTTGTAAAGGGGTGGAGCTTTTGGCATTACAATGTGTGTCAGCACATTCAGCCAACACCACCTGGAAGACAAGACCGGCGCCTTACTTTCCCCTCCGAACGTCGTCACAAGTGGCTCCGCGCAGCGCCACCTAGCTTGCAAAAACAATGCCACCAGTGCGTCTCAGCGTCCCGCAACGTGCGCGACAATAGCACATGGTGAAGCCAAGACCGATGTGTCTGCCGTGCTGCTTTGCAGCGGTTCTTGTTAAGCTTCCGCATGTTTGCCTCCTGGGACGGGACAGGGATCCGCTAACAATAATGTCATGCGCTGCAGTCCTCGTCTTCTAAGTGGTATTCGTTCCTCTCGCCTCACTTTAGCTCACAGGGCTGGGCGACCAGTCCCTTTCGGACACTGCCAAGGAGGACGACGACCGCGAGAACGAGCCACCAGCCGGCCCGGCGCCCTCATCGGCACACACAGCCCAAGAGGGCGCCCCGGAGGAGTGCGGTGGAGTAGCCTCGGACGAAGGCCGCAGGGGCCGCCTGGAGAAGCAGGACTCGACGCAGAGCACGGACAGCCTCAAGCGCAGGAAGAAGAAGAAAAAGAAGAAACAGCTCAACAGCCAGCACAGCCACGAGGACAGGCTGCAGGCAAAGCAGGTGCCAGTGGGTGCCCGAGCACTCGGGAACGTGGGAGGGCTCAGCCTTAGGTGCACTGGATATGTGTAGAGTGTTTGAACCTGACTCGTTTGTAGCAGCGTTAATACTTGGACTTTCTTTGAAAACAACCTTTGAGACATAAGCCTTTCTCTTCTCCCAGTGTTTGTCACCAGTTAATTGAGGCATCGCCTTTATTGGTTGCTGTTGCGGAGGTGCCAAAGTTATCAGAATTCGGCATTGTGTGATTCAAAAGTTACAAGTGGTTCTTCTGAAATTCGGGGTCAGAAAAGGGTGTTTGTATATTAGTATCACACGCTATTCACTTCCATGTACTTGCAAGCTGTGCTGACCATCGTTTGCTCATTAAAAGTTTCCCTAAATCACTTCTAACTTTTTGTCGGTTGCCGCCGAGTTGGGAAATTTTTGCATCTTGCCCCAACTACTGGTGCCACAGTCGGGCAGAGCCTGAGCTTTTAGCAATGCATCATTCATTTTTGTGGTGCAAGAAACATGGTTCGCTCCTCTCAGCTTAACTTGCTTCCAGTAAAGTGGAGGCTCAGCTTCCTTTATTTAACTTAGTTTCTTATCCTTTCTAAAGTTCTCTCTTCCTGAAGACATTGAAAACACTGCGCACAAAGGCTATGCGCCGGAGACACCCTTGGAGCTTCCTTGTGTATTACAATAGTTTCTGGCGTCAACGCGGTGAGTCATAGCCTCCTATATAGGGAAAAAGCCAGCTGCTTCCCCGCCCGAACAATAGACTGCTCGGTCGCTGTAACAGAGGGAGGAGTGGAGGGCTAGGTGTAGATGTGCAGCACCACACGTGTTGTAAAGCTAACTACCCCTCTTTTATTTTTTTTTTTTTTTTGTATTTCGCGGAAGGCAGGAAAAAGACTACAACTAGCGTTGTTTAAACCTTTTTTCTACGACTTATCCTCCTTTCCAGGGATGCCGGAGGTATATTGCAAATAGGGGGACTGAGTCCAAGTTCCGTTTCGTCGTATTTTTGTAGTATTGATATACAAGTTTTTCTTTGTACTAAGTGAAACTCGGAAATTACAATCTCAGTTTTGTTCGAGAGAGACCTAGCAGGCTAGTTTTTGTTCCTTTCACTACGTTGTGTGCTGAAATTTCTATTTTATGTTCTATCACGATCATCACAACGCACGTGAGGACTTTGTAACGAGCCCCTGTCAGGGGGCCTGAATCGCTGCTGAGCTCCCCCATAAGAATACTTAGGGGGGCTCTGGTCCCCCCTGAGTATTCTTATGGGCATTCCAGTGTCCCTGCTCCTCTCCTAGTGCTCTCCGAGAGGAAGGCGTTGGTAGGAGGATGCGCCGAAAAACTGGAAAAGGAAGGCGAGTTGTAGCTGGGTGAGTTGTAGGTGAGGAGGGTGACGTGGAATGCTACCTTTTTTTTTGTGATATACGAAAGAAAGCAAGAGTGTTTTGGAAACTGGCCACGAAGCGGCACTCGCCTCCAAATACCATTTTTACCTTATGTTTTGTCGTTCTGCCCCTCTCACTTTTGGCGACCGGTACCGGTGTGAATGGTGCAGGTTTCTCCCTCTATAGGAGGCCGTGGGTGAGCACACCCACTCTGTGATTTTGATGTTTCCTGGCACAACCGTGTGCAGGCGGCGGAGGATGAGGTGACCGCAAGCGTTCGGGAGGTGAACCGGATGCTTGGCGAGCCGCAGGGTGGTGCCCAAGTGACGCCGGAGACCACCGGTGGAAGGAGCGAAAGGAGCCTGCTCTGCGTGGACCCGCGGCATCTGAACCCCGAAAACGAGATGAGGCGCATCTTCGGATCGAGAGTCGTCCAATCGGAGCAGGCGTAAGGGAAATGATGCTTTCTTTTTTTTTTGGCTGCACCAGAAAGAAAAGCATAAACTGGTACCAATGTAGACAGGGCTCAAATCGGCTTTAATTTTATCAAAGCGAAAATTGGTTTTTATTACAACTAGAGCATAATTTTTATAATTGTACCCCTAGGATTCTTTTATTATATATCTGTTAGCTAAACATCTTTGGATGTAATTAGAAAAACTACCCTAGAGGTGTAATTATAAAAACTGCACCCTAAGGGTGTGAGTATCATAATTACACTTCTGTGGTCGACTCCTACAAAAGGACCACACTTCTGTGATTACACCCTAGTGCTATACACCTTTCCAAAAATCGCTCCTAGGCCGCCGCCATGTTGCTGATGCTGATGCGGCTGGTGCAACTCTCGCGCCCTCTATCAGCTAGAAATTTTCTGCCACTCTCTGGGACTGTGAAGACCCGCTCAGTGAGGTTCTCTACCTGTGTTTTTGCGGTTTTGCATTCGACGTTTTCTCGCTCCTCTTAAAAGTTTCCACTTAATTTTTTTATGCGTGCTGCGTACCGCTTCTGTGTTATCTACTATTGTGAGAAATAAGGCTGGTAAGTGCCTGCCATTCAAGCTTTTCTGCTCGACATTCACGGGAAACGAAGGAGGTGAAGGACGTCGAACGACCCTCGACGCGATTTTGCGAACATTGTTCTCCCTCCTTCCAGAGATAATCCGCGTAGAATCCTCAGTCATCTCCAAAAATAGTTATCCGGGTTGGGGTGAAAAACGGGTCAGTCACGTTTGTTTCTTTGCCTTGGTGCGGTTGTGAAAAAAGGAAGCTGTCCCCGAAACGTGCCCCAAAACGAAGTCATCTCGAATTCCGTCCGATCGTCAAGATGTGACTGTCATCCACTGTGACTGTGTTATTTGAGATCTTTCTCAAATAAATTCTTTTCGGATAACGCTGCATTGTGTGGTACGTACGATATATTGTTCGAATGTTAACACTTCCTCAATTGTATGTCTGTGGCCTGTCCATCGTTAAACACATTATTTGTGAGCGTGAAAAATGCGTGCCTTTCGGTCCTCTTCTGTTGCAATTTATTTTTGACAGCAAAGCGCTTTGTCGTTTCACATGCGGCGAATCCCGCGGCGCCGTCAAAACTTATCGTAAGAAAAGAAAAAAAATAACTAGAACTATTAATTCCAGTCGCATTCGTTCTGTCGCGCGCTTACCCAACAAAAATAGTTTACAGGTTTTTTTTTTGGTTTTTTTTTTGCTTTTTTTTTGCTTTTTTTTTTTTTTTAAATTGTGGCACAATGTTTTCTCAATGTCCTCAGGAAAATACATGTACCATGAAACACAAAATATAGCAGGAAAAAACTAGAATTTCGCCGCCAGCAGCGTTTGAAACTGCGCCTATGCAGGCTGCGCCTATTGAAATCACAGTCCACTCGGTTAGGGTTAGGAGGGACGCCGGTGAGAGTCTAGCCTCAGACTCAGTGACTGGGCTCGAAAACGGTTTGTTGCCTTTTGGGGTCAAGTGTTTTTTGGAAGGGTGTATAGTCGGAGGAGTAGCTTTTTATATTACAAACTTGTTCAGCACGTCCCAGGGGCCACTTCTAAAACTCTAATAGTGAAAATGGGTAGACGATGCAACAATAATGCATTTTGAATTGTTTTGTTTTACTGGCTGGTGAACTCGTAAGGATATTTCAGAACTTCGTAGTAACACAGATGGATAGCACGACGTTTAATAATATCTTTCGAGAGAAACAAGGCATGCCAATATATTCCAGTTAACTTCTTCTATTTGTGAGAGGCAAGCCTTTGTTAAAGAGGGGTTGAATTGAGAATGCAGTGAGAATAGCATGCTGCACAGTGGGCTGTGAGGACACACCTTATTGGAAAACTATAAAGCACACCTCTGGCAGGCATGAGTTTGTTATCGTAGTCTAAAGGAAGAAACGGCCCCGAAAGGAAAGGATGCCAAACAGGAAAGCTGATTAGCAAATCCGACAAACACAGAAGGAAGTGAAGTGGGAACGGAACACAAAAATAATGATTTTGGACAAAATTTTTTATTTTTTTTTCCATTTGTATGGTAATAGAGCACGGACTTAATTTTCATATATTAAACGTGTCTGATTTCTGTTTTGTCGCTCTCTGTTGCAGGAAAAAGCGTGGCCGGGGTGGGCGTGTTTACGGCAGATCTGGCATCCTGGTGCAAGGTCGTAACTGGTCGCACATCGGAAAGCCAGGTGCTCTCAACAGATTACACCCCTAGCACGACTTTTACATAAGTGCAATCTTCAAGAGTCGACATTCTAAAGGTGTAACTTTGGTAATTGCACCCTCGGGGTGCAGCCTGTGTATTTCCACCCTGGGAGTGTAATTGCCGAAATGGAACCGTAGAGGCTCAATAACTATAGTCTGTTGCAACTCAAGAAGGTAGGGCAAGGGAAAGGAAAGCCGTGGAGGATGAAGCAGATGGAACGCTGGGGAGGAGAGGGGGAAACCTCCTCCTCTCTTTAGCGGTCTGCCTGCTTCCTCCTCCCCGGCTTTCCCACGCCCTACCTTCTTGAGTTGCAACGGACGATAGCTTTCTTCTGGGTGTACATATATAAAAATGAGTCGTCACAATTTTTTTTTCTTTATTAAATAGAGGTCTATTTGATTAAGACTTGAGGCAAATTTGCTTTAACATACCTTAGCTCAAAAGTGTTAGCTGCTTTGATTAAAGTAGAAGTTTGGGCTAGTTGGTATTTCATGATTAAAGATTAAAACAGCGCAGGGACACGGACAAGAACAAGAAGGTAGACAAACAAGGCGCTGACTTACAACTGAAGTTTATTCGTTCTAACAGCGAGTATAAATACTGTATTGTCACAACAAACAAACATGAATAAAAAGCTTGACCTGGATGCCACGTGCTCACTAGCCATCGCTATGCACTGTCACTGTTTGTCTAAATAGGAGCGTTCCTTATCTGACAAAGATAGTGACGGAATGCTGACACAGTTTTGCCCCAATCTTCCAATTTCCCGCGCCTCAATGATTTCCCGAGTGAGTTTGTCTTTATTTTTCCTAATCACTTCACATTTGTCAAAGACGGGAGCGCAGCAACAGTCTCGGCAGTGCAGGCCAAGATGACCTGACACAACTCTAAACACGTTATACTTGTGCTCCCGCAGCCGATCATTGAGGCCTCGCCCCGTTTGCCCGACGTATCTCCTGCCGCACGAGAGGGGAATAGAGTACACTACTCCCTCCACACAGTCTACGAATTGGTCCTTGTGTTTTTTGGTGCAACCCTGCTTTTCTTTAGGACAGGAGTTCACTTTTCTGCATAGCCCAGATAGCTTCTCTGGAGCCGAAAAAACCACATCAACTCCAACCCTACGGCCAACTTTCTTAAGATTGTGAGATATCTTATGGAGGTATGGTAAAACAGTTACTTTTTTGTTAACCCTACGAGCCTGCTGGGTAGTTTCCTCGCGTCCTTTCTTAAGTAAGCTCTCAGCAACTGTCGTCAACAGGTAAGACGGATATCCCGCATGTCTGAGCCTTGCCGCTTGTGTGTCGAAGCTTTCTTTCACCCTGTGGGGGCAGGACTTAAACAGGGCATTTCTAAAACAGAGGTTAACAATTCCTCTTTTCACAAGTTTGGAATGCGCTGACGAAAAAGGCAAGATGGGTTTCTTTGCTCTTGGCTCATATATCCAGCACACATGGCCATGACCAAGTTGCAGGCTCAGGTCCAGAAACCTAATGGCCCCATTTACAGGTACTTCATACGTCAGCACCAGCGGTTTCAGACACTCTTTGAACGTTTACAGGACAAACGACACAGCCGAATCAAATTCCTCATTGTCACAATCTAGAAGCACCAAATAGTCGTCTACGAATCTAAAAATTTTCCCCACCTTGGTTCCTTCTAGCTTGCCTGACAGGACTTTATCGTGGAACGCAAGAAATATATCGCTTAGTACTGGGGCTATACACGACCCTATGCACACGCCATTTCTCTGAATAAAAACACCGTCATTCCAGATCGCGAACGTCGACTTGAGATAAAAAGATAAAAGTTCTAGAAAGTGACTCACACTTGTTCTTGTCCGTGTCCCTGCGCTGTTTTAATCTTTAGCTGCTTTGTTTTTGTTATTTTAGCCCATCAAGGTAAAGCTAACAATTTTTTTACCTATAACCAGAGCAGCACGGGTGCAGCGTTATATTGCACGTCAAGTTTGTAGTGTTTAGGGGCCTTGTGGTGCTGTAATGCCCCGGTAACGTGGACATCTCTATTCCCCCCAAGAATTGTTTCTAGTGTGAGATGTTCATAATGAGGCAAAAGTGCATGTACTTGCCCAGTTCTTCCCTGAAAATGTTGTTTGTATAGCAGGGTATTCATATTATTGGAGGTCGTATTAACGAGATGTGATTGTACAAGTGCCTCTCTCGCTCGTAGCTCAGTTGTACCTGTGTTGGTGGTTTTAATGTGGTTTCGTTTGCGCTTCACCGCAGGCATAAGCATGGAACTGGTGGAGACAAGGGGCGAAGTGCATCACTTTACCTTCGAGCACAGCAAAGCTTACCAGGCCATCCAGTTCCAGTTCCTGGATGCCGTCGAGACCTTCAACCCAGACAACATTGTGGTGCGTCTCCCTTTGTGCCTCCCACGCTCGGCAGAGTCGTGCAGCTTAGAGGTCTCAAGCCTGTACAGTCCTTCATTCAGTAACGTGATTGCTGCACCCTTTGCGCCTGCCGTAAGATCCCGTCTGAGCGGCCATCCACGGTGAAGAGACAGGTGGTAAAAAATGTTGGGTGGGCTATTTTTGGAGATGAGATAGAAGAAGTTTATTAGAAAATGAGATGAAGCATGACAGTACCCGCTATTAACCACATGACATGGGAACGGATGTCAACAATCGTGGACGCAACAAATTTGCCTCCCACGATGCGATGAACTTGCAAGAACCCACTACGAACTCGCGTGTCGTGGAAACCGATATCGCACGCACAGATCGTGGACATGTCAGGCTCTAGTTTCATGGCGCAATAAACACGCAGGAACTAGCTACAAACTTGGTTGTCGCACATACCAAAACTCCAGATCGTGTAGTTAATTTGATTGCCATTAGACATCGCATAAGTTTAGGAGAAAATCGGGGGTGCATGATGTTTTGAAACTTTTATCTTTAGATATTTAGTTCTAAAAATGGGTGGGAAATTTATCAAGGGAGCATACTCATACAGGATTTTATAGTAGCTTTAACTTATGTGGTTACCTTGCTACATCCTGGTACTTTTCAGCAAAATGTGAGGAATTTGTATTGCACCTAAAGTTAATCTCACTACATCAATACGGAAATGGAAATCTTGGGCGTTGCTGCACCGCCAGGTTCATTAGGGTAACTATTTTCAAAACTTTTTATTAGAATAACGTTAGTTTTGATCTTTGCATCAAATACGATGCTGTTAACCCCTTAAGTGCCACTTTTTTTTTTTTTTTTTTTTTTAGGTAACCTCATAATGCCAAATATTTTTTTTTTATTGAGGAATTTTATTTTGTTAGCATCACAGATACAATTTCGATTTATTACGCAAAAATCAGTGGTGGTGACAAAAGAAAGGCTCCAACTAAAGTGAGTGCTGCCATCTATGATCAGCGCTGCAGACCGCTCGGACAAGCCTAGCTCGTCCATGGAATTGAGGGCTACCGAAAAGACCACTGGACGAGCTGAGCTTGTCAATGGCATTTTTAACCAGAAAGTGGCCGACTAGCTCGGCTCGTCCAAGGCACTTAAAGTGTTAATGCGCTCTAATTCAGGCACCAAATTTGCTGCCATTCATTGATTTTTGAACCGGCCAGTTTTATTTGCGGCTGAATTGTGCTCGCATTTTGGCTTGTGATATATCTGACAGTGGAGCCAAACCAGGGTGTTTATAAGAACTCGTTTGTTGCGGGTCGGCTGCACTTCTTCTTTTGACCGGTTTCTCTTCCGCTGTTGTCTCTTTATGCAGGCCCTACTGAACATACACCCGCTGCATGTGGACTCTCTGATTCAGTTCAGCGACGTCTGCAAGATGGGCGAAGACCTACAGATGGCCGCCGAGCTCATTGGTGATACAATCACTTCGGGAATCAAGGAGAAATGCTTGTCTTTATACTGCTTTCTCTAGGAGAATCAAACAGATGTGTTAGCTGTTGTCCCTAAGTCTTGGCTGGATTTCATCTGAGCCCTTGTAAAATTGCCAGAGGGCTGTTTAGTATCATTGTGGCAATGTTTAGTAACTTCTAGGTTTTTGTTTGAGAGGTTGCGATGTGCTAACTGTACGAGGAAAAACTTAAGGTGCCGGAAATTCTTGTGGTGCACATATTGCTTTTCACTGCTAGCAGATTTCATTGATGACGGAGGAAGGTGGAGGGTTAATTAAATAAACGGTAACGGCAGTCGTTTGCGGGGGAAAAAGTGTGATTTTGTCCGGGTGGGACTGACAGTTATTATTATTATTTTTATTTGACAATACTATCAGTCCTCACAACGTGGACCAGAAAATCCTCCAGCCCTTACATTTTCACTCACCGCTATGAAGTTAAAAAGTTCAGGTTGCTTGTCCCATTTTATGGAGTCTGGCGTAGGCACCCCCACTCGCATGGGCTCTCGTCTTTCTGCCGAACCCGCACGCTGCTCAACCTTCCTTCTTTTTAAGTGCCATCAATCGTGAGAGTATGAACCCCACATTCTGGAAAGGGTTCACATTATCGTCGACGGCGATCCAAGTTACCCGACCCGTTTGCCCGCAGAGCGTGCCCTCTACTGCCTGGAAAGCTGCTTCCACCCGCTGTTTAACGTGACCCAAGGCACGGGTCGTCTAGACTACCGGCGCCCAGAGAACCGCTCTCTCTTCCTCGCGCTCTTTAAACACCTTCACTTCGTCGGCCAGAGGGGCTGCCCCAGGACTGCCCTCGAGTTCTGCAAGTTGCTCCTCGGGTGAGAGGTTACCCACATCCGTAGCCTTGTTGCCCGTTCATTGCTATGTTTATTGTGATGTAATGGTGTCACATGCAGTCGCATTGCAAAGTCGCATCGTGGTATCCCGTGGCATAAGGGCATCTTATGCCGTGAAATTGCGATGTCAGCTCACGATGTCACTTGATGTCACGTGACGTCATCTGATGTCACGGTGTCACCTGACATCTCGTGACATTGTAGAAATTGTTTCCTCTAAACTTAGTGGAGAAAGATTTAGGCAACGCATTACGGGACGCCGTGATGATGTCATGTCATGACTTACACAAAGCTTACCCCAAGAGCCACTGGGAAACCTCACCGATAATGGCTATCGCCATAGGAAAGGAAGGAATTGAAAAGGAAGCTGGGTACTTATTTTCTCGGCATTTGTAATGGTAACAGTTGTCCTTGGCGCGTGGTTTCCTTCAGGTACTCCGCGTGAAGCAATACGAACGTGACATGGACACCTTTGTGCGTTTGTGACTTGCTCTTCATTTTGTTATCTGGATGGGTAGGTTCCACCAGACAAATAATTTTGGCAAGAGCCTTTCGTCTTTTTTTGTTTGTGTATGTGATAAGAACAAAAATTGGCGATCACATGTTTTTGTGAACTGCGTCGCACTTCGTATTCAAATGTTTGGATGAGCTGGGTTGTTGCATAGACGTTTAGAGTATGAATAGCGCGAAGGAAAAAGTAGAAAGGATGAGCGCACACTTGCAGCTTATGTTTTAGTGTGCAAACCTAAATGACGACAAAAAGAAGAGAGGGGTAATATATTGTATAATAAGAAAGAGATCTTTTCACAACAGAACTGGAGTGCTGACTTGGTGTCCATGAACAATATAAGGCAAAATATGTGGTGGTGGGCTACTACCTTGGCACATTTATTTCATCAGTTTAAGGCAATAAACTGAATTTTTGCGTTTTTCAACATGTCGACAAAACATAACTGTATGAACGTGAGGCTAGCTGCACTGCGGAAGGCGAGACTAAATTACAGGGCCCTGTTTTGAAACTCTTTTTAATGCAGTAAAACTGGTAACCTGACTGGGATCCCAGACAAGCGACTAACTCATCCGCTAGACTAACCTATCTTTAGGATCCCGTGTTTTCGGAATTTATTAGGGGCGAAGCTTTTTAGGGTCTAGCCTTGTCCGTCCGGCGTCCGGGCTCACATCAATCTTGCTGGTGCTCGTGCTGGTGCTCGTTCTCGTGAGCTCACGTGCTCGTGTAAAAAAGAAAAAGAAAAAAAAAAAAGAAAAAAAAAGATGTTTGCGCAGTCAACAGGATTTGAACCTGTGCGGGGAGACCCCAATGGATTTTTAGTTCATCGCCTTAGCCACTCGGTCACGACTGCGGAACGAGTAGGGGGCTCTGAGATGTGGTAGTAACTCGAGAGCTGGGGAAGGTCATTAATGAAACGTTGCATGTAGCCACTCAACGTCTTTACAGGAGAGAGCGCTGTGGTCAAATGCGTATATAATCGCGTTAAACTTTGCATGCATTGCCTCGACGTCTATAGACGAGAGGGCCTTGCGGTCAAATGCTCAAATGCGTTTATAACCACATGCCATACCACACATTCTCTTTCTGACATGGATGAAAACGAACGAAAGGCTCGGCATGCTGCGGCTCAGCGTCTACGCAGACAAGCACTACCAGAGCTTCGCCCCAATCAACATCATTCACCACGTAAAGATGCGGTCAATTTTTTTTTTATGAAATTCGGAAAATGTTTTTTGGAGTTTAGTTTTCACTAAAAAATCCAGATTTATTTGAGTTTTTTTTTTTTTAGTGCCATTTTTTTATTGAAAGTTTAATTTTATTGTGATTCTAATTCTTCATTGAAAAAATAAAAATAAAGAATATCCGGACACAAACGTACCCTTACCGCATAAAAACTCACGTTTGTCGAATGATGTCTCTGCGGCTGCATTTGGCATTGGCACCCTTGCCATTGGCAATACTTAGTGTCCCATGACAAATCTTGCAAAAAAGTATTGTTTCAATTAACGTCAATACTTTGAAATAGCCAAACACCAGTGGACGTAGTCGATGGGAAGCATAAAAGCTCCCCAGCTGCATTGCCCCCTGCTATGGAATCTACAGGTTTGTAGCTTTCACTTTTATGAAAACACAACCCCTCCTCCCTGGTGGTCCCTGTAAGAAGCAGAAGTAGCATGCTACAAACTGGAAGCCGAAACCCTGTCCAACAGAGACCTTTGTCTTGCGACCTGGAAGTACAACGACCCGTTGGTCTGAACGAACCTTGAGGAAATACGGTAAACCCTTTTTCTCGACAGTTCGAAATTTCAAAAGGACCACCGACCCTGTGCTCACAAAAAACCTATTCATAAAACACCATCTTCTTTGCTTTTTATTGCTTTTTTTATTCGGCCATCGTGACCTCACAATTTGGAGTTTTTCGGACAAATCTGAATTGACGAAAATTTGAGCGGCAAATGTTTTTCTGAGTTCTTCGGATATATCCGGAAACAAGGAACCCTGCCCGTCTCGTAACGTCCCAGGCTAGACCCAGAGAACGACCCGCTGTGCGCCACCCTGATGCTGGACTACTTTGCACTGCGGGCAGACCAGTATCAGTACCTGGTACGCCTGTACCAGGAGTGGGAGCCCTCCCGGAATCTGTCCCAGCTGCCCAACTTCGCCTTCTCGGTGCCCCTGGCCCTCTTCCAGCTGGCCAGGGCGCAGAGGGACCACCAGGGCGGCGCCACGGGGGCGCACGCGGACCGCCACGCCGGCACTCCCGTGTCGGAAGAAGACGCAGACCGCATGGTGAGGATGGAGTGCACACTTTTTAGGATGGGCAAGAGGAAGCATCAAGCGTCACGGTCCTCAGATAAACTACTTACTTGTCTATCGTGCGAATATTCAAACTTTCGAACAACACGCTATTTCATATTGTCGCGAATGGAAAAGGATAGACAAATGTAGAACTAAAAATCAAGGTTTAATCGGTGAACTTGCGCCAGAAACAAAGGTAAGAATGAGCGTTGACAAAGCAGAAGCCACCTTCGCAGCATTGGCGTGACTGCTGGCTTGAGTGAGGCTGCGATAGAGTGAGTGAGTCGGCAAGGCCGCACTGGCCTTCTATCTATTATCCTTGGTATCTGGAACATTCGCTCTAGAATGTTCGAGCGTCGAACACTTCGGAGACTGACTCGGCAAGGTCATGTTGGCCTCCTTATCTATTAAACTCGTGGTAAGAGTAAATCGAATCTTGTAGAAGTACAAAGAAGCGTTTACATTCGACCATGCAAACAATAATATTTGCTTGCAATGGCAATATTTAAAGTTTGGATCGCGACGGGCTAGCCCTTGAGAGTGTGCTTCTTACCAAGCACTGGTGCACTGCAGAGAAGGAACACCCATGGAGCTCACTTCCGTGGGTGTCGCTTCTTTGCAGGGCACTGGTGCTCAGTAAGAAGCATGCTTAACGGTGCCAACCCGTCGTGGTCAGCACTTGGAAAAGTACAAATATTGCACACATGCTTAGGGGAAAAGCACTCCTTCAAAGTGGGATGCAGCACACACCCAGTGTATTTAAAAAAAAAGTAGCAGAAGCTTTATAAATGTCAATATCTACATTGTTTTAAAATTTTCAAAATTAAACTGTGGCTATTATGCGGTAGTATATTAGACAGAAATTGCATACAGAAGAAAATTTATAAATCTCCGTGATTATGTGTAGCTGGGCATCTGCATAGGTTTAATTTTATGTCAAATGTGTCGTTTACTTGCCATGCCAATGTAAGCATTGAACTTTCTGAGGGTGCAGTCCATAAGTAACACTAGTAGATTAAAATTAAATTAGCTCAGAAATTAATAAGTGAAAGCTTGGGAACAACCTTCATGAGTTCAGCTGGGCTTTCGTTAAGCATGGTACAATAGCAAAAGGCTTTCAGAAACTATTCACTTCAAATTCACTTCAAACTCAAAAGGCACTATTCGCACATGCCAAGCCTTTGTCACCACAACGGGTGCTGGTCCATGTGGGAGTAAAAGAAAAAGTGAAAAAACAAAACAAAAGGTGTGAAAAAAATTCTTGAGAATTCTTTTTTTTTAAGCAGATGTGGTACACTTTAATGCGACTTTCTTTAAATTATTCCTAGCACGCACATGTTCAAAGTAAATTTTGTGGTGTCTTGATTCGAAAAGAGCTTCATTTTGTATAGTTGCGCCTCATTCGGGACTTTTTTGTTTGTGGTATCAGCAGCCACTGCAGGTGACAGACTTTTTCTTATTTTTTTTTTAATACTGATGCCGCTGGGTTTTTGTGTTGGCAGCTGCAAGACTCCCTGATAATGTTCCCGGGCGTGCTGACTCCGCTACTCGACAAATGTGGCATCCAGCCGGACGCCGAAGTGAGCAAGCACCACTTCTTTGGGCTTGCAGCGCAGGCACAGTGAGTCGGGACCCCTCCTCATTCCTACGCCTCTGCCGTCTGCGACCAAATGGTGATGTCATGACAATAATAACCCCTGGAGAAGGGGAACAGAGAGGACGAAGGACAAATGCAAAACTCCAAAGACAGCTTGGTGGCTGGTGCGCGACCGAAAAAATCCGCCTGGTTCTGGTATCGAACCAAGGACCTCTCCATATTTCGGTTGTGCTTTTGATCAGGGGCATGGTTGGGGCATTGTTCCGATGCCGGGACACCCGCCGAAGGTTTTGGCTATTCGCTGTCTCTTTTTTCTACGTACTCCGTTCCTTTAATGTGTTGTTTCATGATCAGGGCCATTGTTTTAAGCTCTTCATTTGCACATAAACTAGCCTGTACACCTTAAATCTTCGATGGTCGAGGTTTTTTTCCCTAAAAGATGTTTCCCAGTGGTCGAGTTTTGTGTCGAAAAGAATGGTGTAAAGAAACGATCAATGTGCAGGTTTTTTTCTAGGTTGCTTGCAAGTTGTTGAGGTTTAGAAGCATAGATTGGAAATATTGCGGGAAAGTAGCTCTCGCCTTTCCTCCATGCGAGTTTATTTTTGGCAAGCCCGCTTTTGCGACATTCCGGCAGTCTCAAATTCTGAATCGGAGGTGTTTTTGCGGAGCTTCTTGATAGAATTAGTATCTCTCGCCCTCTCAATTCAATTCTGAAAAACGTTAAAAGAAAGAGCCGAAGCTCCAGGTGCCACTACCGCCGGAGCAGTCGACCTGTGAAGAGACCATCTCGCGTGTTTCACCTGCGCAAAGCATCTAATTTCAAAACTCATAAGCAGCCCCAGCAAAAGCGAAACACCATGCGAACGTTTCTCGTTTGCCAGAGACTTAACAAATTGCAACACCTCCCATGGTGCATGCCACTCTGCGTTTAAGCGGGCACTTCCAAACGTGCAATTACCGCCGTACATGTACGTCAACGACCGTCGAAGAGTTGAGAATGTTTTTCGAGTTTGCTGCAAGAGTAGCGTAAACACTGTGGGGTGAACTCGAGCCGTTATTCGCCGTCTCGTCTCCGGCGCAACGCCGTACCGTTGCACGGTCGCGGAAAATAGCTTTTGCCGCTAAGGACTCCGGCAGTTTTCTGCGACCCTGTTCTTGACCAACGAGGCTGGGGACGCACTTTGGCGGCTGCGGCGATGGCACCTGGCAATCTGGAAGAGTTCTTAGCGGCAGTCTAGTGGGACTGCCGTCGCTCGCACGAGGTGACGCGTGTGCATGCTGTTTGGACGCAGGCAGTCCCCCGCCCTGAGCCAGTTGGTGTCCCTGTTTGTTGGGCGCCATTTTGGGCTCTGGAAGGAGCCCGAGGTGCTCGCCTGGCTGGAGCGCAACGTCCGCGTGGTCCTGCAGAGGGTCGACCGGGGGGACCCCCTGGTGGCAGACTCTGAGGCCAAGTGAGTTTTCAACCGCGGACAGAGGGAGAACATTTTTGGTTGCTGGCTTTGTAATTTTTTATGAACAAATTTTTTGTTAATTTGCATCATTGAAGTAAACTTGTTAGATCATTGTTAAATAGCAAGTTTTTTTTATTAGAGTTATTTTTTTATTAAAGTTCATTTGTTATTTAACACTTTTATGTTAGTTTGTGTTACTAGGTTAATTTTCTTAATTGTTAATGAACAAGTTTATGTTTCCTTTAGAGTAAATTTGTTATTAGTGAAGTAAATTTGTTCATGATTACTTATCCTGTATTTTTTTTGTTAATAATGAAGTAAGTTGTTCATTATTTTTTAATTAACAGAGTTTTGTTAGTTTCTGTTATTAGAGGAAACCTGTTATTAAATTAGACTTGGTAAATTGTTAATTAACACATTTAAAACTTAACTAACAAATTTAAATTTTGTTATGAACACATCTTAATTTTCAATTAACAGATTTCTTAAATGGCCAGCCCCAGTATACAGGTGCACGAGTTAGGTGTGCATTTCCTCGGTCCAGTGCTGAAGCTCTAAACGTCGGTTTTTCTCTGGCGTCGTTCGGTTGGCCAGGAGGAAGAGGCGCTACCAGGGTGCCACCCCTCGCAACATCTCCCGGCACATTCTCCTCTCCAACATCAAGGAAGCTAATCTCACCTTGCCACAGGTGAGACCGTCCCTTGCACTCGATTTTCCGCCAGAAGATTTCGCAACTTTCCAGCACCTATCACCTAGAAAAAAGGAAAAAAAAGCCTAACACAACAAGCCTCGAAAGCTTCCTTGTGAAGTACAAAGCACCTACAAAACAAACTGATATAACTGAGTTCTTTACTGCTATGTAAGTGATCTTTTAATAGTTGTGGTGTTTGATTTTGGACTAATAAGCATCTTATACATTTCCACTCCTTTCTAAAGCTTCAATAACAGGTTTTCTGAGATGCTTCCGGTATAGTAAAACCCCTGATATAGTAAAATTACTCCCCGGTCGGGACAGGTTTACTATAAATAAGTTCTACTGGATTTCCTGCTGTATTTTGTATTTTTATTTAGAAACAATTCGCTAAAAACAACCTTCCCATTATCTATTTAAATAAAAAATGGAAGGTCTTCTGGATGCTTAAGAATTGTTTACCGAAGCAGTCTCGCAAGAACGCCAGGAGTGCTTGTTTGTTCCAGATGCCAAGCATCTTATCTGACCTCAATTTTAACTTTATAGCAGTCCTGACTATTTGTAGACAGTGTGAAATTCTGTCCTCTATACCCGCCAAAAATGTATTTTCTTCCTAACTCCCAAAAAAGCTGTCAGGATGATAGCACTATGAGTAGCGAACACATTCTTTCAAATAGTACTATACAAGATGACCCAAAGATGGTTGAATAATGGCATCTCGTCTCTCATAAGATATACGAAACCAGTAATGAAGCAGTGCAATTGTGTATACATGTGTGTAGAATATGTGCCCACTCAGAGGCAAGCGTCCAGGACGTATCCATAAGGAAGAGGGGGTTGACGGGAAAGATGATCCTCAGGACAGTGTCGCTCATCCTTTCAGGACCTCGCCAATGCCCCCATCTTCGGCTTCGACCCACTGCCCCCCGTCGACAACATTGTGAGCTACACCAGGCCTCCCAGGTGGGAATCTGGAATGGGGCAATCGCCCTACCTTTGGGGACAGTGTTCTCCAAAAATGAGGATTTTGGTGACACCCTTTCTTGCGTCGAATGATGGTTCCGATGCTCTTGGCTGTCAGTCTGTCAGCACCAAGGATACAAAGACTAACGTATATCAACGGGCCAGTTCTCAACCTTGTTACAATTCTTTTTTCTTTTACATTGGGCTTTTTTTTTTTTTTTGTTGGCAGTAACACTTTTTGGCACCTGTGATGTTGTGTTTTTTTTTCGTTGTCGTTTGTAAATGCATTTTTTTTTTGTTTTTTTTTTTTTAGCATTGCAGGATTTTTATTCTGTTCACATATTTTGGATATTCTCAAGCAAATTAAACCTTACATAGTCGGTCTCATGACTATGACATATGTGAGCAGTGTCCCCCTAGCCGGTTAGGAGACTATGGGACGTGTGAGCTGCCCCAAAATAGGTTGTGTTGACGAGGCTCATGGATTGGTCCACTTGTGTTTCGTTCGTGGCAGGACTGTGCAGGTGACTGACCAGAGCATGGTGAGCGCTTTCTTTCGGTCCCTGCTGCCCAGCTTCAACTTGGTGAGTTGTTCCCAGTCCTTCCGACATTGCATCGTCGTTTGGGCCCATGGGTCTCCCTTCCTGCATTTGTAATCATGCAGCCCGTGTCAGTGCCCCCCAAGAACACCATTCTGGTTTCAGTGTCTTTATTATGTGTTTCAGTTTGGGGCAGTACTACCTACACAAAATTAAACTAAAAAAACCATCAGCAAAACAAATTAACATCAGATTGTTGCATTACATTTCCAGTTGCAGTGAAGTATACAGGGTACGCTGAGGCAAACAAAAACCAATAATGGTGGAACACCTGGGGGGAGTATGTTACTCCCGTTTGGCTATTGTTTTTGCTCGATTACCTCGAGTACTTCCAAAGTCTCACCATCAAGTGCTAACTGCAGTACCTCCTACAATTTACTTGTTTGGGATCGACACTCCTTCCCGATCGCTCGAGTGAAAAGAAAGAGCACTTGCCCCTCAAAGAAATGACAAATTTGCCGATGGTGTTGTGGATGCAGACTCAGGACTACCTATTCGACTAGCCTGGTTCATATACCTCAGGACAACTTAAAACCTACAAATTCCTAAACGCGTTCAACTACTTCGTGAACGGCAAGGCATTGATGGTGGGCACCTACCTCTCCCAGGCGCCGAAGAGACGCGTTGAGTTTCCCCGCGGGAGTCGCCGAGTCGGGTCTTGCCAGAATTGCTTGCTAATGAACCAAGAGTCGTCGCGCACCCACCCACACACAAGATGAACATGGGAGAACCGGAAGTATTTCTGTCCCCCTGTCATGGCAGCCAGAAGTGGCCCGCGCACCCTGTATACATCTTTTTTTTGTAAAGGTGTTTATTGTATTATGTTAAAGATTTTGCTCTCTTTCTATCTTTCAATGGAATGTCTTTATTGCAAGTAAAAGTTTCATTGTACCGCAAGGAAAACTTACCGCAGTACTTCATTTAAAGTCTGTTGACAGGAATGTGCGGTTTGGAATTGTTTCATCTGTCTTGCCCGTGTGCCTTTAGGGGTCAGTGCCACCGTCAGTCATGGGACTACCCGATCACGTGATGTCACCAATCGTGTTGTAATATCCAGCGCTGTCACAGTTATATGACGCAGTGTCACATGATGTTGACGCAGTGTCACATGATGTGTTCACAGTGTCACGTTGCGATGTTATGTCACATTATATGACCTAAATTTAGTGGGAGAACTTGCCAGAGTTCAAGACATACATAAGCCGTGTCAGTCGAGTTTCCCTGCCAGATTTAGCGGGAAAACTTCCCGCCAAGTATACGTCACGTGACTTGACCTTGTTATCACGTTTTGCGACAGCTTTTCGTGATGCCCTACACTTAGAAACCAGCTCTAAAATTTATTCCGCATTAAAATTGATCAAATGAGCTAGAGTGGAAGGAGAATAAGCTACTCTAGCACTTGCATTAATTCTTCAGCCCAGGGAAGTGGTTGGCATTGCGGTGGACGACCGGCTAGTTCCTGGCAACGACGACGGTGACCTCCAGCACGAAGACATCGGCGGTGCCGCCGGCGCAGCCAACGACGGGGCGCCCCACGTGGTGGATGCGGGCGACCTCCGCCGCAGCGTCACCTCCCTGCTCGAGGCGATGCGCGATCTCCTCAACAACATCCACCTACCGTCGGACGCGCCCAACGACGGAGACATGGACAGCGACGACGAGCACGAGGACTGAGGCGCGAGGGTGCTTCGTGACGTGGAGGAACGCGACGCGGAAGCCCTCGCGTTTGAGCACACTCCGAAGGGACCCGGTCCCGGCGCGGCGTGTTCCTCGTCGTTGTTTCTGCTGCTCCCAAGTTCTTTGCGTTTGTGGAACGTCCTCTCTTTCCCGGTGACGCCACCCGCACCGACCAGGACATTCCGCCGAACCCGGCGCCACATGGAGACTGAGATGCGGAACTTGGTTGCTCCCACCCACTAAGCGTGTTTGTCATGGCTCTGAGGTGTTGCTAGTCGACTAAGGAGAACTTGAATGGGTCCCGTGTCTTCGGTCGTGTTTTTGGCCGTGTCTTTGCCTGGGGCTTCAGCCGTGTCTGGACGTGGCTTCGGCCGTGTCTTAGGGTTGGTGTCAGTCTGAGGGGAGCGAGGAAGGTGGCGTGGCATTATATTTCACCATGTCGCGTTGATCTGTACCGCCACGTTTAACCGCGTCGATTGGTCGGTTGAGTACAAATTGACCCGCCTTTTCTTCTCCGATTGGTGGAGGAGGCCGACATTGATATTATGCAACACGCCAGGATGTGTGCTTTAAAAATATAATAATCTGTTTGTGCACGCCGACGAGAGCGCTGTACGGCTCCTCGGCCATTGTTTTTGGAATGACTTTGTTATGCAGGCAGTGCCGGTAAGCTTTTAACTTTTTGGAAGGAAGCCGCCTCTCCATTTGCTGGCATGGTGGGATGGAATTCCACAACCAGAGAATGGCATACTCAAGATCTTCATCAGAACCCGAAACGAGAGAAGCCTTATAACGCTCGCCGTTTTATTTTCTCTGCCCGTTGAATGTGTTATTGTGCAATATATACCTACGTCTTTGCGCATTTCAATGCTTTGTTTCGGTTACGAGAGTGTACTGTGGACCATTAGTCGCTCGTTGTCCCAAAAAATTTAAAAAGAAGTAGCTCGATCTGTGATCGGCTCGTTTTTTAAGACTGCTATTACCGAGCCACGCTGGGATAACAGCGCGTGCCTTGCACCGATCAACAGTTTGCATTTTTCGTGGTGCCTGCAGCATTTGTCTCGCATGTGCCGTGCCCGGCATTGTAAGACAAGCTTTCAGGGTGGCCAACCTTGCTGCCATTTCAATGCTTAAGATGGTGAAATGAGGTCAGGTGAGCCGGGCACTGCGAATAGTCACCAAGTCGTCGGGCCATAAGACAGCAGGAGGGAAGGTGTTCATTTTTCAATGTCACTTGAACAGTTTTGATTGCACCACATAGTTTAATCAAACCTTGCCCTTTGGGCAGAGTTGCCCTTTTGTTGTTTTTCCCAAATGTGGATCCGGCTCGAAAGCTGACGGCCATCGCGCATCTCTGTTGTAAGGTTGTCTGTCACTTCATTTTCTTGAAGGAAGCGCCATCTTTTACATACTGCCAAATCTTTGTGAACATGCAGCACGATGCTCCAGAGGCATGGATGTACGTCTCAACAACATTCAAGGAAGGAAGTTGTTTTTTTCACACAACTGTTCTCTGGGTTCTGTTGATCCCAGATATGGCATTAGTCCTTAGATAGGTATGTTAGATCTGGAGCTATTGAAAACAGAAATGTTCAAATAATTTCCTACCGAACCTTGCAGCACACTTTCCCGTAACAGCAACAAACGAAAAGTGGGTGGCCATAATACCAATGACTTCATTTAGCCGGTGATGCCAAGTTTATTGTGTTGAAAGCACGTCATTGCGGTTTGGAAGCCTTCAAATTTTATGTATATTTCTCTAAAATTATGGTTAATTGCATTCCCAAAATTGGGGAAAGTAAAACAAATGGCATCACAGATTATAAATCTATTTGGAATTCATCTAATAATAAAAAGTGTATGATTGTCACCGGAAACTAACGGTGGAAACCTCATCTAAAAGCATGTCGACTTCAGTTCGCTGTACTTACACTTGGACAAGAATTCTTAGACAGTCCTCTGCCCACACACTTTGGATAATAACTTGCGGAGCGAGAGTCTCGTCACGTTTGTTCTTGACTGTATCTGTTCAGCAGAAATATGGCCTGCTGATTGTTGCCCATGTGCTACACGAGCGTATGAGACTCAATGTGCCATTGGCAGGAGCGCTCCGAATGCCTCTGCAAGTTGGGACCCGAGTTGCACGCAATAAATGTTGCTGGTTGCACTGCTCCCGAAACATTGCTGGTCCAGTACTTGTGGCGATCACGCATTCTCTTTTGTGTTTGTTAAAAACCGTGCATATAACATCACGAGCAAGACTAATTATTCTGGCGCAAGAAAGCTGTAATGGATTATGGCAATAAATTGCAGTTCCACATAATCGAGCGAGTCGTGAATTGAAATGTAATTCACCCTTTTCGGCGTGGCTTGTCCAGCTTGAGACTGTTAGGCATTGGGGTAACGAAGAATCAGTCTTAAAATGGTTAGAGTGAGTATCCTCCCCTTTAAGTCGAAAGGTCGATAGCCGCCGCACTGACAAACACAAAAAAACTTTGTTTCTGACAAACATTTTGTGTCGCAACGCAGCAAGAAACTTGTAGGTGTTTTCTTGATAAGTGCGATAACAAGTGTTGTAACTACCGCTGTTACCACCTGAAGTTTAGTTTCTTTTGGCTTGGACCCCGCAGGCAGCTTCGGTGAGCAGTCTAGTACCTATCATGATAATTGTAGTAATAATTGCTGCCCTTGAAGGTTGAAGTGTACTAGAAAGGCTCGTACAGTGACCTATGCCAATAAACCTATAGGGTGACTGAAATAACCAGGCTCGATCTAAAATGGGCTGTAAAAATCGGTGCCTGCACATAGCCATCTGAACTTTTCGCCAAAAGGTGTATTTCACAGGGCAGTTTTTTCGTGTAAAATTACAAAGCGTAGCTCCCTTTCTGTAAAACATAGGGCCAAAAAACTGCCAGGGTCAATGGCGAACGGCGACAAAAGACGACCAAGTCTATTGGTGAGGTGTTTGGCGCACATATTGATGAATGGCGTTGGAAGGTGTAGCCGGCCAACAAAAGAAAGCGGACGACACGTAGACAAAATCCGTCTACAGCAAAACCGCCGTTATTATGCTACCACTTTTTTTTTACTTCAAATTTCAGTATTTTACGAAAAGATTTGTTCATTTTAGTAGACCACAGTCGTCGCAAGCAGTCTCCATAAGGAGGTAGCGCCATCTATCAATGTGTGTGCCAAACTCGTCCCGCCACTCGACTCTCGTCGACGTCGCCGCCCGCCATAGACCCTGGCAAGGTTTTAATGCGAAAGCATTAACTCTCTCACAAAGGGAAGCCAGCGAACGGCACCTAAATTCCAATTGGCTGCGACGCGTCATGTGGCTCCACTGCAACGGCGTTGTCGCTGCTGAGGATCCAGCAGAACTGCTGGTGGGGCAGCGCAAAGGGTAAAAACACGGGAAAAATTTCCCAGCGAGGCTCGTGTACGCAAACTAAATTAATGGCTTTAAAAAGAAAATTTCTTACAATTCTGTCTGGGTGGTAATCGAACTCGGGCCTCCAGAGATGCGAGACGAGCACGCTTCCCTGCCTCCACGGTTCCGGCCGACTAAAGCTGTGCCTAGTGTGTGCGTCATGCTCTCACGTAAGCAGTCTGGAGTGTTCTGCCGAAGTTTTGGACCTATTTTTTCCAAAAAGGAAGCTACGCTTTGTAAATTTCGCATGAAAACATCGACCCGTGAAATACACCTTTGACGAGAAGTTTAGGTTGCTACGTGCAGGCGCCGATTTTTACGGCCCATTTTAGATTGAGCCTGATTATTTCAGTCACCAAAGAAAGGAAAAGAAATGTAAGGAAGGAGCTTCGATGTGTAACAGAGGCATGTTGCAGTGAAAATGAACCACACATGAGCTTAGTGCTACATCTCGGTAGCTCATATTTTCCACCGAAATCGAGAGCTTTCTGATTTTCGCCTGTGCACGCATACGTATGGAGTAATGGACCTCTTGGCGACTGTGCTGCCACCTAGACACGCGACTGGGGTCGAGGCTAAATGGCAAGAAAACAATGCGCGCGCGAGGCCTTTCCCACCTTTGCACTCCCAAAACGTCAGCTACATCCTGTTCACCCATTGAGACGCTGTGACCTAGATACGGCTCCCCCAGACTTGCCTTTGTCCCCATCGTGCGTAATCTTCCGCCCCGAAGTCGACACAACGAAACCATCTTCCCTCTCTGCTCGACCAGAAGGAAGAGAGCGAGGGTACTGGAACCAGTTACTCTCGAACCGATGTTTCTGCAAAAGGTCCATTGCAGCTGAAGGATCACATCCACAACACCGCTACACTTGCAACAACTCTCCTAATGGATAGCCAAATTTCTTCCAAAGTCCGGTAGCTTTTTCTCTGATCACTAACGTGCACTCTTGTGGTTTACAATTTGTTGGAAATCCTAAGCCAAACAGCTCAAGATTTAAACAGATCCTGTGGAAGCCTAGTGGTGCTGAGAAAAGGCCAAACAAAGTGCAAGACAAAGTCGGCAACTCTGTGCGGGCAGAAACTGAGGGAGAGGAGGAGACGAGAGGGGACTTCGGAATGCCGAGCTCTGGTTCAAGCAATTAATGGTATGCAGACGCATATCTCTACTGCACTTGTCGGACACGTTGGAGCTCGAAACGCCGACATTCCAAAGCACGCCGACGTGTCATCGAAGTTAAAAAGCTCTGGAGGCGAGACAACTGAAGGACGTCCTTCTTGCTTTTCTCGTCGTGTATATTATTTTGATCATCATCATCATCATCCTTATTTGCAAAGTGATCAGGGTTGCCAGGTTGGGCTATTAATAGCCAAATTGGGCTACTTTGTCATGCATTTGGCGTCGAAATTTGACTGTTGGCTATGTGACTATTTTTGGGCTACTCCAAATCCTAACGCCGCACTTTTTTTTTTTTTTTTGCTTGGTTTAGATTAGTTGTACAAAAGACACTTCAGCATGGACACAAAGTGACAGTCCACTCTTTCTGGATTCCCGCTTTCAGGGATTTTCTGCGTGAAGATTCGTGGGCGTGATGCCAGAACCTATGAGCTTTACCGTGGTCTAGATTCAGCTCCGACGACATCGCTTTTGTATTAATTGTGGCTTATTTTATTCTTACAAGTTCTTTCTGCTTCCTACTGGCGTCTCTTATTTTCTCGAGTTTCCCACCATCCACCTACAGGAATCACCTCATCCGAGGAATAATGATACTAAAGGCAGCTCAAGACATCCTGCAAAATTTGATGTCGCCCGATAACACAGGCCGTACCGGATATAACAAAGGAAGCTTTTCCGCGAAACATGGAAGTTTCTTAAAGCACAATGAGCCATAACAAAAGACAACAGATTTGGGACATTGAATATTCCGAACGAGGCCAAGATCAATGCGCAGGAGCAGCCCTGTTTCCGTTGCTATCCGAGCTTGCCATCGCGCTCCCGACACTGCCCATGTCGAATACCGCCGTGGAGAGGGTATTCAGTCATGTGTCCCTCACAAAGGCAGGCCTAAGGAAAAACATGTCTTTTCCAACTCTTCAAAACGTCCTCTACGTAAAGCTTGGTAAAGCTTGCTTTCCTTGGGAAGAACGAGTTCTGTAAGGACATCAACCCTACTGAAGAAAGTTTTGCCCGTTTTAACACGGAAATCATGTATGAGGCAGGTAAACCGGGCACGAGCGAGTGCTTCATAACTATGTGACTGCAAAAACGCGTGTGGAAAATTGTTGTACTTTTGTGTTTGAAATAAAAGATCTACGACAGCTTGATATGTATTGAGTGTTTTATTTCACATATCAAGCTGTCGTAGATCTTGCTAGCTGCTCCTAAACCCTAGATATGCAGAGGCAGTGCCTTCGAATTCACCTCGCACATTTGAGCGCACAATTTCTGGGCTCTGCAGAATATGGCTATTTTTGGGCTACATAAATTTCTTGCATTTGGCTACTTTTGGGCTACGCCGTCTGGCTTTTGGCGGTTTCAGTTAAAAACTACCTGGCAACCCTGAAAGTGATGTCAGCAACTTCATCCCGGGTGGCAAGGAGGTTAGAAGTACTAGGAGGGGACACGTTGCAATATTGGTGAAGCCTAGTCATAAAAAGTTTAAACGATTTTGTGCCCAGCGTGACCGCAGATCTGCCTGGTGATTGGTGCGCGTGACATGTCACGTGTGAGATGGATGGTTGATTGTAGAAGGACCCCTTCCAGGCTTGCGCGCGCTCCGTCCGGTAGGTTTTATCAGATCGAAGGCTAGACTGTGGTGTATTCTAGTACCCCATAGCAAGACCAATGCTAGCTACGGTCACGTGATGTGGTCACGTTGGCATGGTAAGTGAGGAGAGTGAGGAGGGAAATGAGAAAGAGGCGAGGCGTCGAGGGAGCACGGCTTGTGGAGGCTACGCGGCCGACGTCATGCCCTCTCCTACCCTTCTATTCTCCATGCCGGGTGGCTTGTAAGATTAAAACAGCCCGGGTGAGGGCCATGCGCTTGTGTGTTTGCTAGCCAGGCACCCAGCTAGGGCACGAGGAAACGACGGCGTAGGGCAGCTGAGGATTTGTTGCCCCTTTGAATTTTTTCAACAATCCTTCCGCAACCTCAGTCAGGCATCCTTGTGGGAAACCTGCCTTCTGCAGGCGCGAAATCTGTAAATTAAAGCTGTCTTGCACAGAATGTTCGCAAGATCGTTTTAGGGCCGCCTCCAAACACGTGCTAGCAATGCCCCTTTTTACTTATTTTGAATGAGCAGACTCGTACGGCAGGATGGGTTCGTACGTCCAACATATGTGCGAGTGCGCTTCGTTACGAGTGCACCTCGTCTTGTTTACTCTCCTCTTTAGCCTGTCGTTTTTTTTTTTTTTTTTTTTTTTTTGGCGTTTTATATTTTGATTTGTAGATGGGGGAGCCTGTCAGGCAAGTTGAAAGGGCAGTCGAACGACTGCTGCTGATGCGCATCGCAGCACTTTTGGTCAAGGAGACCCTGAAAAGGGGGGCTAGTGCACACTAGCTCGGACTCCTCGGAGCAAGTGGAGCGAAAGCTCGCGCTGCAGAGCTGGGAGACAAGTCGCCTGAACACCTTACATCACATAATCACCATCACTAGACGCTGCAACGCGGGCCTCCGTGATACTGTCTGTTGCCTTTCTTAGGTGCCGCGGCTCTCCTGAATCAATAAAGGCAATTATTATGATTATCCTCTCAGTGTCGCTGTTTGAATGGCGCGCCCCATTTATGACGCCATGGTTGTCATTTACAGAAGGCAGCAGCCGCAGGAGCGTAAGTTGTAGCTGTAAACGCTTTAAACAGTTTAAGAAACATCCTTTTTTTAATAAATTTAATTTATAAGATTTTATATTTTTAGGATATTCTTTTTGTCTCTTGTGCGAGGGAGTTTTACGGATTCTCAGATAAGAGCAACATTTCGCTCCGCGGCGCGGCCGAAGTTCGTGAGACGTTTGCGGAACTGTCGAGACCGGCTGTCCCTATTCGCACTCCGAGTGCGGATAGTGGTAGATTCTTATCCGCACTCCGAGTGCGGATAATTTTGGATTCTTATCCGCACTCGGGGTGCGAATAGGGACAGCCGTCGAGACCAGCGGGACGGGCGAGACATTTCATCGACGTTGACTTTTTGACCGCTTCAAAGTTACGTTTGGGACAGTTTACGGCGTATGCCAAACGTCCGCCGCCGGTCCCCGGAGCCAGAGTGTCGGGCACTCGAGGCCACCCACTGCCCCTACCATGAAGCCGCGGCTGAGAAGCTCGGCTGAAAGCTAGCTCGAGTTCGCTCTGCACTGCTCCGACTCTTCCATCAGCTGCAAGATGAACCATCAGCTGTCTGGCGACATCATCTATCTGAACGTTGGAGGTACCAGGTAAGACAGTGATCTAAACGCGTGATGAGTTGGGGTGAGTCGACGCAAGACGACGAGCCCATAATAGCGAGTCCGTTACGCTCGTGGTGCCTAGTTCCTTGACGCTTGCTTTGACATTGCAGGTTCGCCACATCTAGACAGACCCTGACATGGGTGCCCGACTCTTTCTTCACGAGGTGCGTATCGCGTCCGTGCCACAACGCGTTACAGCGCTGTATACCATCGCGTTGATCTAGCGTCATGAAGCATGTCAGCGAACGATGGCGAGAAAGGAGTTCGTTCCTTTGCCGATGATGTCCGGTGACCACGATCATTCCTTTTGCGTGCGTATGACTAGAAGCAATGGATCGTTTGCAGCGCCTCTCGAACGTTCTAGTGCACACGATTTCGGCATAGTGCGTGCTTTTGATTGAGGTGTCAGAGATGCTTGTGAAGGGCTAGCCCAGTTTCTTGTGCGTTTCCCTACCTCTAATGGATATATGGCTAAAGACGTTTAATGAATGCTTCTGCAACTTCGGAGACCTGTCGCTAAAAAGAGAGAGTGTAAAATAGAAAATTGTACGAAATGGTCTGTTGTGAAAAACCTACAAAAGAAAGAGAGAGAGAAAAGAAAAAGGAATACAATTGTGAGCTGAGGAGGAAGCTTTTCTGCCCCTGGTAGCTATTTCTGCTGTGGATGTGTCTTGCACCTAACCTATCTTGTACTTAAACGAACCGAAGTCTATGTGCAACCATGGTATAACTAAACTTTGGTCTCCCATATATTTTCATGACCTCGGATGCACAGGAATCTTGCAGATAACCATCTCCACAAATGTAGATGGTGTACATCACTGATCTGCCCATATAAGGAATGGTGAACCTATTTGTAAGCTCTAAATCTGTACTCTTACCTCATCGCCTGCAAACCCGCGGTCATTGTATGACTGAAAAGACCTGACCACTGTATCTTTAGCCTCCCGTGCTGGGCATGGCTGCGGGATATGGTTATTTTCTAGCGGGAAGTGTGAAAGGGCCCACAATTACAGTCACGTAGGGGTGGGGTGAGAGGAGGGGACATTCCCTCATAATCTGCTCTTGTCTTGCAGTATGCTCAGTGGACGCATCTCGAGCCTGAGAGACGAGACCGGGGCAGTGAGTATGATTGGTTACTGCAAATGGTTGCACTTGAGCCTGGCTTCTGATTCAACCACAGGCCTCATGTTCTACTACTCCAGTGTAACATTGTGCTGCCATTAGCTAGTTACTATAGTTTGGTTACATTCTACTGCTCCATTCTTTGTGAAAGTCAAGTAGAGGATGGTATGTATCCCACAAAGAACTTCAGATAGTAAGGATGCTGCTTGCCCGTATAAAAAACAGTGGTGAACGACAAAGTAGGCAAAAAAGTTTAATGTGAAAAATTGCCATGATGATCAGTTATAGCTTATCCTTATTGCGAATTCGGCATTATTAGAGCTCTATTCACTTCTCTGAAATTCCGCATTCTTCTAAGTATGTAAGTTTCTTTGACTATTTTTTGAGAGCTTCGTGCCAGCAAAATCTAGGTTTTGCACTGTTTATAGGAGAAACTTTATTCAAGTCCTCCATATTAGTCCCTAGCTTAAAGGGACACTCCGGAAAGTTTTTGAGCTACCTCAACTAACTATGTTTTCAAAGTCGCCGGCCTTCACCTGTTCCGGTGTGCTATTTAGTATTGCAAAATTCAAAATGGTTATTGTGAAATCGGCAAATGAAAATGATGCCAAAAGCAACGTTCAAATAAACCCGCACTTATCAGTGCAGTGACGTCAGGGGATGGCAGTCTTGCAGGTCCAGCGGCCAGTTTAAAAATGGACTATTCCAAACATTTGTTTTGTGCTGCTGTACGGATGCCGGAGCGAGCTTCCATAGCATGCATTTGACACCACGATACTGCTTTTAATTAGTTGGGTACAAGGTCTATAGTCCTTCCCCTACCATCACTTCTTTTGAAAAAACAAACAAACATTTTTTTTGTTTAATTTTTGGGTTATTGTTTTAGTGATGTTTGTATGGTGCGTTTTGAGGCAAATTGGGAACTATGGAAAAAGCACCTGTGTACCTTTGAGTACTCTGTGTTTTCTTGATGACGTTCACTACCTAGCCCAGCCACAAGTTCTTTTAGGCTATAATGCAGTTTTGTACTCGGCATCTTTTTGGTATTTGTTGTTTTTGTTACATTCCTGCAATACAGTGAAATAAGATGGTAGACTAAAATTGGGGGCATATCTGCTCAGTTATGTACAATAGAAGTATGCGAAGCAATTTTAGGATGTGTTCTTTCACCCGACTTTTTCTAACTCTGACCGGAGCAGTTGTGCGAGTCCTCTGAGTCAGATGCTTGCGAGAGCAGCTTTTGGCTTCATCATTTAGGACATTATAATAAATGCATGTGTGACAGCTTCAGCTACTATACAATCTTGCTAGCTGACCGTAACACCTTGCATTTTGCTCTCTAGATCTTCATAGACAGAGATCCAAAGTTATTCTCCTACATTCTCAACTTCATGAGGACCAAGGACATTGACCTACGGTAGGTGTTGCCACCCCCGTGTTTTTTTTTTCACATCTCTACTCTCCCGGTGGATTAAATGTCTTCTTTTTTTTTTTTAGGGAACTAGATGTGAGTGTTCTTCGCCATGAAGCTGAATTCTACGGGATCACACCACTGGGTGAGGCTGCTTTCTATGGCTGTGCTTCCATTGGAGCGCACACAGAACTGTGACATCTCGCTAAAGAAAGACGCAAGCTTAAAGGGGCAGTAACAAAGTGGTTCTTGAGATCGTCTTTTTATAGCCCACACTCAGTCTGTGCACCCTCAACATCCTAGAAAACCAAGTATTACAATCGTGCAAGGCTTTGCACGACGTAATGCAACAAAATATTGCATTATGTCCATTTCTTTTAGATTATGCACAATTGTATTTTTCAGTTTCGTATGCTGCTTAGGGCGCGTAGACTGTGTCTGTGCCATAAAAAGACAATTTCGGAAACCGCTTAAGATGATTGCACAAAGTGCCTCTAATAATAAGGATGGTATTTTCTCAGTTAGACATTTCTCCGTCAAAAAGATGGATAAACGGAGATGTGAAGCGTTGCCGTACTTGTAGACGAGGTATCTGCACTTTCATAGCTCTGGTTACGTTTTGCACTCCCTCGTCTTGCAGGACGAGAGCATTATTTGTTTAGCACTTTGCACTTTGTACATTGATTGGCATTTGTTGAATCGTCTCTGTGAGAGCTATTTGCCTGTTTTCTCGGTTGCAGTGAAGAGGCTGATCCTCTGTGAAGACCTACACCAGTCCTCATGTGGCAACGTTCTCTTCCATGGCTATTTGCCCATGGCAGGTGAGCTCGCTTTGCCTGCAAGCCTCCAGGCTGTTTCTTTCTGCTTTCTTTCCACCACTGTCACTTTGGGATTTCCAAGATGGCCTGTGCCAATTTGCTCACTCTGCTGACTATGTAGGGATATCTATATGTGTGTGCTTCGATAGTCATGAACCTTGTAACTGCTGCCTAAAAATGTTGAGAAAAAAAAAAGAAAAAATCCACGTCTAGAGTGTTTTAGGGATTATCTGCACTGTATAGTGTTTGGTTATGTTGCATTGTCAGGTGCAATGGGTCAAGTGGCTTGTTGCTATATGGCGATGGATTTGCCACAAAAACGAATCGGCATGGCGCACAGTTGTCGCTGTGATTTTCAGCGGTATCTCTACCCTTCTCGGTCTCGACATTTATATAGCAAAACATCGCGGAGGCCTATAGGTCTTGTGATGTATAGTGCTCATACTAGGGAGTCTTTGGCACATAATTATGCATCAATGGATAACTTGTGCCTACTAAACTAAAGCTTTAACTGGTCAAACACTTCACTCGGGGGCAGGGAGGGCAGATGAAATTTGGGATTAGGGTATCGTGGCTAAGCCTTTCGTGTCGAGCGGCCACAGTTACAAGGAAAGAAACTGAGAGTGTGCAACGTTGCCAGCGGTGCCTCCGCCCGAGGTCACACCCTTAGGGTCGTCTCTGGGGCCGACGATGGAGAGGCGTCCTGACCCCCAGGCCAGGCCCCCTTTCCTCGTGGAGGGACTCTGCAGCAACGCCCTCTCTGGAGCTGCCGGTGAGTGAGCAAAGTTCTCACAGGTGGCATACCTTTCTTCCTTTATGCCAGCTTACCTTGGATTCGCCCCATCTGCTGGCCCGATGTCACAATTTGTTTGCAGTGCTAGGCGAGCGCGTAGTGTTCTTGTAAACAAAGACACTTGTGCATCCAATAAGGTTGTGCTAGTTATATGCATGAGTGCATATAGCCTTTGCTAGCACTCTACGCACCTTTCAAGATGGAGTGTACACTGTTTAGTAACATTGTGCAGTGCCTGGACACACAACGAGTACGGGTGTGCAAATTGTGGTTCGAATCGAATAGTACTGTGCCATTATAACCTCCGCAGTACAAGAGAAAGCCACGCCAGCCGGTTTTCCTAAGACTATTGAAGCTATGAATGACGCGGCGCTATTAGATTCGAACCACTATTTGCACACCCCTAATAATGAGCCTACAGCTGGAGGCTTCACTGAGCTCGGTTCAAAGATTTATTTAGGAACGTCGCTTTATGTATGATTGTTTTTAGTATCACCATTTTGAACCAGCAGCCCTTCTCGTTCAGGATATCCACCTTTCTCTTTGTATACCATTGTTTTTACTTTTGAGCTCATGCCCTGTGCAAAATAGTTATAAGAGCTTTTTTTGTCGACTGAAAACTCATCGCTGACACTCTTTATGAGCGTGATGGCACATGCTTACTGCAACAAAGCCTTGGGACAACAAACTCCGGTACTCGAATCTAATCAAGAGTAAAAAAGTGAAGATGGCATGGACAAAAAGAACTGTGTGAGCGGATACTCAATTAAGTGGGCTGAGCCGTACACATCCATCCAACGTTTCACTGCAGATGCACGTTGCCAGGTGGCACAACCTGCCACTCGATTAAAACTGTCTAGCCGTACACTCCCGTCCATTCATTCGATTCATTGCAGATGCACGTCCCGGGTCGGTGCTGCGGGTGCTCCCCGAGCCAGCGTCGCGGTCACACTCGCGCGCCCCGTCGCTGGAGGTGCGCCCCCCGCCGCCGGCCCCGAGCTCCGCCGTTCCGCAGCTGTCGCGAAGCTCCTCGGACCTACGGGGCCCCAACTCCGCCCGGGGCCACTCCAGGGCCTCCTCCCTCGACCTCCGGCACCACTCGCGCAATTCCTCGACGGACCTCAACCGCCGCTTCAGGGACGACGGCAGCTGGCTCTCTTCCGCGGGACCGCACCGTGAGTCTCGCAGATTCGGGGCTCTCCCACCCCTAGAAATGATGGTGCCTGGAATGCGTCTCCGACCGTTGTGTTTACTACATCCTTATTTGTGGGCCCTCGATTTCAACCCAATGATATCACACTTCAGCCGTGACCTTGGCGGTGACGTGGCGGTGAAGCTGTATGTGACAGGTGCCTCTTCTGCTGCAGGTCACTGTGCAGCTCAAGAACGGCGGAAGCTTTAGCAGCCACAAGTTGTGGATGGCGCTGCGACGACGACAAAACTTGCGTTTTCTCGTCTCTTTTGCCAGAACTTCGAAAACCAACCGCCAGGGTTGAGGCATCCGATAGTCTGATATGCCGCCTCCTGTGACATCATTTGTTGCCACTTTTGGACCTCTTTCAGTGCATCGGCAGTTAGCACACCAATCGGAGGGGTATTCCAGGCACCAATTACTGTCGAGACTGGTTATAACGAAGTCGGCGGGAGGCTGAAATCACTTCGATATATCCGCTTCTTCATTATATCCACTTCTTCATTATATCCAAACAACATAAAAGTAACACATACACACAAAAAAAATGACAAAAAAATGTGCCGTCACAGGCACATGTTTATTGTTTGTGCAAAAAGCAGTCGAGGCTTCCCTACACTCGATTTCTGCTAGGTTGGAGCGAAAGAAAATTCTGCGAGCTACGCATGGATCGCGTCCAAAGTCCCATCGACAGCTGCGACGTCCGCCGTGGAGGACACCAGCGTTGGACGGCATTCTTTATGTTGATGCGCACTTCGTCGAGTATGGCGGCACGCTTTTGTTTCAAGAAAATTGCCTTCGTCTTCCCTGTTGAGGTGCCGGTGGTGTTAGTACACTTGCCATCGTTGAGTTGCGATGAGTCGCCGAATCGGTGCTTGTGCGAAGTTAGTCTTTCGTTCAGAGAGTGACGCCGACACAGAACACAAAGCAATTAAAGTGCACACGGCACCGAGTTCGCACTCAAGTTTGTGTTTCGTCGGTATAAAGAGCCTAGATGTAAGAAAGGGGGCAACTGCTCAATCAAGGTCACGTGGTTTGTGGGCTGCGTTTGCGAAACGAGCTGCAGCCTGCGACGAGTCAAAAGCGTTCACCGTCTGCAAATGTGTTTGCCTCTCCACCCGGTTTCCTCGCCACGCTGGTGACCGCCATTAAACTAGTCATTACGTCATAGGTACGTTGTTGCTAATGCTCCGAACGGCCCTATCGACACGTCACGACGACTTCCCTGCGTGCGATGCGGAAAAGCCACTACCCAGAAGAGGAGCGTTAAGCAGACAAAATTCGCAGAGGCTGCCGCCGTTGGCCTCCGCCGCACATCTGTGGCTCGTTCTGGGTGGCTGCTTCGCCGCGGCAGCAAAATGCGGTGCGACTCGGTAAACTTTCAGCATTTTATTATTTTTTAACTTATCAGTAAATTTATCTTCACTATATCTGCGGGAGCCGCTCAATTTCCTTCACTAAAAACAGACACAACCACAGTGACAAAGTGCAATCGGGAATGGGAAATCATGATCACTTTGCTATAGCTGCTATTTCATTATAACCGACTTCATTATAAACGGTCGCAACAGTAAAAACCTAAAATGTAAAAAAAAAAGAAGCTAAATACTTTTTAAGGCGAAATTAGAAAATTTTTAATTTGGAGTTAGGCAACACGTTCACTTACTCGACGTAAGTTAACCGAGAATGGGTGCGTTCTTCGACACGCATCTCCTTGCCAGCCACCTCAATCTATTGTGAACGCGTTTTACGGCATAGGTCTCGTAAGGCGTTTGCAATTAGGAAAGCTATGCGTAATGTGTGTGCTGGTGGTGCATAAGGTGTGTGGTGGGGAAGGAAGAGAGTTAGTCCATCTTATGTCTGCACTGACGTTTTGTATCAAGCTGAAAAGGTTCCACCGAACCGTCTGAACCGTCTGCTTCCAGACACCGCCTGGCCCGACACGCTGCGGGTGTGCATAGTCAAGGGGCACCACAACTGGATTGCAGTGTCCTACGTCCACTTCGTCACCTGCTACCGGTAAGCCGGCCTCCCATTGCTGCAGACACTCTTCGGCCAAGAAGCGAGCACCGTTCACTGTGTTGTACTGTTGCTAGTTCTTAAACTGTCCACAAGGACGGAACTGTTCCACCGTATGAAAACCACTAGTGATGGGTGAAACGAAGCATGTGCCAGGAGGTGAACACTATCCATCGGTGTTTGTTGACCCGAGAGCTGACCTTGACAACACTGGACAACCTGACTAGCTGGAGGAGCAGTTCAGGAAAGGTCTCGCACAGGCTAGCTCGTGCCTAGAACAGCATTAGTCTGGCGAAATTAAAACGGACCACTTTCTTTCTTGCCTCCCATTTGTTATTAACCGCCTATTTGAGTGTGGTCTGTGAATGATCTTTGAGTCGGTTGGGGGAAATCTGTAATGACGCCAAGTCTGAGGAGCAGCCAGAAAAAAAAAAAAGAAGAAAAACGGACATTACAGTACGGGAGATCTTTCTGCTTTTACGTGGTGACCCTTCTTTATGCTGCTGATGAAGAACTTAACCAGTGCAGTTTGACCGCTATCCTGGGGTCTTTAACGTGCATCACTCAATAGGAATTGCATGGCTGCATGCTAATGCAATGCCCATCCAGATCGAAACAAGCAGGGGTCGAACCCAGGATTCCACAGCGCGAGCTGACTTACCCCAAGTATCGGAAATACCAGCCTCGAAGAGCCAACTGCGGCCGCTTGTTTTCAAGGAACGCACTTTGTGTTTCCTACAAGACGTGAAGTGATTGGAGGGTAGCAGGTTTCCTGTTTTTTCTGCTTCTATACTCCATATCGCTTCACGATGGACAGAAACAAACGCTACAGCCATCAAAGCCAATTTGAAGCTGCGCGAGTGTTTAGTGGCCTTTGGGAGGGGCCACACAGTAACGTTATATGTCCACAGTGCTGGGTTAACTGGTAGGGCATGCAGCATCTGCCGCAGCCCGTCGTGAAAGCTGGTTCACACATTTTGACGCAGGATGTATATTACGGGTCGTTTTCTACGAACAAGATAGTTGTGAACGAGGGCTGTAAACGAGCGTCTGGAGCGAGCGTCGTGGACGAATGTCGGGAACGACCAACACGCCTGGAGCATTACACAACATTAAGGTTACATGTAGAGCTTACAAAGGCCCATGTAAAATCAACGTAAGAAAGACACCCTGTCGGGGCTCGAACTTGGGTCGCTGCGGCGGCAGTCGGATTCTACAGCCACTGAGCCACTAGCGCAACTGCTCTGGAAGGGTAAACAATTTTATTCGAATGCAGACGTGCCGGCGAGAGTGGCACGTGTTAAATGAGGATAATAAAACAAAATAATAAATAATAGAAGTGAATAAATAAAACAAAATAAATTAATTAAATAAAATAAAAATAAAACCATGAAATAAAATAAGAATAGATGAAAGTAAATAGCTAATAAGGGGAATGAAATTGCACGGACTGTGGCTTGTGCCGGGCACATTCTGTGCTCCCCGGTCTTTGCCAGCCCGCAGAATTTTCCTTCAATTGCGCTCGAAAACATTGCATTTTCTCATAGCTTCTTACGGCGAGAGAACACGTAGAGAGAGCCTAGATTGAAGAGTGGGTTCATCAGAAATAGTGGGGAGCATTTGCAATTTAATGGCGGAGAAATACGCGCACTTGCAACCCGCACCGAAGGGGTTGCAAGTGCGCGTATGAGCCACGTCGTCGTGCGGCGAAGAGAAAAGCAGACAAAAAGGTGGAGGTGCTTGCAGATGACCGACGCTTTTGCCTCCTCCTCGCAGCCTGTGTTGCAAATGCAGCCCATAAGCCACGTGACCCCGATCGGGCAGTTGGGAACTCTCTGTAATACAGGCTCTCTAAGAACACGCTCTCACACTGTCGTCATATACTAGGCAGCCCTAGAAGCCTTTTGGTTCGCACATATATTTTTATCATTTTTGACGCATAATTCTTTTATCCTTTAAATAATTCTCACAATGTTCTTAGCGACCACTTCTCGTAGTGCGTAGATTCGATCAGGCAAATACTGGCGAATCTTCAGTCCAGTTCCGGGGCTACCGGATAGGTGTCAGCAGCGTGCTAGAATGTTTTCTCATTTTAAGCAGTTAGAAATGAATGCAACACGCTCGAGCGTGCTCAAATGCAAACGTACAAACCAGCGTTGAGGTGAAATGAAGCGTAATCTGGAATGACTAGGTGCCCCTTGCAACACATGCGTGCACGTCTGCGCAGGCTGAAGGACTCTACGGGCTGGCAGCTGGCCTTCCGCAGCCCATACCTCGAGCCCGTGATCGAGCGGATAGCGCTCAACGCAAAGGTGGTGACCACGGCCGGCGCCCAGCCGGAGAGCGGCACCAAGATGCTGGCCGTGGCGTACGGCACCCAGGTGCGCCTCTGGGGCATCTCGGAGGAAGGGGCACGCTCGGAGATAGGTGAGACTCCCCGGCACCCAACCGCGGTGCCTGGAACATGTCTTCAATGGCGCGTGCGCCGCCCAATCCCAAACGTGCGTCGAAAGTGGTCTTGAAGTGGCGGCAAGTTGCGTCGCGGGTACCGGCATGTCTGACGTCTCAATCTTGGGAATTCATCACGGAAGTTCCGGCAAAAAGCTTGGGCGAACGCGACTGTCATCGTCATAGTGGCGCCCCGTCTCTCGTCTGCTTTGGTTTCTGTTGACTGTCTCGCTGTGAAACGACCTGCACCAGAGCAGGCGTCTGCCGTGTCCACTCCTGCTGCCGTACCACCGCCAGTATCGCGGCAGGTGACAGCGTGAAACTTTTACAAGATCGTCGAGCAGAAATTGAGAGACCACTTATGAGGACGCAGTAAACGCATCAGTCGGAGACGTGTTCCAGGCACCCTATGCACCCAGGTCCCCGCCCTGGCGTCCAGCGTCCAACTTGAGTCCGACACCGTCGGTGTCTATCTTTTTGGGGCACGCAGGCATGTTCCAGCTGAGTGTTCCTGTGGACAGCCTCTTCTTCATTGGTAGTCAACTGGTGGCCCTCAGCCACCTCGGCAAAGTGGGCGTCTGGCACGCCATGACTCAGCACTGGCAGGTGGGTGTTCTCGATGCCACTTCACATGTTCCCCGGGAGTGCAGTTTTGTGTGCCAGCCGAACAACCAGACTTTCTTTACATAAAAGAACCGGCAAGGTACTCCCCTAGTAGTAGTATGAACCAGGGTCATTCCATGTGGAATATGGACAAGCACTGTACAAGCTGCAACTTGTGTACCTAATCACTACTGCGCAGTAATGTAGGTATACAGAAGGCACCAGGTTCGCAGTCGTGCCGCACTGGTCAAGTTTCTCCTCGAGCGTCGAACTGGCGTCGCCGTATCTCGAGGGCAGACGGGTCTCTTGCCGCAGACATATTTGCAACGTCCAACTAGCTTTGCTCCTTGTGCATGTGCTACACCCTTCATGTGCAAACAAGACAACATATGGGGTTACACAACTGGGTGTGCTTTCAAATGGCAACATCGAACACCAAGAAGCCGAGTTCGTGCACCTTTCAACATTTCCGACTAACGCATTCTTTTTGTCATCGAAACGCCGGCTACGACAAACGGCCATTGCGAGTCTTGGGAGCCACCGAGCGAGCACCCTTCCTTCGCAGATCCAGGACGTGGTCCCCATCACCAGCTTCGACACGGCCGGTTCGTGCATCCTGCTCCTGGGCTGCAACAACGGCTCCATCTACTATATTGGTAGGGCCCCACCTCCCGTGTTGTTGTCACACCCTCTCGGAGCATTCCCTCATCCTGGGCCTCACGGGTTGTCCAGATTTGTCCCAGCAAAGCCATGAAAGATGTGCTTGTCTTTTACGACCCTCTCGAGATTTTTCTGCTTCCACGCTTCTTTTCCGGCGACGGCGTGGAAGCAGCCGAACTCAAGGGCTTTTTTTGGGTGCTTTCACTGGCATCGTTTGAATCGGTGGCGTAGGTGGTGCTACAGAGGAGTGTGGCTTCCCCCACAGATATGCAGAAGTTCCCACTGCGCATGAAGGACAATGACCTGCTGGTGACAGAGCTGTACAAGGACCCCTCGCTGGACCCCATCACAGCCATCAGCGTCTACCTGACCCCCAAGACCAGTGAGTGGACGGCTGTTGTTTGTTCCCGTCGGCGGATCCGCTCTTCCACTTGTTCTAGCGCGGTCATTAGATATGTAAACTACTTGTTGATCTCGAAACTCTGGCGGTTTCTACTAGGGCGGTTTCCGCCCTAGTAAATTTTGTCACCACAAGCAGCGCTGATTCAGGGAGGAGTAGAAAGAGTAGAAAGTAAGAGATTTAAGAAATAAAAAAAATCTGTAAATATTTTGATAATTCCTTTTAAATCAGATGTTGCACCCTTCATGTGCATTTCTGTTCTCCCGAAATAATATGATTTCGGGGTCTCAAGTATTGATTGCATTTATCTACCTTTTCAATGAGTCGCGTGGTGCTTTACGAGAGAGTAGGTGTATTTAGCGACTTTTTTCATGATGGCTTCTCCGATCCTCCATCCATCCGTCGGGTTCTCTGGGTGGTCTGATTGGTTGACTCCTAACGTCAACAGTGTGCCTCTGGTGCTTAATTTTGCTTCTAGGAAAAGTTTTACCATGATGTGACGAAAATATTCTCGGCCTGGTTATCTAAGGACTTTGGTACTAGTAATAACTTGTTAACGAGCTTTCTCAAAGAAAAGCTTGTTAGCCAGTAATTGGCAGGTTTCTCCAAAGTACAGTAAACCCTAGTTAGCTCAAAGTCATAAAAAGCAGAAAAAAATTCGAGGGGTTTCGAGATAGCGAGGTACCGAATTTTCATTGCACTGATTTTGCATTGTGCTACTAGAATCCTTCCAACAATCGCGCTAACTAACTCGACATTTGCACGCCGCGCCACGCCGTAAGAACAAAACAACCTCACCAAAATTATCAACAAGAAGCATTCATAACATGAGACAACAAAACCAAAAAACAAGAAGGCAAAGAAAACAAAAAATACAACGAAAGAACCCACAAAAAATAAGAAAAAGACGAAAAGTGGAAGATACCATTGAGCGCGAGCAAGAGAGAAACAGCGGCACCAACTGCCGAAACCAAGGAGAAGAAAACGCAAGACAACAAATGTTCTTGAAGTGCATGCTGCTCGGTGCATGGCCGCGCTCATTACTTAGCACTTTTTTGTTTTTGCGCATGCACGCACGCGATGATGCACAAATCTTTTTCTTTTCTTTTTGTGTGTTGGTTTTTGGATTGTGTTTCTTTGTCAACCAACGTTTATGCCACAGTTCACTGTTTGCTTTACCCTGCCTGTTTTTTTTTTTTTTTCTTTAATAGTATTTTTGTCAAGATCTTAAGATATTTGAGGTCAGTCCTGAAAACTTCTCGAGATAAGCGATGAGTAAATGTATTGCGCCTATGGGAGTTCATTCCATGACAAGGAAAGCTTTTGAGTTGGTTGATATTTCGATATACAGCCGAGTTAGAGTTAAGGGGGGATTACTGTAACACCAGCCCTGCTTAGCGACCGATTAGTGGGGCAGTCGAGCAGACACCTCGTCGTCAAGATGTCGTACGGTCGGACCCAGTTATAACGAAGTCGACGAGAATTAAAAATACATTCACAATATATCTGTGTTCCATTGTGTCTGAACTTCGCAAAACAAGTAGTTTTTTTGCACGTCATGCGTTAATCTTTGTGCGTAATTATCATGCCCCATTTTTTATATTTCTTTTGCCAAGTAGCTAGAATAATTCTGCATTTTTGTTTATTGCAGTGTCCAACGCTTGCGTGTTCATTAACGTTCCTGGAGGAGTTATTCTTTTTATGTAAATGTTTTGTGCCGCGAGAATCCAGTAGCGCAAGTAACCACGGACATGCAGGATCCGCAGCCTCTTGATGATGTAGATCCAGACAGCGTCTTCGTAAGCACCCTGAAAAGGACAGGAAACATTTTAACGCTGACTTTATTTGAGAGCCACAGTAGCTTTAGATGTACATCAAAATCCGCACGTCTAAAGTGTCTTCACAATGTCCACTTCGATTGCATCCAACCGTGAAAAAAGTAAGCGTGCGACAGAAGCGTTGACGATGTACGCGCAGATTACATCAACATCCGCAGCAGCCACTTGGAAGGACAGCTTCGTAAGGGCTCGGCTCTGCTCCTCGCTCTCGCTCAGTGCCTCTGCTGGCTTCGTTTCAGCGGTGCAGGTCGTGAGTGCTTTGCCCGTTAAGCCCCGGTAATATTGTTGCGGTTGTAATAAAATGTAACTCGCACCGTCAGTGTTCCGAAGGGTGAGGCATTTTTCAGCCACGCTGCTTTAACGATTCACCGAGCTCGCGGGCAACTCGCGTCCCGTTTCTTCTTGCAGCCACCTAGTCGTCTGCACGTGGATCTTGCAGCCTCTGGGTCTGAGAGTAGCTCCCACTTTCAAAACAATGGACAATGGAATTATGTTTCACGTCAGATCTATGTCGTTTGCAGTGGTGCTGGTGGTGGCAAATTTGAACAAATGCAAACTTTGGTTTCTGCATCTGTCTGGCTTGTCCCCCAAAAAATCTGTCACATGCAACCAGTATTGCTGCTCATTTGAAGCAATGCTGGCAGCGGCCAAACAGCTCGAACACGGCGCAAACTTAGTTTCCAAATCTTCCCTATGAAAGTAAGGAGGATTGCGATGTTCCGCACACGTCCTCGACACTGCGAGGGTCACACGCTACAAGGCCGACCCCATGACTTGCGATGCAGCGAAGCCGAACTGGTTGACCGCGGGGTAGCATGCTTTTTATGGGGACAGCTGTTTAAAGCAGGCCCGCACTATTATATGAGACAACCGTGGTGTTTTAGATTTTGGCTCGAATTTGAGCCCTTCATTTTTAATGCGATGGCATTAATAAGCTACTACTCAAGCTTTTCAGCTGACTGTGCTTGCACCCCGTTGCACCGTGTGTATGTGGGGGGACAGTGCACACTCTGTCACATTTGCAGCCTCTTGGAAGTACCGGACGACCTTGACGTCTTCCTCGACGTCGTCCTAGAGATCGTTCTAAAGGTTGTCCTAGACGTCGTCCTCTAGGACATCGTCCTTGAGGTCGTCTTAAAGTTTGTTCTAGATGTCATCTTTTACGATGTCCTAGAGGACATTGTTAGGAACGACGTCTAGGGCGACCCCAGGGGCAACCTCTAGGGTGATCTCAAGGACGGCAACGGTTTAGCGAGGAGTTTCCCTGCTAAATTTAACGAAAAAATTGACATCGGGACCTATGCACCAATTAAGCTACCCCACTAAATTTGGCAGTGTGCTACGATAAATGCTATCGCATTTAGAGATAATCACCCCTGTGGTTTCTACACATTTGCCTCGACCATAAAAATCTTTCTTTCCGCAAACCTTTTTAGTTATTCAAAATAGTTTTTTTTTGTTATAGGTACTTCCTCGTCTCGAGCTCGTTCGTTGAAAGTGGGCCCAGACTGCTTTGAAAATGTACAACCGGAAGCATGAAATGAAGCTTAATTGTTTTGTGCAGGCTTGTGCGGCAACTGGATCGAGATTGCGTACGGGACCAGCTCCGGCTCGGTGCGGGTGATAGTGCAGCACCCGGAGACGGTGGGCCACGGACCCCAGCTCTTCCAGACGTTCACAGTGCACCGCAGCCCCGTCACCAAGGTGGTCCTCTCCGAGAAGTACCTCATCTCCGGTGCGCTGCCACTTCTCCCTCTCAATGTTCTTGGCAACTTCTCTCGGTCGGGTCAGAGATTGAACAGTTGCGCCCCCCTAGTGGTTAAAGGCCCGTTCACAGACTTGTGTCTGCTTACGATAGAGGTGTTGCGATCCCTTAAGACTAGAGAACTCACTGGCACGCTGGCACCATCTATGAGGTGGCCCTGGAACTTCATTTCTCTAGAGCGAAGGTTTTGCGGTATTTTGCCAAATGAAACATACATACTATCTATGAGAAGTAGTCATCTATAATATTGTCAAAAGATTTTCGATCCACGAAAGAATGATGCGTGAAAGAAATAGGAAATATAAAGGAATGCCACGTGTTCGACAGCTACCCGACGGGTGGCGTCGGTCTGTTCTCTTGTCGTAAAAGGTTGAAAAGGTTTTAAGACATATGGATGCAAGCAGTCACTAGTGTGTGGACTAACCTCAATTCGGCTGTACGAGCAACAAACGTAAATTAGTCGTTTGTTTCTGACGCAGAAGTTGGACGGGGCTCGGGTTCAGTTGACGAAACATCGATCGAGCTCCAGTGAAACGTTGACTTAGCTGTTGCGTTCGGTCCGTGCCCCATGTTCGGTTGAGGAAGGTCGGGAAATAATCCAGTGCACGGGGTTCGTGCTGCGTAAACACCAGGATAAAAAAGCTGCCGCCTATACATTGATCTCCTCACCAACAGCAGCTACGAAACCACATTCTGTGCATCTCTTGCGGTGTGCGGCAACGTTATTGTGTGAGGTGCTTTGGATCGTCGGGGTTCAACATTTTTCACCATTCTCGGAAGATACACGTTTGTGCTGAATCAAGCCGGCATAATCAATCCGATCTTTCGGAAGGCTGTCGAATTTTAGGTTTTGGACCATGATCTCGAGCAGGGGTCCTTCAGTTTTTATCCTTTTGCCACGGACAGTCGGAGGAGCCTGGCTGTGGTTACACCTTAAAGAGACCTCTCGTAACCCAAGAAACCAATATTACCCCAAGCTTTTTATTTTTTTAATTGTTTCGTGAAAATAAATTGCAATTATTCTATAAATGAACTACTGCAACACGGAGGAGGCAACGACGAACACTCTAGTCACTGACCGCCTAAGAGACGCAGAATGCAGCGAGATCCACGTATCTCGTTATCGCCCCGCAGCCAATGAGATGCTAGAATCTGCCGATAAGAATGCCGACAAACGAATCACAAAGCAAGAAGCATTGTCACAATCAGCCATGCTCGTTGTTTCTTAAGTTGTTGATAATTATGAAAGGAATTGTGAGAATGTATGAGGGGGCAAACGAGCGGGACAAGAATGACGATAATAATCCCTGGAGAAGAGGAACAAGGGGGACAAAGGACAAACACAAATCTCCAAACACAGCTAGGTTGACTGGTGCACTAATGAAAAAAATCTGCCTGGTCCTGGTATCGAACCAGGGACCTCACCATTTCCAGTGTAGTGCTCGACCAACTGAGCTAACTAGGAGTTGGACCATACCAGGAGCAGGCGGATGTTTTCAGTCGTGCACCAGTCACCTAGCTGTGTACAAAGATTTGTGTTTGCCCTTTGTCCCCTTGTTCCTCTTCTCCAGGGATTATTATAGTCATTCTTGCTCAGCTCGCTTGCACCTTTGCATTATCGTCATAACCTTGAAATGCAGGACATTCATTCTTGTTGGTGTTAGACCGGTGGCGGCTGTTCAAACCTGTTTGCTCTACTGATGTCTAACTCCTGGTTAGCCCAGTTAGTAGAGCGCTCCATTGGAAATGTAGAGGTCCCTGGTTCGATACCAGGACCAGGTGAATTTTTTCGGTCGCACACCCGTCACCTAGCTGTGCTTGGAGATTTGTGTTTGTCCTTTGTCCTCCTTGTTCTCCTTCTCCAGGGATTATTATCGTTATAGGAATTGTGACTTTTTTTTTTTTTTTTTTCACTCTACAGTCTGGAAGTTTTTGTGAAGACTTTTAAAAAAGATTTCTAAAGCTAGGATGGTTGAGAAAAACAAGAACCTGTTTTGGGGAACAAACTACAGCCACAGTGGACGTCAAGTAATACCAAGAACATGCTATTTAGCAAATTAATTACCTAAGATTGACTGATGAACCCTTTTTTTTAATTTGTGAGAATAAACACATGGTTCTAATTAAGAACTTTTTAATTGTCATTGGAAACCTTTAAATCAGTCAATTTCAGTACGCCTCGAAGCAGGTGGGAAGTGCGGGGAAGCGCTGAATTTACCACTCATGCGGCACGTACAAGGCCAGCAATGAGAAAAGGCGGATGATGTTCTCATCGTTCGCGCTTTTGCATCCCTGGCCTTGTGCCTGCTGCATGTGTGGAGGGTTCTCCCCAGAAATTCTTGAGATCTGAACATCTGAAGGAGGAGGGGGCAATTGCTGCAATTTTTCGTGTTATCGGTACCTTCTTTGCCACACAGCAGTGATTTTGTTTTGCAGGGATTATGCAGTTCTGTTCCGTAGTGGCACACAAGTCTGCCAAACACAGTAATCTGGGGCGTTGTGCATTTTCAAAATGAACGCCATTTTGTCCAGTGGAGGCAAAATAGAGAAGTGGGTTGGACATAGTAGAGGCGGGCGGCAAAACCACTGCGGCCCACTGTGGGGAGAACCCTGGGGTGGTAACTTTAGCACACCCCAACGCTTCTAACGTCCTTCGAGTCAACCTATAATTGACCGATATAAAGGTTTTCGGTGACACTTGGAAAGTTTCTCATTGGAGCCATGTGTTTGTTTCACTAATAAAAAAATGTTAATTAGTGAATTTTAGGTGATTATTTTGCTAATTGGTACATCTTTGCAATCCCCGACAATCCCCAGACAAGTTTCTTTTATTTTTTTTCCCTTAAACAGCCAATTTTTAGAGATGTTTGAAATAAAATTGCCTGATGGGCTTGTTGGTTATACATTACAAAATTATTGTGCAAAAGACTAGGACAGAAAAAAACAATTTCATTTCTTCTCTTTCCTCTCTTTTCTTTTCTTTTCATTTCTTAGATTTTCCCTACTTTCATTTTGTTTCTATAGTAAAATGGTGGTATATATTTTGAGTGGTTGATTAACGCACATTTAAAGCTAAATGCATTTTATTTTTCTTTCTTTTTCTTTTCAATGATTCATTGCATCTACCGTTCACTTAGTTCACTTTATTCACCTCTTTTATGATACAAACAGGAAATAATCAGTTGTGACTTAGTGCTCTGTCCTGTCCCATTGTTCCTTCCTGTCCTAGTCTTTTGCTCTACAATTCTGTGACGTCTGAAAATCCTCGCGCAGACGTCCGGTATCGGTGTATTTACTGCTTTTTGCATTCTTGCTCAAGCCCCCGATTCTAAGGCGGCAGCTTCTCAAGAATCGGAGGGATGGTTACGGGTGGCATTGATGTGGCGGCCCGCCTCCATTTGTGCGTGCAGTGTGCAGCGAGTACAACCACGTGCGGACGTGGAGCGTCACCCGCTTCCGGGGCATGATCTCTACCCAGCCGGGGTCGACGCCCCTGGCCTCCTTCAAGGTGGTCTCCCTCGAAGACCTCGAGCCCTGCCCCGGCTACCCGGCCGCCAACGATTGCGGTACGTCCGCCGACCAGCATTGCTGACCACGCGAGCATTTGACTAATACTACAGTGCTCGGAATGCGTCTCCCAACGGTGCGTTCGGCTTCTTGTTCCCCCTCCCCCCTGTACGTTGAAGAAAGTGGTCTTTAAAAAGGGCAACGAATGGCGTTCTTAGAATGTGGACTGTCGTGCCATCGGACAGGCCGAGGAAATGCGAGCGTTGCCGTAGTTGCGGCGTCCCAACTCCCGGCTGCCGTAGCTTCCGTGGACCATCAAGCTGGAGAGAGACCCGCAACAGAGCAGGCGTCTGCCACATCCACTACCGCTGCCGAGACACCTCCTGAACAGCGGATGCCGACGGTGTGACACTTTCGCGACGTTGGCAGGCGGAAATCGAGGGACCACTTTTTTGAACGTGGTAAACACTCCGGTCGGAGAGGCGTTCCGGACAGCCTACCAATGTGTCCTAGAAGACGAGTCCCATGCCTCTCCACCTCTAGCGGCGTTGCTAGCAGAGTCATGCAGTGTCGTCTAGCTCGCGTCCGTGTCACTGCAACTGGATCTTGCAGCATTTTTTGACGAGCGCAGTGGGCCTTTTTCCAGTAAGCCTCCTCTATGCATGCGCCATTTTCGGAGAACACGACTAACTGAGAGCATTCCGTCTTTTTTTGTTACGATTTTTTTTCTTCAGTACTGGTAGTATAGGGCATAAAATGTGACGAAAAGCGATGTAACGGCACGATGCCGGCACGTTTGAATGGGCGGAGGCACGCTTAGCTGCTTTTTGTTTGTGGTTTGCAGACAACTCCCCGGACGGCGTGCATTAGTGGAAAAAGGTTTGTCGTAGCGGGCGGCGACGCTGAGGTGCGTGTGTCTGTTGCCTTGCCGCGTAGTCTCAAGGAGCTTCGGCTTATTTGTTGCTCGGGACGGGTTGGGGGTTCGACCAATGATGGCACGATGCGCGAACCTTGTCTTCTAAGTGGTATTAATCTGACCAGGTTCAAATCGAACATCAGGGCGACTATAAATTGCAAAGTTCATGAAGCTTTATCTGGGTATGCCCACCCTTTTTCCAGTTTCTACAGCCGGACAAATGTGCCGCTTGTTCTCGATGAGGGACGAAGCATTTTCATGCTGCGATTGTGTTTTGTGCGCAGCAAACATAAAGTAATTGGAGTGTCTACAAACTGGGAAATTTTGGAAATGTAGGGTGAATCGTAACTCGCCTCGAAAAGCCCGAAAAATTCAACAAAAATGCAAAAAAAAAAAAAAAAAAATTTGAGTAAATATTTTTATTTACTTGTGTGGGTTTAATGTAGTACCGAAACGCAATATTTTGTTAACTGGTAGTTTCTGTCAATAATAAGCCAGTAATCGAGCTTGCCCGGGATCGAAGCAGCAGCAGGCCATTGCTGTCGTTTTCGGCACTTCTAGACATTTTTTCTCCGCATTGTACGGAAGAATTTCGGTGAAATAGATGTGGCATTTTGTTGGCGTAATCATTGTTGACATCCTGCTTATTCATATTTAGAATTCGTATTTAGGGTATTTAGAAAGCTTTTGCTTGCAGGTCCGTACGGCGAACAAGACGACGAGCAAGTCTTTATTCAGAAGGTCGTTCCCGAAACGGACCAACTGTATGTCCGCTACGCATCGTCTGGCAAAAGGCTGGTGGATTTTTTTCGTTTTTTAACTCCTTGAGTGCCAAGCTTTTTTATGCATGCCGCATGCGGATTTCGGCCTCAGTCACGTTACCATGCTTTGTGAAAAATATTTACTTATGAAAGACAGTATTTCATGGACAAAAGAACATTCACTGATGTCTGCATGCCTCCAACCTAAGACATATTCTTTGTATCACGCTTTTTGGTACACAGTGCTATGCAGTGGCACCTCGACTTTGCACCCTTAGGGCACTCTTTTGAGCAGCCTTACTCAACCTTTGTTTATTTGGAACTGTGACTCCCTTGACTACATGTTCATTCGTAGAGTGCGACAACCAAAGTGCACTGCTTGAAAGGTAGTGGCAGCCCATTATATCAGGCAGTAGTTTACACTACCGCAAAATTTAAAAGCAGCCTGGGATAACCTTAGTGTAAGGAGGATAGCTCCAATCTTTTGGCTTTGGTTTTTGTGTTTGATTGTAACGCGCTTGTAATTTTGAGTGCATTGTCTTCGAACAAGAAGTTTGTGATTATAATTGTGCGTATGCAGTAAATTGCACGACTCTGCTTGGTGGTGACCCCCACTCTTGTTTGCGCGTTGTCGGTGATGGCAGGATCTGCATCATCAAGTCTGTGGACGGCACCACCATGACGTCGTTCTGCATCCACGAGTGCGAGGGTTCCAACCGGATGGGCTCTCGCCCCAGGCGCTACATCTTCACCGGGCACAGCAGTGGCGCCATCCAGGTACGGGTCTTGAGTCTCCAAGCGCGCAAAAGGAAAATTTGATCCCATAAAGGCACTTGCCGTAAAGTCCCGCACAAACTCCCTCACATTTTGAAGGGATAAGTGGCGAAAAATATCGGGTGGGGGATCCTTGGGAATGACGCAACAAAAGTTTATAAAAAAATGACGGGTACCAGCCACGTGACACAGGAGCTGATACCACATATTGCAGACACGGCAGATTCGTGTCTCAAGGTGCGATAATTATGCAGGAATCCGCTACCAATTCGCTCGTCACGGGAACAGACATCGCAGATCGGAGTTGCGGTAGATTAGCCTTTTATGGTACACTAAGCACACGAAACCCGTTACGTGCCTGCATGTCAACAAAACCCATATCGCACGAGCAGATGGCGGACACAGCTAACTGGGGTTCCATGGTCCAATAAACACGCGGGAACCTGCTACAAAGTCGCTTGTCACACTTACTATTACTGCCGATCATGCTGTTGACGCGATTCCTGTCGGACATTGCACAATGTCCGATGGAAATTGGAGGTGAATGATCTCTTGTGGGAGGGCGCTCGTACGCTATATTAAGGTAGGGTTTTGTTATATTCATATTGAAGAGTGCATCTGTAAGAGATGTCATTGTCAGATTGAGTCTGTATTTCTTTTTTTTAATGATGCTGTGCCAAAGTGAAAGTAATAGAGAACTGAAACTATCTCAGTTCCATGTTTGGGAACGGAGGGATTTGGATTTTTATTTTATTGCGGTGACCAGTTTCGTAAAGAAACATCCCCGAACCCGTCAAGCTCAGCCGAGTAGTTTCCTCCCGGAAATAGAATGAGATACAGACTTTCTTGGGTCGGTTTGACTGCCAACTTTGGTGCAGTGACTGGACCTGGAGAATAATAAATTTGAGGCCTCTACTTTCGGAGTGTCATACAATAGAGGTAAACAGGGCATAGATTGTTTGGTTCTAGCAGAGTTGAGTTGTTAGCACGGTCACCGTGATGGTGAATATGTTTTGTCTTTTCGTTTTTTAGATGTGGGATTTGACGACTGCATTGGACTTGGCCTCCAAGGGAGAACCGGGTAAGTGAGGGTGATGACCTTTTGTTGGTGACTACTCTATGTCCTCAGCATAAAGAGGGCGCATTGCTGTCTTACCTCAGCAGGGTATGCTGCAGTAGGCATGGCAATCACAGTGCCACGCCCGCACTTGTAGGTTTGGCTTTGCTCAAACTAGCAGTTAAAGGGGGACACTTGCTAGAGATTGAACTTCTGAACTGCTCTAGTGATCAGAATGAAATTTGCTGAGGAGATTTAACGTCATATAGGTGTGCTGTGCAAACTTTCAGCTCTCTGGGACAACTTTACATACCTGCATAGGAAGATGTGTCTCTTCATTAAGAAATGTATGACATGCAAATGAAGTTATTAAGCACCATTTTGACTGCTTGAATATAAAGTGAGGGATCTGGGACTTCGAGTTATCTAGTTTTTACAACTCAAATGCAAATATTTCAGGAAGAGTTATTACCTCAAAATATGAGATCCATATCTGTCCTATGCCAATTTTTGAAAACATAGATTTTTCTGAATGAGGACTTAAAGCTTAAAACAGTATACTGTTAACGACTTATTTTTCGCAGGCTCAATATTTTGCGATTTAGCTCCAAGCTGAAGTTTTGGAATAATTTGCGGGTTCTCATTTTTGGGACGCGGTGGGATCTCAATATAGATTCCGGTCTGTTTACATTTTACCGGAATTGGTTGCAGAACCTATTTTACGCGAAATGTAGGCGATTTGCAAAAATGGGATCTTTGCGAAAATTAAGTCGTTTACAGTATATTAGATTGCCCGATACTTCAGTGAACTTCAGTTCAGAAACATCTTGATTGTGCTATCAGAATACTTTCACCTTTGAACAAAAGATTCTTTCGTATGAAATTTTATCAGAAAGTGGAACTGAGAAAAATGCATTCGAACACTGAACTCCTTTACTTTGTTACTGCCTCACAATGTGTTAAAATATTTTATATCAGTGTAACTATTTGACATATGGTTATCAAATTTAGTGTAAGGGTGTATAATTAGTTTCTAAAACCGAAAACCTCAAAATAGAAAAATGAATTTTTTTCAAAGAAATATGGAACTTGGGCCGATGTCCCCCCCTTAAACAGAGTACACCTTCCGTATCTGTGTATATTGCCCACAGTTTTCGCGTTTTCCAGTGCTTGTTTATTACCAGTTGGCGCATAGCGGAAGACATGCGCTTTCACCAGTAGCTTTGACAGCATTGTTGACTAGGAAGTATGAAACAGAATTTAATGAGGAGGAAAGGTCTTATTTAGGGCAGTAAGCTAAGCAGTAAAAATTGGTGCCCACTAAATCCCTTTCAAAGTAGAATGTGAAAAGGCGCAATGGTCGCATTCGCACTAACAGTGTCGTGCAGTGTATAGTGACAGTATGGTGCCTGGAACGTGTATCTGACTGGTGTATTTAGCGCGCTGATCAGCCCTTGCATCAAAAGTCCTCCCGAAGTAAACACAGATGAAGTCACAGAAATCAGAGTGTCATGGTGTCGGGTGTTGCGATCCTGGCGGTTAGAAGTAGAAGTTCTGGAAAAAAAAGAAAAAAAAAAGCATGAGGGAACGCGATTGTGGCTGTGGTCGCAGCGTCCCGCCTCTTGGCTGCCGAAACTTCCGTGAACTGTTAAGCTAGAGAGCAAGTTGCAACAGAACAGGCGTCTGTTGCATCCACCACCGCTGCCACGACACCTCCAGGATCATGGTTGGCGACAGCATGGCACTTCTACGAAATCGGGTAGAAATCGAGTGGCCTCTTTTTAGGACGGGATAAACGCACCAGTCGGAGACGCATCGCAGGCACCGTGGCGACGTTTGCGTGGGTTACACAGCGGGCGTTCTCTCTTCCGTTGGCTGCGCAGCCTTTGTGGCGGGGGGTGGCCCGAGTCCCGGCGAGCTGCTCCGGCTCCTGGAGCAGTGCGACCTGAGCAACTCCCGCTGCTCCACGCCCTGCATGAGTCCGGCCCCTTCGCTGCTCGGTGGGGCGGCAACTTTGGCACGCCTCAGGGCCGCCAACCTGCTCCTGCTGGGACAGGCCCCGCACGAGCCACCCGAGAGGGATGGTCCTGTCCCCGAAGACCGGAGGGTCACGCGCTGCTGACCGCGCGTCGTCTGCAAAACGTCGTCTATCGAAGCCGACATTCCATGGATGACGTTCGACAGGCGGCGTTCCGCTATTGACATCCGGAGTGACCCAGGTTGCTCGAAAGTGACCAAGGTCATTCTGGACGTCGTCTGCTGAACGTCCTCTGCGGAACGTCATCTGCAGAACATCGTCTCTTGAATGTTGTCGACCGAAGGGAGCCAGCTTGCAATTTGGGAACTATGACACTCTTGTTTTTCGTCCCACGTAACATTACCTTGAGAGAGGCTAGGTAGGAGAAGGCCATAAACCGAAGGCGGTCTCATTAGGTTACGTGCAGATGAAGGCCCTATGCAATGCGCGTGTATATCCCTGAACTTTCGGTTGGCCCCGGCAGACTCGAAGAGCTCTGAACTTTTCGAGGGCCCTTCGGATGCCTCAACGCGATGCAGACTTTTTGGCCAAAAACACCTTCCAGCTGCGTGGCCGTACCCCTATAGCGTTTATTGTCTGCACTCAGTGATCTGATGTGGAGTGTAGATTGCGGAAGACTTGCAGGTGCCAGCGGTTGAGGTGCGGCTTCAAGCTGCGTGCCGCATAACGACTTCCAGCACTCTTAAGTCCATTTGGACGCCGGACATTGCTGTCGACATCATTGCCTAATCCGGTCGCTTGTTTAAAAGCTTCTGAATTGGCTGCAATTCTCTCGATAATTCGTTAGCCCTCTACTACTTTATAATTAAACATTTGACTGATAAGATCTCTATTTACGTGTCGAGTAGGGCATGACAATGATGGGAACTTCCCCCAGTGGTGTACCTTGACATCTGCCGATGGTACGAGGAATTTCTGACGTTAATATTAGACGGCTGGATTGAGTAGTGCAGAATTAGCCCAGTAAGGTTTATATCAATGAAGCAGAAATGACTGCAATTTCCTGACTACTGCTCAGTAGGACAGTCATAAGTATACTCAAGGTCATCATTGCTGCACAATAGAAAGTTGCTCTGTTTTGAGTACACACATTAGCATTTTTACTTTGTACTAATTAGATTTTTGTTTGTTTGCTGATTTAGTATCAACTCATATTTAACCACTGTGTCTATTTCTATTATCATTTTCGGATTTGTTAGATGTTTAGGCCGTCACCCAAGAAAATTTTTTTTTTTTTATGACGTTTGAATGAACTATGCATTGCCACTGTGCTTAAATGGTTGCCCCAGCGGTTGGGATAAAGCGCAAACTTTCGGCACTTTTTAGAAAATTTGAATGAGAAAATGGAAATCAGCTGAACCCAGAAAGACTGGAGATGAGTAGAACCTAATTACGAAGAAGCAAACTTCATTACGAAGAAGCCCGATATTGAGGCAAGGGAAGCAAAGCAGTACAAACGCAAAGTGTCTGATGCTGAAAGCGAACTTCATTTTCTTATTGAAATTTTTATAAAATTGGTTCTAACTTTTGAATTGGATAGCAATGGGTTTTTGTAACCATCTGCAACTTTGGCATCCGACCCAACTGCTCGAGCCACGATTGGTTGGAACGTGCGCTTTCAGCGGCGTGTGCATAGTTTTTTTCAGCGGCGCAAAAGGTGTATAGGTCACTTTTCTCGCGAGCTGACACCCGTATATTTGTCACAGCACTTACACTGCCGCACCAACTCTGTCAAAGGTGACTGGTGGTCATTGTTTGGAACGAAGGATGCCGTTGAATTCTACGGATATTACTTACAACTACATTTCCGTAGCCTAGGCATGTCTTCTGCCTCAGCTTTGTGTTTTGGAATTATTGAGTTCAGCAGTTGCGCACACTGGAACGTTGCTCGGGTGGTGTTCCATACGCTTCCCAACTGATGGAGAATCCATTGCACTCATCTTTACAAGTAATGTTTTGCTGGAATTTATGCCAGACTAAAGTCGTCTACGATTGAATTGTGATTGACACAATGACGGAATCTGCATTATGGGTGTTGGTCAGTCACTAGTGTGACAAATGACTCACCAAAGAGGAGCCCGACTTTGTAACCAAGACAGTGTATGTATATGATAGATGACTCAGTCAAGCGAAGCATGTATATTCTAGGTGACTGCTCTCTGATACTGGCTTTGTTGAGATTACCCAGTATGTATGGGGCTCATGATGAGGTACATCATTTGTTCTATGGGAATGCATGTGAACTTGTATGCCTGTATGTTATCACAACTAAACAGTATTTTGTTGCTGGTATGGCTTGTATTTTTCTTCATGGCAAATGACAGATTTGCTTTCTGTAAGGTACTGAAGAAGGGAGCTGTGTTTGATTATCTTACTATGACATTTGGTTCGCAAGCAGGGTGGGTGTTTACTACGTGCTTTATGACCCGGTGTATAGCGTGTGTACCCAAACAATGTAGTGTTGTTCTTCACTGCAAAAAAAGAACTATGCATTGCTGATTGCTCTGTCTCCACCCCAAATGTAGCACTTGTGGTCTGAACCGCATGCAGAAGTTTCAGTACCGTTAAATTATTCAAAAGTTATAAACCGGTGCCCGGATTCCTAGCCCCCAGCGATAAAAATAGAAAATAATAATCTCAAACGCAGGCTCTTGTGAAGACAGGGGCTGTGCATAAAACAAGATTTTTGCTTTTTACAGCACTCTTGGTATCGGTGTCGTAGTTGGAGCTTTGCGACCATGCATCTCTGACGTTCTTACACTACGATATGTGCGATGGTTTCTAAAAAAACCGAGGCCTGAAAAAAGTGCAGCCCCCCCCCCCCCCCCCCCCCCCCCCCACCTCTTACTGTGTCATGGGCCATGTTCCAAAATTTACTCGATCCTACTTCAGGGTAAGGGTTTTGTACCTTGGGGTTCTAAAACCTACCCATGTCTTACACTTTTCTATCTGTGTTGTCACGTGACACGACCCGCCTAAGTAACTCGGATCCATTTGGGTAAGATTTGGAACATATACTCCGTGTCATTAGTTGTGCGCTGTGCATGCGAAGATAACACCAGGCGAAGAGAGGAAGGGCGAGCACTAGGAGGGCGGAGTGGGAGAGGAGGGCACTAGAGGGCGAGGGGAGAAGGGGAGAGCGCTAGAAATGGTAGAGAGGAGAGGAGGTTTCTCCCTTCTGCTCCAGCCTTACTAGTGCTCACTGCCCCAGCCATCATAGTGCTTGCCCTTTCTCCCCTTGACTGGCGTTGCCTTCACTTGTGCTGCACACAACTAGTGACACGGAGTATAGCCTTGGTTTCATCATAAACAAACAGGGCAGCACCTATGGAACAGAGCAGACACTGTACTACAACGTTACTAAAACCCTCAGTTGAGAAACTCACCCTTACAACCTAGGCCGCTGGCGTCCACCGAGACCGAGCTAAATACGATAACAGTGCCACCCTTTAGCGACGAGTTGAAACATGAAAGCTGCTTTACATAGCTACTGCGAGATGGCGCCACCGGTCCCTGCCCGACTTGACGTACAGCCGTGCAGTTCCCGGAGTGAACGCTGTGGGAGAAATGGCGGCGTTGTGATCGCCATTAGCTCGGTTCTCGAGTACGGATCGGAGCCACTTTAAAGCAGGCTCTATGGCAGTTTCCCAACTGAGTGGTTCTAGTAACTTTGTTGTACTACAAGCAATTTTCTGAAATTTTCAATGGAGAAATGGGGCCCATTCTCAATAGTTGTTCCAATGTTCTGAAACTAGCATCTGGTTCGGAGTGCCAGTGCTACATTCGGGCGAAAACTGAGCAATGAACAATACATAATTTAATTTTGCTAAAAAAAAAAAAAAAAAAATGATGTGTGTGTGTGTGTGTGTGTGCGTAAAAAAGTGTGTGTGTGTGGGAGGGGGGGGGGCACAAGCTGAATGTGTGTGCTTTCTTAGTATTTTCGACGCTTCTTTTTGACTAGCAGAATGTTGCGACCCACCTGCGAAAGAAACATCTTTTTCCAAGAACGACGTCATTTGCCTTCCTCTTGCGCTTAGTTTCGGTTTCGCCCCTCCACACAAATAAGATTTTTTTAAATAAAATAATCCCCACAAGCTTCACCACCATATTTTTTTTTTTGTGCATATAAATCTATTGGGTCACTTCACTGGGTCACCGGTCTTAGTATTATGACCGTATTATATGTGGTAAAATATCACTAATTTTGATATTTGTAGCTCAATTAGTTTTTTTTGTTTTTTTTTAATGACTATCGGGCTTTTGGCGGTTTGTTGTATTATGGTAATCTTTCTGCGGGTCAGTCAATGAGTTAAATAGGCTAAATAGGCCTGCATAATATTTCATTGATAATCTCATTATTTATCCACTCGGATTCTGCAATATTCTTGGGTATTCCGCGCGGCCTGCAATGTTTCCGGGAGCAAACACAGCAGAACGGACGAGAAATGAGCGGCGCGAGGCCAAGCGAGAATGTAGAGATAAAAAGGGAAGTCCACAGACAGCCATCTGTTACGTGAAACCGCAACAACTCTTTTTTGTTTGTCCTTCGCGTTATATTTACTTCGTTTTCCGCTTCAAACCGAACCCCACCGGTATCGCCGGAGCCGCCGTCACGCCGCCCCTCGACGCAACGGGACAACACAATAGTTCCTCACGCACGACGGGAACGATTTTTCATTCAAGATGGCCGTGGCCTTTTGTCGCTAAAGGAAGCATGGCGCGACGGATTCAAAGCAGCAGCGTCCGGCCGAGCCGACAGCGCGTCGAGCCGCTCGAGCTCGTCTCTAGATGCCCCCACGTTCGTTTCCCACTGGGACCCGCCGAGCGGCCTTCGCCCCAGCGCCGGTGGTGAGCCGTTGGTGCCCGTGTTTCTGTCACGAGATCGTCTTGACAATGAAGGCCCGCCCTTGAAACACCGTCTTCCGCTGACCAGAGGACGGCAGGGGCGACCTTCCTCGACGGCAGCGAAACTCCGGTACTGTGTCGCCAAGTTTGCGCCGCTCTGTGCCGCCAAAGTGACGAGTGGTCGTTGCGCGATCACTTCGCGTTTCCGACCCGCCGCAGGATCAACACGAACCACAACAACAACAACAACATTCACGCGGTGCGTTGTCGGGACGGTGTGAACCTCGGCGGGCCCGCTAGACCACAGGTCATGTCTGCGACGGCGTCACCTCTGTCGTCTTTCCGCGTGCGCGTCAAGCAGGAGCCCGGGAGTGCGGCGATCTGCTACGTGTGCAGCGCTCCGGGGGCCGACTACCCGGTCCAGTCCCGGGCAAGGGACCGCGGACCGTACTTCCCGTTCCTGGAGACGCACGTGCCGCCGGTGGGCGCCGATAGACCCACCTCCGAGGGTGCCGTGCTCGCCTGTTCGGTGTGTTACTCGTTCCTCACGCAACAGTGGGAGGCCCACGAGCAGAATCGGACGCCGCGCAACAAGCGCATGTACTGGCTCAAGCGGAGCGACAACGGACCTTTCGCCGGCATGGACACGGGCTCGCAGGCGCGCCAAGAGAGCCCGGAGCAGCCGACGTCGCCTCTTCAACCGACGGCGGCGCTCGACTTGAGTCTGCCGTCGTTGACGACGGCGCAGGCCCCGCCACCGTCTCCGCCACCGTCTACGGCGACGGCTCAGGCGACGCCGTCCACAGGTGAGCTGTGCTTCGTGTGCGGTTCGCGCAGCTCCTCGCTCACCAGCCTGTTCACCAAGCCGATCGCCAACTGCCCGTTCTTCCCGAGCCTCGCGTCGCATCTTCCGCCGCCGGGCGCCAGGCCCCCGGATCCGGTGACCGGTCGTGCCGAGGCGTGCGAACAGTGCCACCGCAGCCTGCTCGAGCAGTGGGACGCGTACCAGCGGCGCGCGGCGCCGCAGGCCGAGCGCAAGTACCAGCTCCGGGCGAGAGCCTTCACCTGCTTCACGTGCGGACTGGAATTCCCCGTGAGTGTACAGCGCGCTGTGTCGGCGCTGCCGACCCAGGACGGGGCGCCCGGGTTCGCCTTCCTGCGCGGCGTCGCCCCGCCGCCGGGCGCCCAGCCTCTCAGTGCCTCAGGGCAGGTCCTCGTGTGCTCCATGTGCTTCAAGTCCCTGCAGCGGCAGCTCAGGGTCTTCGAGATCTCAAACGTGCCCGAAGGCAAGCGACACTTCAAGATCTTGCACGAGGCGTCCGCCACACAACCCTCTGTGCAGTGTGCCACGCCGTCGTCTGCGACGATGCCGTCGTCTGCCATAGTCCCCGGCATGTCTACCGGTGCTGCGCCGTCTGCTACACCCAACAGTGTCCTCCGCAAGCAGCTGCTGTCCCCGCAGACCAAGTACCTAGGTTGCTATCTCTGCGAGAAGATTGGTCCGTTGCAGGCCCTTGTGGCGTGCGAGACCGGTCCCCCAACCGTCCCGGGCGTGCCATACTTTCCGTTTCTTCGAGAGGTTACGCGCCCGATTGCGGCACGACCTCCGGACAACCAAGGTCGCGTTCTGCTCTGTGCAGAGTGCAAGGCGGATCTCCAGCACCAGTGGGATGCTTTCGAGAGTGCGGGACTTCCTCCGAACCAGCGGCGGTATCATGTCCCCGCGCAGACCACGCCCGCACAGGCGGTAATGCAGACGGCTTCGCTGCAGCAGACAGTGCCGTCCCAGGGTGTCGTCTGCTATGTTTGTGGGGAGCAGACGACGGAGACTTTTCCGGTGTCGGGTCGTGACGACAGAAGTGGTGGGCCTTTCTTTCCATTTTTGGAGAGTCACGTGGGTCCTGACGGCCTTTCAGGCACAGCCCAGGCCTGCACTTTCTGTTTTCACTCGCTGATGGCTCAGTGGCTTGCGTACGAAAGCTCTCCCCACGCCGAGGATGCTGTCAGGTCGTCACGTCGCTACAACACGCACCACTACGTCTGCTACATCTGTGGTATCACGACCTACAGGTGAGACAGTTTCTCCCTAATCAGACTTTAGCTTTCTCTTGCGGTGTCGACGTTTGGGTCAATATACCAACTTGTCAGCAACGAGGGACGCGAAAATTCATGATAGTGTGGAGTTAAAGTGGGGTAAAAAAAAAACTGTGCCCTGACGTGCGCTACAATCTGGTGTTATTTTGCACTTTGGTACTCAAAAAGGTGATTGCTTTGTTGCTCCATTAAACAATGAGGGAGAGTGGAAGAGGCTTAGTCCACAAGGTAGAGCCGGCACTAGATAACATAAAACCCTTGGTAAACAAAAAAAAAAAAAAAATTTAACTGCAATGAGCAGTTTAATTAACATTTTATCAACCATACACACTTTGTAGTTAAAGGTACAGAATAGTTCAATCCGGGTTGAAGAGAAAACACATGCACGCAGAAAACAATGCTTCAAACGTGCTAGCCGCTGCCTCGGTGGTTCCGAGGCGGAGTACCGGTTAATGTATCCCATATTGGCGGTTTTAATCCCCATCGAGGGGTCCACAATGGGGTGGAATTTTAAGTGGAAAAGGCGGCGTATAACAGAAATGTTTTCTTTTAAGTCGGTTATTGAAATTAATTCTTGGTTGTTTGCTGGTGCATGCCAGGCGCTTTTCAAGGGTTTTGCCCGTAAACTCCAAAAATGTACTTTTGGCAATGCACTAGCCAATTTTCACCCGACAAACAACCGAGGCACTCTACTAAAGAATCGTAAGACATTCACGGCGGAAATTTTTAACATTTTCCTACTCCCATTGATAAGATTTGGCAAAAAATGGCAACATTACAGAAATGACGCTTCAACATTTTGGTGGTGGCGATCGTCTACACTTCATTCCAGCATAGTCCTGGGAAATCGCGAAAACTAAGGCCCGATCGAGCCAATCGTTCCAATCAGCCTGCCTAGGCCGTAGCTTTTGCCATTTGCCAAATTATGCCGAAAAACTGGAGCATAGCTCTGGCCCTGCTTGAGGATATGACAGGAATTAGCGAGCGGAACATGCGACAGATCCTTTTCACCGCCAAAGACTAACCTGGTTCGTACCTGTCCTGCACTTCATCTATGCTGCAGGAAAGCTAGGAGCAGAAGATCGTCATCACCCCTTGTCTCTCCTAAGGCACTCCTTGGGGCTAACAGCCAGTCTTGTACACGTTACTCGAAAAAAGTAATTGATTAAAATTATGATTGCCCGTGGCCAAAAGTATTTATTTGGATTACTTCATTACTTCAGAAGGAATATAATTGGCCGTTACTTAAAAAAGTAACTGTTACTTAAAAAAGAAACCGTTACTTTTTCGATTACTTCAAGTTTTCAAAACAACAAATTTCTTGACCGGTTTGAAAACTGGTATTTCGTACTGTTCGATACTGAATTAGAATCACCGAATTATAAACCATTATCTTAATGTACCAATTTTGCTAAACCCTCCTCTTGTCGGAGACTGGTTTGAGGATTCCTGGGCAGAAAACTTGTGGAAACAAAGGTGCCATTAAAAGGGAAGGCAAAATAGTAACAATTACAGGTACTTTTAGTACTTTCAGAATAATCAGATTACTCTCGCAATTACTTCCTAATAAAGCTATTCAAATTGTTACTAAATTACTCAAAAAAGTAACCGATTACAAGTAATTTGATTGCTTTAATAAGTACCGTTCAAGTCCGCTAACAGCTCGTGAGAGTAGTCTTTGTGAGCTGTTGGAACCTAAGCCACTCAATACGCTACACTTAAGGGCATAGACTCTCCACTCCCCGACGTTCATGCTGGCGCCGCCACTTTGGTGTCCAGTGCAGTTACGGTTACGGTTCTAGAATGTGGCTTCCTGAGCTTTAGCTACGGTGTAGGGGAGCTGGGATGAGGTTGTTTTGCCTCGTTGCAGAACGTTGTAACATTCCTCGAGGGTGCAAAAACGTTCCCTGCAATTTCAGATCAGGCTTCGGATAACTGGCAACGTGAACTCAAGGTCCAAGATGGCCAAAGTTTTGTTACCGTAAAGTGTAGCTCGTTCAGTGGCTCTAGGGGAACCGACAAGCTCGTTCTTTTCCCGGACACGGCCGCCATTTTGGAGCGTAGAGTTAAGAGGTACAGGTCCCACGCATTCCGGCCGCTTCGAAACAGCATGGCATGGACGCCGACATCGGTGGTTCCAGCTTTTGTCTCCATTCATCGTTTGAAAGCGTTCAAACACGTTAGCAAAATTGAGCAGTGACAAAGGCAGCTAGCTTTCCGTGTATCCACTAATCGTTCTAGTCAGAGCTCGGTGCTCTGACGTCCTTGCGCTCTCATCACCTCCTTTCCCTTAGTTCCTACCCCCATAAAAATAAATAAGCCGGCTTGGTGCCTCCGAGGCGAGAGCGCCGGACTACGGATCCCCATGTGGCAGGTTCGAATCCCGGCCGAGGTGTCCGCAATCTGATGGAGGCTTATTGCGGAGAAGGCGCCGTGTAATTGAGCTTTCGGTTGCACGTCAAAAGATCCCCGGGTGGTCGAAATTAATCCTCAGTCCTCCGCTGGGGCGTGCCAGATGCCCGTCGTTGGTTTGGCACGTAAAACCCCCAAATTTGACATAAAAATAAATAAAGTTGACAATTACTCAAACAACTTCAACTCATTGCGGCGAAACAAACACGCCTAACCTATCGTCTGCCCTCTTTTTCCGTTCTTCAGTCGCTCTCTTTCTCATTCCTTCTGTCGGAACCATCAATGTCAGCGCCAACGATTTTTAGCGTTCTTCTCCCGTCCTTTGCCCCCCCACCCGGTTCTCGTGGGGGGGGAGGGACGACCCTGTGACTCCTCTTTGCGGGTGACTGGAGCGCGTGCCCTCCTCCCCTGGCAGGCGCCGCGTGCGCACCCTGACGGTGTGCGACTTCCCGTTCCTGCGGGAGCACCCCCGGCCGGCGGGTGCCCTCAGTCTCCGGGACGGCGTGGTGTCGTGCCTGACGTGCTCCGAGTCCCTGAGCAGCCAGTGGAAGGACTACGAGCGCATGCGGGTGCCTGTCGAGATGCGCAAGTATAACTGGATGGTGCTGCCGCCCCCTCCTGAGGAGACCCACGGGGTGAGGGCTCGGATCTTGAGTAGACCCCCTGCGGAGTTCGGCACCGCCCGGTGGTTCGAACATCGGTTCAAACTACGGTGTCTGGAAAGCGTTTCCGACTGGCGTGTCTGTCGTCCCATTCCGCGCTTGCATCGAAACTGGTTCCGAAGGGGCGACGAACGAAGTCGCGAGAACCGGAGTGTCGTGCCGTCAATGTCCCGCTCCTGGCGGTTGAGCGTACAAGTTTTGAATGAAAGCACGAGTCGTCGCGGCTTCCCAACTCCTGTTGCCGAAGCTTCCGTGAACTGCCCAGCTGGAGAGTGAGTTGCGGTAGGACGGGCGTCTGCCACACATCTAACACTGCTGCTGTAACACCGTTAGGATCGTGGCCAGCGACAGCGTGACACTTCTTTTACGTCAAAAAGTGGAAATCGAGGGACCACTTTTTTGGACGCGGTAAACGCACCAGTTGGAGACAGGTTCCAGGCACCGTGGTTTGAATCAAGGATGGTGCAAGCTTTCGTCAAAGTTTGAGGTTCAACTGGTTTGGAAAACCTTCGAACGTTTAGGAAGATTCAACGGAATAGATAAAGGATGGATTTTAATGGCTGTACCCTTTCTAACGCTTGGTAGCTTGCGACAGCTAACGTGAAAATGTGAAAAGCGAATGTTCGATTCCTCCCTTTTGCCCTTCTAAGCCATTTTCCTTCCCCTCTGCATTTCTGATGCAAAGGGGAAGGGTCGAACTTCTGATTGAGTTAAACTCTTTTTTAATAGAAATGCCTAATGTCAACGCAGAAATTTTACCTTTTGGGGAAAAAATAACTGAAAGGCACACAAAACCACTTTTTGCGATAGTCTATTTATGCTCATAACTCATCTATGAGCATCCTAAAAAAAAAACCAAACATTGCATTCATGTGTGGCCGATTTCTCCATTATAATCGGCATCAAAGATTGATTACCTCAAAACTATCGCAGACACCAGAAAACTTCAGTCGAACTTCGCTTTAAAAATTAAAAAAAGTTGAACCTAGACTTTGGCAGGTTTGCAACATCCCTCACAGAACACAGAAGTGGCTGAAGCTGGTAGGAAACACATTGAAAAAGTTTTTACTCGAAGCCTGAAAGTTGCAGCCTACATTTAACTATGTGACCACACCCTCAGGAAGTTTCGTTTCTTAGCGAAATGTTGTCTGTCGCTCTGAGGCTTCCAGGGCACTTTTTTAACACAGACTCCCGAGGAAAGTGGGACGAATGCCACGGAAACCAGTAGGAGATGTGTAACACATACTTCAGAGGACAGTCTGTAAAAACAGCGGTAAATTGAGAAGAAAACGAAATTCTAAATGTGGCCCAACGGGAATCGAACCCGCGACCCCACGATCGTGAGCTCGACATTCTACCACTGTGCCAATTGGTGGCTTTCTTTAGCTGACTTTGTTTTGCCCACGGTGATATCTACTAACTGTTCGAGCACGAAAACCGGCATTCATGTTAAAACAGTTTATGAGGAGAGGCAGGAAATTCAGGATGTGCCCACTACCCCATAAACGAGGTTAGAGTTTGGAATAATATAGCACGCTATAACTAAAGAAAAGTAAAAGAAATGCAAGGTCACTACAAACTTCGAAGAATGCCGCGGAAGCACATTTGTTGGATCAAGATAAATCGAGCATTTTCCTAGTCAAATAGAAGTCTAACTTTTGCCATACTAGCGGTTGCTGCCATGCTTTCGGGTAAAAACGTTACAGGGGTTGTGGGGGAGCTAGCGGTTAATTGTTTGCTTCGGTAACCGATTGATGTTTCGGGTCGGTAGGCCTCAACGTGACCTCTCGGCAGACTTTGGGAGACCGGTTTGTCGGCAAACCGTGGGCTAACGGCGTGTGGCGTAATTCTTCTCCAGATTCTTTCTTGCCAACTCCTTTGACTTCGGTACTTTGTAAATGCCTCTTGTTTTCAGTGCGTCAGTTACCCTATTATACTCTGTTTCACCTTATGATGTACCACAGGAAAGGCTACAAGCGCGAGCTCCTTGCTCTAGGGCACATCTCGGCAACACAAGCTCTCGTGCGTTAAGAGCAGCTCCCAATGCTACGAGCTCGCGCTTCTAGCCTTCTCTGCGGTACAACATAAGGTGAAACAGAGTATAGTCTGCCACACTCAGATATACACTCAAATGCCAGTCAAAGCTAATAGCACGATGGATTTCGCAGCTTATGAAAGTGAGTTCCACGTGTTTGTCTCCTCGCAGTCCGGTGGATCGTCTCCCTCAAATACGTCGGATCAGAGTCTGGCAGCTGACCAAGGTGAGTGGTCTTTCCGAGATGTAGGTTCCAGAGAGTATGTAGGAGAGCATGTCCAAGTGTGGTCTCGAGATGTTTCACAAATGTTTGGAATTTGCACTTCAAGGTGCTTCCGCTGTTAAGGCTGGTTCACAAACTTGCGACGAGGGAACACACTGATGCCACCTATTGGGTAGACTTGGGACTTCCCTATATTCCCTATTTTTATTCTTTCCTTAATGACTTGAGAAAGACAGGGTTAGAAACGACTATTTCTAATAGATACATTTGTTCTCGCAAATGCAACTTTGCTGTAGTGGATTGCAGTTCCAGGGCCACCTCCTGAAGTGTTCTTGTCAGGATAGATCACAAGAACTTGGTCGCAAGTTTAACACCTTCCACTGGCATTGCACATTGATGGTGTATGCCTAGTATTGCAGATACGTTTTCTCGTTATTGTAAGCATACAATATTATGCGGCTATTGAGGCGATATGTATCAAAGGTCGTGCATGTACCTTTCTCGTCAACACTGGTCATTGGAGTATTTTGACTCTAAATTGTCTTCTCATCACTGGGACAAGTGTGCTAGGTCTTACTGAGGATATCCGTTTTGGGAATGTAGGAGATAAGAATATGTTAGGCTGGTGCCATAAAGGCATTAAGCGAAGGTATTGAAATGCTTTGACAACTGTCTGCAACACGAAGTAGCTAATCGGTAAAATTTTTGAGTACTGTGTGGGCACTAATTATCCATTTAAAAACTGACAATGCCATTTTATTTATTTTTTTTTTTTTTTTGCTGCAAACAATTTATTGTGAATCCTGTTATGTAGCACCCCATCCAGATTTCAGTCTTAAATTGTGTCACTTTCTGTTACACTGCCCAGTTTTGTAAAAATTGAAAGGAAATGACAAAGATAATCTTATCGGGGTGTATTTGGTGTGGGACGAAAGCACCTGACTAAAACCGAAACTAATTTTACGCAAGACTTTGTCTCAACGAGCTAAAGAAAGAAAGAAAGAAAAAAAAAAGAAAGGTAACGAAACGTACGCACAAGGAAAGAAAAAGGCGAAGCGGGTTGCGCCATCTGGCGGGCGATTACGTCACCTCAATCCCTAAAATTGTGACGTGCTTGCGGAGAGTGTGGGGTACTCCGCGTCCCGTTTGCTCCAATGAGCTCGGCGCTGGTGTTTGAGGAGGGCTTCGAGGCCCCGCTAGAAGCGATCCCCGTCGGTGGTCAAGTGCCGCGTTGCCTTACGCGAGACACCGAGCCGATGTGGGCCGATGACTCTTCCCCGAGCCTTGCCTGAAAACGGACCGAAAAGATGTCGGTGCACCCGTTCGACGGCGGTCCCCACGGGTTCTTCACGCGGTCGCCGTTCGGATTTGTCGAGTACTTCGCGCTCCAAGGTAAGCCAGCCATCAAAACTACGCTTTAAAAACGCAAAAAAAAAAAAAAAAAAAAAAAGTCGTTTGACTTTGTAGCGAGCGCGATCAAACTGAACGTGGTTGTCCGACCCGCTGCATCGAGCTTCGCTTCGAGACGAGAGGGTTCGGCTTCACCGCTACGCACCTACGTTTTGAGGTGAAGCGGTCGTGCTCGTCTCAAAACCGCGTTTTCTACGTTGGGTAACTTACGCTTGACCGCGTCTTTCTTTTTCGTCGTCACCCGCTTCGCGTGTTTTTTTAAAGAAGTTTTTATTTTGACTGGTTCTCGTTTGATTGATCGAGCTGGAGTGTTTTGCTCAGCGATGAGCTCATCCTTGTTTTGTTTGTCTTTGCTTTTTGTTGGCGTATTGCGGCGCGGCGCGTGAGGTGGTGTGTTTGTTTTCCCGTTTGCGGGCGTCGGTGGTTGGCTCCTTGCGCGTGCTTTGAATAATGGGTGACCGCGGTCGAGGGGTCGAAGGGCGAGGGGGCGCAGATCGATGGGGGAGCTCGCTTTTCGGCAAGGAGAGGGCGCCCCGAATTCGGCTGCCGCTTCGAAGCGCCCACGCGCGGGAGGGTGCAGTCCCGTCTTGTGTCGGACTCCCGTGGTCCCTGGAAGTCGCTGACGCTTGGCACGTGACCGTCTTCTTTCAAATGCCTCAACCCCACCCCCCCCCCCACCCCCCCACCACACACACACGCAAAAGAAGGAAGAAAAAAAAAAGATGTATTTTAAATTTGTTTTTTTCTCCGCTTGCAATTTTTGTTTGCGGCTTTTTTTGTGTGTGTGTGTTTTCTAGTGTTATGGTGCCGATCTTTGATGAAAATAAAATATAGGGAACATGTTAGCTGGTTGAAGCGTGTTTATTAGAGCACCTGGGTACAACGAGGACTTTGTGTTTGCGGAGTTTATTTCTCGTGAAATTCGGAGGGTGTCTTTCGGAGTTCGTTTTTCCCAGAAAATTGGTGGTTTATCGGAGTTTATTTTTTGTTAGATTCCCAGTTTTCTGAAACAGAATAAATAAAGTCCGGGTACCATGAGCCGTTGTCCTGAAGGAACCTTGATGAACTAAAAGGCAAACCATTTTTGTCAGTAGTTTGAGATTTGAAAGCAAATTGAAGAGGCATCTCCTCGGGACCACTGACTGCTCTTAATTTGTTTATAACTTTATTTATTTTTATTTTTTCTAAGTTTATTTGTAAAACACCGGTTTTTTTGCTTTTGATTTTGTTATTGTGACCTCAAAATTTTGAGTTTTTCGGATAAACCTAAATTAATGAGAAATTTACCGACGAGTGATATTCTGATTTTTTCGTATTTATCTAAAAACATGGATCCCTAGGTATGACTCAGCTGGTTGTGCATCTTGCTGAGAAGGGGGGGGGGGGGGGTTGCAATGAAGGGAAAAGTAAAAAGGGGAGGGGGAGAAAGGTACGGGGAAAATGTTTACAGCAGGGGCTTAAACATGCGGCCCACGACTCAGTGGGACATGGCTTGCAGGCAGCTGGCTACAAGCCCCGGTTCCCATGTCTCGAGCGCTAGAAATGGCATACACCATAGTGATCTCATCTAGCGGATTCATTTTCGCTCGAAAAGTAGCTCTACTCTTTTAATGTGTTTACTTATCTGTGATCATTTTGCCTTTGTTTGGCTTTATTTTTTGCTTCCCAGCTTTTTGTAATGTACAACAAGCTGCAAGCGCAAGCTCTTCTTTGAAGGATGCATGTCGGTTGTGCGAACTCTCGATCAGGTGGAACAACTGCCAAAGATAAAGCTACGAGCTCGGGTATCACCATTAAAAGAAGATAACTATTTGTTCAGGGTGTTGTATTAAAAATTGTCAGGAAAGCAAAGACTGTCAAAGTAACTTTTAGAGACATGTTGAGCTGCATTAATTCCCGATTGAATTGAGCAACGGGAACGGCAGTTTACTTGCCTTTTTGTTCTAATAAAAATGCGAGCACGTTGGCGGGACGGTGTTATTTTAATTCTTGTTATCTCATCAGGTCAGGGCCAAAAGTAGTCATATAAACAAATCAAATTTAAAGATGTCACTGGCAAAACTGTGAGTTTACAAAAAGCATAGAGCACAAGGTCTCCTCACTTATAAATCTTCTAACTACCCCCCCCCCCCCCTTCATCTCTGCATTGGCCCTCGGCCTTTCCGGCGTCGGCTATATGGCCCCCACACTCAAATGAGTTCGAGACCACTGGTTTACAGTATGAAACCGACGGCAAGAATGAGTGGTGTTGATGTCGCTGGCCTGTAATAAGGCGGAGTCTCTTGAGGGGGCGGTTCACCAAATGATACTCTAGCGAATAGTCGGGCGCCACGAAGCGGCGTTTACGTGTGGGCCAACATACACACACGTGGGTTAACATTTTTGTGATGAGCCGCCGCAGACTGTCGCCGCGAAGCGTAGCGCGGCAGGTGGGTTAACACATGGCCCCGTTATTCCCCCGGAGGCTCCGCCTTATTGCAGGCCGGCGACATCAATACAGAATGAGTAACTACTGTAAAGTACCAGACATGCACCCACTTCAAATTTAGAGATAATCGCCAAAAAATGGGGGATGGGCGCTTGTCCGGTCATCAATTTTATATATCAATCTACTGTGTATTTTCTCAGATCGTAGACATTTGGGAATGGGCACTTATGTGGAATGGGCGGATGCACGGTATTCTATGGTAAATAAGTTAAAAAGCCGCTTTTTTTTTTTTTTCTTGTAAATGTATGCTTTACTGGTTCAGTTGTTGGACAAAGCACTGAAACGTCGGCTGGCTACATTTCATAAAATGCGAAGTGAAAGGGTGAGATTCTCTGCAATGGGTCACGTCTATCGAGCCACTTCCGATGCTTGAAAATTCTCGCACAAATTAAAGATATAGATGTTACAATTTTCCTTTTTTAATGATGTGAGAAGATGGCTCTTGTTTAATTTTTCCTGACTTGTCGTCCTGCCACATAGAAGAGGCAATTTTTGATTACAGGCTGTAGTTCGTACGATACAGCTTTAGAGCTGTTCTGTCCTGTTCATATGTCAGCTTTAGAGCTGACATATGAACTTTTTCGAACGTCAATTATATCACTGAAAGAAATATTAAGGAAGGAATTCGATTTAGTGCACATAGTTCGTCACAGTTTCAATTCATTTTTGCGCTGTAAGTTTCGTTTTCACAGTCGCTGTATGTTGCGTGGTGTTTTAGAGTGAGGATCCAAAAGAGGGCTGCAAAAAGTCTCCTGAAACATGTTTCGTTGGCGTCGTCTGTCTTCCACCCATTCCAAAATGTCCTCGTTTCTTTGCTTTGATGGTTGCAAGGTATTTGACACAGATAGCTGCCTGTTTATTGTAGACTATTTGCTGCATTGTCCACTACTTGCTGTTTTATTCTTTGGCGCTCACCCCTGCCTTCCTGGGCTGGCGGTCTGTGGTAGTTCCAAATAAATTAATACTGTAAACAATCTAATTTTCGCAAAACTTAATTCTCGTGAATTTCCTTTGTTGAAAACTACTGCGAAATATTGATCACGTGAATATATCGCCTGATGGAAATGAATGCCTAGCATACAACTTCCAAAAAAAATTTAGAGCCCGCGAAATATTTCTGATTCTCTAATTTTGCAGGACACACATATATTGAACTTGTGAAAATAAGGTCACTTACAGTAGCACTTTGTGGTCCTTTGCCTCCCGAGCTTTTTGGACGTGAATATATCTTCATTCGGACGGAATCCTTCAACACCTGACGTCCTGCAGGGTTCCCGTCCAATCCGGGGTCGAAGCTCCTGCAGCCGACTGCATCCAAGCCGAACCAGACGAGCCTGGCGCTGAACGCCACCCGGACGTCCAGTTTTGCCGCTGCGCTCCGCAAGCTCGCCAAACAGGCGGTGGACCCCGGCCTCGGTTTGTGGCCTTAGCCTTGGATACCCTCTCATAGAGTTAAAGGGACACTGACACCCCCCAAATTTTTTTTTTAATTTTTTGACAGGCGCTTTATTATGGTGTCGGAGGACTACCCAATTAATATTTTGCAACAGAGTAGCGTATTTTTTTAATAAAGTCAAAAGGCGCAACTGCTCGAAACCGAAACCGAAACCCGACGGAGGTCGGAGAAGTGGAGAGAAGAGAGTGAGTGGCGGAAGTCACGTGGCTACACCCGACCATGTTTTTCTTTTTTTTTTTTTTCTCCTTCCCGGTAGCAGACGACATGCGGTGTTTGGGAACTGCTCGCCGTGGGATTCTTTTGCAGTTATGTATGTTCCGCTCGTTGTTCTCTACTCCAAGATGAGTTGTTTTGTACATTGAGGAGTTGGAGATGAGTAGTGAGTGCCCGTGGTGAATTTTGATCGGCTCCGAAAAGAATACACCCAAGATGTTGCGTGAAAAGCTGGCTCACATGTCCCGCGTCCGAAACAGAAGTGGCATTGTGCGACAGAGTTTCCGAAAGATCAACGGGATGGGGACCAATGGCTGGCTGCAATTCCTGTAAACCATTTACGGGCACCTCGGAAAGCGGACACTACCTGATTTATATGCTCCTTGTATTTTGTGGAAAGTGATTACAATAAGTTCGCAGGTGTCAAAAAGGATATCCCATACCATCTAATTCAGCGACGTGTCGTCCACAACATTTGTTTCCTCTTTTTTTTTTTTTTTTTTTCTTCAGTAATAATTGTAAAAAAAAAAAAGAAAAGAAATGTAGACATCAAAAAATATTTAGAAAAAAAAAAAAAAAAAGTTTCACGGGGGATCGAACCCGGCTCTACCGCGTGCGAAAGGGACGCCTTTCCCACTGAGCTACTGGGGCATATCGAAAGTGGGGTATCTTTCTCCTTGGTAATAATTCAGCCGATAAACTGTAAGTTGGAAAGTTTGCTGCCGATTTTTCTCTAGCAAAAGCACTCCCGGGTCGAAGTCGGGATGCACCACGCATTGGCGACATTCTCACCTAGTAAAGAAATCGTACGCGTGCATATTCCACTCGAAGTAGACACGTCGCGCTTGACGTTTGTGCGAGCGATGTCTTCAGCCACAAGAAGGGAGCGACGGCTCGGCGACGTCTTCGTGCAAATCGGCTTGGTGGTCGGGCGTGTCGTACGGGATGAATACCAATTCTTTTGACCAGTCCCGAATTTCTCTTTTAAAGGCAGACAAAATTCGCCGGTACCGCGAACGACAGTTCTGAAATAGAGGTCCCACGCCCGTCGTCCGCTGCCATCGCCGTCCCTGCGAGTCCCACGATACGCGAAACGACGCACGCACAGAATGCTTCCGGTTGTCTGTCGAACTTTTTTTTCAATCAACGTATTTGGAGCTTTTTAGAAGCCACAAAAAATGGGTTTTCTATTTTTTTCTATTTTTAATATTGAGTGTGTGCTTTCAGTGACCCACGACTTTGATTAAATTTGGTGGTCGCATCGATACCTTAGAAAACGGCCCGTGACCGCGGAAAAGAGAGTGAGCGAGACTCGAACCGGCCAGTTCTTGATCGGCGGTTTTCGGGCGGAAAAAACCGAATTTCGAGCCGCAAATTCTGTTCTGGGTAGTTGAGCTCTCATATGTCACGTACAACTAAAAACCTCGGCGAGCATAAATACCCTGTCAGTGTCCCTTTAATATGGTGATCTATAGTCAGTGACAGGTTAAGAGTTCAGGGGAGGTTCCCCCCAATTCTTTCTACTTTAGCAGAGCAAGCGCTGGAGAAAAGGCGATCTGCCAATGTGGAAACGGATGGGAGGAGCTTCCCCTGAACTTACACTATAGAGGGAAAGGTCACTTGCATACCGTCTGCTTCAAAACGGAAAGGCATAGACTCTGGTGACGCCTTAATATACACAAAGAAGCAGCAATGCATGACCGGTATGGCCTGTGCCTAGCTCTTTCCTTGCTTACTTTGCAGAAAAACATAAGTATCGACATTGTGTAAACATAAATCAATTAAAAATGGAGAACAACAGAAAAGCGGAGAAAGAAAGCAAACGGTAGGTTAGGTGCTTTCGTTTTGCTGCAACCAGCTGAATTTGCAAGAATACAATTTTTATTGTCGGGCTTGACTGATGAGGCAGGGCTTCGCGGACCCCTAGAACGCCTTTGCGGGCCCCCTTTGAGAACCAGTACTCTAGATTATTACGATAACTCCGGGGCACAAACCTGTCTGAGTGTGTGGTGAGGACCCCCGTGCCCCTTTCAGACAAGGAAGGCGTGCCCAGCCTGGGCCAGGGGCTGCCGTCGTCCAAGCGAGGTCCGTCTACCTTCGGCCATGACCTCCACCCCCTCCCCTCTCCGCCCCTCGCCACCTCTGGCCTCGTTCCGGAGACCAGGAAGGTAAGGAGTGGATCACTCATTCCTCTTTCGCCGAGAGCTGGGATAACTAGCCAAGCCATTTCTAGAACGTCCTCGGGGTTCCGTGTTTTCTGGGTTTATTTTCCTTTGAATTGAGGGTGTTTTTTTTTTCAGAGTTTACTCTGTCCGTGTCGTTTCCCTGTTTGTACTTTGAAGAATGAACCAACTATTGGCATCGTGCGCAAACTGCAGGGGGTGCTTCTCTAGCTACCATCGTAATCATTTGCGACGTTGCTGGTTGGACAGACTGCGCACATCCTTCGTCGGTTCTCTTCGTGAGCTGTTTGAGTAACGCGCGGCAAAGTCTGTTTCACGCAATCTGTTTATTTGGCGAAGTAATGTCTGTAGTAGGGCGTTTTAGCGAAGCTTGAAAATGTGGCACGTGTAGTCGTGCTAACAAACACTTTTGGCACTGAAGTATCCATTGGCACAACAACGAAAGAATTTGCACCTGAAGTTTTTATGCAGTATTTATTAGAATACAACGGGCATTAATAGCTCATCGTATTTATTACGTACCTCCAAATTACATACCCAAACGAAAAGATCACTTGCATAAAATACTGTAACTTCGCACCAATACAGAATTGGGCAGAAAGATTTTTTTTTTTTTTTGTAAAATTCTTTAAGAATTGTTATGCCTTGTCTTGTGAAATTGTTTGTGCCACAAATGCTGAAATATTTTTCTTGCGTTTATTCGTCCCCTTTGCTAATGCCCGACGGCACTGCAGGACCACCATGAATAAAGAATAAAGAAAATGGTGTTGAATTGCTCGGATGGTGGTGTGCTCTTCTCTACCCCAGTACAAAAGGCTGGATAATAAAAATAGAGTACCCGGCACTTTAGTCCACTACATCTACCACGGCAAATAGGGTGTGTTTCGACTTAGAACTACGTCTTGGAAAGGGGTGCAAAGGTTGGGGATTCGATGTCACGAAAACTTGGTCACGGAAGTGACGGCACGCAGATCGGCGCCTGCTGCTGAGAACTGCGCAGTGCACGTGCACTCTTATTTAAATGACTCGCTCATTTGCTCGCTTTGTCGTGACGCGGTCCTGGCTGATTGAAGGGGCGATAGGCGCCGCTCCGGCAGCCGTGATTTCACAATCTTTGCTCATCCCTCTGGACAGCGGCCGAACGGCCGAGCTCGCATATTTTGCGGCGCGGGCAGTTAACGTGACTCGCTGAAGCGTTCACCCTCCTCTCACACGTAATTCTACGGAAATGTATGCAGCATAAAACACCTATGCACCGACCATTTTTTTAATTATGATTGGAGAAAATAAAACTGAGAACGGAATGTCTCGTCAAATTGAAAATAGGAAAGTGAAATTCGAAAACCTCTCACGTGTGTAGTAAACACTTCAGTGAAAGCGACTCTGTGTATCCTGTTGGTTCCAATATGTTCAATGAGTGTTGGTCTCTTATTAGTTCCAAGTTGATTCCTTTTTGAATTATGGAAACCAGTAAACAAACATTTTCTCAAAATAACTGGCTCGAAGAAGCGGTAGCTGGCTCGAAGAAGTGGTAGCTGGCTTCGGGAGTTGTTTCAACTAAATCTCTGCTTAGTCACCCGATCGACACGAAACGTGTGAGGACCCCTCACGATCGAAGTCTGTTAATTCTAGTAAGTCGGTGACACTTCAGTGTCCCGAAAAATGAGGTACACACCTGCTACGAATTACTACCGTTTGTATGTTTTATTTTCCGAACCCAAGAATTGCGCATAATGCGTCATGCGCTGCTCAGCTAGTGATTTTAAATTTGTAGACAATTCTTAGTAAAAATTTGATAGAACAAATTAATCAATCGTCTGAATTTGCCGGGCCATGTCCGACAATTTAAGAATTTATGAAAAGTTTTGCTTTTTTTCCGTGCAGAAGTCGCGATGAGAGAAACTTCTTTCTTTGCCACGTATTCGATGCGGGAGGAGCTATGCATAGGTTTCCGACGAGCATTTGCTCTTCAGTAACTGTTGAGTCACACTTGGATAGAAGCGTCAGTATTGGCAAGATCGATGTAGCTAAAACGAGCGTGCGGCGCTTTGCAACAGAACTGTACACCTGTGCGCACCTAAGATGACAGCACATCATTTTACTCTGGGGAATGCAAAACCTTTTCCTACAGGAGCCTCCACAGATCCGAAAATTCAAGAATCAGAGAGGCCGTGAATAGCCCGGAAGCATGCCACACAGGCTGGAATGGGAAGCTCCAGGCTTGTTGTTGAACTTTGTGAAGTTTTTTAATATAGGCAGGAAGCAACTTTCAGGTCTTGTTATTCATTACAAAGCTCACTCACAAAAATATCATACACATTTTTTTTTTAATAAACAAACCGTTTTTAATCGGCATAGATGCGAACTAACATAGCCACTTCGTGCTATTACATGGTGCGTCGTCTGCTCGCACCTACCCGCTACGTCGCGGGAGAGCGCCTGTGAAGTGGCGTCAGTGGCTACTGACAGGCTGAGATAAGCAGGGAGGGGCTTCTATTGTCCCGCCTCCAGTGCGAGCTTCCCACCTTCAACAATGCTTCAGTCTGTTGTGCGCCGTGAGCATGTGCACGCAGCCAAGACACGGCACGGTGGAAGGCATGGAGCGTGTGCTGGAGGCTGGGCTTTCGATAGATGCGCCTTGTCGTTCTCCATCTGTCAGCGACCATGGCCCAAACGTTGATGTGATGCTTTTCATTTGTCTAAGGATTGATTTGTGCCACGTGATGCGTGTTGCTTGAGGGGTGGCCTTTCAATGTGACAATTGCTTATCTCTTCAGGCCCTGGACCTGGGTAGCCTGGCGAGCCAGCAGCACCGGCTGGAGGCCGCCAAGATGGACTCCCCCGCCGCCATGGACTTCCTGGCCGCCAAGCGACTGGCCGGACCGCCGTGAGTCGCCATCAATCCTACAAGTGTCCCATATCTTCCACATAAATTTTGGGGAGTGCGTTGGACCCATTCAGAGACATGCCAAATTTACAGCAAGGAGTTGAACACTCTTTGTGACACCAAAGATTTCGGATGCTACTTGTGAGAGTAGCGACTATGGACACTCCTCATGACAGCTAGACATACTAATGCTCCTTGTGACAGCAGGGAGTACTAATACTCCTTATGACAGCAGGGAATTTCAGTATTCCTTATGACATCAAGGTGTAGAGGTATTCTTGTTACAGCAGAGTGTTAGAATACTTCTTTAAACAGTAAGGCCCATCTTTATCTTCAGAAAAAAACAGAGTATGTCATAGAGCTGTGAGAAGGAGGCAATTCACAAAATCCGGGCGGGGGCTCATTGGACAAAAGGCAGAAAAAAGAAAGGCACTCAATGCTGCTGACCGTAATCCTGCCCCAAAAGGAGGGGAGCCGGTCGCTCCAGCAGGACGACAGATTTTATGTGGGCCGGTTGCACATTCTTTGCAGCTCCCCGCACACTCGAGGGTTAGCAGACATCCGTGACGCGGTGCACATGACCTCAAAACTTGATGACGTTTAATCCCCTTTTTGGAGAAAAGTTTCATCATGCACATGCATCATGTGGAGTTTGAATACTCTTTCTGAGAATAGGGAGTATGGATACACCTTGTGACAGCTGGGAGTACTAATTCTCCTTGTGACAGCAGGGAGTTTGAACACCCCCCTGTGAAAATAAGAAGTTTGGATACTCCTTCTGACTGCAGGGAGCTAGGATTCTCCTTTTGACAACAAGAAGTTTGGGTACTGTTTGTGACAGCAAGGAGTTCGAATACTCTTTTTGACTATAAGGAGCTTGAATGCTCTAATTTAGAGTAAAGAGCAAGGAATTTAGATACTTCATCTTTGAACTCAGTTAATATGGATCAAGAGGGCCGAGAAATCTTGTGAAAAGATCGCAACACGGACTGCCGCGTTGCTGCCCCTTCCAGGGTGCCCGACAGCCGGCAGGACTGTCAGAGGGGCTTCCAGCCCTACAGGAGCAACAGTGGCAACAGTGCGGGCAACCCGCCCGACGACCACCGGCACCCCGGCGGCTTGGCGCCCCTGCACCCACTGGCGCCCTTCGAGGCCGGGCCGTACGGCTACCACCCTCCCCCCTTCCTGCCCCCACACCTGGGACACCCTGCCTACAGGTGGGCACCCCGTGTCGTGCCGACTAAGCTTGCGGTACTGTGGCACGGCAGCCTCTTTTCAGGCTCGGCTGGTGACATGACTTCTTTGCTGCGTGAAGGATAGCGAAGATTGGCGATTCTGCTTTAAAGGCACACTGAACATTGAAAAAAAAAAAAAAAATCTTTTATGGGTGCTTGGTTAGGACACAAATGTCATAAGTTGAACTTTTCCCCCAGAAGTATCTTTTACCGCAATAATTATGTTGGGAGACTCATTTTCAGTTAGGAGAGGATATTTTGGGGATTGGGCGGACTCTCTCCTGTGCTCTGGGAATGTCCTTGGAACCCAGTTCGAACACTCCAGGGTTAGGCCGAGGTTTCCAAATCACCTGTCCTGCAGTGGAACCACTCTGTAATACATAAAACCATTATCTTAGAAGGGAAGAATATCTTCAACGCATTGGTGTCTTTATTATATAAGCAACTCAAGTGTGTACCAGTGCTGCTAATGTGTTTCAACATTGCTTCACTACACTCATGAATGAATGAAAACATCATACTGTAAAAAGAGGGGACACAAGAAAAGGGGACAAATGCAACACCGTTTGAGACGGTGTTGTGCTTGTCCGCTTTTCTTGTGTCTCCTTGCCTCCATGGTTTTTCACTATGATCGCTCGCCAGCTTCCCAGCGTAATCACCCTTATTTTTTTTAATGAAACGATCGCTTGTCTATGATCAGTGGCTTTGAGGTGTGAAGAAAAAGGTTGTGGGGGGTTAATGGGAAGGGACAAACGACTCATATTTTAAAGCATTAGTACCTACATGACTGGAAAATCTGACGCCGTTCGTCTGGAAAAAGTAGTGGAAAGAGAAGTGCGCCGTGTAGAGAGGAGAGTAGTAGAGGACAAAGGCGAGAGGGAAGTGACGTCACAAGACAGAAGCCAATCTGCACGCGTGGATGCTCCGGCCAGTCAGAACTTGCAGGTGTGTGGAGCGTGTGTGCCTTGGTTTGTGTTATAAGGTGGAGTGTGAACCAAGGACTAGCACTGGTCCAAGTATGCGGCAAAAGAAGAGGGATTGTGAGCGAAGAAGACGGGCTGCCGAAGCCGGTGAACGGCGAAAGCAGCGTCGGGCAGCGGATGCCGCTGCTAAGCGTGCAAAGCGGGCGAATGAGACGGAGGAGAGGATGCGCTGCGCCTAGCTAAAGAAACCCCCAAAGCCAGAAAGAAATTAAAGGAAGATCCATTGATGGATCCTTAGAGATTGTGTTAGCATGGCCCTTTGAAATGCCTCACACGTCCCGTTTTGGGAAACGCTAACACTGACCTTGTAACAAAGCCAAAAAGAGGCAGTAAAAAATAGAGGAAGCCAAAAGAGAAAAATGAAAGGGTCAGCGTTAGCATTTCCCAAAGGGGGGTGTGTGTGGCGTTTTCCAAGGGTCAGGCTAACGCATACCCTTAGGATCCACCAATCGATCTTCCTTTAATTTTTGTTTCTGTATCGGTCTTTACTAATCAGACGTTCTACTTTTTAGGGTATGTTCATAGACAGAGCGATTGCCCAAAAAAGCTCTCGAAAAATGCCTGCTTTTTAGAGCGCAGCTCTTAGGGGCCCGTTCCCGGCTTGAGCGCCGTCGGCATCGGCGTCGGCGTAACCAAGGTCATCCCAAGGTCACTTGACCCCCAAGGTCATCCCAAGGTCACGTGACCCCTCCCCAAGGGTCATCGGGGGTCACGTGACTCCCCAAGGTCACATGACCCCTTCCCCAGGGTCACGTGACCCCCAAGGTCACGTGACACCCAAAGTCACGTGGCTCTCCAAGTCACGTGACCCCCGATGACGTCATCAGTGACGTCACTGATAACGTCACCGGCATCCGCATCGTCATCATCACTGATGACGTCACCGGCATCCGCATTGTCATCATCACTGATGACGTCATTAGTGACGTCACTGATGACGTCACCGGCATCCGCATCGTCATCATCACTGATGACGTCATCAGTGACGTCACTGATGACGTCACCGGCATCCGCATCGTCATCGTCATCATCACTGATGACGTCACCGGCATCCGCATCGTCATCGTCATCATCGCTGATGACGCCATCAGTGACGTCACTGATGACGTCACCGACATCCACATCGTCATCGTCATCATCACTGATGACGTCACCGGCATTCGCATCGTCATCGTCATCATCACTGATGACGTCATCAGTGACGTCACTGATGACGTCACCGGCATCCGCATCGTCATCATCATCATCACTGATGACGTCACCGGCATCCGCATCGTCATTGTCATCATCGCTGATGACGTCATCCGTGACGTCACTGATGACGTCACCGGCATCCGCATCGTCATCATCGTTGATGACGTCATCAGTGACATCACTGATGACGTCACCGGCGTCCGCATCGTCATCGTCATCATCACTGATGACGTCACCGGCATCCGCATCGTCATTGTCATCATCACTGATGACGTCATCGGTATCCGCATCGTCATCGTTACTGATGACGTCATCAGCATCGTCATTGTCACGTGACCCCCCTAGGTCACGTGACCCCCCACCCAAGGTCACTTGACCCCCCCAGTACCCTTCCCTCCTCCTCCTCAAGAGCTGCGCTCTAATTCGGCGTTACAGGGAGTTGTAAACGGCTTTCACTTTTTTCTTCTTCTTTTGATGCTTTAGGATAGTATTGCATAGCACTAGAAAAAAAAAAACGTTCGGCCAACGTTGAGCCATGCATGCCGGTGCAGGCTGGAGGACCCCATGTGCCAGTACGGCCTGCTGCGCCCTGCGCCCCCGATGGTGTCGGCACCGGCCATGCCGCCCTTCTACCGGTACCCGCCAGCCATGCAGCAGCAGCTGCCCGGCACACTCGAAGGACGCAAGGACGCCAGCCACGGGATGGGGGCGCCCTCGAGAGCCAACGAATCGCCGCCCGACAGTCTCGGTACGGTCCGTCGAAGCTGCTCGGTGCTCCCAATTGCGTGGGGTCTAAGGGTGCCTGGGAATTTTTAGTTTTATTACTATTAAAAGGCTGAACCCCGTCACATTTTGTAGATTAGGTGGAGGCAGTGGCGTCACGAGGGGGGGGGGGGGGGGGGCAAGCGGGCGGGGCGGGGCGGGGCGGGGCGGGGCGGGGCGGGGCGGGGCGGGGGGGCGGCGGCGGGGCGGGGGGGGCGGGGGGCGGCGGGGCGGCGGCGGGGCGGCGGCGGGGCGGCGGCGGGGCGGCGGCGGCGGCGGCAGACTGTCCCAGGTGCAGCGCTCGGGCGGTGTCGCTGCGTTGCTACCGCCTCGAGTGCCACTGACCCTACTGACGCCACTGGGTTGAGGTTAAAGGGACCATGAAATGATTTTAAAATTGAATTTCATCCACCGCACGTCGTAAAAGGTGTGAAAAGGAACACAAAAACACAAGACTAGGGAGCCAAAAAAAATTATTTGCTATAGAACTTTTAAAAGAAAACTGGACTCTTTTGCGACTTCTTTCCTTCGAAAGCTCTGCCTTTTCACTACGATGCATACGCAGAAACGGTGAACGTCAGCCGAATCCACATCGCCTATTGGGTAAGAGCCTACCTCACCAGCACCGCGATCGTAAACAATAAATAGCCGGCGAATGTTTCCTAAAAGTTTTGTTAAATAATATTCAGATCCACATTTTGTAGCATAATTAGAGATGTGTGTCGAAAATTGCCAAATTTGATAATGCTGAGAGCCAAGCGCCATCTATCGTGTGGTAAACGAAGCAACTACTGCGCGTGCGCAGTAGGGCAGGGCCAAGTTCAGAACGGTTATTTCCTTTGGTTTCCTTCCTCTCAAAACTCTGACTGACTGAACGTTTATTTTTCTACGTGTTCATCTCGCGCGTGCCGACTTCAAGCAGCAAGAAAGAAATGTACTTAAAACAAACCACGACGAACAAGAACGCTGGATCCACAAACACTTGAGAAGAGCGACAACAGCCGCGAATCCCGCTCCGACGAAGCTCTCGGAATATAGGCCTAGCAGGCACTCCGACTCGGCGCAGCGTTGCTTCGTCGCAAGACCGTCTGCCTACGACCGGCTGGCGTACTGAATGGAATATCCCCGCGCTACCCTTGTGGACCCTTCCGTATTATAGTTTGATCGCTGACCTCAATTTTAGGTTAAGAGGTGAGGTCAATCTCTTCCCCTTGTTTTCCGAGGCAGTGTTGACGAACACTCGTCGAAAAGGGACCCTCGTCGATCCTCTCCTTGTTTTGTGTGATATAGAGCTGAAATAAACACTGTATGGATTACCTTCGTAGCACGGTATGTACACTTGGTTATTGGTATGCCATTTTTATTCTGACAGACTGCACGTCACTGTCGATCTGTAACAGTTCGTGGGAGGTATACGTGCAATACCGGTCCAACCTTTCTTTGCCGAGTGTCGCGTCAGTATCGAGTTGCAATTGTAAAAGATCGGTCCCGAAGCGCTTACCAACAGCGCGAATACAGCACTTCATCAAACGCGCGCGTCCGCTCCGAGTGTGAACAGGTATTTACGTGGCTCTTGCTGACAGTTCAAACGTATCTTTTTTAACGTCGGCTCGCTCCTGCATCTCCGAGACCGCGAAAAACGCCGCGGCAAATTGTTCCCATCTGCACTTCCCAACAGGCATACCGGCGTATGGGACTAGTCCCATGCTGTCGCTGTAGCGCAACGTATCTCATTGAATTTCGCTCAGCTGCGATGCGGCGATGAGAGGCGCCGATTCAGAAAATACGTCGGTGACATCGGCGCAGTAAAACCCACCGGCGCACCCCAACTCGCTAACGCTCCCATCTCCTACTGCAGAGAGAACTTCCGGTTCCGGAAACATCGTACGTCACGGCTTGTTTTGCGGTCAAGAAAAAGTCTATATTTCATTAATTTTTTGTGTAGAAGTTAATAAACCGAGACGAAAACGGATGCCTGTTCGGCATTCAGTGAACATTGACGGTTTATTGTAAAAGTTATCTGGAAAAAGTAAAAAAGTCATTTCATGGTCCCTTTAACTGTTCATACTAAAAACGCCGGCTTTGCTAGGTCAATAAGTCGCGCAAGTTTTAAGAAGACACCGTTCGCATCCTTTTTTCTTCGTAACATAGCTTGGGGGCCGCGGTACAGTAGAACCTCATTGATACATCCTTCATTGTTACGTTTTCCTCCGTCATGTGTCCTTTCACTGCGGTTCGCCGAAAAACATTGACAAAATCCTGCTGTATACAGAGCAAAAATGATGTGCCTACATTTAAAAAAGAAAAATACTTTTTTGCTTTTTTGTTTTGTTTGTATGAGTAGGTTGCCCTCTCCGGCATTGCCCAAGGGCAATGCTTTTGAATAAGGCAATTGTGCAACCCGTCTTTTCATTGGTCCTTGCAACTCCCTGACATGATTCGTCCCTCCTGGCGCAGGTCCCCTGGGGCTCTCGGAGTCCCTCGGCAACAGCCCCGCCCCTCTGCTGAGCCCTTTGAACCTGGCCGGCGGCGGAGGTGGTGCAGTCCCCATGGGGCTGTCTCAGCCTGCCCCGCCCCCTCACCTGATTGGACCTCCCGTGGGGGAAGGGCTCGTGCTGGGAGGGGCCAACGACCCCTGGAGGCAGTCCCTCGGACCCCTAGACTCCTCCCACAAGGTGAGTGCAAGAAGGGTGCCCATGCATTCCGTTTCCACCATTTCAACCCTAGCCAGAAGTTACGCGAAACCAGAATTTCATCTGAGCAGGTGGGAGTGCGCATTGCTGGAGCTCTTATATCTCACGAAAGAGAGTTAGCGAGCCTCTGCATTACGTGTGAGTCTGACCGCATATTTTTTACATCGTTTAGAGAAAGTAATAAGTGACTGATATTAGTGAAGCCTTAGTCTAGAATTAAAGTATGGCAGCTACTCGTTTAGTGACAAATGCAATCCGGTTCACTAATTTGACAAACTTCTGTCAACCAAAGTTTGTGTCTCTGGATCAACGTTTTTGTGCCACATTGTCAAGGCTGGCGCATTTGCTGCGGCGCCCCAACTCCGTCAAAACAACTTGCGAGAGTGCATGGCTTTGTTTAGTGCCCCCATCGCGTAAGAGCTCGTACTAACAAGACTCTAGGCGGAACTATGTGCTCTCGCAGCAGTGCAGCGCCTAAACACCGTGGAAACTCTGGAAACTTTAACAACGTGGCACAAAAAAAGAAAGTTGACGCCATGCACAGCTGACCTCGAAGACCCGACGTGCGAGACCACCATCCTTTCTGTAGTCTTCGAAAGAGGGCTTCCAGGCGCTGCCGGCCTGCTATACGGCCACCCCTCGACAGCAGCAGCAGCAACAGCATCAGCAGTCACACCGGGCGTGCAGCAGTCCGGCCTCCCCTTCCGGTGCCCCGACCTCCCTGACCCGGTCCCCTCCGAGGCTAGATCCCGAGAGAGCACCCACCGTTGTCGCCGGTGAGCTTCCCCGTTCACCAGATTGTTTGGACCCGCCCCTCTCGTCGAGATGTCTACGCTCTGTCCATTCTTACTCAGTTCGTCGGTTCTTTATGCTGTTCGTATTTGATTTAGCTTGGAAAACCTCAGTGTAGTACTTGTCAACACCTACATCTTTTTAATACCTATTTACGTGATCTTGACCCGCATTTTTCTCCGCAAATAACAGCGTACCAGCAAAAGAAAAAGAAGCTAGCATGCTTACCTTTAAGAACAGGCCTTTAGTGAATCGTCTGCTGCTGTTCTTGGCCTTTCAGGAGGGTTCTTTCAAGTTCTTTGCACCAGCCTGGACTACGTTTGTGATTTATGATAAAAACTGACTTATATTGGTCAAGTTTGTGTAAGTTTTACATGTCCTATATTGATCTGAGGGTCCGTAGACAGAGGGACGGTTACGGCACTGCACAAGACAACTATTAGCCCCGAGAAGTTCGCGTGGCGCCCCCTTACGGCGAACCGGGGTGACGTCACGGCGAGGAGAGAATTTTTCCCCGACTCGCCCCGCTCGGCCTGTGGAGGCTGTGACGACGCTAGCTGTCGGCGCGCTCGTTTCTATTTCTTTCTTTTTTTGCGTGTTTTTTGTAGGAAGTGTAAATTTTTATATGTGCCTTTATTGAGGTATGGCCTGTAGCTACAGGCGAAACTTCAACCAACATTTTAAGTATGCTTGACAGGGCAGGCAACGCGTGAATCGCAGCTGGTATATGAAAATGAAGAAATATGGCCACAATTGCAGGAGCATCACTATAGATTTACATCTCACACAATGAATATGTTGATGGTCTGAATGAATTGGCAGGTTATGTATACTATTTTGTTTTTGTATCTCTGTTTTTAAACAAGATCGCCGAAGCAGAAAAGCTGCATGCTCCTCGAGCAACATGCTAAATACAGTCTGGGCCATGGGGAGAGAATCACAAGTAAGACAGCCCAAGTGCAGGAGCGAAGTAAAAAAACAAGGATCATTTATTTATATACATTGCTCGGATTTGACCTTTGCTAGATTCGGATAGCATTTCAAAGGACTACACGGGTGGTATTTGTGGACTTGTCTATATAAACCCTCAAGAAATGTATAACAAACGTACGCGAAGATGTCTAGCACGTTATTAGTCCCTTAAGCCCTAAAATTGAGACTTTATTTAAATCGAACTGCCCTGAAGCCAAAATACCAGAAGCTTTTCTCAAGCAGACTGTCGCCCTTCACAGGTTCCACATTTTCTGCTACTAGTACTGCATCTACCGCTGGACAGACGTTCGAATGCTTTCTTTTACTCCTGTTTTCCTCTGTTGTCAGAGAGTCCAGCTGTAGGGAGTTTGGAGGCTGAGGAAGCTTTTGGGGACCTGCAGCAGTCTCTTTTAATTGGAAATGACAATTCAGACTAAACGGTGTATATTTTTTAATAACCAAGGCTGGAATAAAGAATGTCAGGAAAAAGTATAAACATTCCAAATTACGGCACCATTGCTGTGCATATTTTGGGCAGTTCAATACATATCATACAGGCAACTGGGTGCAATTCGGCCGTTTTTGCTGCTACCATAAAAAACTAATTTTCAGTAATGTTGCACCTTCTAAGAAATATGCCTGCATACGTGCATAAACTATATAATTAATTCACGAAGAAGCTACATTTACGTAAAACAGCCCTGTTCCACGAGCACTTCAAAGATCATCAGATGCAGGGTCTTTAAAACATCTGCGAACCAGCGCATGCAGAGTGGAAGCGCAGAGTCGGGGTCACGAGCTAATTTGCCGACCACCCAAAGGCCCTTGATATAAATTCCACTTCAAATGCCTTGAAAGCAGGATGTAATATCGTCCTAAATCATGAACAGGCAAGGAACGGAATTGCAGCGTCTGAAACACTTGCGCCACCGCTTCACCGACCCTTTGCAAGATTGCTTTGTGTCGTGTGGACGGACGGGGAGGTTCATCGGCGGAATTGCCTCGTCCGATAACTTTCGGGATTTGTAATCCAATTTTAAAGGTAAAAAGGGCAAGCAGGCTTATAAAATGTACGGAAGCACGTCAATATCGGCCTAACTCAACGTCTTGTACACCGGGTACACGAAGTCCAGCTCCTCGAAGAGCTTCCGGTACACAACGCCAAACCGGGAAACCGGTGTTGGGAAGCGAGCCGATGCGAGGTCGCGGAGTGGAGTACTCCCCTTGACGTCACGGTACACCTCACCCAATCAGGGCGCTGCGACCGCAGCGACGCTTGTGTTCGCTCTCGGGGCTAATACTTTGTTTCATACTTGGTGCTCAGTGCTGTCAAAGCTGCTGTTGGAAGCATGTAACGTGACCTTGCGCTTCATTTGAACGCACACAGGTGCATCTGAGATACCGGTTAACATTTGCTCGCTCTTCCTCCTCCCCCTTGACGACGGCTTAGTCGAATCACAACTTGCCTGGTTTTTTTGAGGCTTTGGTCACCGGGAGAGTGTCCGAGAGACCACGCCTTTTCCCTGCAGCTGCAGTTCTGAGCCGGATCGACTTGGCAGAGCGCCGGAGGCGTGCGGCCCGCGCCCGGAACTCTGGAGCAGAAAGCGACTCGGACGGTAGCCTGGACGACTCGGACGGAGAGTGCGGGCCCCGGGAGCGGCCCGTCGTCTGGTCCGGACCTCCTCTGCGGCTCGACCTCAGTCCCAGGGTAATGCTTTCAGTCAGGCTGCGATCTCGTATCCACTCGACACCATATTCGGCCGACGACTTCATTTGGTGGTACGTGCGTGCGTAGCTTGGACAGCATTGTCTCAAAAAGTTACCTCTGGGTATAGAGGTCTCTTTATTTGAGATTTCGCCGCCAGAGGCTTCCTTGCTCTACTCAGGGAAACTTCCCATGACAATTTGGGGAAAATATATTGCCTCCGAAATTTGTCTGGGAGGTACAAATGCTAGTCTTTTGTCCTGTTCACACGTTGATGCGATGTACTGTTGTCCATCGGGTTCTGTGGAGGATACGCTGCTTCTGCAGCGAAACAAGGTTACAGTAGTCCCTCTTCGTTATAACTAAGTCAGTTGGATGACAAATAGAGCCTTGCATATCCGCAGATATCCGCACTAAACTGGCGGATGCGGATAGAAATTAGATGGATTTTGACGAATTGCGGATCGGATGCGGATGTCAGGGGATATCCGTGGATCCATATCTAAATTTTTGCCCGGTGGCATTCGGTTTGTCGACGTTCCATCTACAAATCGTTTCGTCGACATGCGACGTTTGATCGAAAGGCTTTTCATGTTCATTTCATCGACAAACCTGAGACGTTTCGTCGCGCACAACCCTGCTATTTTCGGAACAAACTTTTTTGCGTCTCGCCTGGATTACAGGGGGGAGGGGGACATGGTTTAATTCAGGACGCCTTAGTGAATCGTGCACTAGCTTTTAGCGGCTTAGTGAAGGAATATGTTGTCAACAAAACGTCGCAGGGGCATGTGGCCACAAAACATACAGCGTCAACGAACCGTGTGTTCATGAAATGTATGTTTGTGAAAAGTTGTCCACGAAACATATTTCCACAAAACGCGTTTCGAAGAATCGGTAGGGATCCTAAGAAAGATCTGATTCTTACTAAAGATTGCTTCGGTTAGTGCATTTCATCTCCTCAAAGATGCTATCTATAGAAAAAGTAAAAAATGCAGGGCATCAATCGTCCCGAGAAAGCTAGTTTTTTTTGGCAGGGAAGGAGCGGAAAACTTTCTCCTGGCAAAGAAAACCTCTCAAACGAACAAGTCAACAGAAAGTAGAAGAAACCACACCCTTCTCCGTAGAGAGTGGTGTGGTCATGATACCAAAAACAAAAGAAGTGCTTCGACAATGAGCGCGACCCTGTGGCGCCACGGTTTGCAAAGTTTCGAAATCAGCGGCACACACACATAGGCAGCCCGTAAGCTGTCTGTCTCTTTTTTGTATGCTTAGAGTTCTAGCCAAGAAAGTCTGGCAGTTCATATTTGTCCGGTTACGACGCCAGGGCGCCAGCAATGCCAGCGGCTGCCGCGCCCAACCTCCGTGGCCGCCCCAAACAAAAAAAAAAAAAAAAAGTTTTTTTTAATATATATTTTTGGGCGCCTGCAAGCCGCAATCTTTCTCGAACAACACTTTAGTCGATCCGATCAGGCCTTGAACTCTGACTTTAGTGGCGCATCTGCCCGCTGGCTGACACGAAACACCGTGAGACTCAAGGCGGCCGAATACGCTCGGTAACATCACAGAAAGGGTTTTGTCTTCCTACCACTGCCTCTCCTCCTCTCTTTCCAAACATTTTTTTTTTTTTTTTATGACCTTTTTTCTTAGGCGTTTAGACTTCAGGGGAGGGTACGTGAAAGTTTTCCATTCCGCGTGCGGCGGGGAAGAATGCGGTCGGCGTGATTTCCGCTGATTTTGCTAGTCTAAATGAAATCATAACCTCTGGTGGTTAGCAGGAACATCGACATGGTTCCACATTTTGCGGATGCGGGTCGGATACAATAATGTAAAAAGTTTGTGGATGCGGTTCGGATGCGGATACAAAGTCTGCAGATGCGGATACCCAAACTGTTATCCGTGCAGGGCTCTAATGACAAAGAAGTTTGATATAAACTACAAATAAAAATAAAAGCAAAAAAAAAGAAAAAAAAAAAGAAACAGTGACGGAAGCAGTTTTGGAGCTGAATGGGAACACTGCAGAACACTGACCATATATTTAATCGAACAAACCTTGGTTATGAACAACTCGTGGCAGCTTTACTGAGAAGTAAACAAATGATTCAGTGGAGTTTGCCGATAAATTCATTAGTTTGCCTAAAACTACTTTAGGCATCGAAAGAGGATTTTCACTGCCGCTGCACTCCTATTTGTTTCGAAGCAGCCGTGGGATGTTTCGCGTCTCTGCAGTAGTTGGTGTTTTGCGAGGCGCCTCTCCAATGTCGCTTCGTGTTTACCGTGGCTGCACACAAGGCCTACAATTCCAGTACCCGTATCGATGGCCGCGTCGACAAACTTGAACAAATCTGAGTTGTCCTCGGTGGCTTCACAGTCGTGTTTGCACACACTCCTGTAGAGATAGTTACAGCTCCGGGAATCATGCCCCGGCCCGGCAAGCATGCGTGCGCTAGAAAATCCGACGTGCTCACAGCAGTTGGTAAACTTTCATCTTCGGGTTGCGGGCACACTTTTTCTTGCAGGAAAAACTCTTCCCAAACCCGTCTTCAAAACGGTGGACAGTCGATGTTGAAATGTCGAATGCCTCGGCGATTTCGTTTGCTCTGCTTTCTTGTTTGCCGTTTTCTTGGTTTGCCATTTGCCTCGGTGGAGGTTAGAAGGAACGCAAAGGTCTCCATGTGCCTCAGTGTAGGCTTGCATGCATTCGGCACCTCAACCTTCGTAATAAGCGCGGTCTGCCTCCGACACGCTTGGAATAATCTGGATCAAAATGAAGGCATTTTGGTCTGACCAGATTAAACATTGATAAAAGCGATAATTAGAAAAAAGCAATTTCGTTATAACGAGGGACTAGTGTATGTTACTTGAACATAACAACACAGACAACAATAGCATTCAGGAGTCCATCTAGTTGTCTGCCTTGGGTGGTTCAAAGAAAATGACAATGTCATTGGGTATTTAAAAATCAGTAGATTTGTGTGGACAGGACTAGTGTGAGGGGGTTTTGCACCTGCGACGAAAAGCTATCGTGTCAGCATGTCCTGTGTTGTCATCTGTACTTCCCTGTTTGTCTTTGCAGAAGCTGCAGTTTTTCCGCCATGTGGGTCTCACGAGCCATCAGAAGAGGAGAGGTGAGCCAGAAGGGCTTATTTTTTTTTTTTGTCTGGCTCGGCTGTTTTTAAGACCTCTACTCGGGTTGGCACTTTGCATCAGCATGAACATCTATGCTCGCTCAATGATCCGTTATCTCTTATTTAATAAAAAAGATACAAACTGGGTTGTGAGGGAGGAAGCTTTAGGGGTTTAAGTCTTCCTTCGGGTAGAGGCTGTGTCATGTTTTTGGTCGTAACAATTATCTGTGTCAATTTCTGGATTTGTTTCTTTATGAGAAGAGCCGAAATCCTTCGTTCGCAAAATGTGGTTCCTGCTTGTATTCGGCCCAGTGAAAAGTGTGTTCAGCGAACTAGCATCTGTGAGGCAAGGAAAGCACCGTGTTATGGAGCGTTCCAGTGAAGACGCGAAAGTAGTGAATCTGAGTTAAAGCTGAAGAATACCAGTGCAAGTTTTTGAAGGCTTCGATATTGGTATCATAACTGACTTTACAATAGAGTGATTCTACTGTATACGACACAGTGTCATAAGTAAACTTGGAGGACGCGCTGTCAGAGACATTTAGGAGCAGAAAAGTCCGAAGCTCCACCGCGCGGTATTCACCCAAGACGACGCCGGGTGCAGAGCTGGAGCTGCAGCACTTCCTGCGCCACTGGACGCGCCTGCACGGGAGCGAGGGCGGGCAGGGGCCCCGAGTTGCGTCGCCTTCGTTGCCGCGTCTCGGCGGCGGAGACGGCGGCAAGGCGGGGGCCGAGAGGGTGCCGTCGCCACGGCAACGACCGCCCCGGCAACTGTCGCCACGACGCCTGTGCAAGGAGCCGGACTTCCAGCTCAAGAAGCAGTTCCTGCTGCTGCTCGGACTTTCGACGTGCGGCGCCGGAGGGGATGGCGAGTGATTCCTCCTTTTCCACAGTTGGGGCCTCGTACTAGGGTGCCTAGAATGCGTCTCTGGCCGGCATGTTTGTGTGTTCAAAGAGGGACGTCTTCACTTTTGCCGCTTCGGCACCGTTGGGATCTTGGCCGGCTGCATTGTGACGCTTTTGCGACGTCTTCGGATCAAAATGGAGGAACCCTATTTTAGGACGCGGTAAACGCACCTGTCGGAAACGCCTCCTGGGCACCGTGCTGGTACCACCCGTGGGTCGAAGCGGTAACAGTATACTGTTGAACCCAAATGTATCCCAATCAAAGGGGATCGTAAAATAGTGTGTTTGTAATTCAACGTACGAAAGTATGTTAATTGAAGCTCTAATCGAGATTTCTGCGCGTCTGCTAATAGCGAAGATCGTGACAAGCCGGAGCTTACCAAATAGACCATCCATGAACTTGTATTTACTGTAGAACGATTGGGGTGCCGCCGCTCGTGCGCGATACTGGAGCTTCAAGAGCACGAGCGACAAAACATAAAATAAATAATAACATTAAAAAAAAAAAAAAAAAAAAACCTGAAAGGAAAACATGAAGAGAAAAAAGCTGGCATAAAATCAAACGGCAAAAAACAATGACAAAACAAAAACGCCAAAGGGAAAAGGCAAACAAATTTGAACGAGGCGTTCAAAGTGCATTTGCACGACTGTTTATGACACACTCAAATAACCAGACTCTCTTTGTACTTTAGTTGGAAGCTAAAAGTTTGAGGCAGAGTGTTTTTTTTTACCCTCCGCCTCTTCATGCTTTTTGCTGCCCATGGCTAGAGGCGTTTGTTCTTGGCGCATGAAAACTGTGCGGTGACTACAGAATTTGGAGAAGGCTTACCCACCAGGGGCGTGGGATTTATACTATTGCGTAGGATTTTCGAGGGAACATTTTGACTGTTCGATATAGACAACATTTCTAAATAGGGTTCCCGGGTTCGATGTAATTGGGCTCGACTGTACTTTCTCTCTGCAAGGAGCAGCTCGGAGGCTTGCTCCTTTTAAGAAAAGAGGAGAGAAGACCTTGCGAGGAAGCTGAGAGATGGATGCTGGGAAAGGGTTTGGACGACTCTGTAGGTCGACCTTTTAGGGTGGAGAAATGATTTATGTGCGAGGGGATTGGGTGGTAAGATGAGCGTCGGGTTGACCTTTGCTCTGTCCAAATGTGGTTTCTTTCTGGCGACTGGAGCGAGAAGGGTTCGTGTTTTTCTAATGCAGAGGAGCGCGAGACCATCTGGAGGGCCATCATGATGGAGCGCTCTCACCGCAACGGCTCACTCTCCCGGATGGGCGGCTACTCTCACCGGCCAGGTAGGTCGTCGCCTCTGTGCGTACTCTCTCGAGAACAAGGGATTGAAAAACTGCCTCTATCTTCGGTATATCTCAAGGGCACTCTAAGTACAGAGCAATCATACTACCGTAATATCCCGAGTCATCGCCCACCCCCCCAACCGCCTGAAATTCGTTAAAAAAGTGGGGTGGGCCATGTCTCGGTGGGTGAGCACAAACACTTAAAAAAAAGCGGAAAAAAACGCCTATTTTTCTCTGCGTATCTAGCGCTGATGCACAAGAGATGCATCAAACTCAAAACTCGATTGAGTTTCATTGTTTTATAGAAAAAAAAATGCTCACGAAAGAATATTTTGCTATAGCGAAGTCCGTTGCCTGCATACGCGCTAGAAACACCGCCGATCTGCATATAGCACGAACATTTGTTCCGTGAAAGAATGTCACCATTATGTTCTCCTAGTTAGTAAAAAAAAAGAAAGAAAAGTCTACAAGAAAATAGAAAAACCGACCAGGCGCAACGTGCGAGCGAGCGGACCAAAGAAGCGACCAAGAGCAATGCTGGGAAAGCGTGAAAGCCGGCGGTCGCGTTGGCAAATACTTTGGCGTCGGGCCAAGTCGGGCGCCTTGTCAATTGCAAGCTCTTGAGCAACTTTCTTGTTTGGTGCGTACATACGTGCGTCCGTGCACGGCGGGCTATCAATGCACGGTTGGGATGCTCTGCAAACGTCTGTGTAGGACGTTCCAGCAAAGCTTTATTTACGCTTTGGCTTTGCCTAAAATATTGCACAACCGCGGTCGCGACGGGCGGGAAGAAGGAGCGGGTTCGCGGTGACCTTACTTCGGCGGAGACAGACTTTGACCTAACACTCCGCGGTTACGTTAACAAACTCTTATTTTGTTATCTCCATCGTTTTCGTTTCGCACGGATACACAACCACTTTGGGGTCGCTCACGGAGGAAATGCGTAAACAAAAAGAAGTGTCTTTCCCTCCTTCGTTTTACTTTGTCACGGACGTCCTCCAACTGTAAGGTCCGCGGCCGCGTCATTCGGGTAGGATGAGTGTTCGCGGATCGCAGAGTCCGCGCTGGGGTATTTGAGGGGGTGGGCGATGACTCGGTGTTTTTTCGGAAATCGATATTGGCCCAAAAAATGGGGTGGGCGATGGCTCGGGGATGGGCGATGACTCGGGATATTACGGTAGGTCATCCGGGATGTCACAGCCTTACTTGACGTTTACACCGCGACATCACAAGGGGGCATAAATTTGGGGAAGACGTGTGGTCGCTATCACTCGAGAGTTTCCTAGAACTTAACACCGTCCCAGCATCACGATCCAACACCAATTGTAAACACTGGGCGCAGTAAGTCCAGGCTCCTTTACTTCTACTCCGACGCTGTCAGTTTCAAACTCGGGAGTGCAGAAACTAAACGGAGCGCGGCATACAGGAGCGCGACACACCAAAACTAATGACGAGCCGCATGAGCCACTTCCGACCACATGTTTATGACGAACTTGACATTTCGTGGATGCGGGTGGCAGAAGCCGAAATTATTTCGAGATAAGTTAATTAAGGCCTCTGTAAAGTGACAGTGTAAATAAAAAAAATAATAATAAAAAAAGACTGTGATGTTAGGAAGTTCCTTTGAATGTTCTAATTATCGTGAAAGGTTTGAAGACTCGCTTCAAGTACATATGCGGAAACTTACCTTGACCGATCGATTTTTTGACCTTGCTTGCCGTTCAGATTTAAATGAAAGACAACATTCTTGAACCCGCTTGTCAACACAGGAAACTGTCGAACTTGTCAGATGTTCCGTAGCTCTGTCTTGCAGCGTGAGACAGAACCCATCGATGTACTACGTTGATACAGGCACACCACTGTTCAATAGATAGCACGTCAATTCGTTTTCAGGCGAGTTGCACGAACAAACCTTTTCCAAAATGCTAATGTCTTGGCTTTTAAATCACATCTTTTTTACCTCCTTGATAAAGCACTATTCAACTGAAAAGGGAAAGCAGTCTTGACAACGTTTCTGTCAGCGCAGTCATCTTGTTTGTGGATAGACGTTGGTGACATCATGGAGCACGAAGAAGTCACTTGCACTTCGAGAAATACTCGGTACACGAAGAGGGCGCTTGAGGGTCAGTCTCTGGCGGCGCTCCTGTCTTTTTGATGAATATAGCGCCAAACTTTTGCGCTCCGCAGCACGGACTTAATGCTGTGATGTCATCTGTGCGACGTCACCGTCGAGGCTATACGACGCAAAAACCCCTAGAGCCGGTCCTATAAAAGAGGCATGGCTTATCTATTTCTAGCGTATAGTGAGATGTCCGACACAGCGGGAGATGTCAGTGGTGACAGGCGAGGTGGCTGAGCTTCTTGCATTCTTGTCTTCCGGCAGGCTACCTGCAGAGCAGGTGCCTGAAGCGCAAGCTCCCCTGCGTGTCCGCCGGCAGTGCACAGCGCCAGAACGGCGTCTGCTCGGACGGCAGTCCCCCTCGCAAGGTGCCCGCGCCCCCGGCCAAAATGGCGGCCCCCGTGCAGCTTAAAGGTAAGCCCGTCGTCCCTTCATCAGTCCTTATTTTTAATGCAGAATGTGTTTTATGCGTTGCTTTTTATGAGAAAATTGTCATGAACGAGCGTTATACGGCGTTAAGGTATTTATACAAGGTGTTCCATGTAACTCGAGCCAAGGTTTAAATATAATTTGGTACCTTTAGGAAGACAAAACCAAAGGAATAAGCTTGTTCGATGTTTGGAGCAAGTCGGGCTATTTTTTCTTTTGCCGATAAAATAATAAACTAAGAATCTTATTTAATTGAATAAGGAATTAACTTACAAAATATTCTATTTAAAACAAAAGTTTCAACGATAAAGTCGTACAGTGCCCTCTGAAAATTCCAATTCAGTGTTTTTTATCGAGAAACCTCTAACACTGTTCGTTTTTGGCAAGCTTTAGAAAAAGCCTGTGAATTATGAAAAAAAACATGCTACTTCACGCTTGCACGTCTTTTATTGTAGCGCTCTCAACCATGGCTCAAACAAAATTAAGCTCGTCTGCTGGCCGGGCATGCTGCCGCTGCACAAGCAAAAACAGATACGAGGCACTGGTAATGACGCCGGCTGTGATTTATGCGACAGCGAGTTGTTTCGCAGTTTGTCTGCGTAGTACACAACAATGAACAGCGAGGGTTGCCAAATAGCAGTATTGTTAATGATTATTGAGAGACATATAGAGGTCATAGAAAAGACGCAATATAAAAAAGGCCGAGGCTACATCCACGCGCGGGGACGTAGCCAAGTCGGGAGGAGATAAGGCTCCATCCACGCAAAAGGTCACGTGACTTATAAAATAAGGAGATAATTTGTTTTTATGTACATATTACGCTTTCTTATAATTAAATATAGGATATAAAAATAAAGAGGTTATATTTCATTGTTGTTTTAAGGTTAATATGTCACGTGACCTAACAAAAATGGTTTACTGTTTTCTAAGACTAATAGCAAATATAATGCATCAAGAAAATAGTACCAATTGAGACGTTGCCTCGTCTTTTTCTACCTTCTGGTGTGTCCACGTTTCTGCTCCAGTCTCAGGTTTACAATCATGTTCAATATATATCTTTATATTTATGTTGTCCAGGAGTCACACACACGTGTGGGCGGTGTGCGTGCCATCCGTGCGTGCGGGCGGTGCGGGTACGGCCTCCGGCGCCTTCGCCCATGTGCGCATCGCTGCTGAGGCGAGGCGGAGAGGCTTTGTCGTGTTTGTGGTTGGCTTGGTTCGAAGCCTTTTAATGTGAGCTTATGTGTATCGAAGGGGACAAGTACGTGCCCACCGCTTCGTACGTTCTTGACGTGCGCGTACGCTCGCAATCACACAAAGATTGTGAGAAAAGGGAAAACATGCATTAGTCCCATTAATAACAAACATACTGAGAGCATTCAATCGAGAAAACTGGGTAAAAGATTCCAGAAACAGTTTATTCCATGACAAATAAAACAGTAGCCGATGCACAGATGCCACTCGTCCACGAGATCACCGATGAACACGAAACCCTGCTTGCGGCAGAACTCCTGCAGGAGCCAGTTCACGTCTCTGTGCCGATCATTCAACGCCTGGATCTCGGCAATCTGACTACGCTGACACTCCATCGAAGAGAACCTGTTCCCCCGCCTCGGAAGGACGGAAGAAAAGGCGATCTGCATCGTCGATTGCGTTCCAAGATCTGAGCGGCCAGCCGACGATATTTGTCAACGTACGCGCTGGCACAAACGCTGGTGTTGTTTGTGCCAAAATCGAGCAGGGCGTTAGACACCTTGGAAAACAAAGCCTCGATCCTAATGCCACTAAACGCCCGCACTTCGACAGCCACCCGGTCATTCGATGGGAAATACTAGGACAAGTATTTCACCATCGAACCCCCGGCAACCAAAACTTGAGGCAGATCAGAAGCGCGACCGTGCTAATACTCAAACGGCCAAACTCCTTGTCCGAGAAAACAGAAAGAAAATAAAAACGCTTCAGAGAAAGTCAACACCGCTTGCGGAAGACCAGGCAGGCACAGTAGACAGCAGTCCGCGCACGGCAAAATCGCAAGGTGCAATGGCCGCCAAGCAAATGGAAAAACATTGGGAGGCTAGACCGGAAGTTGATCGTAGTGCGCCGGAAGTGACGTATTGCGTGGATGGAGCCTTATCTCCTCCCGACGTGGCTACGTCCCCGCGCGTGGATGTAGACACTCCCTATAAAAAAAGAAGTAAGTATATTGAATAAACGTTCTGACTAATAAAAAACATTTGTATGGTGTGCCTCGCAAAGACCCAGAATTGAGCCTGATTTGTTTCGCGTATGACTATTTCGGGAAGAGAATTCCAGTTAACAATAGCTAGGGAAAGCGGTGAATTTTAAAATTTATTAGTTCTCACGAAAGAGAATTTAGTTACAAGTTGTGGTCACTGAACAAATTGATGCGAGATGACGGTCGACAACAATTGTTACGAGAAGAGGAATGGTAGACTTTGTGAAACATGACAGGACTAGCAACTTTAGTTCTTTCAGTCAGTAAACGAAGCTCTAGACTAGATTTTAGTGGTTAGGTTCTGTCGTATCTGTTCTCATCTCTCCTCTTGTCTCTCCGCTGTTTGCGTCTCGGTATTTGATGGTGGCACTCTGCCCGGCACCAACGACGTTTCTGCGTTTTGTATGCAGTGCCTGGCAAGCAGCAGCAGCAGCAGCAGGGCAAAGGCTTTGCCCAGGAGTTTCACGATTCTGTGCTCTTAGACACACATTTGCACCAGCAGCTCAGTGAGTAGAGCATTGCCTTGGCCCGAGACTCTCGCAGCATCCCCCGGATGGCACCACCGTTGAACTAGTTGCTTTCACCAAGTCGGAACTACATTTTCGCACCCACGTACACCACTCTCAATACTACGAGCTGCCCAGGACGATTTGAAATCGACGGGGTACCGCGCGACCTCGCACGCCGCACCGCTTCTTAACATTTACTAAACTGGATTATGATAGTCGCCGCGTCACGCCAATGGTACGGAATCGGTGTGAAAGTCCACGAGTAACATGCTTGATAAAACTGTAAATTTCATTGCGAGGGTGTTTGCCTAGGCAGGGTGAGTGGTGCCAGAATGCGAGGGTGTTTTGTTGGGACCGTTCTTGTCGGAGGAAACGTGCCCGTGCCATCGTGTGTCGTTTCGGACGACAACCTTGTCTGCTGACCGTGCGCTTCCGTGTCCCTCCCAGAGAAGCGAGGCCCCCGCTGCCAGCGCCCCACCTACTCCATCTTCCACAAGAGGCCCCCCGTGGCCCCTCCGGAGGAGGCTGACGAGGGCGAGGAGGACGGCCCCCCGAGAACGGGGACCCCAGAGGCAGGCGGTGCAACGTCCGCGGCAGAGGCGGGGTCCCGCGTCAGGCCCCCTTTCCCCTGGCCCGGGGTTCAGGGCGTCGTGGAGGCGTACGCCCACTACCGACAGGGTGAGGGTCACGCTCCTTTGGAAGTGTGGGTCATCTTGGGGTCACTGCTGGGGCTGGGCAGTTGGTAAGCCATGGGTGTGGGAGACTTCAGAATCAGTTGGTAAGCCGTGGGGGACTTCAAAATCAAATTGGTTGCCTTCAAGCAGAAGGGGAGCGAAAAGTTTTAGAAAGTTAGCGCTGTTGTCTGTTGGCAGGGCCACAAGCTAAGCCTCGAGCGAGCCTGGGTTGTTCAAAACGGTCAAGGTCGTGAACCGGGGACGACTCCACGTTGAGGAGCTAGGCTTGTCCAAAACGGCCTCTCGAGGTGTTTGCATTTGTCTTACAAGTAGCGACAAGTGCACCAATACACGAGGTGTGTGCCCCATGCAGCCCTGAGGCGCAAATGGCGTTGCAGCTCTCACTCGTGGCACGTGTCTCGCGCATTTGCACATTGATGGTTGTCTGTACCCCTAACGAACACGTGAATTTTAGTCGAGGGCTTTAGGAATGTCGCTCGCCGTCTCACGTTGTCTTCTCTGCTGCGTTTCAGAGCGCGAACTGGAGCGTTCCCTGCTCTCGAGCCGACAGCGCCAGCTGCAACAGGAGCAGCACCGATTGCAGCAGGAAGCACAGGCCCTGAGTGCATGCATGGCGGTGAGTCTCTCTCGTCTTATTTCTGTAATTATTATATTATATTTTTTTACGTCCAGTCGAGCATGTTTTTTTATGTAATGCTCTCCCCTGTGCAACCCTCTGCAGTCAAATTGAATTTGACTGCACCGTATGCAGCACAATGCAGTTAGCACGAATGTGGCAGCGGCGCTCATTCGACTGTCGTGGGTAGAGTCAAACACTAAGTTCTGCCACATAGGCCGGTGCCCCAAATAAGTACATTTGAATACACTATACTAACTTTCGATGACAGCATTTCAGTTGTCGAGAAAAAACGGGAAAGGTGTGCACGCTGTTTTTGTTTTTCCCAGTTATCCAAGTTTTCTCACGCGAGTTGAATTCAATCAACACGAGTAGCTGTCGTTCACTACTAAATCCAACATCAAAGATGCATATAACGGGAAAAAGTGGTTGGTCAGCCGGGCCACTGCATGGATCCATGTATGATCACGCTAGAGGGGGAAAGGTGTGCAGTCGCTAACAAGGTGAAAAGGGCAGTTCAGGCGTATGGCAAACCTCAATCGTATGCTGGGGGCCAGGAGTGCAAAAGACATTTCCTGCCGTTCTCATTCCGTGGGTGATTACGGGTAGTATTGACACACCTCTATCGACGAAAACTAGAACCTCCGCAACCGTGCGTATGCGGAACGGACGTCCAACCGCAAGGCGTTCCCCTTTCAGGAGCTGTACGAGAACAAGAAGCTGCTGGACGGGGAGCGCCAGACCAAGCAGATGACCATTGACAATCTCAAGAAGTGCCTGCGCCTGGTCCGGAACTGAGGACTGCCCCCTTCCCTTCTCCCGAGGCATTCCAGGGAGGTCCCTCCCACTGCCACACTCGGAGGGGGGACGGACCGCTCTGAACAAGACAAAGGACCAAAGATGCACACGAGTCAATCCATCGAGTCATTTCCCCGCGCCCCCTCGAAGGCACACGGAGCCACTGGACACCACGACCACTCACTAGGACTCAACGATGCCGAACTGGCTTTGAAACGGATTCGGCTCGCGGCGGCGAGCAGAGCAGCTTGGACCCAAGTGCGGCGATGACAATGCAACCAGCGAATAGGACTGCATTTCTAGATCAATCAGGAAAAAACGAAAAATCCTCTAGACATTCTTTTGGTGATCATTTTTGCGATTCGGAATCGTGCGGAAGACTTGCCGCGTTTCAGAATTCTGGCTTCGAGGGAGTGGCCTGTATATTTCGCTCTTGTGAGGGTCTGCGTTCGTGCTCTCGACGTTGTTCCATCGTCGAACAGACGGATCCTCGGTGCAGATTGCGACAGGAGATGAGGGGCTCGACCCAGCTGATCAGCGATGACGATACTTCTTTGAAGCGTGATTCTGTCGGGATTTCGTGCGAGGCAGCGATATTTCATTCTTTCTGTTCGCTAAAATATGAATGCAGGAAAATGAAACTGAAGAAGACTTTTTCTTTAGTGCAAGTCGAAACATAGTGAAAAATCGAGTTTCCGGGATAAGATCAGTTCCAGAATGCAGAACTCTAGATTCAACTCACTCTAGTGGTGGTTTGTTGCATAAATATCTTGCATACAGAAACTTCCAGCTCGGATCATTTTACTGATGTGAACTCATCTCCACAACTCCGGGAAAGTCCAGTGGCTCCGCCGCGGCCCTCTGGCGCCAGGTTCTGCTTCACGCCCAACATTGAACGGCAATGGAGGTATAGCCACAAACGCTAGCCGTAGTCGTAGCCATTTTAACACGCTAGGACTTTGCCAACTTTTGGCCGACAGTATTGCTTTTGCTAGCAGACGAGCCCCGGGCGAGTGGCCCGCCCTGTTGCGGAAGTCTGTCTGCGGCATACGACGAACAAGCAGACACGTGCAGAGCGCTTGCTACTTTACATGCACTCTCTCTTTAGCGTGTTGCAAGTTTACATTTTTTTTAAAGTCAAATTGAGTAAAAGGCGGTCCGGTTTCGTACAGCGGATCTCTTTTTCGAAGTGGTAGAAAACCGGCGACTGCTTCCTCAAACATTCAGTCGAAAGATTTTGAATTAAGCTTGCATCAAATTTTTGGATAGCAAACGCAAGAGCCCAGACTCTCCGAGGCGCATAGTCATTTACACGCACATTTACGTGTGAATGACCAAACATGTATTGGCCACATGTCGGCGACACGAGGATGCGTGTGCTGCCCACAACAAAATGCGGCGATGCGGACGTTGGGCCGCCGTCTTGGAACAAAAAGTGGCGGCGTACGTGTCGGACAGGACGCGAGTGTGGCAGTGGTTGGCGGGGGCGGTCTCGTGGGGCATTGTTCTGCATTTGGCTTGCACCAGCACGAAGACGCACCCCCCTCCCCCCCGGTAGGAAGAGCCACTACTACTTCTTCGAACTATGTACATGTACTCCATGCATCATTTTAAAGAGTCCTCGTTTTCTTACCTCCTCTTCATTGATAAAAGCGTTTTCTATCGAGCCGTTATTTATGAAATAAAAAAAAATGATGAAACCTTGATAAGTGTGGTGTGGGTTTTCATTTAATTTTTGCCAGATTTTTTTGGTTTGAAAGCATATTAGAGGAATAGAAAAAGATATTTACCGTTCTTATGAGTTGTGAATGCTAAAGCATGAATGTCGTTCGTCTGCGGTGTAGTGGCGTAGACAGCCACGTTTCGCCAGCGGACGGCCAAATGTGCGCTTTCGTGAAGTGGCCACGCCGAGCTCTGCGTGCAAATGCCCTGGAGTCTGCTCGGACGGGCTCTGGCTCTGCCGCCACCGCTCCCTCCTCTTACCAGCGGCCACGCTGACACGGAGAGGGCTTCTCTGGTGGCTTTTTTGGAATTGCGCCATACGAGAGCCAACCGGAGCCTCATTCCTTGATGATGCGTGCCAGGCAATGGGAGCATAATCCATTCGAAATCGACTTCACTTGGGAAAGAGGATTTTAGGTGCCGTTTGGCTAACAATTGGCGTGGTTTCAAAGCTGATGATGTTGGTTCACTCCATGGGACAGCTAATAATTTCGCATTAAAAAGCATTGCCAGACTTGAGCACCACAACCCCCTCTCCCCCTTCCAGAAAAGATGCCAGAAGGAAGGAGCGGAGAAGCTTCTTTGTACTGACTTGGAGGCAAAAGACGAGCCACAATGGGCACAAAAGCAATAGCAAAGCTACTGAGATCTATAGTCGGTTACAGGTTATGAAAATATTTCCAGGGAAAGGAGGGCTGGGGAGAAGGAAGCAAACAAGAGGAAACACCCTCCTCTCTTCAGTATTCCGACCGCTTCCTCCCCAGCCTCGCTTTCCCTCGAAAACTTTTTTTAACCTGTAACCGACTATAGCATACTTTCTGAAAATATTAGCACTCGCTCGTGCCACGCAGCGATAGGCGTGTGTCGCAACTTGTGGCGAAGTTGTTGAACATCGCCGTTGCGTTCATTCTTTATGAACAATATGGACATCTGACAGTCTTGCTTCAAAGGCTTTCATTTAATGCGTTAGCGTTAATACCTACATAACAGCGAAAAGCTGAAACCGTCCGTCTGCGGACAAAACATTAAAAAGGAAAGCGCTCTGCATAGAGAAAAGTGGTGAAGGGCAAAGGCGGGAAAGAGGCGATGATGCGGAAACCAATGGGCACGCGGGACACCGCTGGACGGCGAAAGCACTGCCGGACAGGAGATTGCGCTGCTAAGCGTGCAAGGCGAGCAAACGAGACCGAGGAGTGGAAGCAGTGCCTAGCTCGGCTGGCCGATACGCGGTGGAAGAAGCGGCATGCAGACGCGAGTCTGCATACGACAGAGGCTGGGGTGAAGCGGGCTCGGTGAACCTGCTTCGTCGGAAAGAATTAAAGAAAGATCCATTGGTGGATCCTCAGGGAATGTGTTGGCAGTTAGCGTAACCCTTGAGAAACGCCACACACATCCCCCTATGAGAAACGCTGACACTGACCCCGTAACGAAGCCAAAAAGAGGCAGCAAAAAAATGAGGAAGCAAAAGAGAAAGCCAAAACAGAAAAGTGATGGGGTCAAGCATCAGCATTTACCCAGGGTGGAAATGCTGATGCTAGTGTGGCATTTACCAAGGGTTATGCTAACGCGTTCCTTAAAAATCCACTAATGGATCTTCCTTTAATTTCTTTTTCTATACATGTTCAAGAAAGCAGCATCACGACCTTTTTAATGCAAAAGCATTAACCGTCTGATGGAGTGAAGCCAGCGTTGTCTGTAGCTGTTGTCTAGCAGCAAAAATCGGCACCCAAATCTCCATCGGCTGAGCAAAACGGCACCTGAAATCCCATTGACTGCGACGCTTCATGTGGCTCCATAGCAACGATGTCATTATTGCTAAAAAGCTAGTTGAACTGCTGGCGGCGCAGCGAGAGGGGGGGACGCGGGAATGTGCTGGCCTGACGTTAAGCCTAACGTTACGCTTTGAGGTCTAACGTCGTCAACCAGTACCCGCAGCTAGGGCGATGATGATGGTGAGAGGATATGTGATCTCGGCAGGCACTGCACTGAGCTTCGCATTTCTACCACTGCCTCATCCCGCAGCACAGCAGTCGCTAGAGAGCCAGGGCGGTCTGCGCGGCGCACCGCCAGTCTCTGCCGGCGCTGCGGCCACTTCTGCTCCTCTCGGCGCTGAGGAACATGGCAGCGCCTGAAACATCTACATCGTTGGCAGCCGCAACCTCGTCGGAAGCGAAACGTGGCCGTCCACGCCAGTACATTGCAGACAAACTAAGGGAGCAGAAGAACTGCATTCATGTTTCCCATTCACAACTCATAAGAACGGCTTAGGTGTCCTCGGAAGTTTTTGTTCCAGAGTGCATCAAAGCGAGTCTTCTAAAACGAGCTCATAGCATTGACACTGCTACGACGGCATTTTGCTTTCGGCAATTTTTTTTAATGCGAAAGCATTAACTCTTTCGTGGAGCAAACCAAACCAGCATTATGGCTGTCTGTAGCAGCGATAAGTGGCACCTAAATCCCCACTGGCTGAGCGAAAAATGGCACCTAAATTCCCATTGGCTGCAATGTGTCATGTGGCTCCATAGCAACGGCGTCATCCTTGCTAAAGAGCCAGCTGAACTGCTGGCGGTGCAGCAGGAGGGGGGATGCAGGTATGCGCTGGCCCGACGTTAGGCCTAACGTTGCGCTTCGAGGTTCAATGTCAACCAGTACTCGCAACTAGGGCGATGATGATGATGATGATGAAAGGACACGCGATATCAGCATGCACCACGCCGAGCTTCGCACTCCCGCCGCTGCCTCACCCAGCGGCGCAGCAGTCATCAGTGAGCCAGAGATGCTTTTGCATTCACAACTCGTAAGATGTGCTTTGGTGTCCTCCGAATTTTTTTTCTTCCAGAGCGTGCATGCAGTGGGCATCAAGTATAGATTGGGTTGTTAATGATGTGGCACAGCTCTGTGGTAACACCTCTGCTTTGTACGCAGCGAACTCTGGTTCAATTCTCGCGAGGGGCAGGCAATCTTTTTCAAAGATTTAGCAACATCGACAACAGACACTCTACTATTCCAACTATATCAACAAACGTCATTTCCAGTGGTGGGAAGAACCCCATAACAGCCATCGGTGTAAAAAAAACCTCAAACCGGATATCCGGGAAAGAGTGGATTTCCGTGCCAAAGTAGGTCAAACTGGACTTTTATGGTCCACTAGGCCTGAAAGTAATAGGAATCGTTTTGGAACAAGGCCCAGACTTCCTAGAGATTGCATCGGCAGTCCGGTTATTCGGGCCCACACAGTTGTCGCTCCCTAATCGCTTCTGTCGACTTGGCAATACAGGACTCCGTCAATGTAAGCATAAAACCATAGTTTATTACTTTCCGGCATTAAAAGCGGCTGTACAGGGTTGTGCAAAGTCTAATTTAAAAAGGATAAAAAGAATTCGCAAGACTCCAGTTTCTTGAGGGAAGGAGGCGGCCATCACGACATGCCACTGGCCTTGTGTGCGTGCAGAAGGAGGTCCTGGGCGCGCGATGGGTTCCCCAGGAGTTCCGCAATCCGTGCCACAAACGGCGTCACGTCGGGGGGCTCGGCGCAGCTCGGGATGTTGAGCAGCGTGGAGAAGAGAGACTCCCAGAGGTCCCGTTGCCAGTACCTGCGTGCGGGGTCGGGAGGCATTGCCATGGAAGTCGGCCGCTACTCCAGAAGCATTCTCCGCATTATTTCGGGCCCTCAGTTTTACGGTGCTGCGAGAATGAACTGTGTGGACTACCAAGGTCTGCTTGAGACAAGGAAGGAAACCAGCACCATATTTATTAATGTGTAAGTCTAGTTTTTTGTTTCTTTTGTCGGTACGTTTTATGCGACGGAGTTGCACGAATTTGTCAGGGGGTTGTATTTCTCGTTCGATTAATTGGCGAGAATACTGAAACTGAGTCTCGCTTCCGCATATATCGCGATCACAATACGCACATGCGGGCTTATCAATGCAGTTTCGTTGCGCCGACCGTACGAATATATTGGTGCAACATGTCTGCCAACTTTTTTGTAAAAAGGGTAGTTCGTAGGGGGGCACTACTTATGCCGAACATCCTGTAGCTTCCGTTCAAGTTCCTTGGACTGTCTTAGACTGCGTCATTGTTTCGATTGAACTGACCTGAGCAGTCGGAATTTAGGCGAGCCGTCGGTCTAAGAGGCAAAAATTAAAAACCCTCATAACAAAAAAAGCTGATTCTTCCTTTGGGTAGGGAAACGAAATCTGCATAAGACAAAAATGCATCAATAGGTAACAGACAATGTCTCACGCATACCTGCAATAAAAAATTTTAGTGGCGTTGTATAGTGGGATTTTGCGGCAACGCATTCGAAAGACCAACCCTAAATAAAAAGCGGTCCATCGCAGTGGCCGCTGATCAAAAGATTGTCCTTTAAACTGTTCTTAAGAACTCCCACGAAAGAAAGCTACCCACGGTTTGAACCGGGCGTGACCTCAACTTGCCTCTTGAACCTCTGTCGGGCGGCCCAGACTCCATTGGCGCCCTTTGCCACGTCCATGTACTCTCCAAACAGCATGATGTGGATGCAGGCCACCACGCCGTACCAGTCCGTCTGCAAATCAGACGGTTGCGACGGAGGCGAGAGTTGGCATTGGACGGTTCCGAAACTCTGAGGGGTACCATCTGCACCTCTTACCGACCCACAAAATGGGTGATCCCCATTTGATGTGTGGATGGGCCCACACAATCTGTCTTATGGCTCATTCGGGTGGTTATTTCCCGTCAAAATATTTTACCATATCTTCGGCAAGGGCAAAATTTTTGTCCAGAGCTTGTCTGCCAGAGTTTTTGCGGAATCGTCATATCCGAATCAGCAGCGGGACCTAAACTTAACAATGCTTGCCGAAAACATGTTCGAAAAGAAAACAAACCCATTGTGAAGCCACCCCTTAGTGCCCCAAGAAAAGATTCCAAAAACACGGTAAAGGTAAAATGTTTTAAAGGAATCCACCATTTTTGAAAGAATTCGTCCAGCTTGCGCAAGGTCAATTTGCTCTGGGACACGGTGTGTTATTACACCGCTGTAAAAAAAGATGTTCGGATAGTGCTCCTGCTCGACACTTAAATGCACATTACAATTTCATAAGGGTGGGCGCAATGAAAAGACTGAGGATTCCAGAAAAAGGTACCGTATTTACTCGAATATATGTCGACCACGAATATAGGTCGATGCTTTTATATTAAACTCGCCAAGAATAAAAAAAACAAAAAATTAAAGAGTCAACCTTTTTTTTTATTTTTTTAAAGAACAGAAAAGTTTGAGCAAAAGAAAAAAAAAAAACTTTATTTGTAACGCTTTCAGCTAAATCACAGCGCAATGCCAGAAACTTAATCATCATCAGAACTTCCGGACATGTCATCATTGTCGGGAGCTTCGTCAGCTTCATGGACATCCTCACAAATTCACAATACCTCACTGACACCGTTGCAAAATGACGACAGTAAGGAACGAAAGAAAGTGGAGATGGGCGATGTGACAAAAGACAAAATACAAAGACGCGAACAACTCCACAAGTCGCCCGTGAGCAACAAGCGAAAGTAACCTCCATATTTTCTTTTAATGCGCGTCCACGAGGGAAAGAGGGATGGAGGGAAAGGGAGGGGGCAAGGAGTATGGCACATCGCGCCCCTCTCACCCCCCTTCCCCCCTTGCATAGTGAGGGGCATGGATGAGCAGCGCCGGCCACTGACAGGCTGGCTGCTGCTGTTTCGGTCGTTTTCATGCACCAAAAGCTTTCTGAAACAAGAAGCGGCGCAGCCCTATGGCAACGCCGATTCGGTGACTCGATAGCACCATGCTCTCGGCAGGGTCGCGAAATTTGGTCACGAATGTAGGTCGAAATTCTTTAGTCATGATTATAGATCGTTCCATTAGGGTCATAGCAGAGAGGGTAAAAAGAGAAAAAGCCCTCCCCCTCTCACCTGCATCTCGTCTGCTCTGCCGAGTGGGCAGTACCTAGCATCCGGCTGGCGTACAAACTGTTTAAAATCGCGTCATTTTGGGAATTTCAAGCGCAGATGCGCATATTTTGGTATGCCAGTTATCGTGTATTACTATGCTAGATAAAAAAGACTAACGGAGTCCAATTGCGCTGTTATCTGTGCGCAAATAAAAAAAAAATAGGGAAAACTGTATCAGACTGGCCAACCTCTCCGGCGAAAAGTGAATCCAGTGGCTGTACCTTTTTACTATAAAGAAGTTTGTACTGGTGTAGGCCTCTAGCGACCATGAGTGGATGTTTAAAATAATAAATAAAAATGTGCTCTCCTGCCGCAATACATGCAGTAGTTGAGAATAGTACGGCCGGCTGACTCAACTGCTATTTAAGTAGCGGGAAAAAGATATCTCAGTTGATCATTTACCGAAGTAGAACAGCAGAGAGCTCTGGGCTGATTTGAAGTAGCCATAACTATTCTAAGAACGCGAACCACTTCAGAACGGCAGCCACGAGCGAGAGTTTGGTGTTCCGTACAGCCCGCCGATGCAGCCCAAAGATGGAGAACGGCAACCTCCCGTTTTGTCGCCTGCTAGCGGAGTCGGGCGCGTGCCCTCTCTCTCGTTTTACCCTGCCGAACCCGCTTAATTTCCCGGATGTATGGAGAGGGCGCTGCTGTTGAACAAAATGGTGCCGGCCAGAGAGCGCTAAATGGAATGGTCTATAGGTCGACCCTTAATTTTTGACATTTCTGGAAAAAAAAAAGGTAGACTTGGTATTCTAATAAATACAGTAATAAGAAAATTGGATATGAACAGCGACACTGGTGAGTCTCCTTGGCAGCCTCGTAAAATGGCAACAGTTCTTCGAAAATCTAAACAAATTATATTACAATTTAAGCTTCTGCAGGCAGCGCCACACAGATTTATTCATTTGCCCTCCCGTTAAGTTTATAATTTAAGATCCTGTAAGCTGAGCGGACCATGGTAATGCCAATATTTCGAAAAATATTGTGAAGCCACTTGTGTTTGCAAATATCTCGGAGTTTGAATTTATGTTTCTGATGCATACAGCATGCTTATTATACTATATAATAATCAAAAAAAGTTAAAAAAGCTCACGCACGACTCAAGCAAAAGAATTCTCCATAGCAAAAGATAACACCTGCAGATGCAAGGGGCTTTGCAAGACAGGTATAAGGTTTAAAAGTGCGAACAGACAGGGACAATAGAAAATAACACAAACGACAGGGACAAGGCGCTTGTCCCTGTCGTTTGTGTTATTTTCTATTGTCCCTGTCTGTTCGCGCTTTTAAACCTTATACCTACCATGGACCAACTAGCCCAAACCAAAGTTTTAATGACTTGCAAGACAATCTTTCTTGCATCCTGTGACAAGGAAATTGTGCCCTCTTATCTCGAGGGGAGCTCCACCCATGTTCGAAGACAAACCATGATCAACTCCTCCAGTTTGGGTACGACACACACACAAAGAGAGCTCGAACGGCATGTTGCAATTAGATGGCCTTTACTTGCCACACAAAACCATTCGACGCCCAATTTTAACCACAATCACTCGACGCCAAAAGCAACACACAAACAATCATTCTACACCTAAATTTTATTCACAATCATTTGACACCAAACATGCCATACAAACAATCATTCTACACCGGTAGACCCTTTTCGAAATTCAATCTGGCAACTTTGATCACTAGCACCTCAGCGTATGGCACCTGTGCTAAACTAATGGCAGCCATCTTGAGGCTGATTAAGGTAGAGGTTGAAAATACTACCGAAAGGAGAATATATGAGGCTTGTACGTTCGAGGCATCAGCACAACATGATGCACAAAGTACCTAGATACAACGGCTGCATAAGCGATCTCTTGGCACAACTTTGGCTCGAAAGCCTTTTGACGGCCGAGTTTTAATCGAAAGGCGTACGAGTCTGTGCTTTGCGCTGGTCAGTTCTTACGCTCACACCATCAAAACTGAAACAAACGTGGAAAGAATTGAGGTGATTGAAGAACCGATTCTCATCCATTGTTGACGTGCAAAAGTGACGATGCCCGATGGGACAGTTTCATGATCACCATCAGATTGTTGGAAGTGAAATTGCTTTTTGAGCCACCAGGTAGCACTCAATTTCGAAAAGGCTCCATTCCAACGATCATTCGACACCCAATTTTGCCCACACTCATTCGTCACCAAATGCAACACACAAGCATCCTACACCCAATGCGGAACACAAACAATCAATGGACGGTGCGCGAAGTCACCTGGAAGGTCCACGGCCGTCCGTCCATCATCTCGGTGCACTTGAAGCAGTTCGTCTGCACCACCTCCGTGAAAACAGTACCCGGCTGGAACTGGTGCTGGTCAATGCCCCGGCCAAAGTCGATCAGCTGCAGGCAGTGCGTACGCTCCGCCAGACGCTCCACGCAGTTCCGCTCCGTCGGACTGCATGCCCAGAAATTCAATTGGTCAGAGGGGTAAAACTGGATCACGCATACTTGCGACTGTTTACGACCGAACGCCTTACAACCTCTTGAAATCTTACAAGAACACACTGTCGCCATCTATTTATTGGGTAGCTTTGTAACGCATAACAGTTCCAAACATTTCTTTTTTGCATATCACTTTTTATTGCTTAGAAAACTTTTGACAATATTGTAAAGAGGCAAAATGCTAAGGCCGAACAGCCCAGGCTGTTCCGTCAAGTAACAGTTTTTGGAGACAACACAAACGCAAGAAACAGGAAATTGATGCAAATACCTGCAGAAAAATGGAACTGGAAAAACATATCGACCAAGAACGTATCAGTGCGGTTCTACTGTATAGCGCACAGATACGGGACAGATGTGGTACTCGAGCGGCTAGCGTAGGTCTAGGCAATACAGAAGCGATAGATAGCCTTTGTATCGGGTGGCTGCTAGGGCCATCTATATTTAATTTCAGCATGACTTGGCAAAGAACTAAAGCTACAAGCCCTTTGAGCCTTCGGCACGTCGGAGGAAAACACCCAGGCTATAGACCGTTTTACTGAAAGAGGGCGAGAGAGGGAAGGGGAAAGGGCTACCGGCGCTTTCCCCCTTTCTGATTGTGTAGAAAGAGTGAAATTCCCGGATGAGAGGCTTCCCTGGTGTTGGGTGTCTGCTGTGCCCGAACTTCGTTTGTGCTTACTTTTCTGTTTTAAACTCGCAAACTTAATTAGAGCCAGAAGCTTCGATGGCAACAGTCCCCCGGTCATCGGGACACCATTGCTGGATCACAGGGTGCACGAATAAAAACAGAAAGCATTAGAATACCGTCTGAGGACATATGTAGCTTGCAAGGAATCCGGCAAGGCGAGAGCGGCTGCAATGTCTTTGAGCTCCATCGCTTTCCACATGACCCCTGTCTCCGGTGGCAGTGGATTGCGTCCGTAAACCGAAAAGGCGTTTCCTCAACGCCATCCTTTCGAATGGAGCGCGCACCGAACGTTGTACCGCCGATGAACATGGGGTACGCTCGCAATGTGAGTGCGAGTTTTCTCATGATAACTGCTGTTTCAACTTGTAAAATTTCGTAACTGAATTTATCTTAATAGTGATAATTTGGAGTGGTGACTGACTCGATTTTATCATCTACAACACTTAGTTGAAGGCTCATTTCCGCCGCCGGGTGAGGCTAGAAATTGTTGAAAACGTGGTTCTATTAATTTTTTTTAAATCGCGATCTCCTGCGCGATATTAAAAAGCCGGCAAAAGCGCTCCTTCGAGTGCCGCTGGTGGGTTGTTTCCGTTGACTAAGGCGCTTTGAGGCGCTTGATAGTCGCTGCAGGGAACGTCTCGTATGTTGCGATCTGCGTTTTCGAGCCCAGCGTGCACGTTTCTTTATTTGAGTCATGGCATCCGCCAGTGTGGCGACGGAGGGAACGGTGGCAGCGAACGTGCTAGCTATAAAAATTGGAGGTGAGTACCCAAAATATTGCATCAAATAGTAAAATAATTCGTGGCTGCTTCGAGGCTTTCTGCGGTTCGATAAAAGTACATCTAGAGCGTCTTCGTCATTCATTCACAAGGAAATATAAGAACAGGGACACGAAGATATAAACAGCACAGCAAGACGATATGTAGCAGCTCCGGGCGTTTTCAAAGTTAATTCAGGTTCCCGTTTCGTGTATCGCTTGTTGATTACAACCAAAAGCGGCTACGTTGAAATAGGCCCGTTGCAAGCAAAAATGTATAAATGGTTCATCATTTCTAGTCATGCGGAAAGCAATGGAGCTTAAAAACATTCCAGCCGTACTTGCCTTGCCGGATTCCATGCAAGCTACGAGGTCCTTGGGCGGTATTCGACGCTTTCTGTCGTTATTCGTGCACCCTATCACCCAGCAACGGTGTCCGATGACCGGGGGACTGTTGCCATCGAAGACCATGGCTTTAATTAAGTTTGGGAGTTTGAACAAAGTTAGGGCACTGCAGACGCCCAACACCGACCAAGCCTCTCATCCGGGACTTCCACCCTTTCTACACAATCAGAAAGGAGGAAAGCGCCGGTAGCCCTTTCCCCTTTTCTCTCTCGCTCTCAAAATGGTGCTACCCACGATAAAATGGTCTATACCTTGTCTCACTAGTTTAGGCACTGTTGTCGAAGTCGGGACATACAAATAGCGACATCTGGGACATACAAAAGAGGATTCCCCAACTGCCCGGGTTGTGCTCTCGCCCCAGTCATTTGGTAAGGGCTGCCACGTGCTTCGCCTACGTTGGTCCAATTGGCTCGCAGGGCCGTAGCTTTCACTCCTTGCAAAGTTGCGGCGAAACTACATAAAGTGGACCAAGTAGGCAATTCCCCTGAGCACCCTCTTCATGTTGCCAGGGCCGCAACGTACGTCCAAACATTCGGGAGTCGAAATGGACTCGCGCGTCAGGACGTCGGAAAACACTGTGCACGTACGAGAGAGATAGAGAACTTACAGGTCGGAGACGAGCACGTTGTCGGGCTTGAGGTCTCCGTGGATGATGCCGCACTTGTGCACCGCGGACACAATGAGCAGCAGCTCGAGGGCAAAGTAGAGTGCCATGGACTCCGGGATGCCCCTGCTGCCCTGCGACTGCTGCTCTTGGTAACGCCGAACCAGGTCCTGCATCGTGCACAAACATAACCCCATTGTTTCTGCATGTGCTGCGCTCCATTTTGCCTGCAAATCGATGAGCTATGAACGAATTTCAAGCACAGACAGGGAAATCGTATCTAAGGAATTTTCGAGAGTGCCATATCAGTGAAGCTCTAAAGGCACCAGGCAAGGCTGTTCAACTTGCCGACGTTCCACCGCTGCTACGGGAACTAAGACCTAGGCCACATGCACCCAAGGAGAAGACTGCCAGATGTGTTCTTCTTTGATGCCTGATCACTTTCCCATGATGCGTCATTTTGGAGGCACTCGGCGAGGAACCTTAAAAAGCACTCTGCAACGTTCCGTATTACACGTTTCACCTGCAAGGTTCCGCCACCTCGGTGCCGTGCTCACAGTTACACTCCGCAAGTGGCTTTAGAATGCACATGTTTGGCTCAAAGTAGCAATCATGGCAAAACGCCGCACTCATGAACCCAAGACCCGAAGCTACGCACCAGGAGCGTGCCATATTGTCCAAACGGCATCACCAAGATGGCGCCATTTCTGTACAGACAGGCCGCTTCAATCGTCACCACAGAGTCCAGCTGCAAGAAGAGGGCGAAAGAATGGTAAAGCCGCAGTCACACTGCAAATACATCAGCCTGCAGACACTAAGACATGTTTCTTCAATGTATTGCATTTTTGTCATTCCTGTTATCTATTGTGAACTGTTGTTGTCTATGCTGTCTACCGTGGACTGTTTAGACAATGCATGGCACCTCAAAACAAAACTAAGTTTGTTTATCCAGCAAAAAAGTCTATTGTGGACTATTGGCGACTTCAGGGAAATCGACGCCGTGTAGCAGCAATGCCGAGAAGCTCAGCAGAGGAGGTCGTTTTGACTCTTTCGTCTGCTATCGCTGCTTGGTTCTTGTAGGCAGCATAGAAACAAACATTGTTTCCAGTAATTCATTTTATGCTTCCGCCTTGTCATTCCTACGCACCGACTAGAAGGTTTTTACCGTCGAAAAATTGCTTTTGCTTTCATATATAACACAGACATTATACTGCAGTGCTAGAAATTTATGGTGGTCCGTGTGCTGAACGATGAAAAGGACCTCCTTTCGTCCGCCATTTTGCCTGACCAGCACACCCCCTTTAGTTCCTTGGAGTCGCAAATAAGTCTTGTTGAGAGCACTTGTTACCGAGCACCGATGCGCTGCAGAGAAGCAACACCTGCGGAAGCAAGCTCCTCGGGTGCTGCTTCTCCGCAGCGCACCGGTGCTTGGTAAAAAGTGCGCTCAACGGGGCTGCGAGAACAGAAGGTATGAATTAATATAAGCTGAAAACATTGTGGGTCCGCCAAAATTTAGAAATTCGTTTGAATTAACCGGAAGTATGAAATACCCATGTTTGAATTATCGTGAGACTATTGTACAAGCTCGCAGCTCAGTTTCTGAACTAGCCAAATGGCAGAATCTGTCGTCATTACCGATTACTGTTACAGCCATTCTGAAGGAGCGTAGACAGTTTCCTTGGAAGCCGTTAGAATTTCGAAGACTTGGACACACTAAAACCCCAAAGAGCATGGCAGAATACACAGCTGCAAATAGTTCCTCTTAAAAAGCAATTCACTTGCTGTTACAGTTACGCAAGCTCAAGTGTGACTACCGTAATATGCCGAGTCATCGCCCATCCCCGAGCCATCATCAACCCCACTTTTTGGCCAAATATCGATTTACAAAAAATAAAAACGAAAAGTCATCGCCCACCCCTACAAATACCTCATCGCTGACTCCGCGATCTGCGAACATTCATCCTACCCGAACGACGCGGCCGCGGACCTTACGGTTGGGGGACGTCCGCGACAAAGTAAAACGAAGGAGCGAAAGACGTTCCACTTTTTTTTACGGATTTCCTTCCCGATTTTTACTAGCCCAAAATCGGAGTACATGCGTGCTAGAGGAAAACGATGGAGGTAACAGAAGTAAAATTTATTTTGCTTACAAAAAGTTTGTTCGGACAAAAAAGAAGCCTGAAAGATAACACAAGCAGTAAGCCAATCAGGGATCGTGAGATCAGTGAACGCCCCATATCCTGGAAAGTAACCGCAGAATGTAAGGTCAAAGCCCGTCTCCTCTGAAATAAGGTCACAGAGAATACCCAATCATTCTCCCAGAACATCGCAGACGAACTTGTGCGGCGGCGGCGACGGCGGCGTAAAGAAACGCGTTGAAGCGGCGTTCGCACAACGCTCAGCGTGCGGCGGCGACGCAGCGCGGCGGCGCGCGGGCCTACCACGTGACCAGCGGCGGCTCCCGCGAGCGCCAACTACAAATTCGTATTGCGCCGTAAATATAGCTCTAAAAATTTTTTTCTTCGTTGTAAAATCGTTTTATGACATCCTTTTTCCATCTAAGCTGTCTAAAAAAAATGTTTTTTTCCTTGGCATGTGTCCTTTAATGTTGATTACGCGCTATCTGTGGCGCCATGTACAATTTGCAGCCGAGAACGCTTTCGCTCTTATCTCGACCAAAAGAGGGCCACAGGCACAAAATTCCGAACGAAAGAGCGCCGCCGTAAGACTGGTCCGAGGTAAGACGTACCACCGTGGGCGGCGGCTTCTCTGCAAGACGACTGCGGAGCTCGGAGCAGATGAAAAACTCCCACGGGTTGCAATCTGCGAGCACCTTCAGGGCCACTTTCCGCTGTTCCGGGTGCTGCAACACCCAACGACAACATCTGTCACCCACACTTTCAATGAAACTGTCTGTCGTCACGGCAGGCTTCGGTGTCCCAGCAAGCAGAACAGACTGCTGGAATAATCACGGCTCCGAGTGCGTAGAAAACAGGCGACGGAGTCCATCCTCTGCTCGCTGCACCTATCGGGAGATGGCGTCACAGATTCCAGCCATCGCTAACTCGGTCGTCTGCGAACGAACGGACATCGCGTAGACTTGATTTCGCAAATACTGGGACACCTACAGTCTAGTCATTTGTATATCGGGAGTGTTTTAGGGCTCCCTGATAGATGGCGCCAGTGTACCCCCGTGTTCTCTCGTCGTAAGAGATTATGGGCGGTCGCGATGCAATCAATCACACTCGAATGCGGAGGTGTGAACCTGCCTTAACTGTTGCGGTGCAGCTACCCGACAAAACACACCCAAGCGATTGGCTTCCCTCGAAAGGTGGGGGCGGCACCCACCTCAAAGGTTCCGTCGGTGTCCATGAAGGTGAATTCGGGGTCCACCACCTCCGCCAGGTACACCTTGGCGTAGGCTCCCGTCGCTATCAGGCGTTGCACGTGAAACTCCCTCCGGGGCCAACCTGTGCATCGAAAAGGGCATCAAGGGGTGCCGATTCACGAGATCCAACTTGCGGGGGGAGGGGCAGTTTGCTGGTTAAAGCGGCCCCCTCTCCCAGCGGCTAAAATAGCCACAAAAGGCATTGTCACGTCGCTTGACCGGCCAACAGGGCAGGAAGTACTGAGCGTTCCAGTCGATTCCGCTTAGCAGATATAAGCCTTGCCTGCTCTTGTCTATAAGTCTCGGTTAACGAGGTTTTTTTTCAAAAACAACTTTACAAGCCACTCCTAAACAACACAAATCCAGTTAATTTCGCTTAACATTTCAAGCCCATTCACTTTCTTTCAATGCGCAAAACCAGACTCGAATAAGTGAAGCAAGGATGGACTTAACGGTAGCCATTTGCCTGTCTTGGCGTCGAGCATTTTGTTTTGCATAGTCAAGGCTGGTGAGCTTCCGTAGTGCCCTAATGCCGTCAAAGCCACTGGCGCGAGCGCGTCGCTCGACGTTTATCGCACGAGAGCGCGTGCGAACGAGATGCACTACAAAGTCACGTGCTCTTGCTGCAATGCCGAGCTGCAGCACTGTGGACGCTATGCTAGTCTTGACAATGTAACAAAAAACAGATGACGCAAATTAAAAAAAAAAAGAAATTGATGTTTCTCTGGAAGTTGTTTGCGCGACCACGAAAAACCTCCTAAGCGGAGCTTAGCCGCTGAGCAAACCAGCCCAGAAGTACCGAGACTTCTGGACCAGTTTACCGGATGCTCACCGAGAGTGACGGTGTGGTCCGGCTTGAGGAGGGGTCGGTTTGAGTTGCGGGTAGAAAAACCATGACGCTGCTCGAGTCCCACGGCCAGGGACGACAGGATGGTGTCCGTCACTATTCGGTCGAAGGGGTCCAGGTGGTCCCCCTGGCCACAGTCTTCGGGCGACAGCTGCTGCCTGCAACACAAATGACGCGAGGAGGACGTAAGTCCGAGGACTGCCATAAATAATGTCAAATCCGCACGGTCTCGTTCGCAGGTGCTAAAGGCTCGTTCACACACTTGCGACAGCTTACCGCCAAGCACCTTATATCCTCCTGCGAATCCTTACGACGAGACAACAGTGGCACCACCTATTGGTAGCACAAAACACTATACAGTATAGACCACTTACAACGTAACCGCTTATAGTGCAGGACCGGGTATAACGCGGCTTTTTTAAACCACCGGTTCGCCTCCCATAGAACTCCATGTATTTACATACCGCTTAAAATGCAGGCGCGCGAAGGGAAATACCGGTTATAGTGCGGTTTCTGGAAGAGCCCGGCGGCCGTGCCGACTGACCGGCGCAGCGAGCACGCTTCCCTTTGCGGCGCTAGATAACGGCGCGAGCCGCAAGCGGCACTCGCGGGGCAAGGAGGTTGCTCGAAGAAACCGGGAGATGCGAAGAGAGAGGCTGCAGTTGCCATAGCGACGGAGGGACGCATGCACGTGTCGTTCTCGTGCGTGCGTCCCTCCGCTGCGATGGTTGGAAACAACCGCAACGACAGACCAATCGCAGGTCGAGGAGAAGTGTTCGCGCGCGTTGCATGCCGGCAGTGCGTACACACTATAGGCTCTCTCCTTTCCCCCCCAACCTCTATTACAACGCTTCTCCTCCTCTCCGGTCGCGGGCCGGCTGCGTCTATCCGCAAACATGGCGTTGGTTTTGATCGTCGATGTAGATTGCGTGATGGAGGCTCATCGTTCCGCGTAAAAGCGCTACCCTTGACTGTGAATTTTCGTTGTGTGTCGTTATGATAACCCAGCACGTACTAGAAGGGAAGATCCAAGGGAAGATCCACCTACTCGTGCGGCGATGTCGTGGCGGCACTCTCAAGACGGCAGAAACGCCCGTGTCGTCGTGTTTGTTTACTTCGACTAGAGTGGTGTTTTCTGTGTTTTCGAACATCGCCCGGATTTCTTATTTGGAGCATTTCATGCCTGTGCTCAAGTTGAAGGTATTACTGGCGCGTACCGTATAAAGGATGCGAATTTTCACGCGTTTTCATCGCCGGAGAAAAGTGATTAGGGTTAGCAATCCTGAACGCTCGCAACGTCCGTCCGCAACCCGCGACGCTGTTAAAAGGCTGCGCCAGGCAAAAGTCGCTCATTTCTTTCAAAATGTGTGACACACTTGAGACAGAACTGTTCTAGTCTGGTGAAATAAAGACTTTCCTCAAACTAAGCTTTATTTTTCACCTAACATAAAGTAAATTCTTTTACAAAGGTAAGTAGTCTCATGGCATGTATTTTGGCCTGAAAAATTGATGTTTTGGTTATAATGCGGTACCGCTTATAGTGCGGATTTTTGCGACTCCCGCGACATACGTTATATGCAGTCTACACTGTACTCAACTTTCCTTTTTGCCAACACCCCACCTTCAAATATTTTTCTCTTCCTTCCCAGTAGGCGATGAAATTTTTGATGGCGCCGGGGGGGGGGGAGAGAAAAGTTCTGCACTGGCGTTCGGCAGAGAGTTGTGTTCTCACCGACTGAAGACGGGTCTCCGTCCGATGCGGTACTCCATGCTCCGAACTTGTGCTTTTAGTGATGTCAATAATTTGGCACTATGGCCTTATTATGTAGAAATGCTGCGTGGCCACGCTCCAAAATGGAGCCGTTAGCTGGGAAGGGAGGGAAGGGCCTCACCTCATGGAGAGTTGAGACCCTTCTCATCCCTCTTATCAACCTCCTATGAGAAGGAGGCTCAAATTTGGGGGCTCTACATGCCTAACCAACGAAGGGCATCTGGCATGCCCCCGTAGAGGACTGAGGATTCATTTGGACCACCCGGGGATCTTTTCGTGAGAAAAAGAAATCTGGGTCACACAGCGCCATGTTCGCAATAAGTTGTAGCCCGGATTGGAACCCGCCCACCAGGGGATCCAAAGGTTAGCGCTTTGACTTGGAGCCATCAAGGCGGCTTATGCTCATAAATACTGTCATCTGCTGGGAGCAGACAGAGGGAGAGAAGGTTTTCCCCCCTTGAAAAGGGGAAACTGGCTTGGGAAGGAAGAGGTTTGCGTCGCTTTTCCGTATACAGGAGCAAGCGCGGAACTAAACACACTGCTCTTTTGGCGCCAACTAACCATACCTTGTGGTGAGCAACCTGTCCAAATGACATTAGAGAGTTTTAGCAGACCGTTTTTTCGCCCCGATAACGACACCCGATAACAATACGATGCATGCCCAAGGCCGCCGAAGGGGAGAGGAGGTATCGTTATCAGGGCGAAAAAAACAATCCGCTAAAATTCTATTGTTATTGAACCCACCTCGGCGGTGAAGCCTCCTCTTGCAGCGCAGGCAGCCGGCTCTGGGCGCTGAGTGCGGCGGCCGAGACGGACGATGATCCAGACGAGCAACTCGAGCCGCTCGAGCTGCCCGACTTGCTCGAGCTCTCCTTGCTGCCCTCCAAAATGGTGCTGCAATGCCAGACGTCGCGACAGAACCGCCAGTGTCAAAACTTCAAACTGGGTTTTTAGAAATGCAAGGGATCTTCAGAGTGCCCTTAGGGGCTCCCCAGACTCGAAAATTTCTCCCGCTTTCCCTGCACCTGTGTAAAGCAATCTCCCAGTCTAAAGCACTATTTGAGCAAGTCTGAACCACCCGTCAGTGCATAACCATAAGCCAAACTGTCCTAATATGTTCGTCCTCAAGATTAAAGTTTCGTGCTGATGGTCTGCCAATGTGAACGGCAGTCAGCTTTGACCTTGTAATCAAAGAGCCTGCCGTCAATCTGCAATATTGACTTCAAAAGAAGCAATGCCTATAATGCAAAGGTGCAAGCGAGCTGGACAAGAATGATAATAATAAACCCTGGAGAAGGGGAACAAAGGGGACAAAGGACAGACACAAATCTCCAAGCACGGCTATTCGACTGGTGCGCGACCGAAGCGATGCCATCCTCCAATAAAAAAATTAAAAAAACGGCGAAAACTAGCTCTTTAGCGGAGCAAATGCTGAAAAGGAGGAGGGTCCTTCCTCCGGTTACTGGAGCTGGTTTTGGCTCACCTGAGATCTCCTGCCACGACCAGGGGTGCCGAGAGCCGGCGCTTCACTGCCGCCGCCATATATGGTTCTTTCCTGGCTTCCGGTTCGAGTGCCACGTCCTGAACTAGCTCCGTCAACCCGCCCACCGTGAAGTCCTCCCCCACCGGCGGAAGCCTCCCGTCGAAAGGCGTGGAGGTCACCTGCAGAGAGAGCCGGCAGTTGCTCGGGTGTTGACGAAAGGCCTCACAAAGACGACCCCTCGCAAGTCACTTTTCGTCAACAGGGATGCTAAGGTCCATGACCGCGGTGCATAATCGATCTCGGGATGGCACTCAATGTTTCTCGAACTCTTTCGGCAACCTCGGGTAGGACAATTTTTACCGAGGCTTCGAGGTCGCGGATGAGTTAACGCGAACGGCTGGGATTTAAACCGGTATCCCAAGTCACATTCAAAGTCAAATCTGGGGGTTTTACGTGCCAAGCCAACGAAAGGCATCGGGCGTGCCCCGGAAGAGGGCTGAGTATTAATTTCCCTTGCCTGGGGACCTTTTGACGCGCAATCAAACCTGCAAAAAGCGTACGTCAAATTGTGGGCCACCTTGGGTTCGAACCCGCCATTTCGGGATCCATAGGCCGACGCTTCGCCTTGGGGTAACTGAACTGCTGCAATCGGAGAATGCTTGAGGGAGCAGCAACCAATCGGTGGCAATACTGTCACGCAACTTCCCGTGACAGAGGAACATGGGGTTTGACATCGCCCAAATTCACTATGAATTCTTTTCACGGTCTTGCAATTATATAAAGGGGGAGTGTCAGTTACTATTTACGATGCCATTCAAAGATCTAAAAACACGTTGGCACCGCATGATCTTCTACGCAATGCTAGGAATTTCCAATTAATGATAAGGACGATGACAAGACATAGCGAATCACAGCTGTAGCAGTTGCTAGGTGTGAATATGGTAACGTCAAGATGCTGAGAAAAGTTTCTCAATGTTTGAAACATGAAAAGTTACAAAACACATTTAGCAAGCGTCAAGTGGCACAACGCCAGGGCGTCTATGCCCACGGACCTTCTTCACGAAGCTCTTGGTGGGTGCGTAGGTGAAGTTGTCGTCGTCCGTAAAGGGCTGGAAGCCGTTCATGCCGCCACCTTCCTCCTCCTCCTCCTCATCTTCTGCGGGAGGCTTCTACAAACGTGGCAGGACAAGCAGAGATGACACTTTTAGTTGCGTGAACAGGCGACCGGAATCATACTTCGTTTCAGTTCATACTCTGTCCCACCTCTTAAGGTGAAATGGGATGGATTAAAGGCTGGTTCACGCATTCGCGTTTGCTGACGACAGAGTTCTTACGACTTCTTACGACGAGAGAACACACTGGCACGCCGGTGCCATCCATGAGGTGGCCCTGGAACTGCATTTTACTAGAGTTAAGTTTTCTGGTAGTTGCAAGATCAAACGTGCTGCATATCATCTATAAAAAAACTTTCAGCCTTTCCACTTTGGTGCAGAAGGAAGAGCAGCGGAGATGTAGCTTCTGTTCTAGGCAGTGACGCTCCAGGCGAGCGATTTGCTCTTCTTTCGCAAAAAAATCTGAAGCGCTCGACGCGCACGGCGGTTGCGGACGACCCATTCGCGCTGCTGCGTATGTCGCCGCTCCTTCCACACCCAGTGTTCTTTCTCCGAAGAAAGGGCACGCGGCTGGCCCACCATGAGTCCAAACCGAAACTGATAAGAGCGTAGAAAACAGCGCACAAAACAGATAAGGACGAAGAAAAAACACACGTGACGTGCGTTGCGCTCGTCACGTGTGTTTTTTTTTGCGTCCTTGTCTGTTTTACGCGCCCAACTTGCCCAACTATCCATTCTTCTATGATAGCTGGAAAGGTTGCTGCCATCTATGAGCGACGGTGGCAGCCAGACTGGTTGCTGCCGTCGCTTATAGATGGCAGTAGCTGTCCAGAGGTTCGTGTAGGTTTGTGTCGACATTTCTTTGGTACCGGACACGATCCTGAGGAACCTAGCCCTTAACAGCTCCGCTGTAAAAGGGTTGTGTATAACATTGTCAAAGGTTTTTCGATCCAAGAAAAGAATAAATGATGCACGAACAATAAAAGAGAAATCAGTATTTTACAGCTACCCGATAGATGGCGCCAGTGCTTTCTCTCGTCGTGAGAGATCCCAAGAGGTTGCAGGGCACTTGGTCGTAAGCAGTCGCAAGTGTGGGAACCAGCTTTCTCTTCCATTGCGTAACTAACAAAAAAAAAAAATATATATATCTTGGTTTCTTGTTTGCTTACGCTTAGCCCTAGGCCACGCCGCAAGTATCACATTAATTAGAACGGAAAGAAATAATTTTGTTTACCATACTTCGTATCACCTTCAAGACCATATGCAGCCGACGAAACCAACCGGACAGCGTCAAGGGCATACCTCGACAAAGTCACCCATGAACCCGCCTCACTCACACTCACCGCGTAATTGTGAGCGGCTGTGAGCGACTTCGTGAAGTTTGAAGAGGTCATGATGTGATGGTGAATGACGTTGTCAACTCTGATCAGATGAGATGGTGAGTGACTTCGTGAGAGTGAACAGTTCATGATGAGATGGTGAGTAGCCTCATGAGCGTCACGAGATCATGAGATGGTGAGTGACTTTGTGAGCCTGGAGCAACTTCAGGAGCATGATGAGTTTATGATGAGATGGTGAGTGGCATCGTGGACATGATGGGCTTGTGATGTGATGGGGAGTGAGCCTGTGAACCCCGAGGTGTTTGTGATCGTAAGTTCATGAATTCAGACACGGAGACGAGTTTGGCTGTTGGCGTTCCCCGCAAAAGTTTTGTGGCTTGACTTTGAGCGCTGAGCGGCGTTGCTAGGGGGATGGGGGTGTGGTATTGGTGGCAAGGGTGGTGCAGGTGGGGAGGCGTATTTTTCTTTTGTGAACATGCGACTGTTGTGTTTTCTTTGCGCTTCCATTTTTAGCAGCAGATGGAAAGGCCTGAGCAGGTATTGAGGCATCACAGAAGCAACCCTGTCCCCTAGTGGGTCCTGTGCTGGGGTAACGCTGACAATGTTTGACCAGAAAAATTGCCGACTCCCTTGCTGGGGGGAAGAAGCGGGGGATGATGTTTTTAGTTTTTTGCCCGACCCCCAAAGGTCATCCTGGTGATAGGGGAGAAAATTGGCTCAGAAGGGCAGGAGGAATCATATGTTTGTCTTTTAGACATAGGCTAGGTGGCGCAAGCTGCCACCCTTTATAAAGGATATAGCCATTAACATCCGTCCATCCGACCAAATATTTCCCCTGCCATATTGTTACTAATTCACGACCCACTTTGGATTAGCCACTCCATGTCCGCAGTGACGTGTCTTTCCACGCAATCAATTGCTCAAACTTCCTTATCTGCGTTGATCTTTAAAAAAACTTTCAGCCTTTCCACTCTAGTGAAGAAGGAAAACCAGTGAAGCTGTTTACTATGGTAGAAATGAAGTAATTATAAATGTAAAAATTAAGGTGTGATTAGGTAATAGGTTATGTGACAACCGTACTGTCCCCGCTTTTCTTTGTCATACCACGTCAACCGCCGAAGGCTCATGAACGGTAGTCGAGGCGCCACTAGTCGTTCCTCCACCACGTTCAACCTCGGTTGGTGCTCCGGTACGGATGGGTACTTGTAGCCGTTCACGGTCGCGAACCAGGGCACTGTGCCTTTGAGCAAGGGATTTCGGCACGTTCTGCACACTGGTTCTTTGTAAATGTCCGCTGACTTGATACACTGTCGCAACGCGCACGCGTCCGTTTCCTGCTTATTCTCGTCCGACGCGCCGCCGATCATGGATATGTCTCCGGTGAACCAGAGTCGGTCGCACACGGCGCACGTGGTGCCAAACGGGTTCCCTACGAACTCCCCCCAGAACCTCGCCGTCGCACCCGGGAACTGTTCAGCTAGCGTAGAGTGCTGTCGTCGCCGGGCCTCGCGCTTGCGCTTGGCGTCCCAAGTGCGATCATCGTCCGTGGCATTGGCCCCCCGGCGCCGTTTACATCGCTGCTTCTGTTCTCGGCGGCGGCTTTCCAGGCGAGCAATGTGTGCTCTTCTTTCGCAAGGGAGTCTGAAGCGGTGGACGCAGTGAAAGTCAAGGCGATTGCGGCTTCGCGTCAATTGCGGAACCATTCCACGCTGCTGCGTACGTCGCCACTCCTTCCGCAGCCTGTCTCCTTTCCCCGAAAGAGCGCACGGCTGACCTATCCTGAGTCCAAACCGAAACTGATAAGAGTGTAGGAAGCAGCGCGCAAAACCAACGAGGACAAAGAAACAGACGTGACGTGCGCTGCGCTCTTCACATGTGTTTCTTCTTCGTCCTCGTCTGTTTTTCGCGCTGTTTCTTACGATGAATTCCCACCAATGGTGCCCAACAATCCATTCTTCTATCATAGCTGGAAAGGTTGCCGCGACATACGAGCGACGGCGGCAACCAGACTGGTTGTGTGCTTGCCGCCATCGCTTATAGATGGCGGTAGCTATCCAGATGTTTCGTGTAGGTTTGTGTCGACACGAGTTTGGTACCGGACACGATCCTGGGGAACCTAGCCCTTAACAGCTCCGCTGTAAAATATTACCGTCTTTCATTTCTTTTTTTCGTCCATAGACCCTTTTGCTATTTACAAACATGAGCTGACGCTCGCATCCCAAAAGACTTCCGGTCGCTCCGTCTTTGCAAGCCTGTCGTGCTTGCTTACGTCAGCTATGCTAGAAAGCATAAATGCTACATGGACAACAAAGTTGGAGATTTAACGAGGGCATTCGGCTGTACAATTTATTGACTTGGAGGAGGCAAGTTGGTTTATAAAAATATGGGAAAAAATTTAGCAGATTTCTGACTTCGTCATTTCAAGCAGCAATGTCAAGGTGGGCTTTGTTCATTATTTTTGTGAACCAGAAGTTCTCTAAGACGTCAAAGGTGTCCCATGGTCCTTTTCTCTAAATTGCTTGACCCTTTTTGATTGAGAAACCATGCTTTTGTTTGAAAACAAAGAAAAACTTATATGCAAGTTTTGTTATTGGAAATTGATAACAACCGTTCGGTTTTTTAATGCAGTGACGAATTACAGGCGTAATAGAATACCAATGAATGAGAAATGTTTCCATAATGCTACTTGTAACCGTAAATTTAAGTGGGCTCTCTGAGTGAAGCGGCAAAATGAAAATGAATCTTCATATTGTGTTGTCGTGAGGTCAGCTCACTCTAGATAGATTTAGCGGCCACAAGCTCCACCCATCTTCCGAACTCCTTCTGCATATATAGCTCCGATCAGGCACGTATCCGGATGGGGGGAGATGGGTCCCCCACCCCCTGTATACGTGCCTGATGAGTGAAAATAACCGTGATGGGGGCGACTCTGAGGGGCCAAGATGTGATTGGCTACGAGTGTCTGGCACAGTTGAAATCTATATTGTGAAGGGCTGTGACTTTTGAATGGCGGTATGCTTTGCAATGCGATTGTGAATTACCTTGATGGGCTTCAGATTTTGGTGATGTGATGGCGAGTGAGCGGGTCCTGAAGTGCCGACCTATGGTCAAAAATGAGTGCCCCCCATCGTGGAGTTTGTCGTTTTTCTCTACGTGCTGTATTGTCGCCGAACCAATCGTAAATAAAAAAGGCTCAGTGGCTCGTGTAGCTGCTCGACTGGTCCCGTTACCTCATAGCGTCGGCTGCGTCTGGACTTAAACCCAAACGAAGTATAAGAGACCCTTTCCAGAAGCGCACGTCGTCTATCTCACTAGCTGCACGCAGCGCTACCAAAAGTGGGGAGACAAGAGCGTAACCCGAGCAGTTGGAGGAACGGAAGGAGGAACTTCCCTCTTACCCAAACCCTCTTTCGTGCACCCCCACGTCGCTTTTCGTCTGCTCGGAGATCAGTCGATCACTCAAAATTCATACAAAAGCGACTTTTCTTTCTCACGGTGTGGCTTTCACAGCACCGCGCGGAACTAGTGAGATGGGGTATAGCAGCCGCTCTGCCAATAATCCGAGGCCGCACTACTTCGGGCAAGCGCTCCACATAGTGGACCAGAGCGGCACGTCGATGTTCGGCATCGGCACAGAGCAGGACCTCGTGCTCGAAATACGGCGACCACTGATGTTGCCCAAAAAGGGGTTTCGGGCGCCGTGCGCTTGCCAGAGAAAAAGTAGGCGTACCGGCGGCTCCAGTTCTGCAAAGGGGATCCTGCGTTGGTGCGGTCTAGAGACACTCCTCGCACACTGCTGGCCGGAGCCGGGCGGAGGGCTGTGCGCGAAACGTGCGGGGAAAACACGTCAATCCATGCTTCCAAAACAACCGCGGCGCATAAAAGCGGCACCTTGATGCAATAGAACTGGTTAAATAGGGCGAGAAGCACGCGGGACCAGAATTGCTTAGGGCGAGGCTCCTCAATTACGGCCAAGAAACTCCTTTCGGTCTCGGGATCGATGCGACAAAACGCCTCCGAAGCCTACGGACCTTTTAAATAATGATGCACAAACTAGGGAGTGGTTGGATTACAGTTGTGCATGAATGGCTGGCTCCGGTCTGCTAAAATAATGGTTAAAGGCACACTGACAGGGTATTTATGCTCGCCAAGGTTTTAATTTGTACATAGCAGATGAGAGCCCAACCACCCAGAACAAAATTTGCGGCTCGAAGTTCGTTTTCTTTCGGTCAGGGTACAGCTGATCGAGAACTAGCCGTTCTGAGTCTCGCTCACTCTCTTCTCCGTGGCCACATGCCGTTCTCTACGGTTTAGACACAACCACCAAAGACAATCGAAGTTGTGGGTCATCGAAGGCATACACTCAATACTAAAAATACACAAAAAACATGATACCCATTTTTCGTGGTTTCTAAAAAAACTGCAAATATGTTGATCGAAAAAAAAAAAAAAAAAAGTTGCACAGCCAAGTGATTTCCGGTGACTTTCTCCATCTCTATACTTCTGCTTCCATCCCAGTACAGTTTCGGTTCCGAGCAGTTGAATTTTCTGACTTCATTAAAAATATGTGTGACGCTGTAGCGAAATATTGATTGGGTAGTCTCCTGAAACCATAACGAATGGCCTAACAAAAAACATTAAAAAAAATGTCTGGGGGTCTCAGTGTCCCTTTAACCTACAACATTATACAGGCTCGACCATGCTGACAAAAACCAGGGAGCACACAACGTGTTTTACACACGCTTTGTGCGTCATTTGTGAAAGATTTTTAATTTTTCTATTATGTATTTTTCCCCTTACCGTAAACGACTTAATTTTCGAGAGGATCTCATTTTCGCAAGGCACGAAACTTAGTGGCCATATAATATTTCCAAAAACTGCACTTTGTCAAACTTGAAAAATATCGAGCCCGCAAAAAAAAAAAAAAGGTTTGCAGTAATTTTTTTAATTGTTTTTTTTTTCACTTCCTTATTTATTTCTTATTTACCAATTTTATTTCTCATTTAAATTTTATCATATTTTTTGCTTTCGTTACTTAATTTATTAGTTTCCTCCAAAACCTGTTGTTGTCGCCGACACTTTTGTATTCCAGTAAAAACATGGAGCAATCCATGCCAGCTGCGCTAGTAGCTCAGTGGCTCCAGCATCCGACTGTTTATATAGTTTATATACAAGCTTTATTTATACGCTCGTTCGTGACGCCGAAAACGCCGCTTAAAACACATTCCCATTTAAAAACAAATCTCGGGAGCAAGTGCCGGAAAAATGCGAAGGTCAATTCAAAGGCACTCGCCCGTTTTCATCGGCCACGAGACACGTCCCCGCGACGTCCGTGGGATCGGCGGGGCCGCAGGGCACCGAGGGGGGCCGGGTCTGCGTCGGCTCGCTGAACACCTCAAAGGGGGCGGCCGCGGTCGTGGGGTGCGCCACTCGTCCGTCCGTGCTGCCTGCAAATCGCACGAGGGTCATTCGCCGAACCGTCTCTCGCGCCGGTACATCTTCAGAGGGCACGGTAAAATATCCGGCCGGCGCGTTCAGCGTCCTATTCTGCCCGTGCATCAAATGCGGTCCCGAAGTGGCAACAAACGGCATCGCAGAAGTCGTAGCATCGTGTTGTCGGGTTTCGCAACCCTGACAATTGGGCACAGGAGTCCCAGTGAAACGTAGGAGGGAATGCGAGCGTCGCCGTCGTCTCGGCGTCCAAACTACCGGCTGCCGAAGCTTTCACAAACGGTCAAACTGTAGGGTGACCCGCCACGGTACAGGCATCTGCCACATCCACTGCCACCGCAGCAACACCAACAGGACACTTTTTTTTTTTTTTTTATGTCAATGGGCGAAAACCGAGGGCCCACTTCCTGGGACGCAGTAAACGCACCAGTCGGAGACGCGTTTTAGACACAGTGACGTTGCGGAAGCCACCCCAGCCTCGACGACGCGATGCAGAATAGCCGACGCCGAGTACATAGGCCATGGATCGTGCCAAGCAGAAAGTCACATTACGGGGTTTACACGGGCCAAGCCGACAAAGGGCATCTGGCACGCCTCAGAGAAAGACAGAGGCATCGAGTTAATATAATAAACCGGACAGAAAGGTCCCAAGCGCATTTCGGCCGCTTCAGAACGGTGGGGTACAGACGCTGACGTCGGTGGTTCCGAGTGTACCACATTGCCGACGACGCTCTGGCACGCACGAAGGAATGCATCGCTCGAAAACTCTGTGTCTAGAGTTTCTCCAGGCTTATCTTGCACAAAAACATCGGCATTGTACATGTATAAAAAAAAATTAAGTTGACAAGCACTCTAACAACTTCGACTCGCCGCGGCAAAACGAACACGCCTAACCTGTCCTCTGCTTTCTTTCTCCGCTTTTCCGTCGCTCTCTTTCTCATTTCTTTGCTCAAGATCACCGATGACGGCAACCATTCGAGGCACCCAGCTCCTATGTTTAAACCCCTGAACTGAGGGTTACGCAATTTTAACAGTTTGGGGATCTCTCAACGTGCCACGACAGCTTCTGCACTAAAAGCTTTTATGAAGGAACGGCGGAGACTCACAGTTGGCGGCGGGCGACTTCTCCTCGAGCCCAGACTGGGCCAGGGTTCCGTTCCAGAGCCCCCTCACCATGCAGGATACGTCCGTGGTCGTGGTGTTGCCGGGGCTGCTGCTCTGGCTCCCATTCTGAACGGGGACGGCCGCAGCTCCGTGCACGCTTGGCTGCAATGCTGGACCACCGTCCATCGAAAAGACTGTCCCTCCGACATATCCCAGACACTAAATGTGCGGCACTTATGGGCACCCCGTGATGGTCACGCGACCATAAGGCAAGCATCTGATGAAATGACCTTACGTCACAACGTCGTCCGACGTCACGGTGTCACGTGAGCATCCGGAAAAGCGTACGGTCATGTGGAGTGACGGTGTCGCGTCACATCACGGTGTCACATAACGTCATGTTACGCTCGCGGCATTGCATGAGCACCGCGACATTGTGATGGTGTTCACGTGAAGATGTTACGCTGAATCTTTTGAATCGCCGACGACGTCATGTGAATACTGACGTAATCAGCTTGATGTTACCATCAAGGTTTTGTCCCCACGGGCACAAAAGCCCAAAGCTGTCAATGCACTGCACTTCAAAATAAAATTAAAAAATATGAGACCCCATGTTCAGTTCACACGGTTGAAAAACTCAGACAGGGTGCTGAGCTGCATATTTGTTGAAAAAAGCAGTTATATGGAAACCGAACTCCAGCACAGAGGAATGCAACGTCAAAAACTCGGGAAATCGTGCATGTTCTTTTTGTGTTTTTTTTTTCTCTTTACGAATGCAGTTTTTTAAGTCTCCTCTAGGATGACATATTTCAGGTGTCTCGGTGGACATAGAAATGAGATGTTACGGATCCACATCGAGATTTCAGAGAGCTTACTTCGGCTGGTTCTTAAGCAATAAGATGCCTGACATCAAGTCTAGTCTCCAGAACAAATGCTTGAAACGGGCGTTCTTCAAAAATCCGCCGTCTCGCCCCGTGTGCGAGCGTCCACTCACCGGGGGGGAGTGCAGACACCCTCAGCGACCGGTTTGTAATGAGGATGCTCTGCTCCAGGAGGTTTATCTGCTCCTTCATCACCTGCTGCTCTTGCACAGGTGCGCTCCTATACAGAAGTCGAGAGACAAGTGCAATGAATGCACCGCTCGGCGCTGCCAACACAACAATCAAAATCGAACTACGGATCGTCTATCACCAAACTTCTCGTAGAGCAAGTCCGTAATCACTAGAGCAAAGGTTCTCAAATAAGGGTCAGTGAAGCCCTGCCTCATTAGTTAAGCCCGGCAATAAAAGTTGTCTTTTTTCAAATTGAGAAGAAACGTTCCAATTTTCGGGTGAGTTTTCTCGTGTATCTCAATGAAAGAAGTCTACTTCACACAGTCCTTAGTTATATCCATTTATTAAATCATTATCGTCATTAACATATACCTTTCCCTTCCCCTCACCACGAACGGGGTCATCATCTCCGCCGATCTACAAGGGGTCCGCGAAGCATCAGTGGTTGAGAACCACTGCACCAGAGCGTGGGCTCTCAAACTGAACTCCAAGGGGTTCCTCAAGCGTACCATCGTGAGTTCGCCGCCACCACCTTACAACTTCTGGAAAGGATCCTTCTTGAGACGTGTCGGCTCTGGAATGCGGCACACTTAGGGGCGCCACCTGCATACGCACTCTCGAGCAAGGACAATTTCTTTTTTCAAATTAGGAATATCACCGGCGAGGTCGTGGGCAAAAAGCCGAGAAGGAATCTTATCTTCAAAAGCAACTCTGGAAGTCTTTTGAGGTCGACGAAACGGGATCGAGACGAAGAGAGAAGGGGTGGAGACTCGCCTGTTCTGTACAAACAGCCTGCGCATTTCGGCGAGCTCGTTTCGCATCTGCTCCACCTGCAATCGCAAGGCCTGCACCTCTCGGTCCTTCGCAGCCTCACGCTCCAGGCGCTCTGCAACGAGAAAAAAGAAAAAATTATGTCAAGTTTGTTAAAAAAAATTTAAGTTGCTCCAAATTTTGCAGACCCAGTCCGTCATGAAGATACCAAAAACTAGCTAAAATTCTTCAGCAGTGAGATACAGCAACCTTCAGCGTTGCGAGAGCTTCCCCCAGAACTTTCCCATCTCGAGGAACCGTTACCTGCCTTGACCGATAACCGAGGACTGACTCTCGGTTTTGACACTGATGCAGTAAAGCAGTTCCGGAGCTGACAAAGTTTACAAAGAAAAACGAGTGTCCGGCGGTGTTTGGCTCATAGTTAAGCATCAGTGGGAGACTCAGAACTGCTAAAATGGTGTTTAAACTAGGAAAACCCTTCGCTTAGGTGCGGGGGGAACAGATCAGGGTACTCTGGGGAATCCCAGTGTTCCCAGGACCCTGGTTTGAGAACCCATGACCTAGGAGTTGGACAGAACACAAACAGGTTTCCTAGGAACCCAGGGGTTCCCCAAAGCACGCTCGAGGTTTCCCCGAACTTCCGACGCTGTCCTTTTCTCTAAGAAAGCCGTTCTTCCTGTTTAATCACTATATTAGAATATCCAAGTCGCCCATTGATATTTAAACTATGTACCCAAAGCTTCCCATTGTGTGCATTACTGTTCACAAGGTCTGTAGGGATCTAGGCTACCTAACTCGGTGCAGAGACAGAGAAGGGCACCGTGGCTGTCAATCGAAAGAAATTAGCTTTCCTCGAGATCAAGATTCGAGAACCAATGTTTCAGACAATCATCCTTCTAACTGAAGGCAGCCGAGCAAATCAGAATTGTGGCTACTGGAATAGAAAACGGTATTCAGTTGTTTCTCTCTTTGCAGGGACCGTGGTAGGTTTCGCGGCATGTGCGGGGTCGTCTATCCGTTCGACGGACGAACCACGGGAGGAGACAACGTGGAGGTCCGGCGGATCACCTTGCTCTTTCTCCTTGGCCAGCATCTTGGCCCAGCGGATCTCCTCGAACTGGAGCTCCCTGGTGCCCCCGTAAACCTTGAGCTTGTTGTACATGGGGCGCTCCTTCGGATTCTGGACCAGGATGAACCCCGACGCCGGGACATGCCGCTCTTCGCGGCCGCGCTGGACGCTGCACGCACACACTCCCGATTGGATGGTTGCAAATCAAGTCGGCACCATGTCCTCCGTGCGCCAGTGCGGGGAAGTATAGAGCGATTTCGGCGCAAAAATGGCCCTGTACAACGCAACAGCTTGTGCGTGAGCGAAGACCCCAAGTGCAAATTCTTCTATCTATGCATCTCTTTAAAAGGCAGCTCTGGCAGTTTTTTGAGCAACCCACACTAAACATATGTTTGGTATACTCCTTTTACTCCTTTTGGAGTAAAAGGAGTATACCAAAGTAAAAGGAGTAAAAGGAGTATCCTTTTACTCCTTTTACTCTTTTATTAACTCCAAATTCAAAATGGCTATAAAAAAAAAAGAAAAATGAAGGTGACGCCAAAACCAACATTCAAACTATTCCACGCTTTCCAGTCGGGCAATGTAACACGTTGTATATAACTGGCAAGTTGATAGGGCAGTCAAAAAAAAAGTATTTTAAGCATTTTTCGATAGTTTTTTTAGGCCAGTTGTAATTTTATATTACTAAACTTTTTGTAACTTGTTAGGAAAAAGCTGTAATGCCCCTGTATTGCCCCATATTTCATCTTACATCACGTTTTCTCCCTCTCAACCTTTCCGACCCCATGTGGAAGAGGAGACCCTTGAAAAAAATAATTACTAAGACTTACAGTTTGGGTTAATAATTCAGATATTAATGCGCTGAACCTATTTTGAGGCAAATCAGTGACTTTCAAAATTTCACCGCATCTCTATTGCTGAAAGCCTGCAACCTATCTGAAAGTCGTTGCACCGAGAAACGACACAATTTACTGGACATGACTTTGAATCTTGGGTCCAACTGCAACGCACAGGCAAGCTTCAGCCCGAGAAGTGCATCAGAGCATCGCTTTGTCGGTAGAGCGTCTAACGGTCGAGGGTGTTAGAGCATCGCAGATCAAAGCACGTGGAGCATAAGCCCGGGCTATGGGACCCGTGAATACTGGATTCAATCCCCATCCCTGTCCGTTTCGATTTGGACAAGTGTCGTACCGGCATGCGGTCGTGTTTCACTACTGCGTGGTGCACGCTAAAGACGCCAGGCTCCCAGTTGTGCTGCACTGGCTAAATTTCTCATCTATAACTAAGATACCCACTCAGGCAGATTAAGTTCCGGCTGTATAAACATACGCGGAACACAATTATGTACACATCGTTACGGACAAAACAGCACTTGAACAGAATGCCGCAAGGCGGCATCCGACAGCGAGCCTCACGTACCTGAGTGCCTTGGATGACCCCGGGACCCAATCTGGTGGGCTGCAAGCAAAGACTCGTTCACCAAAGGTGACTGGAAACCCAACAGAGAATGTGACGGGCCACAAATCGTGAACCAAAAAGAGGGCACCCGGTTAACGCACACTATTGGTCGCAGCTTAAAAATATGCGGAAACCCTCCAGAATTAATGTAGGTTAGGAAATGAAGACTTTTTGAGCGCCCATTCGGAAAGGTAAAGTTAAGTCCTCTCCATGTTGTAGCACTCTCACTACCGTAATATCCCGACAGATAGCACAGCAAAACTCGAGAGCAACTCGGGTGGAAATATGAAGTGGGCTAACTTTCACTTTGCTCCCAAGAAATGTAAAAAAAAAAAAAAAAATGCTATTCTTAGGTCATGTGCCCTTGCTAAACTTGGTATTGAGACAAGGGACAATGAATCAAAGATAATTATGTAAATCCCAGACAGCAATGTTTGCTTATATTCCGCAATAGTTTACTCACCACATTTACGCCAAGACCATCATTGATCCAAACATCGCAATTATCAACTATCTTTCTGTGTTAAAAAAAAAAAAAAAAAGCAAATTAAGTTGAAGATAGGGGGGTGGGGCATCTCTTGGGATACAACGGTAGGTACTTTGCCCTTGCAGTCCGAGTGCTCTTAAATAAAATTGAAAACAGGCGGACGACAACAGCTTAAAGACATCGCTCGGCGACGTTAACAGTTAAAGGACTAACCCAGGCACTGGATCATTGGGGGCTTCATCCTGAGGTATGGTGAAACCGGCCGCCACGTTGTTAGTCACCTGCCTCACCTGCAAGACCCGCCCCGTTCCGTTAGACTGGCTGAGAGCACCCTCTAAAGACAAAAAGCTCTCTCAAAAACGCACAATTGAACATCAGCTCGTCCAGAGCAGCAGGAACTTAAAATTAAACACTCTCTGCTCTTATCAAAGAGTTATGAAACTCAAGATTCTCATAAAAGTTAGCAGGCTTTTGTAAGAATCCTAAGGAAAATTTGCTTTGAAGTACAATGCGGAGCGCAAGTTCGTCTGGTTCTTTTTGCAGGGGTTGTGGTGACGTCAGAACGCTGAGCTCCGATTGAAGGATAGTAGGTAGACCTCAAAGGCAGCTAAGCATTGAGGCCTACCCACTATCCTTCAATCAGAGCCAATTAGAGCTTCGCATTCTGACATCACCACAACCCTTGCAAAAGAAGCAGTGAAAGGTGTTTGCCTGTTTTGAGGCTATTCCTCGATCAACTGAAACATGCATGAACGTCATCTCTGAATTCAATCCAACATTAACAGCTAAACAGTCAAATTACGACAAAAAGCTTCTGTTTTTTTTTTCTCAGTAACTCTATTTTGTTTTATATTTTGTTCTATGTTTACCCTCCCGAATCTCTTTACGGTGGCTGTTGTTATTGGCAAGGTTTCACGGCGGACAACAGGGTGTGTTTTGAGCAAGTGATGGCACGACGTCACAATGTCACGTGATGCAAGGGAAACTTTCTCGGCAAAATTTAGTGCAAAGATCTTCTGTGGTGTTCGCAATGCCTCATGACATCGCAGGACGTTGACATCACGTGACCTCATGTTTTGTGTGCAGCGCTATAGTGTGTAGTCTGTGTGCGGCATCTCGGCATTTGCAGAACACAGCGAGGAACCGGTAAACGTTTTTAGACTCAACTCAACCGTCAGTCAAGCCGAGCAATAAAACTCATTTTTCCTTATGCTGGCTACCGCACAAAGCCAAATAGACCAAACCTTATGTGCTGAGTGGGTAGGGTTCATTATTCTCCTTCTCAAAACTTCAAAGTAGGGTTTGCAAGCATTAATTTACTTAGTTTACCCTTTTGTCATAGTAAATGATATACTTCTTTTCCCCTCCGGTTCAGAAGGGGTTCTGAAAACATCGGTGGCGGAGAGCTACTGCCTTATTAAAAGAGCACTAAACCGCTTTCTGAAGTCGTCTATTTATGATCGTAACTGGAGCTATAGGCTCTAAGCATCATTAAAATCCAAACATTGCATTCATGCACGGCCCCTTTCTCTCTATTAAAATCGGTACAGAAGATTGAATACCTCTGAACTGTCGCAGACACCAGAGGGAGCCGTCGGATGAGAAGAGGCCCTTCTCCTCATCCGACGAAGCTCAAGTTAGATGGAGTCGCAACCACAAATAGACCGCTGCAGAAAGTGGTTTAGTTCTCTTTTAAACTTTCAGGACAATGAGAAACCCTGACCCTTGAAGCACGAGCGCTAATAAAAAAAAAGAGGCCCGCCTCCCCACCTTGGCGGACGTCCACTTGCCCGGCCTGCTGGCGTTTTCCTTGGCCCCCTCGGCGGCGACCACAAACGGGGCAGGTGCCGCCGGGCGCACAAACACATCATCGTCTCCCTCCGGGTTCTCTCTGGAGAGCACCCTGGGCGCCCTGTTGCCGGCGTGGCCCAATGCCTTGCCCCCGACACCCCCCTGCACCTCCACTGGAACGGAGGTCGGTCGTGGGGATTAAAGACGAGAGCAGAATCGTAGAGTTTGTAGAACCATCTAGAGGGAAAGGTCCCATGTATTACGGCTGCTCCGAAACAGTGGGGCACAGACGCGGGTTCTCAGACTGGGTTACTGGGAACCTTGGGGTTCCCCGGGTTCTCAAACTTCCTCAACTGCCCCTACCCCCAAGTTGTTCCAGTTTAAGCGGTATTTCTTCGGATCTTAGCCATTCACCGATACGTAACTGTGAGTACTCCCCTTTCGTGTCCATTAAGGCCCGTTCACACTCTTGCGACTGCTTGCGACCTCTTAAACCTGGGTTCCTTAAAACTTCTTAAACCAGAGAACACACTGGCGCCATCTATTGGGAAGCAGTGTAAACTCGGCGGTCCGGCATAGTTTTTTTTATTTCTCGCGCAATATCCTTTCTTTTTTGGCTCGAAAAGCTTTTGTCAATGTTATAAACGAGCCTTTCTATGGGTATTACGCACATTTGACCTCGGAAATCCCGCAAAACCTTCGCTTTTGTGAAATGCAGTTCTAGGGTCACCGCATAGATGGCGCCACAATGTCAGTGTGTTCCCTCATTCTAGAAACATTTAAGAAGTTGTAAGAGATCTCGTCTCTCTCAGTCGTACTCGGTCGCAAGAGTGTGAACGGGCCTTTATTATTTGCACTGTTTCGTTGCATCAGTGCAAAAATCAGGTGGGGCTCCTCGGCTGCCATTGAAGGCAGACAGGCGTTCCTCAAGGTTCAAAAATTTGAAGGACGCCTGGATGCGGACATTGGTGATCCCAGAGGAACCATACAGCCTGAGATCACTTTCATATGCACAAAGGAGCAGCAAGACATCACTTGCAAGGTCTGTATTTTGTATGCTCTTCTGCCACTCTCTCTGTCATACTTTCTCTCAAGATGCCCCAATGTCAATGCCTATGATTTGCCGCGAAACGCAGTCTCGTGATTGGACGCCGCACTCACCCCTTTGCAAGGCACGCTCGGTGCCCACTTGGCCCCGCCTTCCGACCTGCTTCAGGGTTGCCAGCACGCTGCGGTTGTCTTCTGTCGTTGCCGCTTCCTCGCCCACCTCCATCATCTGCTGCGCCACCTGGCGGCTCACACGGGCCTCGAGGTGCCTGGAAAATGTGGCAGCACAAACTCCGTTTGCCTCAAATATTTGGATAACTGCCCGGCAGCAACGGGGAATGTCGCTCCTGTGTAGCGTATTAAACCATGTGCACCTACGCATTTGGTTGGGACGTGTATTTATAAATAAATATATCCCTTTATATTTAGAATGCACCTCCAGCCATGAGGCAAAATCAGGAGGGCAAGCTCGTAGAAGGTAACAACTCACTTAAATGCACAAGTTATATTCTAAAAAAGCAGACACATCGAGGCAGTTCCATTCATTGAAACATTTAACAAATTTAATGAGTAATATGCTAAAGCGATGAGGCATAATGAGTTTGTTGTGTATTGTCCTGGCATCACTACCGCTTTTAGTATTTCCATTCGAGTCAACGTCAACCCCTCGCTAATGAGAAGGAAATGGACGTAAACCACCTCACCTTAATGTGGACTGCAGCAAACGCTATGAGCACAATCCCTCCACTTTTTGATGCACCCCGGCTACACAAACACTCGTGCCGAAGAACCACCAACCAATTCTACCCGCTCGCACTCGCAGCCTTTGCTGCAGTCAACGTTGAGGCGATGTATAGCATAAACGACAGCAAAGCAAAGGCATCTGGAACGTGTATCTGACCGACATGTTTAGCGTCCTATACCACCCACGCATCAAAAGTAATCCCGAAGGATGCGACAAATGACGCCACGGGAGCCAGTGTGCCGTGCTGTCAGATGTCACGATCCCCGCAGTTGGTCGTTGAAGTTCCGGCGAAAATGACGAGCGATTACCAGTGCCGCTGTCAGAGTTTGTGTGGAGAATCGTTATGGAGAGCAACCCACCGGAGAACAGGCATCTGTCATATCCACCACCGCCGCTCTTGCACCGGCAGGATCGCGGCCAACAACGATGACAGTTTTAGGACGTCATCGGGCGGAAATCGAGGGACCGCTTCTTAGGATGCGGTAAACACATTAGCCGGAGGCACGCTCCAGACACCATACTCGCGATTGTATTATTTTGCAGCAGTCAGTGCTGTGCGCCACAAAATACGAGCCACGGTAAGGCTGGCACATGCCCTTGCCCACCTGAGCTGTGCCTCCAGGGTTTCTTTGGGGTAGGCTTTCCTGGTGATGCCCTTGCGGAGGATCTTGGCAGCATTCTTGGAGTCCCCGACTGCCTCTCTGTGATTGGCCCACCTCACGTAGAAAGGTGCCAGCCCCGCCCCTACGCCCCGGTCGTACATCGCTTTGAACACGACCTCGGGCTCGGAACTGATGTCCGCCTGCGGGAGAGGAGACCGGACCCCGGACAATACGGGGGCACCAACGTTAGCAAAACCTGAAAATCCGCCTTACCTAAAGGGGCACTAAATTACTTCTTGCGATTGTCTATTTATGGCCATGACTCAAATTATGGGCTCTCAGCATCCTAGAAAACCAAACATTACGTTTGCGCGTGGCTCATTTCTCCATTAAAAATTGGTATCAAAGATTGATAACTTCAGAATTATTGCAAATACCAAACACCTTCCTCTTTAGCAGAGCAAATACTGGAGAGAAGGTCACCTCTCCAACGTTTGCTCTATTACAGTGGAAAGGGGTGCAAAGAGCTTGCCCTGAGCTCTTAATCTGTCTATAGTGTCGTTACTCTGGCACCCGAATCGGCTGCATCGGTGCTGTTGTCGTCGGCATTGTTGCCGTTAGCGTTGCTGGCGTCTTTGTGTGCGACAAGCACGTGCAGATGAATCTGGTTTCTTCACAAGCACACTGCCTACACTCCATGTGGGCAAACACTGGCTTGCTCATAAACAGCGTGTCAACCAACACGGTCACTCTAGGTAGACCCTGCTCGGGGGAACACTCACGTAGCGCAGCCAGACGTCGACGAAGCGTGGATCGTCGGTATACTTGCTCTCTGTGACGAAGAGGGAGATACACTTTTCGAGAAGCTCTTGCAGGTTCACCTCGTGACCGCCCCGGGGGAAGTGCTGCTCCAGCCACAGTATGTACCTGGATGGAATGAACAGATATGGCTGACCCTTTTAATCAGGTGGCTGCTTCTGCCAACTTGCCAAGCTTTTAATTTCAATAGTTAACTGACATGACACACACCGTGTGTGTGTGCATCACGTGCCAGGGCGCGCCTAGCTCTTGCCGCGCCCCTTCTCTTTTACCCCCCCAGTTTTTCCGACCTAATAAACGTGTCTTACTACTACTACTGATCTCAGATTTACAAAAGATTGAGGTTAAAGGGGTACTCCGCAGATTTTTGAGCTACCTCAACTATCTATATTTTCTGACTCCCTGGCCTTTACGCTTTCTGGTATGCTATTTAGTATCGTGAAATTCTTAATAGTTATTGCGAAATCGGCAAAGGAAAACGATGCAAAAACCAACATTCAAATATACCCGCCCTTTTCAGTGCCGTGACGTCAGTGGAAGGCCAGCTTGCCAGTCGGGCGAGCAGTCTAAAAAATAGAATATGCCAATCATTTGTTCCGTGCTAAAGCGCGGGTCCTGGAGCGAGCTTCCAAAGCATTCATTTGACACCATGAAACTGCTTCGAATCAGTTGGGAACAAATTCTACAGTCCAAAGAGTGAACCCGTACACTTCCAGTGACGTCACTTTTTCGCTGTTGCCAGTAGAGACTTTCAGTTTGAAAAACACAGTGAGGACCAAAATTGTGAATTCAATAACTTTGTGAAAAAAAATTATTTTGACCCAATATTTGGGATACTATTTTGGCGATGTTTGGCGAGTTTAGCAAAATTTCAAGCAAATCAGGGACCATGAAGAAATCGGCGGAGTACCCCTTTAAGCCCTTTTATAGTATACTTCTAAAAAATGAAAGCCGTTTACAACTCCCTGTAACGCCGAATTAGAGCGCAGCTCTTGAGGAGGAGGAGGGAAGGGTACTGAGGTTCACGTGTTTTCAGGGGGGGGGGGGTCACGTGACCTGGGGTGCGGTCATGTGATCTCGGGGGGGAGGGGGGGGGGGGGGGTCACGTGACCCCCAGAGGAACTTTTCCGCTAGATTTAGTGGGGAAATTTTTTCCGCTAGATTTAGCGGGAATATTTTTCCGCTAGATTTAGCGGAGAAATTTTTCCGCTAGATTTAGTGGGGAAATTTTTTCCGCTAGATTTAGCGGGAATATTTTTCCGCTAGATTTAGCGGGGAAATTTTTTCGCTAGATTTAGCGGGGAAATTTTTCTGCTAGATTTAGCGGGGAAATTTTTCCGCCAGGTTTAGCGGGGAAAGTTTTTCCGCTAAATTTAGCGGGGAAATATTTCTGCTAGATTTAGCAAGGAAATATTTCCGCTAGATTTAGCGGGGAACTTTTTCCGCTAGATTTAGCGGGACATTTTTCCGCTAAATTTAGCGGGGAAATGTTTCCGCTAGATTTAGCGGGAATATTTTTCCGCTAGATTTAGCGGGAATATTTTTCCGCTAGATTTAGCGGGGAAATTTTTCCGCTAGATTTAGCGGGGAATTTAGCGGGGAACTTTTTCCGCTAGATTTAGCGGGACATTTTTCCGCTAAATTTAGCGGGGAAATGTTTCCGCTAGATTTAGCGGGAATATTTTTTCGCTAGATTTAGCGGGGAAGTTTTTCCGCTAGATTCAGCGGGTAAATTTTTCTGCTAAATTTAGCGGGGGAATTTTTTCGCTAGATTTAGCAGGGAAATGTTTCCACTAGATTTAGCGGGGGAATTTTTCCGCTAGATTTAGCGGGGAAATTTTTCCGTCGCGGAGAAGTATTTCTGTTAGATTTAGCGGGGAAATTTTTCCGCGAAATTTAGCGGGGAAACGTTTCCGCTAGATTTACCGGGGAAATTTTTCCGCTAGATTTAGCGGGGAAATATTTCCATTAGATTTAGCGGGGAAATTTTTCCGCTAAATTTAGCGGGGGAATTTTTCCGCTAGTTTTAGCGGGGAAATGTTTCCACTAGATTTAGCGGGGAAATTTTTCCGCTAAATTTAGCAGGGAAATTTTTTCGCTAGATTCAGTGGGGCAATTTTTTCGCTAGATTTAGCAGGAAAATTTTCCCGCTAGATTCAGTGGGGAAATTTTTCCGCTAGATTTAGCAGGGGAACTTTTCCGCTAAATTTAGTGGGGAAACTTTTCCGCTAGATTTAGCGGGGAAATTTTTCAGCTAGATTTAGCGGGGAAATATTTCCGCTAGATTTAGCAGGGAAATTTACCCATAATGCACCGGCAACGGCGACGCCGCTCAAGCCGGAAACGGGCGCCTAAGAGCTGCGCTCTAAAAAGACAGTCCATGTGATTATATAAAGGGGAATGGGTACCCTCAGTGACAGCAAGCTAAAACACAACAAAACATGCGCTTATCGCACCGTACTTCGTTTCACTTTGCGGCATACTCTGGCAAACGGTTTGAACTACAGCAGCCCATCAATTGCTCGGAGCTTAACACGCGATTTTGTTAGTCGCTCTGCCCAACGAGAAGATCATGTGACACCCTCCTTTCTATGGATTGGCTCCGGTGGCTCCTAGCATCAGCTGCAGTATGTTGTGAGGTGAAACGGAGTTACAGTGGGCAAGTGTCCCAGGATGTTTCTTTTGCGGTTTGGAACACAGGCACGCCAATCAAAAGGCAAAATAAATAATGTGCTATGGTTAGGTAGCCAGCCACATGCTGTTATCACCCAAGGTCGGACGAGAAACATAAGCATGTGGGCATATCGGGTGGATACCGAAACGCAAGAGGTGCACCAGAAGCGGACAAACTTGCACACCGTATGGGAGGGCAAGGTCCCACCAGATGATGCACCAAAGAGGCCTCTTCACTCGCTTTCTGAAGAGAAGGCTACTGGGGAGGGGTCTTGTACGACAGTTTTTAAGGGAAGAGTTTAATGGTTTTCGAGGACACTCCACGGCATAAAAAGACAGCCCTTTTGAGTTGCTAGCAACACGTCGCCCGTGCTTCCCAGTAAAATATCCGCAGACATTCTGAGGCGATCGCTCGAAGCACCAAGCAGTCCCATCTGGCACAGAGAAGTCTGGATAGGCTCTGCGTGCCTGTCCCTAGCCTCACTTGCGTAGACGCAGCAAGGAGCTGTTGAGATTTGACAACCACCAAACTAAACCAGAGATGAGGCAGACCCACCTGTGCCAGACATCGAGTGGATCCTCCCCGGAGTAGGTCCTCAGCTCCTCCTCAAAATTCCTAGAAGCAGAACAAGCCTCAGTCAGTGCTCACAACCACAACAGATGCCATTCAGTCTAAATGTCATTTCCCCCGCTCCCCATCCCAGAACAAAATTGGAACGCCCAAAAGTGGGATTTTTTTAATAAACTTTGTCAATGCATCTTGGGCCACAACCCGAACGCATGCACCACCCTTCCTCAGGAGGAAAGTGTAGTGACGTAGCCGGGATTTGTTTTTCGAGGAGGGCTGACTACGCCACTGAAGGGGGAGGGGAGGGGGGGGGGGGGGGGGGGGGTTAATGCTCGACGCACCTTCGCCTTTGTTGGACGGTGTCCTTTCCCTGAAGCGCGGCTTGCAGGGACGACATTGCGCGGCCCTGCTTCAGAGGCTGGATGTTCTCCTTGCACAGCTCCCAGTCCTCGCCGCCTTCGGCCATAGGGCTCCAAAGTTTCCCAAGTAAATGCCCCGACCGATAAACCGATAAACGCCGTCTTGTAAAACGAAGAGACCAGTCAGAAATTCGAAATGGAGCGGATCTGGCTTGATGTCGATGACAGATGTCGTTCTCTAACACAACAAAACATTATTCCTTGGAAGATGTGAAAATGTAAAAAAAAGACAAAGCAATAAGGAGTGGCAGCTACTGCATAGCTACGACTAAAACAACGGGATAGAGGACTAAAACACTAAAACGGTTAAAAAGTTGGAACTTTCCATCGTAGAGAGACTTTTTAGACGAACGTAGACTGGATCAATTGGATTGGATATGTGTCACGGTTAGCCAACGCTATCCAACATGCTGTTGTTTATGCACATGGTGTCTCAATCGGTGAGATCGTTGGAGCCGCGTTGCCGGTGTATTGGTTTTTACAGTTTTTCGTCGTGAAAGTCGGGCTTTGCAGGTTTTACAGAGCAGGCGATTTCAAGCTGAGCTGGTCGCTGTAAGCGTGCGCTCGCCCAACAACCAAAATGAGGTAAGCAAGGAGTGTAATTTTCGTTCCTTCGTCAGACCGGGCTTCCGTGGGGACGAGGTAATTGAAGGAGTCAATCGGTATAGCGGATACATTTTATGCGCAGGATCGACGTGGACGGCCTTACGGTGTTCTTCCCTTACGAATACATCTACCCGGAACAGTATTCCTACATGCTGGAACTGAAACAGTGCCTCGATGCAAAGGTAAGCGGAAATGAATGTAGTCGATCCCGTGCTAGTGCCGGATTCGTTCTGTTGTTAAGTCTCAACGTAGAACTACGATGGTCATGAGGATGCAAATAACGGGGCACAAGAGAAGCACTTAAGCTCGTAACAACTGGAAGTAAAGATCTACCAAACGAGCTGGTTCCTTTCGCGGACTTGTAGATAACTTTAAAAATAAATAGTTAAAGTGCAGGTGAGCTGATCCATATTAATCATGATGTTTACAACGTGAGCCTTAAAAGGAACCTTGAAGACAAAGTAGAAGGGACAGAAGAAAGACGGTTTTTGTCCATTTTCTTCTGTCCCTTCTGTCCACAGCACAAATATTGTGGCATAAGAGAATAGAGTGTCTAAGAGTTTTGTCTAGAGGGAACGATATCAGACGCAGCACAGTTCCGTGCAGACGGAACGATAGCAGACGCAGTAGAGTTCCATCCAGACAGAACAATAGCAGGTGCAGTAAAGTTACGTCCAGACGGAACGATAGTAGACGCAGTAGAGTTCCATCCAGATGGAACAATAGCAGGTACAGTAGAGTTACGTCCAGACGGAGCGATAGCAGACGCAGTAGAGTTCCATCCAGACGGAACAATAGCAGATGCAGTAGAGTTCCATCCAGACGGAACAATAGCAGGTGCAGTAGAGTTACGTCCAGACGGAACAATAGCAGACGCAGTAGAGTTCCATCCAGACGGAACAATAGCAGATGCAGTAGAGTTACGTCCAGACGGGACGATAGTAGACACAGTAGAGTTCCATCCAGACAGAACAATAGCAGGTGCAGTAAAGTTACGTCCAGACGGAACGATAGTAGACGCAGTAGAGTTCCATCCAGATGGAACAATAGCAGGTACAGTAGAGTTACGTCCAGACGGAGCGATAGCAGACGCAGTAGAGTTCCATCCAGACGGAACAATAGCAGATGCAGTAGAGTTCCATCCAGACGGAACAATAGCAGGTGCAGTAGAGTTACGTCCAGACGGAACAATAGCAGACGCAGTAGAGTTCCATCCAGACGGAACAATAGCAGGTGCAGTAGAGTTACGTCCAGACGGGACGATAGTAGACACAGTAGAGTTCCATCCAGACGGAGCAATAGCATTTGCAGTAGAGTCTGGTTTGTTCCACCCTATTGGCCCAGTAGAGAATATTGTTTCTTATTGTCCAAGCTAGAGTAACAATAACGAGCTTGGTCGGTTTTTTGGGATGGAAAAGGTGTTTTGTGGAGTGTTATTTACAAGCTGGAGCCACAATAACAGGTTCTTACTATGCAAGCGTAATTACAAAATTATGTACAGTTGAACCTCAATTTAACGAAACCCGATTTTACGAGTTTCCCGATTTAACGAACAAATTCGGATTCCCCGCGCAGCCTATCCCGAAGTATGTCTTTCTCGACTTTACGAAGTTCCCGATTTAACGAAATAATTAGGGGGTTCCGGTGACTTCGCTAAATCGAGGTTCAACTGTACTGCAATTAAGGAGAAACGTGGTGGAAAGTTGAGACAGGAAGTGCTCTTTGGAATACATTTTAGCGCTCAAAAAACAGGGACAAAGAGGCGAGAAACAGACAGCACAGTGCGCTCGCCTCTTTGTCCCTGTTTTTAAGCGCTAAAATGTATTCCAAAACCAACTAGCCCAACATTCTACTCTAAAGAAGTGCTCCTTCATTACGAAAATGCACCCAGCCTCAGGTCCTGCATTACAATAGATGCCATTCCTAAAAAAAGCTTTGGAAATGCTAGAATATCCACTATATTCACTGAATCTGGCTCCCAGGGACTACAGGCTCTTCAGAAGATGGAAGAAACACCTGCATGGGAGGAGATTTTTAATGGGTAATGAGGTAATAGAGACCAGAGGTGCATGGTTTGCAGAGTTTAGACAAACATTTTTTTTCAAGATACAGTAGAAATGTTGTAGGATTGCTGGGACAAATGCATTCGACTTCAAGAAGCTTCAGTGCCAGGTTTTTCTTCCGACTGGACAGAACTTTGGTGGCATTTAGAGTTCCACCTGTATGCAACTCTAGTGATGACTTTTGTTTTGTCTGGAAGGAACTCTACAGGGCTTGCTAACTTTCCGTCTGGACGAAGCTCTAGTGGTTCCCTCTGGACGGAACTCTACTAGTGACTATCTTTACGTCTGGACGGAACCCTAGCCATAGTGATAAGAGAAACACTTAAACTCTTAACCACTGAGAGCCAAGACCTACCAAATAAGCGTCTACTTTTGTGAACTTGCAAGTGCGATTGAGACCGTGTACTCAGCTCTAAATGGCATCACCTCACGTGAGCTTTTTATGTGCATACTTGGAGCACTGGAAAGAGCTCAGCATTAAGTTTGAAGGCTTTTATTTCGCTCTGTGTTCTTCTGCAGGGTCATGGAGTTCTTGAGATGCCTTCGGGAACTGGAAAGACCGTCACCCTGTTGTCTCTCATCTTATCCTATATAAAGGTCGGCAACTTACCCCAGTCTTTCTTATTTTCTTTGTATGCCTGAGAATTTAAGCAGCAATGTATTTTTAGTATTTGACAGGCAAAAAAGTTTAGCAATGCTTTCTGCCATGTTTTGTAATCAGCTGTTATATACTGGTAGAGTTTTTAACCCTTGATATATAGGTACTAAGTTGTAAAGTCTTCTTTATCTCTTAGCAGTACTACATTATGAAAATCTATACATTTTTTTTCAGCCTCTCACCCCAAAGCTGTTAAAACTCTCATCGTCATTCTTTGTACTATTTCTGTGCAATGGTCATGCTCCCCCAAAAACTGGACTTTCTAGATATATTGACCTGGAGAAAAAAATGTGCCACGTCACTCCCGCGTGTCTAAACATATGCCGTTCAGAATATTTCCCAGGCAGTCACAGAAATGTGTGTCCTGCCACATTACTTAAATTCTTGTGAGTTTGACAAGTCTTGTTCTTGTGCAACGTCTGATTTCAGGCCAATCCAGCCATGGTGTCCAAGCTGATTTATTGCTCCCGTACATTGCCGGAGATTGAAAAGGTGCTCCAAATTTTGTATTTCTAAAGCAGCTACATTGCTCTCGTATTACTAGTGTCAGGCTTTACCGCTTTGCACTGACTTCACGGAGAAGCGGCTAATGTAGACAAGCCCTTCGGTTAGATCGGTGGGCTCAGAAATATACTGGCTTGCGCACTTTGTATGTACTTTGACTGCATTATGTTTTAAAAATTAGGGGGTGGGTGCTTATTGCGACGTGGGCGTACACTTGGTATCAGGACGTCATTACAGAGGCACTCTTAAGTGCATAGCATTTGTAGTTCTTTTGTGACCTCTTGTCCCAATGATCTTAGTGTCACATAATGCTGCGACTTCATGTGACATCACAACATTCCGTGACTCTGTGACGTGGAGGGTCTCAGGTGATGTCATTTCTTGACGGTGATGGCTTTTATTTACAAAACCCTCACAGTGTGCCCTTTAGTGGTTTCCTTGCTCTTTTTGTAAAAGGAGGAGAGTGCAAATTGGCCCCATAAATGGAATGCGTTTACAACGCCTTTCGTAAATTCTGAAGAGTGCATACAGTTCTAGCTTGTGGGCAACTTGGTGATCCAAGGGGCTGAACCAGGTTGCTCGCACATTAGATTGTCTGTGTTCATTTCCACCGTGAGGTGGCCAAGTTCAGTGGACAATGTGAGAGGTGCTCTGCCTCTGACAAAAGGCTGGTGCAGCGTATGCGCAAGGGCTTTTTGAGTTTCGGCACACGTCGATTACAGTCAATAAACGACTAATGTTGAACCAGCGCGACGAGTCATTCTCCGAGGCAGGTAGTGGCAAGGGAAATTTCGCAAGCTTTGGCAGCTCCCTCGCTTTCGGGGACCATAGCTTCATAAGATGTCTTCTGGGAGTCCCACGTGGCAAATCAACAAACTAATAATCCAGAGAAAGAAAAAAAAAAAGATGGGTTGGTTTTAATTTTGTAGTTTGTTGATCTTGATAGGAGTGTGGTGTTGGCAGGTGGTGGAGGAGCTGCGTCGCTTGCTGAAGCACTACCACAAGGAGACCGGAGAGGACATGAACGTCCTGGGTCTGTGCCTGTCTTCCAGGAAGAACCTCTGCATTCACCCCGAGGTGAGTCGGGAGGATACCGACGCTGCATGTTGTGCAAGAAATGCCGAGGGTATTTTAAAATCTAGTTTTACGATTGTGCGAAGTGGTAGAAGCATCCTAGACAATGCTGCCCCAGCCTAAACCCATACAGATGGCTTATGTTCGTACAAATTATTCAGACGAGAAAGTGAATGTTTTGAGCAAGGAGCGATTCCAAAAATGCTTCTATTTTGGGGTTGACATTTCGAAACAGAAGCTCATTTCAAAATCGCTTCTTTCAGGCACTTAAGAAAATGTCTTTTGAGAGTTCAGTGTCCCCATCAAGAACACTTCCTTTGCAACACTGTCCTTTTTTTGCGACAGGTGAGCAAGGAGCGGGACGGTCACGTGGTGGACGGGAAATGCTACTTACTGACGGCACCGTACAAGCGGGGACTCTCGGGCGACTCTGCGGACGGACCGGCCTCACAGGCGGCTTCTTGTACCTTCTACGAGGCGAGTCAAATGACCCCCCTCCCCTCCCCCTATCCCAGCTTGAGGGCCTGTTGATTTCATTCTTTCTTTATTGTTGCCAAAACGATACAAATCGACTTTTTCACAGGCTCAATATTTCATAAACTTCGCGAAGTGCAAGTTATGGAAATATTTTGCGGACAGGACATTTCGTGATTAAGAGCGGTTTGCTATGCATTCATCACCGTGGGGTAATATATTCGCAGGATCTATATCTTGTAACATTGTTTGAGTCACGAAATTTACGAAAATTAGGTAGTTTACGGTACTTTATTTCACTTTACGACGGACTGCAAAGGATGCTACGAGCCATTGGAAACACATCCAGTGCTGTTTGAGTGCCACGTGACCTTCAGGAGGGAGGCAGTGATGCACACGGGTGCACAGTCACGTGATTCGGTCGTAGCGCTGAGATGGCTCGTAGCGTCCGCTGCGCTGCATCGTGAGGTGAAACGGAATTAAGTGACGGATCTTTTCAGGAAAACAGCTTGTAAAACAACAAATCGGAGCGTTCACGGATACACACAATAACTATCATATTTAATATTCTTTTTATACAGGACATGCATACGGAAGTCAAACAGATGGTCTATACAAATATGTACAGTCAAATCTTTTTAATTCAGACTCTCCTAATTCAAACTTGTGGATAATTCAAACTAACATGCAGCTCCCATCCTATGAGAGGAAACTCGCGGTAATTCAAACTTTGCTTTATTCAAACAAATTTTCGGTCCCTCTCAAGTTTGAATTAACAAGATTCAACTGTATCATCTATTGAAACACCTCTTAAAATATGTACCGTTTAAACATGTGTTGTCCTTGAAAGAGGCCTGCACGGAGGCCTGAACTCTTGCCTGTTCAATCTTGGGGCTAATGTCATGATGTCAAAACCCTTCCCCCCCCCCCCAAAAAAAAAGATTTTTTTTTTTTTTTTTTTTAAGATATTTTGAAGGTTAGAAAAGATAAACCTACTTCTTTTTTTTATCTGTGGCTAATATATACTAGAACGTAAAGTGTCCATGTATCCCGGCCACTGTGCTGACATTCGTCCAACGCCTTGCTTGACAACGGACTACAGCCTCCAAGCGCCGATTTTTCTTCGTTTGCAGATGTTTTGAACCACATGCTAAGATGTTGCATAGTTCTCGTGAGTGTGAACACGAAATATATGCATTTATTTTTTCTCAAGTTAGGCTGTACTGGGTGTCCAGCAAAACGTCCATCGTAAAATGATCCAGAAATTTCGATACCTGCACATGAAAAGCTCCAACTTTTCCCGAATGTGTATTGAGCAGGTCAGTCTTACCACATGAAATTACAAGGCGTAGTTCTCTTTCTGTAAAAATTGAGAGTAAAAAATTTGCCAGAAATGTGAGTAAAAAACTTGCCAAAGTCAAGGTCCACGGGCGTTCACAGACGACCGAGTTAGCGAAGCTATTTACTTGTGGCGCCATCTACCGATAAGTACAGTGAGCAGACAACAGAGTGTGTCATCTGCTCGCCGCACCTATTGGCAGATGGTGGCCCAAGTAAATATGTCGCTAACACTTGTCTGTGAATGGGCCCAACCTTGACCTTGGCAAGTTTTTTTGCTTTAGTCATTTTAAAGGAGGAGAACTGTGCCTTGAAATTTCACTCAGTGAAACTGACCTGCTCAGTGCGCATTCGGTGAAAGTTTTAACTTTTTATGTGTAGGCACCGATTTTTCTGGCACGTTTTGCAGCGGAAGGTCTGTTTGGGACACCATTTATATTTACGAAACCCTGTCTAAGAACTAATTATTTTTTTTTTGTGCTGTTTATGCTGTTTTTGCCACTTTGTCAAACACTAATAGTGAGGATTTTTTTTTTGTCAAGTCCTATTTTTGTTTGTCAGTGTTCATGTTGTTTTGCTTGTTAGTAGACATGTGCAAATAGTGGACTTTGAGTTTGAAGCAAAAAGTGGTTTTGGCTGAATATCTTAGAATTGAATATTTAATAGTTTCTTCAAGCCTTTGACTGCTGTGCACCATGCTTACACGAAAATGCAGCTGAACTCTTGAAGGTTGCTCTTAGCATTCTAGTTGTACATTTCTAAATTCTGTTAATTTTCTTATGTTTATGAACTGTGGCATGTAAACAACTTTGTTGCAGCTATTCTAATCGAGGGGATTTATAAATCTGCTTGCTATAAGCTAATATTCTTTCTTTAATATCAAATTTTACAAAAAATGAAACAGGCAGGAATAGTGAATGCAAGTTGTCAAGACATCGCTGCCTAGCTTGTACTCTTGCACAATCGCGGCGGTTCAGCCCCGTTGAGTGCGCTTCTCACCGAGCACCTGCGTACTGCGAAAAAGCAACGCCCGCGAGCTCCGCGCGTATTGCTTCCCTGCAGTGCATGGGTGCTCGGTGAGAGGCGCACTCTACGGGACTAACCCGCCGTGATCAACACTTCGAAAAATATAAATATTGCAGTTCATCTCGTAGCGAATATCGAATTGCGTATTATTTGAAACTATAATACGAAAATTCTAATATTCGCACAACCCTACCTACTTGTCGCCACTATCGTTGAAACTGTTTGTAAACTCTAGCACCTTGTATAATACATTCTCTGCTTCTGGGGCGGAGGAGACACTTCCCCTCTCCACCGGAGTAAAACAATAAAGTCGAAGGTGCTTTGCTTTCTTGACTGACCAAAAAGCGAGTTGAGGCGGGACCAGCTAGGAGACGAGACCTGCATTTGACGTCATCACTAGTGAATATCCCCGACCCGTCCCAAGCGGCAGGCTAACCGAACCTTGACGAGAGTCACCGCAAAGCGACAGATGCATCCGTCTTGGCAACGCTGTGTGCTAGTGTTGCGCTCATCATCAGCATCAGCTTGCAGCATCGCACTTGGCGACGCTGCAAGACGCGAGCCAGGTGGTGCTACGTAAATCCACTAATAATGATATATGGAGGGGAAAGGCGCTTTGTCTTCTAGGCGCGATCGGTAGAAGGGTGACCGCCTCTCGTTTCCCGTCATCTGACTACTGTTTTGATTCTTTACAAAAGTTGGGAAGCTTACACTACATCCATTTTACCCTACCCTGTAAACAACGTGTCTGGAAAGGGACGTCGTGGTGACCTTTCGGCCGGTCTTGCAGAACTTCGACGCCCACGGCCGGGAGTTCATCCTGCCCACTGGAGTGTACAGCCTCGTAAGGACCACCCCGTGTTGCTCCGAGGAGTTCTCCTCACCTCGGTGTTCTCCCCCCAGGACGACCTGAAGGAGTACGGCATGGAGCACCAGTACTGCCCCTACTTCACTGCGAGGCAGGCGGTAAGCGCCCACTTCGCCTGTGCTCGTGCATTCAACGGTCATACAGTAGCGCGGTGGGACCCTAGAATGCCGGAGCCATGTTAACACGGATGAAAAGAGCAGGTGAATGTAAAACTTAAAATCAACGTTGAATGAGGTAAGCCTGTTCGTGCAACTAATAAAAAGGAGACCGTACATCCCGCATCTGCAATGTAAGGGCGACTCTCTCAGCAGCGCGTTGCCGCTGCTTTTTATACATACGTTACAATCAGGAATGTTCTTTATTAGAACAGACGACGTCAACCGAGAATTGGCTAGAACTTTCTGGAAAAGCAAAGACTGAGAAAGGAAGAATCAGGACAAGCAGGGTTCGAACCCTGTTCCTTCGCGTGGCAGCCGGGTACGTTGTTGACTCTGCCACGCATGCGACAATAGTTTTTTTGCTGGTGTTACACATTCGCTACCTGATCTCTCCATATTTAAGCGTTCGCAAACTCGTGCCACCGGAAAGTTCTTTGGTTGGCACCAACCAATCTCAACGACAATAGTTACAGCAGCCGTGATTGTGACCTGCTGCTGCGCCGTGCAGGTGCTTCACGCCACCGTGGTGGTCTACAGCTATCACTACCTGCTGGACCCCAAGATCGCCGACCTGGTCTCGAAAGAGATGACGCGTTCCTCTGTTGTGATCTTTGACGAGGCACACAACATCGGTGAGGAGTGCAAGCCCTCTGATCTCTAATCGTGTTTTAAGTGCGGAACGGCGTCCCTGCAGCAAGAAGCAATCGCTTGAGGAATGACGCTCTCCATTCTGCAGTGCGCCGTAGCCCTCTGCGTGAAAGTATGATTGGGCCAAACTTCAAAACGCGGTAACGTTGTCGGAGTCTTGCAGCAGACGAATTGGAAGTTGAGAAAAAATGAAAAGGTTTGCATCTCCGTCCACATGTGTCGGTGTCCCACATTTAGTTCCCCGTCTTGAGACAGGATCTTGCTTCTGCTTGTTAGGAAGCGGAGTGAACTTACGAAGAGCTTATTCCAAGGTTGCGATGCTTCAAACTGAGCAGATAGCCCCAAAACCAGCCACGTCGACGCTGTTGCCTTGCGCCGCCACATTTTCCTAGATTTCACTCGCCATTGGTGAGCCACAAGTGCCAATAGGGAGTTCGCTCTTGACTGGGCTCAACTTCCTTTTAACGCAACTGTGTATACATGGTTCGCACAAATGTGCTCCGCGACACTCTGCATCCGCTTTCTGTAACTGAGCGCACAGTGCTCAAACGTAAATGCGTGTATGGGCTTTTAGCTGCTTTCAGCAAGATCCGAATAAGTCACCCCCAGCACCCCAAGACAGTGTTGGAGTATTCCGACATGCTTGATTTCGTGGTTTCAGACAATGTATGCATCGAGTCCATGAGCGTCCGGATCAACAAAAGGACCATCGATGGCAGCAGTGAAAACATCGACACCCTCGAACAGACAATCAAAGAGTGAGCAACGGCCGTTACGGCATGTCCTGGGACAACGAAATGGGCAACGATTCATGGCACTAACCTAAATGGCGCATAGTAGTGCCATGATCCTCAGATAAGCTACTTACTGGTCCAGAAACTTTGGTGGTTTCTGCCCTAGTTAATTCTGTTACCAGAAACAATGCTAATCTACATAAAAATTAAAATAAAAAAAGTTAGAATTTTTTATTGCTTTTTTTTAAGCGAATGTAGCGCCCTTCACGTGGTATTTCAATTATTCCGAAATACTGTAAATGACTTCATTTTCGTGGGCTCAATATTTTGGGAATTCGGCGAAGTGTAGTTTTCAGTAATGCTTTGCGGATCCAAAATTTTGCAAATCAGGGTGATATGCTATATATTTGTTACCATAAGGAAATATATTCGCAGCTATTTCTTTTTTTTTTCAATATTATTCAAGTTGCGAAGTTCGCAAAAATTAAATTTGGTAAATTAACTTGTGTACAGTAATAATAGTTCACACCGAAAGAATAAAACACTGAAATGAACGAAGGCCATACAGTCAGTTCTCTCATTGAGCAACAACACATTTGGATGATGCCCATCCAAATGTGTTGTTGCTTCTGTGACTTTGGTCACAGAAGAATTGAAGGAAGATGAAAATGCTAGAAAAAGATAAAAACAGCTGAACTTAAATAGAAGAAAATAAAAAAAATATTGTTTTAAAATATTTTAAATTAATTGATTATGTTCTTAATTTCTTCGTTTTTAATTATTAAATAAATAAATATAAATAAATCTAAGTATTTTAAAGTAATTTATTATGTTCTTAATTTTTTAATTTTCTTCAATTTAAATTCAGCTATCTTTATCTTTTTCTAGTATTTTCGTTTTTTTTTTTTTTTTTTTTCAAATCTTCGGTGATTGAAGTGGTGTTTGTAGTGAGATGGGCTTCATATAAATGTATTTCTGCTTGTTGAAAGAACTATGAATGTATGTCCTACGTCGATTCAGTTGTTTTTTTTCTGTGTGAACAACAGCCAGGTTTATCCAACGTGCTCTGCTACGTGTACAGTCATCCAGTCATCCACTTGGTGGTGTGTTACGAAGCAGTAGACACATTCGGCGACTCCTTCCTCAGCGGCTTCTCTGAACCCACGTCCATTCGTTAGGTTCTTCGAGCGATCCAGTTGGTTTGCTCCTAACGTCAGCAGTGCATCTCTGGTGCTTTAGTTTATCCCTCAGGAAAACTTTCCCGTAGCATGACAAAAAGATTCCAGACTAGGGGCCCTAATGTTCGTAGTGGGATCAAGAGCTGGGACATTGCCGCCTACTGCGATTGGCCAGCCCCGCACCTTTGACCAATCGCAGCAGGCAGCGTTGTCCCAGTCCTTTGGTCCCGCTTGGTCCCGTCGTGGAGATTAGGGCCCCCGGTAATCTAAAGAACATGGTAGTGGTTAGTGCAACCCCCGAGTTCATTAATAATTTATTTAATAACATACAGCCAGTTTCATTCGGAACTTTAGCAGGGTGGTTACAAAGGTTTAAAGATCATACGTTAGTTGGTGCTGCAGTTTTAGAAGTAACAGAAATAAACTAGTGACACAGGTACCCTTAACCATGGTTAAAGAGATATTGCAACGAAATTTTAGCATCTGCTTTATTGTTTATATGTCAACCATGTTCTGGCCACACCACAGAGACACCAATTTTTTGCTCGAAAAGACTTCAAAACAATATTTAAAGGGAATAAGCCGATGTCGTTACATCATTTAATTTAAAAGCAGGTCCGCTTCGCGGAAGTACGGCGGCAAGCTTAGTGCACGCGAGCCCTGTTGAACCGGATTTCTCTTTTCTCCTGGCTTATTCAACTCCTGCGGGGTGTGGTGAGGGGCAACTACAACGGCCAGGTTGTAACGTCTTGACAACACCAAGGGGCACAGCTCATAACCACGCCAGCCCCCGAGCAGCTTTGCCCGTGCTGGTCTAACCGACGTCACGTCATAAAACGTGACGCCAGTTAGAGCCAATAGTACTATGCACATGTCATGCAACAATGTTCTAAGGCATTTGCAAATGAATCTACAGATGTGGAGTGAACAGCGGTGTCAGACAAACAATTCTACTCAGACGCTACCTGCGCGAAAAGTGAGTTGGATGTTTTTGTGCAGGCTGAAAGAACAGGATGCGGAGAAACTGAAGGATGAGTACGAGCGATTGGTGGAAGGGCTGCGAGACGCCAACGTGGCCAGGGAAACCGACGCCATCCTCGCCAATCCCAGTGAGTTTGTTCTTGCAGTCTGCAGAGGCATGGGACATGCAATGAGTGCGCTGTTGTGGAAGTGTTTTGCTGACTCCATGGTCCTCTTTCCAGTTCTGCCTGACGAAGTGCTACAAGGTGAGTGGTCGTTTCGTTTGTTTGGGAAAGGATGTCATTAGGTTACTGCAAAGCTTTCCTAAACTTCCAACTCGTTGAACTTTCAGTAGGAGTAAAGCTGCCCTAACCCAATTCACCCGTCCATTTAGTCATCGACATTGTGTCTTTACATAAGATGTACACCCGCAGGCAATATGAAAGTGAACACCTTACCTGGTTTCTTGCCTCTTTTACGACTCCCTAAAGCTATATTAGCTCTCAACGTCTTAAATGGTACGTGGCCAAGGGTCTAAACTTTGCGTTCTAGCCCTCTTCTGGAACAGAGCTTGTTCCAAAACTTGCAGGAGCATCAAAAACAAGAAGAGGGCTGTTCACCTTCATATCGCTCACGGGTGTACATATGTCTACAACTAATTACAATACAAATCATATTTTAATATACTTGGTTTCATTTTCATCTGAATTTATGCACCACGACGAGCATATGTGTATGCGTATGAGCATATATCTACGTGAATACCTGGCTGTAGAATGTAATTACTTTCCTACAGTTTTTTTTTGTGCCAGAACTTTTATGTAGCATTTGAGGTCGCACAAGTACCGCTTAGAAATAAGTGAGGGCACTGTCCGGTGCTGTGGTACCGCAGAGGCCGTTCCCGGCAACATTCGTCTGGCAGAGCACTTCGTGGCCTTCCTGCGTCGTCTGCTCGAGTACGTCAAGATGCGGCTGCGGGTGCAGCACGTTGTTCAAGAGAGCCCCGCAGCTTTCCTCAGGGACATCCTGCACAAGGTGGCCAATTCCTGCCTCTTTTCACTCCATTCACGCGCACACTCTCTGCGGCCTTGAGCTCAGACTCTTTTTCTAGTGCAGCACATGCCATTTCTAGCAAGCCCCACTCACCACATAGATTTAACTCGGCAGATATTCTAATCCTTCCCAGTATGGATGAGTTAATCCAAAGATTCGTAAGGTTTCATGTGGCCCGTACTCACTACCGGGAAGATAACGGCAGGGTGTCTTTAGAAGCCCGGCTTCCAGCATGCGCTCGTTGCCCTCCACTGTGCTTTGGCGGTGGCTGCACGCTCAAGCCTCACGAGGTGCCGAAGTGTCATTAAAGGTGGAAAGGCCCGCGCTGGAAATGGGACAAGTGAAAGATTCTCCTGCCATTATAATTGTGTCAATTGCTGCGTTTGATTCACCCACACCAGCTGCACTCTGTACACTCTGCCACATTCGATTTCCGAGTGCAGCCTGTCTCAAAACACACCTGGAAGTACATTGCCCTGCACTTTTCCACACCGGTGAAGGCTAATGCTGGTAAATCGAGCGAGCCCAGTGGCTATAATATAACAAAAGGAATGTCTAATGCAGGTATGCTGGCTGCACCATTGTAGCATGACCGTGTTGATGACAGAATAGTTTTTGCTTTCTCTCAAAGTGTGTAGTTTGTTGAGCGTTTTGTCTACCCATGGGGTGTGGGGTGGTCATCATCCCTGAGTGAGCGTCTTGCCCGCGCGGCACCCAGAGATTAACTCTTGCTGTCCGTGCTTCCAGGTATGCATAGAGCGCAAGCCCCTGCGCTTCTGCTCGGAAAGAATGCGCAGCATGGTGAAGACGCTGGAGATTGCCGACCCTACCAACTTCTCCGCGGTGATCAAGCTGTGCAGCTTTGCCACCCTCGTCAGCACGTACACCAAGGGTGGGCTGCCTCTCTTTTCTTTGCTCGCATCGTGCGGCATGCCCGTCGTACCTCGAAAATTGGACAGCATTTCGACCTGCGGAACTATCGAGATTTGAAAACATGCTGCGGACCTTCTTCGGTGGCTATTTCTAAATGCTTTAACTTACTGAAATAAATCTTTTGTGAAATTACCCAGGCACCAACGAGAAGGCTGACAATGTATGTATACATGCATTGCACACACTCATCTTTTCTGTATAAAAGATTTGGAGTAAGTAGGCAATCAAAAAAAGGCTTTTGCCATATGCACATGTGAAATGTCATTTATTCTAGATTTTTGCTTTAGAACAGTTACTGCTGCGGACACTAGCACGTGAAACCAGAGTCGTGGCATGCTCTTTTGTGCTTGGGCAATTTAGCAAAAGGTCTATTAGCTACAACTTTGGTGATTGAGTGCTTCTTAAGTTGCGATGAAATTTCGATGACTGCAACCGTAGCTCAGTTACATTTTTTCAGTAACTACCTAATTTATTTCATATCTACTGCAGCACTAAGATTCTGAGTAACTAACCAAAATAAGGCATTGACAAACACACACAGAAAGTGCCTTTTTTGTTTTAATTTTTTTTTTTCTTTAGAATAGTTTTTGCTACAGTAACCAGCACACCTAACTACGTACACTTACACCATTCTCCTTGGTGATCAGGCATTTTAGCAAAATGTCTCTTAGTTACAGCTTTAATGATTTAATATTTCTAAGTTGCAGCAAAGTTGTGGTAACTGCAACTGTGGTTCAGTTATGTTACATTTTTTGGAGTAACTAATTTATTGCAAAACGTTCCGACGTCACGAAGTGTGAGCGGTCGACAAACCCTATCCTGATTGCATGAACAGTCACCCAAATTAAGTCAGTTGTTCCTGCCTGGCTTAGTTTGCTGCTTTGGTTGCAGGCTTCACGCTGATCGTCGAGCCCTACGACGATCGAACCCCGGGGGTACCCAATCCGGTGCTGAACCTGTCTTGCATGGATGCCTCCATCGCCATCAAGCCCGTGTTCAACCGCTTTCAGTCGGTCATCATCACGTCGGGGGTGGGTTGAAGACTCTTCCCCGAGTTCCCCGTTCTGTCAGGGGCCCAAGCCCAGCAATGCTTCCTGCTTTTAATATACTTTCGTGGCAGGAGTTTTTTTGTTAGATGTCGAACTAGGGTTGACTTAATCACTTTTTCTGACATTACTATTAACAGCTTACCGTGGCAGCTTACTTGAACCATTCTTTGGCTAGGTGTTTCTGAAGCTCAGATAAAAGCGTGGCCGCAAGGCTCAGCACTGATTGGTTGACGGAGGGGAGAGGAAGAATGAGGTGCTCGAAGTTGCTTGATTAACGGGGAGGTCATGTGACCAGAAGAGTAGGTGAGGAGTAGCTCGACCAGCTGTGCACGCTTAGGGAGAGGAGCTCGACAGTATTGCTTCATTCTATAGTCAGTGACTGGTTAAGAGCTCAGGAGAAACTCCTCCCACCTTTTTCTTTTTTAGCAAAGCGAAGAGGAGGTTGCCTCCTTTCCAGCGTTCGCTCTGCTAAAGCGGAAAGGGGTGGGGAGAGCTTCCTCTGAACTCTTAACCTGTCGCTGACTATAGGTACAAGTACCAAGTGTACACATAGTATGCATTAAACTATCTGATGAAGAGTGCCGTGAACGTAGGCGTCTGATGTCTGGAAGCTCAGGGTATCACTAAACGTTTGCAATGGGAGAAAATTTCACGTATGCAACACAGTGGCCTAGCAATTTGCCATTAAGTTTTCATTTTTACACGTTTGTTATAACGATACTGTTTTGCTGGCGATTTTAGATGCAGTAAGCCAACAAAAGCACCTCAAACACAAAAAATCCTTTGCTATTTGTAAAGTTTACATAGATTATAGGCAATGTTTGAGGAAATGCTCTGCTCACTTGTATTCCAATAAAATTCCCCGAGGGTTATGCAAGTTTACAGCATTAAGGGCTGTAAAACAATAATTGAAAGAGTGGCATTCCCGATGCGCACTTTGAACTGCGATGTATTGTCACGCATGATTTTCTTTCTCTCTTTGTTGTTCATTAGGTGCTCAGACAATGTATCGAGCATAATACTGAACGCTGTGGTCTCGCGTACGAGCGCTCCTACCCTTATCTGCGCCATCTAAACATTAGGAAGTTTTAGAATAACATACGCAATTTTAGCAAATCCTAGTGCCAAACTTAGCACTTGCATTAGTGCACATTACGCGAGAGAGTTTTAGACTAGCATTTCTTCACTGCGACACAAAAGCCCAAGCATCTCGCGATAGGAACATCACCAAGATACAGTCACAATTTTTATTTCCCTTACGAAATGCTGTAACTTGAGAAACGAAATAAGATTTTTCGATCCAGAGTAACATTCTCATATTGCATTCTCATATTTGTTGAAATATGAAAATGCAAAGGGAGAGGGACCGGTCTTGTCCACTCGCGTTGCATAGGCAAAAGAGGTCTCGTGTAATGACGTTCCTTTGCATTCCGTACCTTCGCCGAGAAATGTTCGCGCACTGCAAGAATCAAGTTGCGGGCAACCGTTGCCAACCTTACTGGGTATTCCAAACCGAGGGAAATATTGTCCTGTGTTGAAAATCACAGTCGCGAGGATGCCGCCGACATCGCGCTTACGAGGACGCCAGAGCGGCCGCAACCGCGGTCCTGGGAGCCGCCATTTTTTTAACTGTGCTCGTATTGGCTTTAGCCAACTTCTCATCATGAGTCCTTCTTGGAGGAGCACAAAGATTCTTTGCGCAAGCACGCAATATCCAAAAAATAGTGCACGCAAACCCCAAACCGCAGTTAGCGTTTGGCACATGTACAGTGGCGACGACACTATTCTTTGCGTACACGAGGCCTTTCTTTACGCTATTAGTATAAAACTCCCCATTATGTACAAACCACCGTGCAAAAAAATATTAATATTAATAAGTGCCAAGGTGTGTGGTCCTGCAGACCCTGTCTCCGGTGGACATGTACCCCAAGATCTTGGACTTCCGGCCGGTCATCTCAGCGTCGTTCACCATCACCCTTGCCAGGCCCAGCATCTGCCCCATGGTGAGACTGCACCGTGGCCCAGTTTTTGCTTCGACGCGACGTAATGATTTGCCATACCTCGTGTTGGGGCGGAGTCATTATGCTCCTTTTCTTTTAGACCTTGCTAATTCAAAGCTCGTAACACCAGGAATGTGTGAGAATGAGTTCAGTGCGAATAGCACCTGGATCAGCAATGGATTGAAGTTGCATCCCAATTGTAACGACGTAGGATGCGTTCCTCGATCGACTTTGAACTCGGTTTTCTTCTTTATGTGAACTGCATGCTTGGATGGGGACATTTCCTAACAGCACTTGGGTCCACGTTGTATTGACAGTGTGTCGACATTGTATCAATATTGTTTTGACGTTGGATGTGCTTTTCTATAGACGTTGGAACGTTTTAACACCCGATTCCTGGATAAGGACTATTAAGAGCAGCACCTATATGGGTAGAAACTCGGGAAGAGGAATAAAATGAGAGCGCGTGGGGACATTGGAACACCAAGCTGCGATTAGAATGGTTAGTGGGTAGACGCAAAGCTTGCTGCCTTTGTCTCCACTCACTCCTTGGACGCGTTCGAACATTGAATAGAGCCAAGGCCGGCTTTTAGGGGCGAGGCTCCTTAGGGGCTAGCCATGTCCGTATGTCCGTCCGGCGTCGGGTGCTCGTGTAGGGCAAAAAAAAATAAAACACATCTCCACGTGGTGAATGATGTTGATTGGGGCGAAGCTCTGGTGGTGCTTGTCTGCGTAGACAGTGAGCCGCAGCATGCCGAGCCTTTCGTTCGTTTTCATCCATGTCAGAAAGAGAATGTGTGGTATGGAACGTGGTTATACACGCATTTGAGCATTTGACCGCAACGTGACATGGATGAAAAAGGCTTGGCATGCTGCGGCTCAGCGTCTACGCAGACAAGCACCACCAGAGTTTTGCCCCAATCAACATCATTCACCAAGTGGAGATGTGGTTGTTTTTTTCTCTAATTTTCGACCCGTATAGTCGGTGACAGGTTAGAAGGCCTGTAGATGCTCTGCCTCCAACATGCCCTAGTTGCTTTTTGCTACGCCTTGGCTGCGCATACGAGGATGCATGTATTATCAGTCGAAAAGCTCGAGCATGATTTGAAGCATCTACTGGTCCTCAACTTTGGATCCACATTGCTTCGATGTTGTATCCTCATTGTATCATCATTGTAAGAGGCGCGATCAGAAAGTTCCGATAACGATTTTGTAGCACAAAAAGAGAGGGCAGCACAGTGAGCTGCACCCAGCAGTCGAAGGCAGGGACCTTCCTATGTCATTATGCTAAAGGGTGTTGTTCTCTGAACATTTGGAGCTGCGCTATACGAACTTTTGTGATCACATGCACGAGCGAAATGGTGATTTCACGATAGACTGCAAACTAGAGCAAGAGCGGACGTCAGTTTTGTGTCAAAGTCAGAAAATCTAATACGGAGACCTTTGATAAGTTTTAAAAGGCTTATGTCAAAAAGCAGTGAATTGCACAAAGTGTTTTGAGTGGCACTCGTGCTTCAAGAATGGCGGAATGTCCCTGAAAGACAAGGAAAGGTCGGAGAAGGTCGCCCTACCTTTCTTCGTCTTCCAGCGATGTTCCGCCATTCTTGAAGTGTGAGTACCACTCAAAAAGCTTTGCACAATTTGCTGCTTTTTGACATAAAATGGCTGAATCATTTCAAAGGCTTTGTATTAGTAGATTTGCCGAGTTTGATGCAGAATTGATGTTCGCTCTTACTCTGGTTTGCAATCTATGGTAAACTTGCCATTGTGCTCATGCACATGGTCACAAAAAATAGAGTAGCGTAGCTTCAAACGTTTTTAGAATGACGCCCTTTTTCATAATGACACGGGAAGGTTTCTATCTTCAACTGCTGCGCGCGCATCACCATACTGCCTTCTCTCTCTTGAGGCTATAAAATCCGTCTCGGAACGTTTTGATCGCCCCTCGTTTCTACATTGCATAGACATTGGATTTGTTTCTTTTATTGATCTGGGATGTATGTTTTGATCGAAACTGGAACCAGGCTTTTTCTAAACTCAGTGCTCGGTTAGGGGCGATTTCAAATGGCACCCGGATCGATGTCGTATCAACAATAGATGCCCTTTCCGCAGATTGTGAGCAAGGGCAACGACCAGGTGGCCATGACATCCAAGTTTGAGACGCGGGACGACATAGCGGTGGTGCGCAACTACGGCACACTCCTGGTGGAGGTGGCCAGCTCGGTGCCGGACGGCGTCGTCTGCTTCTTCACCTCGTACATGTACCTGGAAGGGGTGGTGGCCTCCTGGTACGAGCAGGGGGTCATCGACCAAATCCAGAGACGCAAGCTGCTCTTCATCGAGACCCAGGATGCCGCAGAGACCTCCCTAGCACTCGTAAACTACATCAAGGTGAGCTAGCCACCACCGCCACCGCGTTGCCTGAAACGCGTCTCCAACTGGTTCGTTTGCCGCATTCTCAAAAGCTCTTCCTTGATTTCCACCCAATGACGTTGTAGACGCGTCATGCTGTCGCCGTCCCGCGATCCTGGCAGTGTCGGAGCAGTGATGATAGACGTGTTGGACGCCTGTCCTGCTGCAGGTTGCTCTCCAGCTTGGCTGTCCACGGAAGCTTTGGCAGCCGGGAGTTAAGACGCCGCGACGACGGCGACACTCGCATTCACTGATACTTTTTGCCGGGACTTCTACGACCTACTGCCAGGGTCGCAACGTCCGACAGCATGACACGCCGACTCCTGCGATGTTATCTTTGGGACCACTGTTAATAATTTCAGGGAAGCATCTATCACTGGAGTGGCATCTAAGAAATTCAGCAAACTTAATTTTTTTCTTTTACAGGCCTGCGAAAACGGGAGAGGAGCCGTTCTGCTCTCAGTTGCCAGGGGCAAAGTCTCTGAAGGGGTTGATTTCGGCAAGTTCTTTTCTTTCTTTTCTTTTAGAGCGCAGCTCTCTGGGGCCCGTTTCCGGCTTGAGCGGCGTCGCCATCGGCGTAACCGCAAGGTCACATGAACCCCCCAATGTCACATGACCCCCCCCCTCGAGGTCACGTGATCTCTCCCCCAGGGTCACGTGACTCCCCTGAGGTCACGTCATCCCCCTCAGGTTACGTGACCCTTCCTGAGGTCACATGATCCCCCTGAGGTCATGTGATCCCCCTGATGTCACGTGATTCCCCCTGAGGTCACGTGACCTCAGGGAGTCACCTATCCCTCAGTACCCTTCCATCCTATCCCTCAGTACCCTTCCATCCTATCCCTCACTACCCTTCCATCCTATCCCTCAGTACCCTTCCATCCTCCTCCTCAAGAGCTGTGCTCAAATCTGGCGTTACACGGAGTTGTAAACAACTTTTTTTGTTCTTTTTCTTATTTGTGATTTGAGTTGTTATAATCCAGTTACTAAGTCAGGTTATCATAGCTCCATTGGCTGCATGCCAGCTTCATTCTCCTCATCTTGCCAAAGTCTAGAGTCTTCTTAAAACATTTTACGCTTGTTGCAGAAAAACTGTAGTATTCCGCTCCTGGATACATATTGACTGCTGGGAGGTTGGAAGAAACAATTGCCGGTCAAATTCCGTTCGTCTGATTATTAGTTCCCTTCATTAAATGTTTATCTTCTCCACTGTGAACTTAATTCCACATATTGTATGTGATAATGTTTCAAAAGGGGCCACAAGCGATTTCTTAGAGAGCAAGGTTTTGGCAGGAGGCTTCGGAATGCAATTTATCGCGCAATCCTTTATTCTCTTTTCTTTTAAGTGTTCTTGTTTAGTTGGGAATATGCTGTACACATTGATGTATAAGGGAGTGTTTGTGTGCATTTTGATTGGTTTTCAAGCTGTTGTTGCTGCAAGATGCTAGTCAAAACTCTTGCGAGCCTTCTTTACGTCTCTCGGGGCATTTGGGATTACATTTCCTCTTCGTTGGCTTTCAGATCACCACCTTGGGAGAGCCGTGCTCATGTTTGGCATCCCTTTTGTCTACACGCAAAGCAGAATCCTCAGGGTGGGTGCACATCTATATTAGTGTGGATGGAACATTTCTCTCGCTGTAAGCCTTCAAAAGAGGCTGAAGGCACTGGTACCAAACGAAGCTAAGCTTGCAACATAACCGGAAACCACATTGAGAATGGTGTGTAAAGCATGGGTTGCCAAATCTATTCAACTGCTCCTCCCCTAAGTGAAACGCATGTGAAGCACTATTTTAGCAGGCCTGAGTAACGTATTGATACGCAACTCCCAAACACTCCTCAGCATATGCATTATTGTTTACAAGGTCTAAGCTTCTGCACTGCTTCACTGAATGAATGCCAAGACCGGAACAGGTACACTTCAGCTGTCATCCAAGGCAAATGGGGGTTCCTCAAGGTCGAAAAGGTATAAAACTAAAGTATTTCAAGAATTAAGAATAGAAGTATAACCAGGGGCTGGTGCAGTTCTTTTCACAGAGAAGGGTGAGCATATCGGATGTTTTAGAAAACCCCTAAAATTTTACACATGTGAAATTCAAGGCGGGGTTAGGATATCTGGAACCCCCCCTCTGAATTTGCCACTGGGTGTAACTAAAATAGGGTTCTGTCTTTTGTGAAGATAAGTGGGGTTGTTATTTCACTTGTCTCATGAGGCGTTCTTTCCTCCCTTTATTTCGAGGGCAATGCACCGTTATGAAAATATGTGTCCCTTCCAGTGTGGACGGCATGCAGTAGACGCATCCCCAATGCAACGGGCTTTGAACCACGTTCGACGAGACTGTCACGGACGAAGCGGCTACATCCAGTTCTGTTTGTTGCAGGCTCGACTGGAGTACCTGCGGGACCAGTACCAGATTCGAGAGAATGACTTCCTCACCTTCGACGCGATGAGGCACGCCGCGCAGTGCGTCGGAAGGGCCCTGAGGGGGAAGACGGACTACGGCATTATGATCTTTGCCGACAAAGTGAGCAGTCGAACAGGTTGCCGTACGTTGTTGCCGTACGTTTTTCCCGTGGCAGGCATTATTACCCCTTTACACTGATTAGCGTTAAGTGTAGAAGGGCAGTTATTTGTGAAACGTTTTTTTACTTGTTCTTGCACTAATTGCACCCCATACAGATCCAGCATACATTGTTTTTTCTTACTGGTATTAACTTTGAGTCAAAAGCTAAACCCAAAATATTTTTTTTAATATAAAAGATGTGGCAAGCTTTTGTAATAAATAAAACGTGCATATGGAGTTAAAACTGAAAGCAGTTGTTTATTGAGGTAAACTCGTACCTTGAATTGAAACCAAGAAGGTACTGCGCACCCAGCATCTGCGACGAAAAGGTGGCCGACTCGAAACAGCGCATTACATCTGCTTCTATATCTATGCTGTGTTCAGGAAGGTTCTAATCGAAAACACAATAATTGCGAGAATTCGCAGGAACTCCCAGAAGAGCAATGATTGGCAAAATAAAGAACTAGGCCATTGGGACGCAAGCAGGGCAGGCATGCTTAGAGCATGGAGATTGCTCTAATAGTTCCTGTAGTTTCGATTCCCAAAAGCTGTAACAACGTGCAGTGCACACCAATGTAGTGTTAAAAGCTCGGACCCCGTGACCATGTGCAGCGCTTTGCTCGGTGGGACAAGCGCTCCAAGCTTCCCCGCTGGATCCAGGAGTACCTGAAGGACTCCCTGTGCAACTTGAGCATTGAGGAGGCCATGCAGGTGGTGAGGCGCTTCCTCAAGCAGATGGCGCAGCCCTTCACGCGGGTAAGCGTGCTCTGATCGGTCGAGCCCTTTCTGTACTCTGGTTCGTACTTAGTGTACAACACTGGAGCTGCAGAACCCAGGGTGCCTGGGCTCAATCCCCTCCTCTGCCCATTTCGATCTGGGTGGGCAACGTACCGGCGTGCAGTCCTATGGTCACTACTGCCAGGTGCACGTTGGCCGCGGCAGCAAAGTTGGGCAGTCCGAGACTTATTAAACATTCCAATTTTTCTTTTTTTTTTTTTAATTTTGACAATATTTTTGTTACATCCACGGTGAAAAAGTGAAAAAGTGCAGAAGGGAATGGGAAATTGTGATCGCTTCGCTGTAGCCACTGTTCCGTTATAACGGACTTTGTTATAACTGGTCTCGACATTACTGATTTTTTTTTTTTTACTTAGATTACAAATAACACTTATTTCAACTTAGAAAACTTACTCTGGCAACGCCTGACATGAGAGCGGCGGCAGAGCGCGCCTTCTCCGTGGGTAGGCGTTCTTTGGAACTATGCGCACCTGTCTTAGCCAGTGGCTATTTAGGTAGCAGTTTTGCTGGAACTTTCTTTCACGTTTCTCGTGGTTGCGGCGGTTACGCGGACATTGCCGGCTCACGGGAATTTCTTGCTGCCTGCTCCTCACGTTGCTTGCGGTTAAACGCTGCCGGCTCTGCTCCATGGGACCAGTTAATGCATTCACATTAAAAATATCTAGCTTGAAAACATGTACACTCAAAGCTGCATCCACTTTATACCCAAGCGAGAAAAGCATTACGTCAGGCATACTCAATTATGATACGCAAAAGAAAACACAATAAAAAAAATCACCTGGAAGCATTTAGGGAAATAATACAATTAGTTACACAGCACAAAACGGCAAGACATAATCACAAAAGTGGAAATTGCTGAAACTGGGTGAAGAAGCTATGTGGATCGACCGAGCATCAGGTTTTTGCCGCTTCACGCTTTTGTACTTCTGTACTAAGAGATGCAGCCTAAAGGTAACATAAAATACATATCCAATCCTTTGGACAAGAGGCATCAGTCAAGAGCACCCAATAACTGCTGACGCAAGAGGAACAACCAATGCAGCCGTTTTCTCCTCCAGTTGTCGACTGCAGCGTCACATGCGGCCGTTTGCTTTATTTGGCACAGCGCTTCCCATTGGCACTTTCCTCGCTTTTGCCACAACTCCCCCTTCTCGAACACTGTACTTGTGCTGTGGAAGCGAACGAGGCCTTCGAACGATGATGTACTGCCAGAAGAGACGGGTTGCGTCTTTTCAGAAGAAAGAAGGGACTTTTTGCCAGTCTACTATTTCGAGCACTACGTTCTGGAAAACATGTTTGAAATCATTGCAGAAAGAAAGGAACAGGCAAATACTAGAAAAGAGGGGGACCACGGCCAAGATAACAGCTCAAGAAGTGAAGAGCTTCTTGGGTTGCTCTATGCTCATGGGTGCGATCGAATACCCTAGAATCCAAATTTTTTTGGAAGACTGGGTTGGCCGTAAACATCATCACTGAAACCACGACTTGAGATCGGTTCTCTCTAATAAGGGCTAACTTGAGTTGCCATCTACAGACCGAAATCACGGATGATGGGAAACAATCTGATAGGCTCTGGAGGGTGGCTCCCTTCGTCGAAGTGGTGCAAAAAGGTTACTTGGCTCTATTCGCGACTCCAGCGACCTATAGGGGGCGCCACCACCAAACAAACATGGCGGCTGAGTCCAGGTCGCGGCGGCTCGGCCGGGCCGCCTGAACAGGTGGCGCATTCAATTTAACAGATTTTCTTTTGTTTAATGCCCAATTTTATAGGTATTTGAACTGAGACGGTTAAGTGTAGCCGGTGCAGATAAACTTGCAAAGCATAGTTTTGTTTTGCCGGTGTTTTTTTGTTCTTTTCGTGTCAAACTTTTGTTTCGGAGATTTCGTTAAAAACCGAAACTATGGGCTCCGGAAAGCCGGTAATATACTAATCAGTTTTGATCATCTAAGGAAAGCGGCGATGACTATAGAATTGTTCCACAGAGAGTAACTTTTCAGCTAACTCGCACGCCTCGACCATGCGACTTATCTGTCCGCGAAATCGAGCTTTTGTGCGTATCCGCGTTTATGAAACAGCTCCGGTCGTCTGCTCGGCCAACAACACAGGCTGCAGGAAAATTACGAAAATTAAGCAACCGCTTCTTGAGTCAAGGACCATGTTAACCCGCCGGCGCCCCACTAAGCAGCTGATACTCGTATTTCAATTCAGGTTTTAGTCGCAATCGAGAAGTCATTTTGACGAGCGTGTTATGTATTATATTACGTACTATAAGGGGGGGGGGGGGGGGGGGGGGTTCCACTAAAGCGATATTAGTAGATATTAGTATATCCTTCGGGTTGAAATACGAGCTTAGTTGACTAACTATTAGGTGAGCTGCTGAATAAAAGTATATTTGACAGACGGAGACATACTACTTAAACTTAGCCAAATGGTTCTATAGCCGGCAGCACGGAGACAATCTGAAGAAAGTCTTCATTGAAGATCCACGCAGAACCTCTCTGCATTGAACTTTGCTTCGAATCCTGAACGGAAAAAATTAGTATTATTTTGTGGCCGGTCAACCTGACCAATGTAGACGTATATTGCTGCTGGCTTCGACGTCCTCGTAATATAAATATTCGAGGCGCGATAGGTCAAAATGCCGTGACAGCATCTAACGTTGCGAAACTTGTCTCCCTCCTTTTGAAAAGCAAATAATTTCCTCATTCATCATTTGCAGCGAGCAAGTTTTCCTGAATCAATTAATTGCGAAATCAGCCCAACTCCTTCAGTTTGGTCCAGAGGCTTTTTCGGCGAAAAGCAGCCAAGATGAATAGCCAACGCGCCGACCGGCGTGGGTGGCTCAAACTTGAAGCTAACCGAACACAACCAAACTCAAGAAAAGCAGCTATCGAACCTTCCCATTCACTTGACTGCAACATTGATGTTCCCTCCAGTATCAGTTACCAAGCAGTCGTCACTTTGAATGTGATTCGAGACAGACAAGAAATCAAAAAGTTTTTTCGTGATTCCTCCCCATCCAAGAAATCGAAAGCACGCGACCGTGTGCTGTGGAGTAAACGGGCTTTCAAACACGTAATAGAAGAAAACAATCTACTGAGGCTTCGCCATACTAATGATCACTCAGGCAAACTTAAGAAATATTCGGACCTTCGTCAAATTACATTGTTCGCCACCGCGCCGACAACACGTCTCCGCGAAAGCCACCAGAGACGCGGAGGGGCGCGGAGCGACCTGGACCGGCTGGTTCCCGGTTTTACCGCTTGGCGGCGTCCGTTTTGCTGGAGTCGCGAATATGGGGTGAACTGCTTTTGCATCGATGAACAGATCATTCTGTTTCTGGGACGCTCAGGAGCTTTGTACCGGCAAGGAGAGATGGATTAATCTATGCCTTCGAGATCTACGAGGGAAAAGAGGCGTTCCTTGATGTGGGCCTTGGCGTGGCCGGCAACTCGGTAATGAAGCCGAGCGAAACCAAGGCACCGTGCTCGACCTTGTACTTTGACCGATGGTTTTCTTCGGTTCCGCTGGTGAATGAGCTTGTAAAGAAACAAGTTTTTGCCACCGGAACAATAATGAAAAACTGAGTTCCCAAAGAGGCTACTTAGTCCAGCGACAAGGACCCGATGAAGAAGCCACGAGGCACTTGCGAGCAGTTCAAGTGGTGGGATGATAACCTGGCCTGCTCGAAATGGGTTAACAAGAAGCTCATTGTTATGGTGAAAACAATACGTTATAGTCACAGGCCCGTTAGTCATCAAACACTACGAGAAGATGGGGGGAGTAGACTTAGCTGACCGGTTGCTATCTTTCTACAGCCAGAGAATTAGAACAAACCACTGGACCCTTCACATCATGCTACACGTCAGACATGGCCTGCGTGAATGGTTGGCTCCAATACGCAGCTGACAAGGAATGGGACTGGAAAACAAAAACATCATGCGGTATCTGGAGCTCAAGGTGTCTGTTGCGAAAATGTTGATTGCGCAGAAGATGGAACAAGTCGACCCAACTGAGAGCGAAGATGTGGACAGTGTGCCACCCAGGAAGAAAGTAAAAGTCCTTCCATATGAGGCCCCCAGAAAGATGCCCTTCATCTTCAATTGAAGGATTACCTCCCCAATGCTGTGATACGAGTGCCACTGCCCTGTGCAACGTGAAAACGAGGCACCGGTGTTCAATGTGGCGTTTTCCTCTGCATCGAGGTCAACAGAAATTGTAGTTACCAGTTCCACACTCAAGCAGACCATTCAGCATGGACCTAATGTCCACGAGTGCGGACATGCAGTTTGGTGTACTTCAACATTCCGTGTCATCGCGACGTTTTATTTTTATGTTTATAACTTAAAGAGTCTACTATACACTTCCTATAGACCAGTGTCCAAAGTTCTAGCCCCCAGCGATAAAAATAAGAAATAATAATCTCAAACGCGCAGGCTCTTATGAAGAGAGGGGCTGTGCATGAAACAATATTTTTGCTTTTTACAATGCTTTTGGCTTAGTGTTGTTCTTTGAGCTTCGCGACTCTGCATTTCGGACATTCTTGCACTACGGTATATGAGAAGGTTTCTAAAAAAAATGGAGTCCTGCAAAAAGCGCTGCCCCCCTACCGTGTCATGCTGTCAGCATAAATAAACATGGCGCCACCCATAGAAGAGAGCAGACACTGTTCTATAAATTGTACAACCATACCATGTTGCTAGATTTGTCTCGAATCCTTGGAGGTTAAAAACGAGTGCATTTGGCGTGATCTTTGATATACAGTAATATTTAAAAATGTTCCTGTCTATATTGGAGGTTGTTTATTTGATTACGTATAGCCCAACCTTGCGCGACAATTTTATCCATATCTCCGAGTTCAAGATCTTCGAAATCTAGTGAATAATTTTGTATCGCACATTTAGCACAGCAGTTTTTTTATTTAGTTATGAGGAGTAGCATGGCGATCCTAAGGGAAGTTTGCATTTCGCAGCAATTTTTCATTTCAAAATTTATATTTGAGTGGTACAGTACAGCTATTAATGCACATTTTATTCAGTCCCTAAAGTTACTATTAGATTGCATATTTCCTAAATACCTACCTTTCTAGAGAGCTGAGTAGTCAAGGCTAGAAGCACTAAATAAGCTATCCATCACACCAACGACACTTTAGCCATCTTGGTGCTTAAAATCATTGTTGCCAGCTATCCCCTTTACCTCAAATCGCAGATACGTTTTTCTGTCCCCCAGAAATGTTAAAAGTCAGCAACATGATCAGTGAAATGATGTCACCCGAACTTCCTTTCACCGTACCCAAAACTTGGAAAGTCTTATTCTCTAATCCTGTCCTATTGCCAGCTGTGCTTGCCCTGCAATAGGCAACAAAATGGCGCCACCCATGGGCAAGTCGGGGTCGGTACTCTTTAAGTCTAGCCTAATGCCACGAAGTAAGCCACACTTCAGAGTAACGACACTTACCCATCTTGGTGCATAAAATCATGGTTGCCAGTTATCCGAGGCTTTATTTGAAATCACGGGAAACACTTTTCCGTCCTCCACAAATGTTTAAACAGTTTGCGACGGAGCAAAGCATATTACATGATCTTCCTAACTCCGAATCTAATGCTGAGGAAGTCACACTTCTGAATCATGACAGTCGGCAGTTGCGTCTGCTCTGCACTGAGCACCAAGATGGCGACGCCCGCAACAATATCGGGGAAGAGAGTGCAGATACTCCGTACGTAGCTTATTTAGTGGCTTTAGTTAAGCCTATTTCTCGTGCAGGAGGACCAGCTGGGACTCTCGCTGCTGACGGCTGAACAGCTGGAGTCCCAAGACACCAAGAAGAAGCTGGAGAGTCGGATACAGCTGTATTAACCGGCCAACCCCCCTTCGACGTGTAAATAATACCCTGTACATAAAATGCATCGATCGACTGCGTCGCCTCCAGTGCGTCTTCCCGTGTTGGTACAAATAGACCCTTTTCAAAATTCCATCAAGCAACATTGGCGGTCACCATTGCTTGCTCACGAAGCGCATGATTGGATCAGAGTCCTCGCCAACGCTGACGCAGCCCTCGTGTCCGGTACATGCTCGGAGTACCTCTGTCAGCAAGCCATGGCGGACAGGTGTTGGCTAGGACTTTTAAGGGTCTGTTGTTGCAGTCCGGAAAGCATGCAAACCGCCTCAGGTAAACCGCTGAGTAGGGTGCCCGAATTGCGACCCCGACTGGCATCTTTAGACGTCCAATTAAAATAAGGACACCGAGATGACGCAACCATAAAAAGCGATTTCATTAAATGTTTTGTGGGAGGCATCTTCGGCTTGTGTACTTACTGAAGATGCCTCCTGCATAAGAGGCATCTCGTTTAATGAAATAGTTTTTTATGTTACGTCAAGTCAGTGTCCCTATTTTAATTACGTCTCTCGGGTTTCGGAGTACCTATATTTGCATCTTTACAGGTGTGGTTAAAGTGAGCGTGTTGTAATTATGAATACTTGAAATAAAAATATTGAAAATGAGGACTAGCACAGATAACCACATTCTTTCAGTTAGCAACGACGGGCGTTTATTTTAGGGCGTGAAAAATTGGCGCGAAAATAAACATTCATTGTTGCTAACTAAAGGAGTGTGGTTGTCTGCGAGCGTCCTCGTTTTTATTCTTTCATTTAAAGCATTAATTTTTACAGCATCGTTGATTTTCACACTCCACTCTGCCTGTCGACGTCACAATCGGTGAACATTCCAAAATATTGCTACCGCGTCCAACAGTCTTTTCACATTATACAAAAACTGTGCAGATACGTTTGAGAGATACATATGCACGAAGCAAACATGCAAGGCGCGTCCGCAGATTAATTCTATCGTGTCCGCAGAAAACAGTGCCTTTTCTACGATGTATTTGCAGTGCAACTGCGGCTCTACGCGTGGCGCGTTGGGACACTGCGATGGTACTCAATGCCCGTTCGTCTGCTCTGCGGTCGCCTCTACAGCCATCAAGATTGCGTAGCTCCATAGGGTTTGTCGGCAACTCCTGCAATGCATCTTCCTGCAGTTTTGTAAATGCTTTGGTGCACAGGTGACAAAACGCGGCAGTCGGGGACGGGTTCTTGACACCGTGTCGCCGAGGAAAGCGAGTGACACGCACCTGACCTTGATCAAACTTTATTGGGGCACACGCTATTGCACACCCTCGACGCATCTCCTGAAGAAACCACGGTCGATTCGACATCCTAGCAACGCCATGCATTGGAATGGGACAAAAAAAACAATACTGCAGCTGGCGCGACATCTGCAGCCACAATATCCGAGGGGTCACTGGAACTGCGGCCGGTGGGCATGCACCTTTTCCAAAAACGGTGGGATCTTGGATGCAAAATGCTTTTTCTCCACAAAAAGCTTTGCTGGACCTCGAAGAAAAACGCAAATACTGCGAGGTAAAGAACACGACTTCCAAGGGCTCAAGCGTACGGTTTGCCTCGTGCTACAAACGCTAGTGGGCAATAGTGGATTCACACACCGTAATCGCAGACAGAATGAGAACGCGGGAGAGAGTTTCGGCGGAGGCCGGGCATTCGAAAGACGCACCCCGACGTTTTCACTCTGTCAGTTACTACAACGCGAGCTAGAAGACGCCACAAATTGGCACTGTCCAACCAGGACCGTGAAGCTAGTGGTCCGCAAAATCTTTTCCTGCATTTTATAAAACTTCCTTAGATAGAAAGTGACGTATGTGATGATCGTTCTATGTGGGTGGCTGTCCAATGTCCAAAGAAAGGGTGCTAGACGCTGAAAGCATAAGAACTATGTACACTTTATACAGCACATTCGTCGTCCCTGACCTCGGCCAACGGCACACTGCAATGTTGAAGCAGCACTCGCTTTTCCACTACAATCAATCTCTGAAAGCACGCACTATAGGGTCAATTATCTTGGCAAGACGTCGGACGTAATCGGGCAAAAGACGGCCAAGAAACTGTGTTTATGTACATATCACATTCGAGCTTCGTGGATCGAAGCCGAAAGCAGACGCGACTGCAACCGGCTTCGGCTTCGGGGTCGACTTTCAACTAACTTTCGAGTTCACTGTGGTCTGCCAACAACAATACCGAGCCTCCAATCAAACGTCTGTATAGAAGAGGTATACAATTGTGTTTGACTTCAAGTTGAGTAGAACCATGCACACATTTGTTACGTCACTAGCTACCAAATTCAACTCGGGCGCTTGTGCGACACAAAGTCTGGTGCACTTGTACCTTTCGACGCAAATAGATGCGTAATTATTGCTAGTCAGCTTCATCTAAGTTTCAAATTAAAAATCGGAAAAATGTAAAAACGAGAACTTCCGCAGCACTGCATTAAATAGAGAGAAGACAAAAATTAGGTAAGAATCGGTGTTTCAAAAAACTCTTTGCACTCATTTTCATTCCAACCCCCAATAGAGACCTAGTACTACCTATTTTATTGAACGTCCTAGGCTCAACAAATTCGTCACAGACACACGACGCATTCCCTCATTCGTACCACATCAAAGACTACAGAACACTGCCGTTTGATCGCTAGTTTCTGAGCAACGTGTTTCAAAGCAAAGTGTGTGGCCTACGTCGTGAAGAAACGCCCCAGAGTTCTTGCTCCACAGGAACCAAAATCGGTGGCGAATTCGCCACGAGCCCGCAAGATTGCACACAGCCGACTGCATACAAACTGCCCATGGCGCTATCGGCCGGGACGATCACTTGGGGCGCCAGAAGTTTGTTGCCAGCGCCACCGCCGAAGAGAACAGGCTTGCTGCGGGAGGACTCTGTTGCGGGCCCTGCTGGTGGGACTGCAATTTGAGCAGAAACACAACGAATCGGTCGTCGTAATGACAGTGTCTGACCGACATGCACATGACCTGTGAGGGGACTCTGAAACTAGGAACTCGATCTTGTCGTTTTTAATCCTTTTGAGGCTTTCATTTTCAAAACTCTAGCTCATGGGATCTTTCACTGCCTTCCCAATTACTCCTAGAGGTTGTTTGACCTGTTTTCAGTCACTGACGGGACATGAAGCGTCTCTTTCGGACGCCTAACCTTGAGTATGCGCTCGTTGCCTTCCCTCGGGCTGTGCGAGCACGCTCGAAGTTCAAGAGATGCAGAAGTGTTACTGAAGGTAAGAAGCTAGTGCTCAGCAGGAAAACTGAAACACTTCCCCGAAGTTCTTCTCCCGTCGGTGACCAACTTCTCTCGACTGACCTCACCCCTGGCAAACTAGTTTCTGGTCTGGGCACAGAAAGCTGAGCCACGCATAGACACATAATCATAAGATGGACATTCTGACTTTTCTCTCTAGTGCGTGTATTAGTAATTCTATTGCACAACGGCTGCATTGCGAGGCTGTCGAAAAGGGAAAGGGGAGGGTGTTTCTCCGATCACGCTCAAAGTGCATGAGGGCTCCTCAAGATCAATATGTTTAGCAACTCCTGCCCCTTGCAGATGAGGTTTGGGTCTCGAGACATTTCGTAAACAGTGAATTCCACAGCGAAAGCAACAGAGATCAGACAGTGACACCGAATTTTCGCCCCATTTGCATTGTCGGCAGAGCGAGTGTGCAATGTGCCTTCGTTCAAAACAGCAGCCCGGAACCGGATCAACGCTATGCTTTGTTTTGCAACGAGCCGTGTCGGAGCAAACACGTTTGCCTCTGACGCCGCTTGCGTGCCGCTAGCTCATTCCAAGGAGAACAGAGGATGCCACCCGCCCATTCTGTTAACGGCAAGGTGACACCGATTCAGACCAACAATGTGACCCATCTGTCGTTTCTCCGAGGCACTGCTCATGGAGTGACTCTAAACCCTGCCATCTTCTGCAAGGGGCTACTGCAGAGGGGGCAGACTGCACAAACAAGTGCAAGCTAAGTTCGACACACAGTTATGGCACATAAAACGTGTCTTCGGCCGGTGTGCTTGGCGTGCTATTCGGCTCATGCATCGAATGTGGTACCGAACCGGCAGCAAAATATGTCTTTGAAGCCGGCACGTTGTGCAGTCGGATACCGCAATCCTGGCAGCTGGTCGTGGAGGTTCAAAGAAAAACAACGAGCAAACGCTTGTGTCGCCATTGTTGTGGCATCTCGACTGCTGGCTGCTGAAGCATCAGTGAACCGTCAGTCTGAAAGCAACCTACCAACAGAACAGGCATCTGCTACATTCACCTCCCCCACCAAGCTACTGCCAGGAGTACGCCAGGTAACAATGTGACGCTTCATCGACGTCACCGAGCGGAAATCAAGAACCACCTTTTAGGACGCAGCAAAAAGACCGGTTGGAGACGCATTCCAAACACCGTCGTGCGGCTAGTCGACACGCGGGTGCACCTACCATGGCGGTGGAGTGGACGCCCCGGGAGGGAAGGTCGCTAGGCGGAGGCGGTAGCGAGGCGATGCTCTCCCACTCGTCCCCGACGCAGTCGTCATCCGAGTCGCTGTCTGTTGAGAGGGCCAGGTCCTGGGAGAGGCCCTCCTCCAGTGACAAGGACAGCTCGGGGCTCATCTCAAACGCCTCCGCCCTGTGGGGGAGGGGACTTCGCTGTAGGACCTCGGCCCCCGACTCTCTTAGGTATCGCGAGGCACACGCGTACTGGACTGCAAGGCAGCCAGAAGTCAAAGTCAAACTTGGGGCATCTGGCACGTCCCACCAAAGGACTGAGGATTCATTTGGACTACCTGGGGATCCTTTCACGTGAAACCGGAATAGGACTGTGAGACTCCAGGCCACCATGGTAAAGACAGCCGGAACAAGCTTTCGGCATGTCTCGTACATTTTGAAAGGAACATAGGCCATCTCGGCTACCCCTTCTCAATCCTTAATAATTTAGCCTGTTTCTTCTACCATTCCTTACCCACACTCGGCTAGCTTTCCAGTAATTATGACACCCAACGCACTACTATTTGTTTCATGTTGGGTTCGTTGTTGTTTTTTTTGCCTTTTCTCTACAAGAGTGTGTATAAAAACTTTCAGCCTTTTCATTCTGGTGAAGATGGAAGACCAGCGAAGCTGTACTATGGTGGGATTGAGTATTTATAAAAACTGTTTAGCTGGCGTGGCGTCCTGTCGTCGCCAGGCCTCGCACTTGTGCTTGGCTTCTGTGGCACGATCATCGTCCATGGCGTTGGCCACGGGCGATATAGCAAATGGTCTATAGGTTTTGGGAGGTTGTTCCAGTCAGTAATAGCCAATTGTAAGGGAGAAAATTTGAATAGGTTAGCCCTAAGTGTAGTCAGTTAAATTTTGAGTGGATGGTCGGTGCGGGAGAACATGTGGGCAGTATTCATCTTTTTTTTTTTTTTTTAAGTAAAATTATAATACATTTTGTGTAGGTGGGTAACACATACTTTTCTCCTGTGCTTTAATAGAGGGAGGTTTAATTCAGCTTCTATGGTGGTAGCACTTGTGGGCTGGAAATTGTGGAGAATGAAACATGTAGCCCGGTTCCGTACAGCTTCCAGTTTTTCTTCTAGATACGACTGATGGGGGACCCAGACAATGGATGCATACTCGAGTTGAGGACGGATGAGAGATTTATATGCAATGAGTTTTGTTTCTTGTGTGGCCTTAAAGAGACGGCACTTTGAAAATCCCGAACTTCTGCTTGCTTTCGCAGATGTATATAGTTTCTATGAGGCTCCCATAACAAGTTATGGTTAAAGCTGATGCCCAGATACTTGTAGGATGTTACAGCTTTAATTGGTATGAACATCTGAGTAAAGTTTTTGTTTCTGTAGTGAAGTGAAGAAATTTCGTTTTGTCGGCATTGATCTCCACTTGCCATTCTCGACACTGTGCTTGAATATGTGACAAGTCATTTTGCAAAAGGGTACAATCAGTTACACTCATTTTTTTTTTCTATAAATCACGCAGTCGTCCGCATATAATCTAATAGTGGAATTCAGAATATCTGACAGGTCATTTATGTATATTAAAAACAACAATCGACATAGCACGGTTCCCTGCGGTACTCTTGATATAACTTCTTGTAATCGGCTTTCCGAGATAAGTCATATCATCGCGATAATAGATGTAACAGTTTGAAGAACTGAACCAACACAAACAGCGATGTTCGTAAAATTGTTTGCCGAACGCTGGAACGACGGCAAATTCAAGCTAGCACAAAATGCCGTGCCTTCGATCTTCACCCACAAATCGAAGCCACAGAGGGCTCCCCTTCCCCGAGGCACCGAGAAAAGGGTATATTGTACGCGTAGTATTTAAAAACCAATCCACCTCTACTGTACGGACTTGCTGCTAGCTAGCTGGCCATGAAATCCTCTCGTCATATTACTACATCATGTTTCCAATGTACGCATACAATACCGCATTGCTTGTCCCGCATTCACTATACGCTGGCTTAATTCTGCGCACGTGACTTGATTAGCGAGTCTTTGAGCACATGGAACGAAAGTTAGCACCGCAGAAGCCAGGGATCCTGGGCTCCATCCCCACCCCTCCCCGTTTTGATCTGGATGAGCATTGTACCGGCACATTTTCGTGTATCACTAATGCGTGATTCACATCACAGACTCCAGGCTAGCAGTCAACTGCACTGGCTAACGGGGAAACTGGAGAAACTCCACGAAAAGTTGGCGGCAGGACCGCAAAACTGTACTCGCAGCAGAGCTCACCGTGTCGTCTGCTACCGTAAGGTGATTTGGGCTCAAAACAAGACTTGTTCGCTCGCTCAGACCATAACAAATGATGCAAATGCTTTTTGAGTGCTTACCTATGATATTAAAAACAGATTTCACACGATAAAAGACTTAGATATCACAAAACCCCCGTTTTCCTCCATACCCAATAGGTCCACCATGCAAGAGTTGAAACCTTTATGGCTTTCGTCGCTAGTCGTCAAGTGGGAACGCCATATGGCATTACAGTGGCGCTATATTTACCGACAACACACTACAACTCACTGGCAGCACATTGGCAACTGACTGACAACACTGGCAACTCAAAGGGAACCCACCGGCAACATACTGACAACACTCCGGAAACTCCCAGGCTACACACCGACAACCCACTGGCAACATGCCAGCCTCTCTTGGCAACACACCTGGAATACGCCGGGAACTCACCTCCCGAGGTCCGCCATGTCAGGGTTGAGCAGAAGCAGCAGGTTGCGCAGGGTGGCCTTGGGGCGGAGCTGCGAGGGGTCCACCCCCTGGGAGGCACACAGGTGGACCACGTTGCCGTTCAGCTGGGCCACCCGGTGCCGGAACACCTCTTCACCCAGCTCACCACCCCCAAATTCACTGGGAAAGGGGGAGAAAGATGAGGATGAGCCGACATACACGCAATTGTGTCACAGCTAAAGCCCCTCGATGAAATTTACGCTTTGCGTTTCTTACAAGTACTGCCAATCATTGTTGTCGGAATGCACAAAACACGTGTTACAAGTGAGTGCTCTGCCACCATGTGCTTCCAAGGGCAGCACGAGGCATGGGCCTTGTATGTTTGTGCATTTGACGCTACTTGCAAGACAAACAGATCGAGGGGTTTAGTCAACGACCCAATGAGAAGGGGCATTGAGTTGGTGAAGCTGTTCCTCCGGGCACACTTTTTTGCTGCTTCCGTACAACATTCTCACAAACATCCGTGGTGCTAACAAAGGCACGGGCGCTAGTGCCTTTGGCAAGTGCCTTTTATGAGAGAGGGCTCATACAAACAAAGCATTCGGCAGAATTAGGATATTGCACCTGAGCCTCTGTCTGCACAGTGTCTTTTGGCATAGTGCCTTCTATGTTTGTAGTCCTTTATTCTATTGCCCAGTTTTTCTTCTTTCTCTTTAATATATTTCAGTAATGAGTCAGCTTGTGTTTGTCCTCTGTTCATTTGTTTTGTTATGTCCCTTTGATGACTCGTTTTCATCAATAGAGATAAATTAAATAAACAAAACAATAAAAAATTAAAAAAGTAAAAAAGACATTAGAGGCTGGCAACGAAACTTGGCTTCTGGAATAAGTCGACGTGGTAATGTTAACTTGTTTCTTTCTTGATTTAAAGGAGCTGCGCAACAGTTTCAGTGCTTTGCTTAAATAATTTGAGAGTTGGTGTCTCGACCTTTCTGAAGTAAAGAACAAAAAATTGCTTTTGCCTGCATTTCCTAGTTTTTTCTTTTAAAAATGGACAAAGATTGAGGTTTTCGGCACCTCTCAACTCCTTCGACATCTTCCAAGTCACGTGCGCTGTGACGTCAATGGGGGTCCGGTGAAGCGTCTCTTTAGAGCCATCAGTGAGCGGCGAGAACTCATCCGCTCGCAACCGCGTGACCACGTGCTGGCGGGCGCAGCGCAAACAATATGGTGAAAGGTCGAAAGTCTCATCCAAGTCCGGCCATACTTGTCCGGCTCTGTCCCTCTCCCCCTCCGGCTTCTGGCGGCTGTTCATGATAGCAGATAGAGCTGACGGTTTTGTGGACCTAGGATAGAAGGCGCCACTAAAACTCCGCATAATAAAAGTTTTGTCGATGATACCAGGTTTTGACGCATTTATATTTATGTTGGAACGACAAGATTTATAGAAAAGTTACCTTTTATCGAGCAGGTATTTGCAAAACTTGCTATTTTTCTACAAGAATCCCATTGATGTCACGCCGCGTGTTTCTCATGGCCGCCGCTCGCGGCTGCAGGTCGGGGAATATTCTAATTTTTGCCTCGCGATTACGCGGCGGAATCACAACATTTCGAAGGAAGGAGGTGTGTTTTCTGTCCTTTCTTGACAAGATTAACAATGTCAAAAGTAGAAGGTGCCAATTCTTTCAACGTTAAAACCGTTGCACAGCTCCTTTAACTCGGGAGAGTTAGGTCACTGTGATCTGGCGTTACACTCATAGCAATACACCTGGAGACAAGAGACAAATGGCACCAACCTGTAGCAGAGGTTGTGCGGCAGCCGCACGTCCAGGTAGAAGGCGAGTACCGAGACCAGCTGCGCGGTGAAAAGCAGCCCCGCCGCCAGGGTGTAGCCCACGTTGCGGGGGTCCTCCATGGACGGCGACACCGCACTCTCCTGGTGCTCAGCAACTGGGTGCGTCAAAACACCGGCACACTTGCAACGCACGCCGACTGCACCATCCGTGTCCAAAGGCCCATCCACACCCGCGTTTACTTATGACCGAACCCTTGCAATCTCTCACAAGAGAACATACTAGCATGTTGGTGCCAATTTTCCACACAATTCTTATATTTGCCCTCAAGTTCTTCGTGGCATTGACGACCTTTATTTGTATTCACCAGCTTCGACTAACTAGCGCTACTTTGGAGCACGCCTAAGTAGTTGCGAGCTAAACGATGAGTCAGTGACAAAAGAGCGAAGTAAGTGGCTGACTATCTAGTCAGGACTAATAAGTTTAAACGACGAAAAAGATAAGCCGTGTGCAGGGGCTCCGGAAGCGGGGGGGCAGGGTGGGCTTGAGCCCCTCCTGTCCTCAGGACCAAGCTGCCGAGCCCCCCCACCCCCTCCCTCTTTTTTTTTTTTTTTTTTTAGTTTGTGTGTTTGCAGATTATCTGGTATGGGCCTTCGGCCTATCTGCTGTACCTCCGCCTCTCCTGAGCCGAAACAAATGAAATTACTCTTTATGCATGCTGACCTACCGCCCTCCTCACCTCCGCCAAGCACAAAAAGCACCGGGGCGACGGAGAGGCTTGCTTGAAAAGTCAAAACCAGAAGAAAATGACAGGCAGGACTCATGAGCCTGATTGACAACCAGTTTAGAGCGAGCAAAGAGGAGACAGCGAAATGAATGGATTCCGACAAGACGACGTCGGCGAGCGTTTGTCTGCTTCCCCCGTGTGGAAGCAAGAAGCCCAGAAGATGCATGGTGCTTCCATACCTCGGCAAACCTCACTCATGAGGGCCCTCACTCACCCTCACTCATTCTCATCTTCACAGGTGAGGTGAGGGTGAGTGAGTTTCTGAACCAGGAAAATTCATGAGTTTGAGGATGAGTGAGGGCCGTGAGGGCTGTGAGGGCTGTGAGGGCGGTGAGGGCGGTGAGGGCCGTGAGGGCGGTGAGGGCCGTGAGGGTGGTGAGGGCCATGAGGGCCGTGAGGGCGGTGAGGGCGGTGAGGGGTATGAGGGCCATAAGTGCGTGAGGGGTGTGAGGGCGGTGAGTGGCGTGAGGGCCGTGAGGGCCATGAGGGCGGTGAGTACATGAGGTGGTGTGAGGGCCATGAGCGGGTGAGGGCGGTGAGTGCGTGAGGCCCCCTTCAGATCGAGCATCTTTCTCAGCAATTTTGGTGGTAATGGCGGGTTGTTCTCTAGCTTTCCCTAGATCGACACGAATTGCTGAGACCGGGTCCGGCTCGAAATAAGCAAGCAACTCGGAGTCATTCGAATGCGTTTGAAGCGGCGGCATCCAATCAGGGACGCAAAAATTTCACGTGATACCTCGTGCCGGTGATGATGACACCGAAAGACTTGGTGCTGGTTTGAAATCGATCGTTTTTTTTTTAAATAAACTGTTTCAGAAAGGTGCATTAGTATTCTTAACGAGATTTAAATGCATAAAAACACGTTTATAACGCGTAATTGCGTCTAAATAGTGCAAGAAAAATAAAATTTTATGATGACGATGGCAAATTGCAGCAATTGGTTGCTGCGTGTGATCGCGGGCGGCTCGTGTTGCTGGTGTTGCGACGTAAAGTTTCTGGGCGAAATTGCCCCATCTGAAGCTGGCCTGAGTGGCGTGATGGCGATCAGTGCGTGAGGGGCGTGAGGGGTGTGAGGGCCGCGAGGGCGGTGAGGCGCGTGAGGGCGGTGAGTGGCGTGAGGGCGGTCAGTGGCGTGAGGGCGGTGAGTGGCGTGAAGGCGGTGAGTGGCGTGAGGGCGGTGAGGGCCGTGAGGGCGGTGAGGGCCGTGAGGGCGGTGAGGGCGGTGAGTGGCGTGAGGGCTATGAGTGCGTGAGGGCCGTGAGGGCGGTAAGGGCGGTGAGGGCTGTGAGGGCGGTGAGGGCCGTGAGGGCGGTGAGTGGCGTGAGGGCCATGAGTGAGTGAGGGGCGTGAGGGCCGTGAGGGCAGTGAGGGCCGTGAGGGCCGTGAGGGGCGTAAGGGGCGTGAGGGCGGTGAGTGCGTGAGGGCCGTGAGGTTCAGTGAGGGTGAGTGAAGGGCTGAAGGTGAGTGTGACTGTGAGGGTGAGGGTGAGTGAGGGGCTGAAGGTGAGTGTAGCTGTGAGGGTGAGGGTGAGTGAGGGGCTTAGGTGAGTGTGGCCGTGAGGGTGAGTGAGGGCGACCTAAAATGCCGACCTCTGGGTGCTTGCTTCTGGCCCGCGGACAAAACAGGCAGGCGGTACTACCGCGGCGTTTAAAGGCCATCATTAGGAGAAGGAGGGGGGCTGGTGAGCTTGAGTGGGGATTCGGGAGTGCTTAGAAAAGGCGAAAGTCTACGAGCTCCCAAATTTGACAAGGCGCCTTCGATGGCGAAAGCTTTGCGCGCATGCGGCGTCGTGCCCGCAGGGTGGAGAGGCATGACACATGAGGCGACACATGTTTACAAACTCAGGACAACACAACACGAAGTCTGAAACACAGCTCTTATCCTTCAGTACCTTCCTTTTGTGATGCCCCCCAACTTGCATTGACGCCAGGAGTCCGAAGCGATCACGGTCGATGTACTTGATCCTGAGGTACATACCAATGTATGCAACCTCTGCTTCCAGTTGAGACATCCGATGGCCCAACTTGCTGTGTTTGAGACTCCGTGTTGTGTTGTCCTTTTTTCCCCCGAGTCTCGGGGTTTTGTCTAAAACTTTTAACACTTGTTTGTCTACGTCTGCGTTAATACATCATGCTTCCCCGAGAATCCCCAAATGAAGGAAGGTTTTCATTTTTAGACATAGCCAATTTGGCATAGGCACAGCTGCGGTTGACATGTAACAGTTGGTATAGGAAAGAAAAAATAAAGAACACATGGTGCGGCTGATTGGTTATCCAATCATTGTATGAGTTGTCAGTGCAAGCTTCTTACTGTTATTTTACTGGACCATTGTTTTAATTTGTTTTCCATGGATATATGCGTGAATATGCGAACGCGGTGCATTAATACGTTTTCATTCAAATGTGGCAATTAATGTCAACCTGAAACCAACCTAACCTTGAGGATTTCGGAGATGTCGAGCCCCCCCTCTAAAGAAAGACTTCCGGAGCCTCTGGCCGTGTGTGCGCGTAATCAAATACCATTGTGCAAATCGGGACATGATTGCCTAAAATGAATATTTAAGCATCAATTAGGAAAAAGAAAATGTTGTAAGGAGAGCCTGAGGGCTATCCAATAGCTAGTGCCAGTGCGGCGATCTGTCCCTTCGTCATAAGCAGTTACATGACAGCACAATGCAGTAGAGCAGACTCGAATGCAAATGTGTGAGCCAGCCTTTGAGGAATTTTTTAAAGAAGAAGGAGTCTAGTGTAGCATGCAGGAAACGATAGACCCTACCCCAGGCAGAGTACTGGGAGTAGTCCCCGTGGGCCGGCAACCTTGGCTCGACCACAGAGTAGGTGGTGTCGTGTGGCGGTGCCACAAGCGTCACCCAGCGGCCGCGCACGTATGTCGTCCGCTGCGCCTCCTCCAGCTCTGTCCAGACGTCGTCCTCCTGAACGCCGCCGCTCGTGCTGCAACTGAGCGATTCCGCCTCTCAGATCGACCGGCAAACTCTGTTTAACGCAGGACGTGTTATAGCGCTGGGCTTGTCGAGAGAAGCGACACACTACGCTGGACCGCCGCTGTGTGGTCTTCGATGATAAATTCGGGATCCACTTCAATTGTGACAACACGTGACATCACAAACAAAGTGGATCCCGGATTGATCGCCGAAGACGGTGAGGCGGCGGGGCACACCCGGTGCATCTGCAGAACTCCCACGAGGCAGACTAATGTCGAACGCTGCAAGTCCTGCCAAGAACGCAAGCAGCAGCAGAGGTACGAGGGTGAGCCTCAACTGAGCCTGTTATGTCTTGCTGCGTCTGTGCAACCGTGCGCAGCACGTGCCAACCTTGGCCGCAACACTATCCGCGCAATTTGAGTATATGAAAAACAAGCATGACACGCTCGAATATCTTCGAGGAGTCGTCGACCGGGTCACGCTAACGGTCACCCAAAGGCAAGCCCCAGACTAGTTTGTACCTTTCAGGCTCGCGAAACAAGCTGATGAACCGCCGCACGTGGCTCACGAAATTACTGGCGAAATCGCGAAAGGAATCGTCAAATGATTATCTAACTTTGGCCGACCTGTGCTCGAAATTGAAACTTTGCGTTTATACAAAGTGAAGTAAAAACCAGTTTGCGTTTAAACATGCTAGCCTCCACAAAAAGCGTATTTACAGCTCCTAAATGGCAAGACCATAGCACTGAATTTTTTACGTTGATTAAAGGAGGCCAACAGAAGTCGCAGATGAGAGGCAGCATTTGGCTGGAGCTTGTGGTGAAATAACTAGCACAAGGGTTCACAGGCTTTCCAATCTCAAGCAGCAGTGATCTCTTCGCTGATATCCAAGAAACACCTTCCGGTCTTGGCACTAATGTATCAAGGCAGCACAGGAGCCTACGGACTTTGAAAGCAATACAGTATTTTCCGGTGTATAAGACACTTTTTTTCAAAAATTTTCAGCGGTGCGTCTTATATACTAATTTTTACTTAGAAACTTGCAAAAAGTGGGGGGGTGCATCTTACACAACGATGCGTCTCATATTACTGATTTTTACCTGGAAACTTACGGAAAGTGCGGGTGCGTCTTATACACTGGAAAATACGGCGATCGTAACACTGGTGAGCAGTTGGTACATAGTTATGCACCCGTAGATGGTTTATGTCTGCTAAAATAGTACCCACTTTAAATGGTAAAACACTTCACTTAAGGGCCAGGGACAGCTGAGGACATTTGGGAGCTCGGGAATTCCTAGGTTTCTGGTAACCCAGCCTGAGAACCAATGATCTATGGTAACCGTCTCCTTTTAATCCTGTCAACGATGTAAAAGTTGCTCATGCCCACCTGGGAGGCGGGGAGTGTTCTTTGATGGGGAAGATGTAGCGGGTGAGATCATTCAGGCTGGCACGCACCACCTCCTTGGCGCCGCGGCGGCACACCGCCAGCTCCTGGCGCTTGCGCTGCGAGTCAGAGCGCAGCCGGTCCACGTGCTTGCGCGCCACCCGCAGCTGCCCCGACAGGGCCTCCACGCTGCTCCGCACCGCCTGCTTCTCGCGTTGGAGCTCCTCCACCGCCGACACAGCTGCGGGCAACGTTTTCCCAGTCTTTTTTTAATTTTTTTTTTTTTTTTAATTTTGGTGATTGATATATACCAGGTAACTAGGCTTCCTTCCTGTAGATGGGGTTGTAGTGCAGGTGCATAAAACAAATTGTGAGATCCCTTGTACCAGAAAGGCAGTATTCAGGTTATCATTAAGAACCAACAGTAAACTTTCGACAACAAATGTAACAAGATTCGCCGAGCTTGGCAGAGTATCACGATACAAGCGATGCATCGCAAATGCCTTTCACTACTAAAATAGAAATACATCATAGAGATAGTCGAAACTATCATTAAATACTATCTTGATACATTTGCATCACAATACTGCCCAGCCTTGCAAAAAAAAAAATGTGAGAGAAAATTGTTTATTGTGAAGCGTGTCCTTTCGTGATATTATTCACTGTAGATTGTCCTCACCAACATCACCATTCTTAGTCCCTGTTTTATATCTGTGTAATTTCATATGTTAAACTTCATGTGCAATCTATGTATATTGTGCCTAGTGTCCTCCTGTGTTGTATCCATTGGATATTGTCAGCATCAGTTCTACCATTCCCATTAGTTTTCTGCCCTGTTGGAACATGCCAAAGTTCCTATGCACTTTGATTTATGCCTGGCGAATTTTCGTCGTTCCCATTATTGCGTAATATGACATCGTTTTTAGCTAAATACTAGATTTAAAAATCATGTTGATGTATTCACTCACTTTACATTGTTCTTTTTTGTTTTAATAGTTACTCAAACTTTTAATTTTGCATTCAACAATTGCTTATGATTATTTCTTTTTTGTTTTTCCTCCTTTATATCTATTTATTTCTCTTCTGATCATCGAGACAGAGACAGATCCCTGATCCGGTTCCTTAGCAAAAAAGTTTGGAAACTCCGGTTTAAAAAAAGCAGAAGATGCTTTATAATCAAAGCCCTTTCATTCAGAAATTTGTGTGTCCATGCTTCCGTGCACACCCCATAGCAAGTGATGCCTTGTGGGACCGCGGTGTCACAAATGAGACTGAGTCACATAGGGCATAACTAATATGATTCTGAAGGTAAACGTGGCTGGGCTGCCATCTTTCCTAGGAGGTGTTCACATGCCGTCATCAGCCCAAGCTGTGGCCAGGCCAACCTACCGTCTGCCATAAACAACAGTTTGAATACAGAGTGCAAGTTTGTGTGCTTCTTGCACAGGGGTTGCGATGATGTGAGAATGCAGAGCTCTTCTAGGCTGATTAAAAAAAAAATTGTGGGTAGACCTCAAGGCATCCAGCATTGAGGTCTACCCACTATCCATTCAATCGAAGCCAATGAGAGGTCGGCGCTCTTCTGACGTCACCGCAACTACTGTACAAGAAGCAGGCAGCTTGGTCTCCGCATGAAGTGAAATAAATCTAGCAAATGCTCGCCGACAGCGCATGCTTAACTGCAGAACACGCAGCTGTGGCTGCCTTTGAATACTTTCCAACGAAGCCCAAAGGCTTTCAAGGGCTAGCCTAAATTCAAGGATTTCGAAAGTCTGTTGCTTCTGAGAATGCTGAATTGACAAGATCTGCTTAAAGACCGAGCAGTCTTTGTGCAGTAACCCAAAGTTGAGTTCCACGGCTACCTTTGGCCTTTTGTTCCTGTGCCTCAACAAGGGCATGACGCAGCAGGCTGATGCGTTCCCGGCCATCTTTGATGGCTTGCCGCTGAAAGGAAGCATGCACATATGAAGCCTTGGGCTCCACAAACAACTAAGCAAAGACCGGAACATGGAAACACCAACCTCTCTATGATGCACACCTTCTAACCGAGCTATGAAAATTCTCTCTGTGCATAATAGAACTAGCTGAATGATCCCGATTTGAATGAAATTTATGTGAAAATTGGTGCAGGTTAAGCATAACATTTCTTTTGATAGAGTTTTAGTTTTAACATGCAACAGTAAGAAGTTTTTGTATACCTCTTCATATTTTTGAATGCGACTATGTCTCTATATGCTCAACACTAACACTGCAGCAAGGAGAAATTTATACCTCAAAAATATTATTCGGTGCCAATACTTTATATTTTTATTTCAAAATACTATCAATTCTCTTGGGGGATTATTACAGGCAAAGGTAGATCAAAACATGACTTTCGAGGTGTGCAAAAACCGATTTGAAGCCAACACAACCTGCCATATAGCAGTTGTGATGTCTTTTGGCATTGCTTTCTAATTGAGCTCATTGTTGTAGTTTATGTTGTCAAGATGTGCGTCCAAATTGGAACATTTTTTTAGATGCCTCACCCTTGAGCTTCTCTTGCACTGTTTTTCTGTCTTTTCCTTGATCCTGGAACAAAGGTGACAAGATTCCACGGTCCAGAAATTGTGAACGAACCACCTACACACTGGTTAAAGTTAAACATTTCTAAAGCCCAAGACGGAAGCTACGAAGAGGGTAAAAAACGTAGCCTCCGTCTTGGGTTTTAGAAATGTTTAATAAATTATTTGCCGTCAATTTCATTTTTAATAATTAGTAGTGTTCACACCTTTCCTCTAGAGCCGCTTTGAGCCGATCGAGCTGAATCAGACGGAGTTTCTTCTCCGCAAACCTGAAACAAAAACAAAACAAAAAACGCGTCATCAGAGGCGCAAGGTCGACACAGCATTGCATAAGAATCGAAATCAGTTCCCCCACGGGAGCTGTCAAGGGCGACCAACACTCTTTTTGTTTCTCCATCTCCGATATCAACGAGCCCCCGACGCGACCCCAACCCCGAATTGTCGTGGTGCCCGCGAAAGATAAAGAGAGATCGCGGAGCGATGTAGCGCACACCTCCGCGACAACGAAAACAGCTGCGCGATCTCGGCAAAGGCGCGATAAACGAATTCCACGTATGTCAACAAAGAGGCTGCGGCGGTGGCTGCTGCGACACAGCGGGCGACCGCTCGTTGGAGCGCACGTCACAACGATCGCGTGCAAACTTGCATATTTAATCGAGTCACGAGCGGCGAAAAAGTCGGGCAGTGGTGGTTGGTGAGAAAAATTCACCTCTCGGGACACTTGTCCCTGGAGCTGGTGAAGTCGCCGTTCCGCACGCAGTCGTGGCAGAAAAAAGTCCGGTTGAGGTGCGAGCAGACGGGGCAGCGTTCCAGGCTCACGCTGCTGCGTCCGTTGCTTGACTCGAGTGAAGAGGAGATGTGGAAATCCGTAGGTGCTCCGTTACTTTCATCGCTGCTAGTGCTCCCATAAGCGGCCATCAATGTGCATCTTTCGTGTTGATCCTTTGCTTACCGGATGTTAGGTGGGTAAGGTCATGGACGGAGGTGACGTCATAATAAACTCACTATATGATTTGTCTAGACGTTCCCATCCAGTGACAACGGTGACCACCCCGTAATTAAGATTTTGCTTTCCTGTCTTTGATCATCCAAGAACAGTGGTTCTTTGGTTGATGGTACTTTGTTCTTAAATAAAAAAAACAATTATGCGCTGCTTTTTTTTTTATTGTCATCCTTAAGGGGTCTGTAACGTTGAGGGGTCCTAGTTTCTAGGTGGCGCGAATAACCACCAAACTAAAAAATATTTTGGTGTTTATTTATCTATAGTTACTTATATCTCCATCATGGCGGCGCCCAGCTCACCTGTGCCGCGTACAATGGCCGCGTACGATCCATCGCTCGTCGGATGCTGCTTGCTGGCTTGCTGTCAGTCACTGACAGTGCTCTCAGTATCTTTGCTTTTGTTGTGTAGTCGGCGGTATCAATCGTGAACTGGCCTAAAGCATTAGACGTAATAGCACAGTGTTCTGGTAATAATATCGTCAGGCACATTGGTGATTAAATCGTTGCTTGGTGACGCGACAAGTCGATAAGACCGACAAGACTTTTCCCGAGTCCGTTTGCGAAATCCGTCGTTACCAGGATGGGTAAGAAGCGGCCCAAGCCCGGGAGCGGCGGCGGTGCCGAGCCCACCGGCGACAAGAAGGCGCCCCTTGACGTCGAAGAAGGTCCGTCCTCCGTCAACGACTCCGACCGCCTGTACATATTCAAGGACCCCGCGTACCTGTCGAGGTCCGGCGGGAATGGCAAGAAGCCCCGCGTGTGGAAAAGCCTCAAGCAGGTGATCTCTGCCGAGCGCCTGATGCCGGGATCGTCAGCGAGCTACGCGGCACTCGAAGCGCCGCTGTCCTTGAAGCCCAGCAAAAAGTACTCGGACACGAGCGGGCTGCCGGCAAGGTACACGGACCCGGCGACCAAACTGCGCTACGCCAATGTGGACGAGTACGCCAGGATCAGGCTCCTGACACCGGACCAGGTTAACGGGTACCTTATACTGCGCAAGGCCAGCCTGCCGGTCACCTAGGTCGTCCGATTGTGATCTGGTTGGTACACGTAGCAGAGCGTGTACCATCCAGATGTGTGAAGTGTGATCTGGATGTTTCGAACTTCCTCCAGGGAGATTCTCTCGCGGTGTTGTAGACGTGCGTGTTCATCTAGCTTCAGTGGAACAGAGCATCTGTGCAGCTCGGATTGTGTCGGACTTGCCAGAAGAGTTGACGCGGTACACATATTAAAACTGTTTTCCTTGTCGCCGTAGCATGCTGACTGATTTCATAGCTTTCTAGTGTTTTTAGGCTGTTTTTCTTGTGAGAATTCATGTCTGCACATCAATAATGAAAGTCGACGAAGGAAAAGAAGTTATTCAGTAGATGAAAGTCGACGTAGAAAATAAGTTATTCGGTAAATGGTTGTTAGTCCAGCAGAGTGCATGTGTATGTTCCTTGTCTCTCTTTCTTGTATATTTCATCCTTTGTTCAGCTGGCAAATTTCACAAGCATGAATAAACAACCAGCTGAACTCCACACAACTTTGAACGATTCGCTGTTCATGAGCCGAAAACTTAAGGCTATCTGTCCAGATGGCGCGAGACACTGCCCGATCCTAGAAACAGGAGACACCGCCCGATCCTAGAAACAATTTCCCAAGCATATCCATTCGGCCCACTGATTCGGCCAGTTTTCTTCATCCATCCAGTTGTCGCTGTAGGTTAACCAAGATGGCGGCCCCCACGCGCGTCGAAATCTCTGCTCCGAGCCAATTTCCTCCCGAACTGAAGGACCGTGCCCAAAATTTCCACTCTGCTCTGAAGAAGGTGCAGGACATTCTGAAGCCTTTCCTAGTCAGCAGTCTCGACGATTCCACCAACGAAGTATGTCGCCTCCACGATCGCATACGCAAGCGCGTCTCATTCGAGAGCGGCAAACTCTTGCATGCCCGCTTGTCGTATTCCGTGTGTCCCGCAAACGTGCGTAGCATACCAATGTTATTGGTACCAGTTGGCAGTACGTGCGTTTCCTTCGAACTCAGGAAATACCACTATAGTCACTGACAGAACTAGAACTGCGGCTATGGCCTTCAGTCCTAGCGCGAGCTTCCTGGCACATCGACGCGTCTCGCGAGCCCCCAGCGTGCTCGCGGAGCGAAAGCACGTTGCAACGAGCGTCCTGTCGCTTTCACTTCGACATTGACTATAATTCTCAAAGAAAAAAAAAAAGAAAAAATATGTGTATATATAACACACTTATACACCTCCTCCGTTATTGGACCCTGAGCCTGCTCTAGGCTCGTGTTGAATGCTAAGAGTGCGCGTTCTGTGTCGTTGGTCTTCTTGTCCCGGTCTGTGTTTTTTCGGCGTCTATACTTTCTGAGTAACTACAGGTGGGATAAAATATGGAGTGTATGTGTTCCTCCACAAGCAGTGCTGATCGATGCAAGGCCCTTTTTCCTATTACAGCTGCTTCCACTGGACAAAGCCAGGCTGGATCTCACCATCCTGTATGCCATGAACTCGTTGTTCTGGAGTAAGTTGTGCCAGAAAAATAACACTATTCTTCTACTTTCACCTACACGTACGATACAAAACATTGTGGAAGGAGCTGGCACAAGCTGGTGTTTCATTGACACAAGAGGTCGAGTAAGTGATAATTCTAGGTAAGTCAACGTGCATGTACCAGTGCCTTTTATGATGGAAAAAAAATGCAAACTGCCATTTCGGTGCAGTAATGACATTGCGGTGTTGGTTTCCGTTGTCTATTTATTCTTTTCCGTGGTCGTTAGCCGTAGGTAAAGCAGTATACCCAGGAAGCTGAAGCTTTGCATCAGATTTCCTTGTAGGCCGTCTTACAGGCACATAGCCAGGATTTTTTTTCGGGGGGGGGAGGGGGAGGGGGAGGGAGGGAGGGGGAGGGGCCCACCTATGACGAAATGCTGTGTGAGGGGGAGGAGGGAGAGGAGGTCCCAGCAAAATGGAAGATTTCAAGGGAAGGCCCCCATGAGCCCCCCCCCCCCCCCCCCAGGCTATGTGCCTGCCATCTTAGTTAATGTGAGTCAAGCTCTGTTGCCTTACAGGTCTATTATATAATATTGAAGTATTAGTATTCAGTTTCGCCAAATATTCCGATACTATTCTCAAGAAATTGAATTACCTATGCTAACCTAAATGAAATTTGTTATTGTCCAATCAAAGGCAGCTTGTGTTCAGTGTCCTGCCTCATAGTTGAAGGTAAAGTTGAGTCATTGGTTGCAGTGTACCTCAGCACAACCGGCGAAGACCCAAAGCAGCACGGAGTGCGTCGTGAATTGGTAAGAGAAATAACACTCATTACTGACTAATGTTCAGAGTCGCGCTAAAGCCCATGCCATCTGCTATTAGCAACCGAGCAGAACTGTCTGAATGTACTCACAACAATGGCATGTACAGACCAGGGCACCTAGTTTGTCAGTAATCGCAGGAAACAAGCAATAGTCAAATAATACTTTAGTAAGTGTTAAAAAAAATAAAAAAAAGTAAAATCAAAGGCACCCCTTTTGTAGGTTTATCTTGTCGTCGCCTTCTATTAACCTTTTCCTTTTTGCGCCGGTCTCCCCCTCCCGTTATGAATAACCAATTAGCCCGCCATTTTATTTTAATTCTGTAGGGAAAACAGCATGTATCACTGTTTCCCATTTCTTTCATGCAAGTCATATTGCAGCAAAGTCAAAGTTGCATACATTAAGTCGAGAAAGACGTTAACATATTTTTACTTCTATTGTTCCGCCGTTGCGAGAGTGCAACTAAAAACAGTGAAAAACAATATTTGTTTTGTTTTAAGAAAAACCAACAGTCAATATTTTAATATTTGGTGTTTAAAATGAGGTCCAAGAATCCAGGGCGGCAGTTGCAAGGCAATGATTTGTTTGGAGCCTTTGCTGAGTGTTTGTTTTCGCATTGATAGTGTTCACTGTTCCTTGTGCCTGCAGGAGCGCATCAAGGAGTACATGGTGCGAGCCAGGCAGATAGCAGACAAGGCAAAGGCGCCCAAGCTGGATCAGGGTGCAGCGCAGCGGTTCGTCAGAAACTCCCTCTGGCAACCCAAGGACAAAGGTGAAATCAGTGCGTTTGGCAATCCACAGGGGAGCTCTTTACTGTTTGAGGCTAGAACAGGAGTATTAGGGGCAAGGGCACATAGAGCTAAGTGGCAAGAGATTGAGTTGCCTATGCCGTAATGAGAGCGAGACATTGAGATCTGTGATTTTGAATTGCACAGGGTTTCGCCCTGGCCTTTCCGAGACAGTAGTGGATATGACGGGATTGCTGGGTTTTGTTGGGGAGGATGGAGGAACGTAGTGAAAAAGGGTTACAGTAACAGGATGTTGGGAGACTAGTGGAGAAGGTCTAGATAAGTGTGACAATAGCCAAAATTGGTGAGGTTATAATTGGAGTTTTAATTTACACCAGAATTTAAGAGGAGGGATGTAAATGTTTGTAGGCCAGGTGGTGCATGCCGCCGCCGAATCAAAGGGTATACATTTTTGCAAGTGGGAGCCCGGCTCAGGGGCAGATCCAGAGCTCCGTTTGGGAGTGCGGGGGTGTCGACGTTGTTTGGAGGGGGGGGGGGGGGGCCCCGTCGCCCCCCCCCTTAGATCCGCCACTGTACCTGCTTAGCCTCGAACCGCGTGTTAAGTGAGACAGACCTGCTCTCTAGGCAAGACATTGTACCCTTTATAACGGGCGGTATTTTGCGCAACCTAGCCTAGAAGTATGATTTGTTTTCCTTTGCCATTTTGCTTACCCTGTGCAATTTCGTAACTATTACCAGGTAGTGTGGGATATCACCACGATGACCTTTGGGAGATCGGGCAAGAAAACTAAAAACATTACCCCCGCCTCTTTCCCCCGGCGAAAGAATCAACAATTTTCCCCTGGTCAAACGTCAGCATTACCCCTGCACCGGACTCACTGGGAGACAGAGTGGAGACTTTGGGCCGGAGCCACGCTACTGTACTCGGGGCAACATTTTGTGGCAGTTAACAAAAAACTGGGGAGGGGGAGAGGCAGGCAGAGCTAACGGCTCTGTGTTATCGCGCCAAGTAGTTCCAGACTTTTTTGGTTTCAATTGCATTTTGGGTTTTGGCGCGAGGGCCATGCAGTTGCTACAGTTAATCTCTTCTTATGAGGATCACGGTTGAGGGTGCTGAACTGTGATCGCCGAGCACACGGGCCCCCATATCCGCGTCTGTTTCTGAACATTTCACTTGTTTTTAAACACAAGCCAACGCTTCAATTGAAGCACTCTCACCGACTTCTCAGGTAAATTACACTCTGGTCGATCTCCTCGAATTTCATTTGTCTTGCAACCGACAGATACGCAGCATCCCTTTAAGAAATGCCGTGAATTTCATCGGCGCTACAGTGTTTTGAGGTCATTGATATGTAAACTCGTCTGGTACTAAAAAATAATAGCCTGGGTGCGATATACCGAAATAGAAGCACGCACACGCCACGGTGCAAAGTGAAATTCCAAGATTCCATTTGGATTGCATTCAGTTACCACTGGCCCTAAAGAAGTTCGGTGGTGCACCACAGTTCGGAACATGCATAGCAAAAGCTCGCGCTGCAGAACCCGAAGATCCTAGACTCAATCCCCACCCCAGCTCGCTTACGCCAGTGAGCTCGCTAACCAGCCGGTATAAGGAAGCAATAATCCCGGTTCCTTTTGCCTCACTTGCGTGCGTACACATTGCACACTACTTGCTTGTTTTTTTTGTTTTTACAACTCTAAATTGCCAAACTTTGTGAAAATCCCACAGAGTGAACGAAGGGGCAAGCTCACAGAAGGTACCGACGATACACTACACCAATCATACCCAATGACGGACGCGATAAAGACAACATCTTTGTTTTGCCAGGAAGTAGAAAACCTGTGTCAAACTTAAACCAAGGAGACACGAAAGAGCTAAATAAATGCTATAAGTCTGGCACATCCTGGTTAATACTATAGTCCGTTGCAACCTAAGAACGAAGGGCGAGGGTAAGACGGGCCGGAAAGGAGAAAGCAGACGGAATGCTGGAGAAGAGAGGGAGAAACCTCATCCTCTCTTTAGTGTTTCGTCCGCTTCCTCCTTTCCGGCCCGTCTTACCCTTGCCCTACCTTCTTGAGTTGCAACGGACTATAGTAACATTGTGAAATTGAAGATAAAAATAACAATTTTATATTTTTTTAATTGGTTAAGTTACACCCAGCAAATTATTTTGCTTGAACTATATTCAGCTACACAGTGAAACTACGTGCTTCAGTCCTCCAGCTTTCGCTTCATTGCCACAGAGAGTTGTCCCCGGGTATAAAAGGTTGTCCTTTTGTCTGTTCCCGAAATGGAAGGTCTTTTTATTTTTAAGATGTGCTATTATGTTCACAGAATGATATAAGTAGCCTTTAATGCTGTTTTTTTTTTTGTTTGTTTTTTATTGCAACGCAGAAGAAAATGGCGCCGAAAGCACTCCAGCCCCCCACAAGAGACCTGAGTCATTGACAAGGACACCGAGGGGGCCCCCAGAAAAACGGAAAAGGCGCTGAGACCGGCAACGACGCAACGGCAGTGTTCGCAGCCAAAAAGTACTCTCAAACCGACAATCGCCGCTGCTAAAGACACTTCGCCGAGTTGTGCCGACAGTTTTCTCCGCAAGTCAGGATAAAACTTCCGACGCCAACACCTCCTCTTCAATCACAGTAACGGTGGTCTCCATAGAATTCCTCAGTCCATCAAGATGCTCTCAGAGTCTGGCCGTTGCAACATCTTTTCGGCGAAGGTGTTGTAAGCGTCGACCGTGTCTGCACCCAGTTCTGCCAGCTTCTCTTCGACGCTCGACATATATCCTCTGTCTGTAAGAGAGGAAAACGGTCTGGATGACATCAACAGTGACGTGCATGCCAAAGAGCATGCGTATCGATAGCTGACTTTTGTATTTGCGTGGCATGATCTATATCTGGCTGTGAAGACATGTTTCCTCTTTTCCAGGAATGAAAGGTCTTCTACACTCTGCGGACTCGGTATAGAGCTTGTGATTACAACATTTGCAAGCTTAATATTGAGTCCATTTTTATAATATTATGCGAATAACTTTTATCGGTTATGCTGACAGAGACATATTAATGTGGATGTCAACGCTTTCCTTCTTAAGAATGTTTTGCACAATAAATTCTTTTCACTATTGGCCTAGATGGGAAAGCATTCCATTGTTTACAGCATAGGGTCACGTCTAGAGAGAAATAAATGCGTGGCTTTCAGTGACAAACAACTGCATCGGCAGTTATTGCTTGGAAGAACCAAATGTTTTCTCTTTAAGGATCAGTGACAGTGTGAACAAAGCCGCTCAAAGTAAACAATATAAAAAAAATGTACAACGTAACACAATACTTTTTCTTATAGATTGCAGATTGACGCCACCCGAAAGTAAATATGATCGCAACAAGATGAAAACTTGCTGATATGGGTATAACCCCAGCCACCACCCGCCGTTGCCCCTTCCCCCTCCCCCCGAATGTGTTAAAAAGAAGCCCCAGAAACACTAGTATGCTTCTTAAGAAACAGGTTTCTACACATTATAATGCAACACCGAGACTGTAGGGAGTCAAAGATGATGTATGCACTGTTGAGTCTGCACGGACTGCAAACTTCGCGAGAGTTCAAAGCTTCCTCCCGTGCCCCGGATTGCTTCACATTCCCCGGTAGTATGGTGCCTCTCTGACCGGCGTGTTCGCTGCGTCCTAAAAAGTGGTTCCTCAATTTCCGCCCGATAACACAGAAGTGTCGCGTTGTCGCCGGCCATGAACCTGACGACGATGGCGACACTAGCGTTCGCTCCTTTTCACCAAACCTTTACGCCCAACTGCCAGAATCACAAAATCCGACAGCACGATACTCCGGCTTTGGCAACGTCCTTGGCCACCGCTTGGCGACCACTATCGACGCACGGGCAGAAGAGAACGCTAAACGCACCGACCAGAGACGCGTTCTAGGCACCACACCCGTAAAGCCTTTTCGTAAAAGGCCCAAGGTTGCCGGGTCCACCGACCCTCCCCGAGCAAGGGGGGCTCGAAAATTACCGTCTAATTTGAGCACGCGCAGGAGCGTTGCCTTGCAGATCCAGACCTCCGGGCACCCGGTGGGCTGCAAGCGCACGTTGAAGTGGTAAGGCCGCCAGTAGCCACGTCGCTCCTTCCACAGCTGCTTGAGACAAGCTAGCAGCTGTTTCTCTTTCCTGCAGGCAGCGGTGTTGCAAGGAGACGTAAATGAGCACGCTAGGTAGTCCAGCTTGCTTGGTACAATGAGCGTGCCCGTCATTTTGAGGCCATGACCGTACAGGGTGTTCCCGAATAATATTTAGTATCTAAACGTAAAAAAAAAAACATTGCATGTTGAATGCTCAGTTTTGGCCTAAATGTAGTGCTAGCAGTTCGGACCAGGGGCCAAAGTTTCAGAATAACCCGTTAACTAAAAATATACGCGATTTTCGGAAATGTTTAATGAGAAAAATGACAGTAGTGCTGTGCGATTATTCTAATTTTTTAATAGTGGTTTAGAATAATACGCTATTCAATTTTCGCTTTGAGAACTCTGAGATATATACTTTTTGAAATGTTGATCGCGGCGAGTTAGCCCTGCAGAGTGCGCTTTCCCCCGAACACCCGTGCGCTGCGGAAAAGCAATACCCGCGGAGCTCGCGGACATTGCTTTCCCGCAGCGCACGGGTGCTCGGCGGGAAGTGCAGACTCCACGGGGCTAATCCACCGCGATTGTGCAAGAATATGGCTGTTCCAGAATTTACTCAATCTTACTCCAAAGTAAGGGTTTTGTACCATGGCGTTTGAAAACCTACTCGTGTCCAGCATTGTTCCATCTATGCTGTCACATGACATAACCAGCCGGAGTATCTCAGATCTATTTGGGTGGAATTTGGAACACAGCCTATTTGTTAGACAGCGATGTCTTGACGGCCCGCGCTCATCATTTGTACCCTTTTGTATTTCAGTTGTATTTGTTTGTTTTTCTAAATTTAGCGGAAAACTTTCCTCGCTAAATTTAGCGAATTAAGTTTCCCCGCTAAATTTAGCGAGGAAATTGATGTCACGTCGCCTCAACACCAATTTAGTTTCCCCACTAAATTCAGCGGGGAATTAAATTAGTGTCGAGGTCGCGCAACTTTAATTTTCCCGCTAAATTTAGTGCGGTTATGCCGACGGCGACGTTAACGTCGCGAAACCCGGCCTAAGAGCTGCGCTCCAATAATATTTGCCAATAGCAAGCAATTTATAAATCCCCTGAATTAGGGTAAATGCAACAATTTTGTCATTTACATGCCACTGTTCATAAATGTAGCTCTACTAAAATTTACTGAGCTTAGAAGTAGACAAGTAGAAGGTTGAGAACAACCTTCACATGTTCAGCTGAATCGCTTAAGCATGGCGCATGGTAGTGAAAGACTTGGGAGAAACTATTCGACACTCGATTAGAAAACATTCGGCCAAAACCACTATTCAATTTAAATTTGCTTCCAACTTAAAATCCACCATGTATTTGGACACGACAAGAAAATGGTGGCCAACAAAGTCCACGAATGCCTGGGGCTGAATGGTGCAAACTGCCAAGAGAGTGCCCCATGTTTCCATTGTAAGTTTTTCCATAATCACTTGTCACGGTTAGCTCTGAAACTCTGGCAGCTGGCCATACCTGTGAACTGCCCGCACAGCGGTCCTACACAGCCAGGTCCAGCCCTCCAGGGAATCCTTGTTGTCGAACGAATCCAGGAAGTCAGCAACCATACGCACGCTCTCCGCACTGCCGCTGCCCTCTGCAAGACAACCGCAGCATGAAAGAAAGCTAGAGAAATGGCATCTATCCTGCGAATCTCTTGTCTCATTGCTTGCAGGTGAAAAATATAATTTTGCAAAATTTCCCATAACTTGAAGAAAAGTTACTGTTTTCAATCAATCCGCGTTTATTTCAGCTTGAAACACAAACTAAGGGTGGCGAGAAAAAAGCAGCGTCGTCCACTGCTTGACGGGCCTTGCTACCCTCACAAGAAAGCGGTGTAAAAAAATATGAACAAAATGAAAAGTATATTGAGGTCCACGTAGCTTTGCACATATTTTGCACAACTTACACATGGCTGAAGTGCAGACAAATCATAGAAAAGTGTTCCGGAGGACAGAAGAAGACATATCACTCAGGTGGTCGCATAGGGGCGTATTCTAAAACTTAGGCAAGATATACCGTAACATAGTAAAACCATAGTTTGTTCTACATCTAAGTAAAACAAAGGTGTCTTTTTCCCTGCTTGTATAAGGCGTATTGTGGGGCACAGTAAGAATATGTGAAAGAAAATTATATTTTTTTCTATTATATTTTTGTAAAAACAAGCAAATCTATATTCAAATAAATTATATACAGGCACAACTTTAAACTGCAAGTAAGCCTGCCCGGTTGGGAAATTATATGGAGCTTTTGTAATAGCTTTTAACATTTTCTTTTGCAAGATCAGAAGCTTCTGAATATTTAATGCTGCGGTATTACCCCAGACAAGGAAACAGTAGCTTAAATATAAAAAAAAGAAAGCGTAATACAAAGCAAGTTGTTTTTTCAGGAAGAACATGCTTATTACGTGACGTAATTCCATCAACCTTAGAAAGGGCAAGACAGATCTCGTTTATGTGGGCGTCCCATATCACGGAGGGAGTGTGGTGAACGAGGCTGATAACATATTTGATCCTTCCAGAACGGTCTGCGCTGCGGTACCGTGTGCGATGTTTTACAAGGTTCGTTGCCATAGTCAGACTGCTCTTTTACCCTAAGTCTAAACGTATTTTCAGCCACGCCATTTGCCCAGCTTCCTCCGTACAATGCAGCGATTGGCTCTCTCGAGTGCTTTGCGGGAAAGTAGGTGCTCCAGATTTCTTAAGAGTGTGCTCACTTACCAAGGCTGTAGATGTAGTCAATGTAGTCCAAAACCAAAGCATTGGACGGGTCCATTCCACATATTTTCTGGAAGAGCGAACCAAAGTGTGGCTACTTTTAGCAACCAGGTGGACGAAAGACGCAATGCACACCCGGAGTCACCGTGCCGGAACGGACGGTGCCACCGCGACCATGACATCTTAAAAAGAAATTTGTCTCCTGTTGGTGGAACTATATTATAGAGAAAAGAAAATTGTAACAGATCCAGCACACTCGAAGAAGTTTAGACGGGTCCCAGGGTGCCTTGCCAGCTGCGTACGCCCTTGGCCTACACCACCCGACAAGGTCAACTAACAAACAACCGCCCCCTTTAGAAAACGGGTTGTTCTTGGCAGACGAAGACGAGAGCTGCTGTTGCCCCGTGCTGCTGCCCCATGGATTCAGCCACCCCCCTACAAGAAACCAAGCAGGTTTCGAAACATTGCGTCACTCTTTTAGGGCTTTGGTTGCTGCATTTCCTTTTTATTACTACAGTGCATCCTTTCTTACAAAATAATGAGGATCAGATTGATGTTACAGCCGAGGCCAAAAGGAACGGAATGTCGTTCTTCGAGGCTAGACAGATCAATGCCCAACTTTAAGGTTCTAAGCGGGCGCGGCCTTTCGACAGTTGCCTCGAGACAAAGGGTCTTGCAAGCGGAGTCCGCAGCTGGGAAGGAAACTCACGTGGAGAACGTCGATGCGCTCCTCCATCCTCAGGTTGTGGCGTTTGAGGAAGGTGTACAGGTAGATGTGGGCGTTCAGGCTCTCCGGGTTCTTGTCCAAGTACTCCTCCAACACAGACTCTGCCTTGTCCAGGTGGCCATAAAACTCCAGCATCTGAGGTGGCATAGCAACGTCATTAGGATTGCCCCCACCTGATCCACCTCACAGTGTACCACTTTTTAGGCTTACTGTACAGAATACAAATTCAAAACTGGGACGAAATCTGCCCTAGTAACTTTCTTCTACACACTGTTTAGCATAAACGTGTAATTAGTGCATTTTGTTTAGTAAAATTCAATCCCCACCCCTGCCCGTTTCGATATGGATGAGCATCGTACTGGCGTGCGGTTGTGTATCACTACTGTGTAATGCATGTCAAAGGCCCCAGGCTAGTTGTACTGCACTGGCTAAATTTCTCATCTACAGCTGACATACCAGACGCTCATTGGGGCTGACTAACTTCCAGCTGTATAAACCTACATAAGACAATTAAAAATAAAGGACAAATTCACCTAAATATTAAAGAAAAAAGAAAGGTTTTCTAATGAGTTAAGCTTAGCATGCAAGAAGCCATGAAATGGCATGGTAAGCCACTGGTGTTTATTCGCACAAAACGAACAAGATAAAACATGGGACAGATTTATTTCCTTTTTCCTTCCACCCATTTTTTTTCGTCGCAATAAATGCCACAATGGCTCGCAATGCTATTTTAGTATTTTGCGAAATGACAAAAAAGGCTTGACTAGATGTTCATCTAACATATTGTTTAATATGAAACATAACATCTACGGGAAACACGATACGTTCAGAATCCGATTTATGCGGTCCCTTCAAAGTGCCAACATGCCGCGAGGTCTACGCTCTATCTCACTAGTTGCGTGCAGTGTTATCAAAGGTAAGGGAAAGCGTAACATATGCACTCGGAGAGGAGAAGAGTGAGGATTTCCCCCTTACCTAGACTATCTTTTGTGAATCAGAAAGGTTGCTTCTGTTTGCATCGGGAATCAGCTTGTCACTCAGAATTTAAATGAAAGGACCTTGTTTCCCTTCCAGCTCGTGGCTTCCATAGAGCTGGATGAGCTTCTGACATAGAATACAGTTCTGGGTACTGCAGCAGTGGGAACCGCTTCAGCACTCACATGGATCAGTTTAACGATGAAGATGTCGAAGGGGCCTTCGTGATCCAAGAGCATGCGGAAGTTGTCCATGGCCCTGGCCGCGATCGTCAGGCCGTGGTAGGCTTCCGCTCCCGTGGCCCCCTCCTCGGCATTTTCTCCCTCCGACGCCACTGGAGAGAGAACCGCTATAGTCTGTTGCAGGTTAAGGAGGGCAAGACAAACATGTCCCACAAAGCCCTCCACTCTTTAAAATTTAGACTCGGAAATGCTAGAAAGAAGACAAGTAAAGAAGAGGAAACCGCCGATCACGGCGGTTTCCTCCTCCATTCTTCGCTCCGACCACTCATGGAGATCTACTGTAATTTGTTGCTGCAGGTCACCTTTCTGCAATGTACGGGGTCGTTAGATGTAACGCACCTTGGCCGCTTGCCAGGGGCAGCCACTCTATGTAGTCCAGGATGCCCAAGTAGCCTCTCAGGATGTGGTCCACCCTCTCGCTCTTACGGATCATCTTCCTGTGCACCCGCAAGTGGTCCTAGGTCAAAAGAGTTGCAAAAACTGTGCTTGGATACCGCAAAACAATTTACCGTATTTACCCACGTATAAGTCACCTTTTTGTTCTCTCCGAAATCTCTGCAGGGGCGTCGTACGCAATGGCGCGACTCATGTGCGTTTTAATCTATAAGTGTGAACGTCAATTGCGCAAATTTGCCGTGGGAATTATATTTCTTGTTCGATCCATTGGTGAGAATATTGAAACTGGCTCCCGCCCGCGTACGTATCGTGATCGCAAAACATGTATGCAGGGTCGTCGGTACGGCTTCACGTCGTACAGCCGTATAAATATAAAAGTGTGACTGATCTACAAGGTTTTTTGCGAAAACGGTCGTTTCTAGAGGGGAGTGCGACTTTTAAACCAGAAAATACAATAGCGATCATGGTCGAGAGCTCGCCCACCTGAAAGAAAGTCCTGAGATGAACGTGTTCGGACCGCTTGAGGCAGTAGATGATGTACTCGAGAGCCGTGGCCTTCTTGTCGGCCGTTCCGAGGCAGCGGCAGTGCCTGTGGTGCGATGCAACAACATCGAGCATGTCGGGACCTACGCGTGTACTAGAGCCACTAAATAGGCCACGCTTCAGAGTGTCGACGCTTCGGCCATCTTATTGCTTAGAATCATTGTCATTGTCGTCAGTTATTCGAAGCTCTATCTGAAATCGCAGAAAATGCTTTTCCGTCCTCCAGAAATAATAGAACGGTCCGCGACGAAGCAAAACGATAATGCCAGAGCTTCCCGACGCCATGTTTAAAGCTCAGGGAGCCACATATTCCAATAGTAACAATCACCCATGGACCTTTCTAGAAAGTGTGACTGGATCCAGCTTCCCGCTCCCACAGTCTCAATCACAAATCATGTTGCTCTTAAAAGCACCTTAGGTTATCTCATCCGCTGGCCAATGCTTATGATGTTTTCCCATGTGTTTCATTCAGTTTCAATTCACTAAAACCCACTTCCCTCTCTGTAATGCTTACGCCCCGAGGGCAAGATAAATAAATAAAAAAATTAATAAATTCCCACAGGGACTGATGCCAATCCCAGATTGCACCACACAGCGCAAGGAATAGTGTCCCGACGTACGCTCTGGCCCGCTCGTACTCTCCATGCATCCTGGATGTGAGCAATTCCTTCTCTCTCACTGCATGTTCAGAACACAAAGAAAACAGAGCCAACGTATCACAGAGTTTTGCTGGTGTTCTGCTTTCTTTGCATTCTGAAATTGCAACTGCTCCTTCTATTTATGGGTACTCCCCATGCACCATGCGTCAGATTGTCGTAGTGTGGCAAAAAAGGACGGTGGGAGACGCTGCATATTTCCAGTATGATCTGCACTGGGCAATAAAATGGTAACCCCCACGAGACAATCATAGAGTGGAGTGTGGAGCTTCTTTGGTGCCTCTAGCCTGTGCCTAGACAGGGACAATCTTTCAGGGATCGCACGTTCCAAACAGCGTTTTCTTTAAGATGGTCCGAGCAAAAGCACTAACGAAGCTAGCATTTGAGCGTAGTGGCACGTGGAGGTTTTTTCATGTGCATTCACCCGCTTCATACTTGGCCAGGCTTACTTACAGACTGTTTTAAACAAGACGTTTCAAACGAGCTGTCCTCATGTCCTTGACCAGATGTGCCCGCTGGCAGTCGTTCAAACTGTGGGCTGGCAAAACCCCGACAAATAGAGGCGTCCTTCGCAGACGGTCCGTTCCACACAGCTCAGCGAGCTCAAAACAAACCTCCCCAGCACAGAAAGGTGCACATCCAAAGTGCGGCGTGCGCATTCTCAGTGGTGCTCCTCCTTTTAGGATGCATGCATTCCAATTGATATTTATAAAGTGGACAGAGATTTTAAATTATCTGTGAGTGCTAGATGTAGCACAGAGCTATGATACCTTTAGTGCATGTCTCAATAATAGGGTTCAAGGGGCCTTTGCCAGTTTTACAGCGGTGACAAGACAGAGGTATGGTCGTCGGGGGATGTGAAAATTACAAATCGAACTGTGTCCAAACTCCAAGCTATGCAGGTTCCCAGGGCAGCGGATTGTTCTGCCTCTGATAGCAACTACCACGCTTTTAAACTGAAAGAGCACCGTGCCAGGACAATCCTTTTTTGTGTTAGAACTATTCCACAGCACTGGCACGGTCTAGTGGAAGTTCAAGTGTGCTGTCCCAATGAAGACGGGTTTTTCCCCTTCCACGTAGCCATACTGCAATAACGCCCTCGGGCACTGCGAGGTAATCTTTGAATAAAGAATAAAGGAAGAGAAGCAGTTTACCTGACAAAAAAGTTTGTCCTGTGGGGAGATGAAAGCTCGTGGTTCTCGAACAGGAGCATTCCCGCCTATGGGAGAAAAAAAAGGTGGTCATTAATATTTCGGCAGGTAAACAGAAAAGTCCGATTCCAGTCAATAGAAAAGTAGCTTCGTCATCTGGTGACAGTAGTGTGCCCTAGCAAAAACAACTGCTGATTGATAATTATGCAAACAAGCACGGAAGATTTAAAAAAAACATGGCCGAGGCAGGTTTTTCTTATTTCTTCCTCTTTACTAAAGGAAAGTGAGAACCTCCAGACAACATTTGGCCTTACGGTATATGACAAAAACGACCCTAGCAGACAACTTTGCATTAAACCAAGTCTAATGTCAGCAAGTTAGAAACAATCCAGAAGTGCGACGATTTATTTTCAATAGATATGGTGAGAACTTGTCAATTTCGAAGCTTTAACTCAAGGATGGTCTTCCCTTCTCATAGAAACATAGAAAGATTAGCCAAATGAAGTTGATTTTTAGTCTGACAGATGGTAAATACATTTTGAAATATATATCAAAGTTATTTTTGCCTTAGTAAATCCAAAGGCAACAAGAAACAAATATCGAGGGAACTCGCTCCTCGAAACAACTCCCTGCTCGGATTGTGCGTCCTAGTTTTTATACTTACTAGAGCAGTCCCCTGACTTATTTCAGGTATACTGAATTCATGCTTTTATACACTTTGACAGAATATTCCCCTGCTACTGTTATGCAATCAGTTTTTTGTTCTCAATTTAGAAAATAACTGTTACTTATTTTTCTTACCGGCTTTTTCCGAGCAGAGTGTCTTGTTCATTCTCACGACAGTGCGGTGTTGTACACCCATCATGCTTGCAGTGCTACCACACCTACAATACATATTTGTCTTTGCAACGAATTTTCATACGTACAATGCGTGACGCTGTTAGTGCGAACACGATTTGGACGCTTGTTTGTAGCTGGCAGCAAATTTTACCCCTTATGCAAGTATCCCTACCGAGCACCTCAAACCAAGGAAGTAGTTTTGAAAACAACATTCTAAAAGGAAAAAAAAAATGGTGACCCTTTTCTTTGCTCTAACAGTGTCACGCCATGTATCTGTCCTACCTTGGATCCCTCCTCGGTGGCTAGCAGTATCTATAAATAAAATTTAAAAAAGAAAGCTGTGCAGAAGTCATTTTTTAGCAGAGAATGTTTTACGGGTCGTTTTCAATGAGAAAATTGTCGCGAAGGACCGTCAAAAATGAACGAAGGACCGTCAAAAACGTTGGCCTTCAACAGAGATAACGGTGAAGACGTACCTTGAGAATGAGTTGGTCCGCCGCATACATCCCTGCGGTCAAAGCTTCCAGCACCTGTGCCAGCTCTCTGAACTTGAGGCCGAAGCACAGCGTCTGAGCCAGCTTGGCCAGGAAACTGGCACGGCCATTCTTTTTCTTCAGGCTCTGGTCAATTTCTGCGTGCAAGGTAGGTTTGTCTTATCTAAGATCGAATCAGCAGCTTTTCGTCACAGTATGCAAAGAAGCGACAGCAATGGCCGTTATTGCACGTAGTGACACCACACTTTAATCCGTATTCCCTCCTGCACTCTTTACTTACTCGATCACACACGACACAGCCTTTGTGGCCACTCAAATATGTAGGAAAGAAAACTCATTTCATTCACGAGTCAACGTCCCTACCAAAACTGAACGGAGACACATCCTATTACGAGCGATAAGTTGCTTTACATGTGATAGAACGTGCAAACCCAGCTCTATTGGTGAGGAATGTGGGGCAGCGTCCCCTGCCAAACATAAAAAGTAAAAGACACTGCCGTTCGGCAAGAGCCAAGTGTGCGCGCTTTGCTTGGCGTCACATGCGGTGCACGCGAGAGCGCACACGAAACAGAGCTTTCTGCATGACACCTCGTCGACAATGGATGCAGCTGGCAAGTCTCAATGACACCTATAGCTGTAAAAGGTGTTTATAAGTAATTCTGTTGTGTGCATGTTTATACAGCCAGAAGTCAGTCAGCCCGAGTGGGTGTCTGGTACCTCGGCTGTAGGTGAGAAATTTTGCCAGTGCAGTGCAACTGCCAGCCCGGGGTCTTTAACGTGCACCACGCAACAGTGACGCATGACCGCACGTCAGTACAATGCTCATCCAGAACACAGAAGGTATTCCTTTTCTACATGCTTTGTGAGAATAAACGGGACAGGCTAAGATTACTAAAGGGGAGGCATGCTTACTTTTACACAGCATAATTGTTCCTCATGCTTGCACTACCAGGTGTAAAATTCTGCTGCGGCATTTTGCTCAAACTAATTCGAGACGCTCGTGGAGAGCCTAACAAAGTTAGCACCGAGTTTTTTTCTCACAAATGAGCGACCCTTATGAAGATTACCAGTCTTCTTAAATAGGCTCATCTGGTGCATCAACTTAAAAAAGATTGCTGATGCTTGGTGTAAAAAAAGAATGCAAAAAATTGCTAATGCTATGCTCATGCCAACTGTGCTTCAAGCCATGATCACAAACAAACCAAAAACAGCTATGTAACTGCTTTCTAAAGCCATGTCGGTAAAGTCACATAGACAACATTTCCCAAAAAGATAATTTCCATCTTTCACTCAACCAAAACTTTGGGTGGAGCTTCCTTCGACGAAATGTCATTTGCCAAGATGAATACCACCCCATGCTCATATTTCAACCTTGCACAAAAATTAATGTACGGCGTCACCCAAAGTTTGAAGCGAGAGCAAAAGTGACAAAGCCGACGAACTTAGAACCATTTTAGCGAGTTCTGCCACTGGCAACGACGGGCTCCGCCTCTTATGGCGTCACAGCCATCGACCAATGGGAGTTGTTTACTGGTTATCGTCTGTAACCGTCATAGTCGCTGACAGGATAAGAACGGAAGCGCATCTTTCGGATTCTCAGCCTCCAGCATGCGCTCCTTGCCTTCCACCATGCTTTGGTTGCGCGTGCACGCCCTAAGCCTCTGAGGGGTTATAGAGGCAAAAAGCTGGAGGCGGGACAACAGAAAGTTCTCCCTGACACTCTCATCCAGTCAGTGACAATAAACACACTTTTTCGGAAGTAGAAATGGTGATGCAGCTCTTACGTGCAGGAGGAAGTGTGCTTAGCTTGACCGTGGTGTACGACGGTGCCGTGAGGTCATCCAGGACTGGTTTCTGCAGATCAAATGTAAACACTTGTCTGTTGACGTATCACTAGGGTGACCATACTCCCCAGAGCAGAAAATGGGATGTCGAGGGGGAAAGTAGGAAAGGGCGGGAAGCAAAACAGACAAAAAAAGTTCTGCTACTCTCCAGTTCATTGTGAAAATACATACTTTTGCGGGGCCTTTTGGCGCCGCAAAAGTATGCATTTAAGTATGCAGTTAAGTACACAAGCACCTTTCTTACCCATTCTGCAAAATCTAAGCATGCAAAAGGTTTAGCATAGCAAGATAGAAAGGTGTGCACGCATCTGTGCACACCTTCTTTTTTTTTTTTTCGCTTTGTGTGGGTCTTTACGTGTATTGACCCAACCAGGGATGGGCAAAATAATGCAAATATGTACAAATACAAAATACTTCGTCAAAAATGTATTTAATTACAAATCTAATTTCATTTCGTAAAAAGCATTTAAGTACAAGATACAAATACAACCAACTGTATTTGGTCTCCTCCAAATACCTTTCCAAATGCATTCCTCAAAATTTGCGTCAGTGACTTCAGGGTACCTGCAACGGGTTTCTGGGTATCTCATTTTAATTTTGCATCGCACACTCGGCGAGGTCCTACTAGTGCAATAGAAATATAATCACAAAAAAAATGTAATCAGCTTGGACATAACAGGTGAAAAAAGCACAGAGCTTCAAGCAGCTTTTTTTTGTCAATTACATTTGGGTATAGACCAACAAAGAACCGAGACGACCAAGACGCGCAGCACTAGCTAAAGAATTTTTTATTGTTGCAACTCGCACCAGTTACTAAAATCTGGACGACCCCTGCGTTCAGAATGTTCCAGGCAAAAGTATGGATGGAAATCAGACAGGAAAGCATTACAAGTTGTAACAGGCACTTATTTAGCCAGTCTGCCTCTGAACGTCGATTTCGTCAATATTCTTGCCCTGGACTAGCACCGTAATCACTGTCACTAAACGCTTGTGCTTGATTGAGAGACAATGCATTCGGTGCAGAGCATAGTTTTCTTCCTGCTCTGGACAGTGACAATAAATTTGAGGGATGTATTTTCGCCCACAAAATTATATTTAATTACAATTGTATTTGAAATACCCACGTTTTAGTATTTAAATACACATGTCAAGTACATTACCCAATTTACAGTGTATTTGAAATATGTATTTGAAATACTGCCCATCCCTGAAACCAACTATTGTTTCAATTTTTTTTTTTTTTTTTTTTTTTTTTTTTTTTGTAGAGGGGCATGTTATGTTTCAGAAGTATGAACTATGTATAGAATAGTAGGGGAAGGGATCCTTTTGTTCAAGTTTGAGGGTGGATGGATGTTGCCTTACCGCGTCGACCTGTAAACGTTGTCAACGTTCTTAAATTGTGTGTTGAAGGCTGTGGCGCTTGATCTGTATAACGTCGTCCTTTTGTGTTGGTGGAGATGACCTTGAGATTGAGACTATGGACCTTTCCAGCGGCAGTCTCGAACGAAGCGATTTACAGCGCGCGTCCCTGGTTTTGAGAGTGTATGCCAGTGTTGCCTGACTGCGCTGGGCTGTGGCAGCCTGCGTAGGTGCACTTCCGGACGCTGGTGGAGGCTAAATTGCCGCGTTTTATTATTTTTTATTTTGTGTTCTGTGGCAAATAGAATTTATAGCGGTCTTTAAGAAAGCACTGCACTATTTTTGAGAACAAAAACAAAGAAATGAAAGCTGTTTTGGTGAGTCCGTATGCAACAGAACAAATGCAACTGGAATGTTTGTTTCATTTTATGTCGACCGTTCACTCAGTCGTGTAAATCTACAAAGGTCTTAGCTGTGCAAAATATTTGACCACACAGGATATCCGAACTGCATGGATATTCCTTGCCCGCAACATGAAATTCAACGAGTCTCATCAATCGAACAACATATATTGTACGTACCCCACGGTGCCGCGTTATGCGCACATAAGTTGAGAAAGGTCTAAAATAACATAACATATCCAATATACTTTGTCAACGATAGTCAATTCACGATAATCGGACGGAATCCGGCATGTTTTGGGAAACATGCAGATGAGAGCTGCCCTTTTGCACAGCTTCAAAGCAAATAAACGAACGTGTCTATTTCGTCCCCACACCCCGGACCCGACTCCATCAGCTATTGTTCGTGAAGACCCGGAACATAGACGGGAAGGCTTTTTGGAGATTCTCTCAACGAAAATAATCCTCCAAAAGCGTCAAACTGCTTGCGTCGCGGGCTGCTTGACGTTCGCTCCCTTCGTTTGTTTCCTGTGAAGGCCGAGCAGGGTTCGAGCTCTGGTATTCGCTGGGTTTCAGAGTGGAAGATAACACACAAAGGGTAAGCATCCTAGACAGGCAAATAAAGTAAAAACTTCCAAGAACAGCAAGCGAACTTTGAATGCACAATGCAGGTGGGAAGTCACGCTGACCGGGTTTCCACAGCTCAAGCGGGTGGCAGAAATTTCTGGCTGATAGGGGTCGCTCGATCCGCAAAATGGCGGCGGCCAGAGCGCTCTTTTTGTAAGGGTCTATAGACCATTTCATCCTCCCCCGCATGGGCGCTGCCATCTTGGAATCACGTGACGCGGCAGCCATTAGGTTGCTTCAACTTGCTGCTCCGCTCTCCCCTCCGCGCCTTGGCGGATGCGTTGTATTCGTGTTTTTGGTCGCGTTTCACCGCGCTTGCTTGCCTTACTTCGGAAACTGTAGTCCGATAGTCTACTCGACGACTCCCGAGATTTCTTCATTAATAATGGCGGAACATTCTCAGTAAGAAGCGCGTATATTTATATCGCGCATCTAGGATCGGAAGGCGTCAAGAATAGTCAGCGCAAGGAGACTCTCTGCATTTCTCGAAAGCATCGTTCTTTGTATTCATAATATATCGAAAACAGTTTCTTTTGATTATGGGAGGAAACGCGCGAAGGAGATATACAACGAACGTTTAGCTTGTATTTTATCTGAGGCTAGAAGTAATGGTATGTCAACATCAGGCGATTTGTTTGTTCATAACATCAGACCTCCATGTGTATGAGGTTCTCAATCTCTTTTGCTACGTAAACATTCGGTTGGTCAGTTACTTATACAGTTTAAGAAATTGTATACCATGCTCGCTCCCATTTCCACAGTCATTTAAGTGATTTATTGATTATATTCAGATAACCAGTGCCGTCCACTTAGTTTATTTTAACACAAAGGTTGGGACTTTCCGCGTAAGAAACTGCCACGCACAGCTTAACAGTAGCAAGTTTTAGAATAGCGTGCACAAGAAAAATAACGTCGTTTATCTAAAACGCGGTTTGGGTTCGGCACATACGCTATAATGACGACGTTTTCTTTTTTTTTATGTATGCTGTTTTAACTTTTGCCAGTATCTGCATTCCGCAATATGTAACGCTGAAAAAAAAATAGTTGTCTGCATAACAATTACTTGAGTCCAGGATTGTCGATGGCGAAGAGAGATTTACTTTTGGTGGCTGGCGACGCCGAAATATACAAAGCGAATATGTTCAAACAAATAAATGTTTGTTCACACAGGTCCATGAAGTGGTGCCTAGCGCTAGGATTCAGCCAAACTTTCCGAGGTATTTGTCCTCCTGCGCCCTTTAACTTTATATGGCAAATTTTACGGAAGACAAATGCTAGGTTTAATTTGACGGGCCTGCCAATTATATCATATCTTGAGTAAGCAAACGTTCATATAAAGATAATTTATTTTCTAGGGCCAATATCGCAAAAGGCTGCTTATGAATACTTTAGCAGGGTTGATAATTTAAGAAATTTCCTACTCGGCCTGTCAAAAAATGGTCGAGTACAGAATAATAATAATAATAATAAAAGAGGACGAGACGATACTACTTGTTTATATCAATTATCTGCCTCATTACACGATACGTTTTTAGTTTGCGAATTTCACTAAAGGTTGGGTGCCCACGAAAACCAAACAGTGTGTAGTAAACTCGCGAGTTCATCTGTTTTGGCCGATTCAGCACATTGCTAATTAAGCTGTCGATATGCTTCTGTACGTTCACGCGTTAGTCTCTTCATTAGTTTGTTTTACTGGAAATTGGTGTCATCGGGTACGGCCGTAGATGATGGTAATCTCTCCTGTGCATCAGTCAGGCGTTTTGCAACCGACCGTAATCAGATACATCAAAGGAGATGGTAAAAAAAGCCCGCAATTTAGGCTAAAAATACACCTCGTAGTCCTCAAAGTGGTTCAATACCGCTGTTTCCTTGGTTGTGTGTTACAAGGAAAATATTCGTATCACAAAATTAAGCAAAAACAACGTAAAACAGCCACATAGCCGCGTTCACGTTGAAACCGAAACCAATCAAATTGAAGCAACCTAATGGCGCCGAGTGCGTCAGCGCCCTCTATCCGCCGGTGAGGCAACTACTAAAATGAAAAGGTCTATACACTCCGTGCGGGAACTATAGGGGGCGCTTTGAAAAACGCGCGCAGCGCCGCTAGCGGAGGAGCTGGCGTTCGACCGTGAGGCGCGTTCAGCAGCCTGCGGCGCCTTTTCGCATGCCAAGCTGTGGCGGCGGAAGCGCGCACGGACAAAACTTTTGCTTTTTGAGCCGATACGTTGAGGGTGACGTTGCATAAATGCTGGGGCAGACCTAAGAAGAACATTTAGCTGTTCTCCTCTTCTTATATATTGAGTTTTAGTCGTTATTCGGGGGAATTTCTCTAGTTGCGGCCAAAAAAGGAGTTGGAGCAATTTTCCGAAAAGCAAGACGGCCGCCACCATAATTGCTTTGAGTGGGAAATTTATTTCGTTTGTCGCTGTAAACGTAGGACTGCTGGAACGATGATATTGGAGGCGAGTGAGATGTCCACTAAGTTTCTGCACGAAGTGTGCCAAGTTTCATTAAAACAGCCGGTGTGAAAGTTGTTTCTAACGAATGAAGAAATAAAGCTGTACGGTATATCCAATATTGCACCCAAAATGTTGTGTTATAGCGGGCTGTGCAAAGTGCAGATTTGGCCACACAGGTGCTTGGACTTGACAGTAACATGATACAGCACTTATTATACAAAAAAGAAAAAAAAAGGTGGCATAGGTAAATTAGGTGAAAATTTGGTTTGGGCGGCGTAACTCAATGGGAACCGGTTTTGACCATGAAAAGGCTGTCAAGAGAATACCACTGGTCGGGGAAGGTGGAGACTTTAGAGGTAGGAAGGGACTAGTAGACTGTACTTCCAATTGAAACAACTTTACGAAAGGTGGTTCCAAAGCCGAGAAAACGAAGTTGTCGGCCAACACACGGTTTGGCCGCCAAGGGTTTTTGCGGTCAGCTGTTGTGTAATAACCTGTTGTACGAGGTACTGATTTTCGGCCCACAGGTACTTTGACATGATTGTCACTTGGCACAACAGTTATTATAACAAAAATAGTTGGCATTGCGAAACCAGGTGGAAATTTAGTTTGGGCGGCGTAACTAAATGGGAACTGGCTTTGACCGTCAAAGGCTGTCAGAAAATACCACTCATCGTGGGAGGTGCACAGTTTACAGGTAGGAAGGGACCAGCGAACGGTACTTATAGTTCGAACCACTTTGCGATAGGTTGCTTTAAAGCCGAGAAGAAATATGTTGTCTACAGAACTCGGGGTGTCAGTGTCTCCACATCCAAAAGGAGGCTGATCAAGAAAGAAAGCACACCACATAAACTTCCATACTCAAACGCCGATTCTCCAGTGATTCCGAGTTTCATGGTTGTTTTCTTTAGATTTATATTTTCACTTTTTTACCGTTCAAATCTTTCTTCATGAAGTACAGATTGCGTGCCATACTTGTCCGGAAATATCATCGACATGTACGATGGGGACGAAACTTCTTTGGAGGGCATTCCTCCAACGAAATTGGCACTGCATACCCACGAGTGTGGGATGGCATTTCAGTTCGGCCCATCGGCGCTGACACATGTTGGCGTTACTGGTACGAAAACAAACGCAGAGCGCAAAGCGGCAGTGTAGAATATGTCAGCTGTGCCGACACAGTGGCAGACATGATCGGGACACCAAATTTCTCGCGTCGTACGGCACGGCTCCATCGTTGTCGCTGTCCCACAAAACATCGACGAGGTGAAAAACTGTGAAACTTTGTCTCCACGAGATACGACGCATAACTATTGAAGCACTTAATGACGCAGCACAGGCAGCACTTCATGCTGTGAACTCAGCGCAACAGCACCACTCCGACTTCAACGTGTACCAACGTACGCGGCGTGGTTTCGGTTTCGTTTTCTGTGGGGTGCTCACTGCCTACCTTCGGTACCGGCCGCACGGCGGCGCGCTAGTCGCGTCGCACGGAGTGTATATAAGGAGGTGGACTAAATAAATGAGTTAGCTGAGTTTGAGACGTCGTCCTGTATTTTCTTTCCCTTCTACGTTTTGATGTTTCTTCTCTACCCCAGTCTCAGGTTAATTCAACATGGTTAATATTCACCAGCTCGCCTGCACCCTTACGATTTTTTCTATCATCATCTTGATCGAATGACGTTTTAGCGAACGACCACGTTTCACCAAATGACACTTTAGCGAGTAGTCGGACGCCGCGAAGCGGCGTTTTCGGGTGGGCCAAACATAGACATAACACATACACAACAAAATGCACTGTCACCAGTAAGCATTTTTTGTTTTTTCTCCGCGTTTGGTACTGATCTCGCAAGCAAGTTCCCAGCGCTCTGTGGTGTGTGTCTCTCCTACTCGTCCGTCGTTTTTAGCGCTTTTAACCCCTAAACAAGTTCCTACAAAAACGAGACATTTGGCTTTATTCAGAAAAAATGACGGGACGGCAGGTAAGGACCTCAAACGGGACTGTCCCGGTCAAAACAGACGTCATCCTACGTATCGCGAACCTCTGAAACAAGCCGACTACTTACCCATTGTTTCCACGGCGCAGATGAAGCGGATCGCACGGGAGCCAGGCTGTCCTGCGCTTCGCATTCGCAAATACTCGTGAGATGCATTTTTACTAATAATTTAGAGCAGAATCCACTTATAGTTTAGGAGGAACATGCGGTACGGTACACGTGAGATTGTTGACGTCCACAGCCCGCCATTTTGTTGGAACTTGGAATTGGATTGGATTGACCGAATACGTTTTGTATGACATCTTTTCAGCGAAGTCAGTCGTAAACAACGTTGGTCGCATAGAGATCATACATACTCGTAAACTTGCGTACCCGACTCAGTATATAATTTGGACAAAAGATATTAAAATTATATAAATGCAGTTACAATGTCGTGAAATTATATTTTTTAAACAATAACTATAAATGTTCTAATATGTGCTCGAAGCAATTTTCGGTTTTGATTTCACTAAAGTCTCAAGCAGTTAAAATTTCCTTGTAAGCAAACTGCCGCTTTCCATCTGGACATAAAAACAAAAAGAACGGTTTCGAAGCTACAATTGCAGCTTTTGGCACAATCTTATTCTCTACAAACAGAAATGAAAGCAACGGATGCACAGAAGAAAGTGTATGGTCAAATTATTGTTTATTTGGATAAAAAAAAAAAAAAAAATGTCATCCAATAGTGTGAGACAGAAAGATCATGAGTGCTCGCATAACTGCGGTAAGCGTAAAAACCACGCCATAGAAAATGTACCACAGTTGACATAACGCAGTTTCTGTATCATACGTACATGCAGGCCACACACGTGCCACAAACAATTGAAAAGCCTCAATAAAGACGAGTTTGAGTCACCATGATTAATTTACGTATTCTCATCACCGATGCAGGTTGGCGTAAAACAAAGTAATAATTGACCTAGAACAGAAAACAAATGCAAGGTGTTGTACGCTTAAAACGTTACCAGGTCCAGCAAGCTCGTAAATTACAACACACATTTCAGACGAAGGAATGTTTGAGCGAAAGGTCACAACGCAAAAAGGTACGGCCAAAAGGGCACAGAAGGTATCCACCTTTAAAAGGAAAGGTGGCTGCGGTTCTCTAAATTATCTTTCGTGTGGCAAGAACGGCGCTCAGAAAAGGAAACTCCCTCACAAAACTTGCAAGCGATGTATTAATACTGAATTTACCAATCTCGCTACACATGAAGCCTAGCGCATTATAAACAGCATTTTTACGTGAAGCGTTTCCGGTATAAAATTGCACGCAAAGGCCCACATCATTCAGCAGCGCATCTCATGTTTTGTCAAGTTGTTCCTTAAAATGGCTGAAGGCGCCTTTGCATATCAACAAAGATGTTTTGTTCGTCCGTGTCACTCAACTGTGACAAGCCGTAACTTAGCGGAATGAACGCGTCATTTGCATGCGAGAAGACTTTCAGCGTGAGTAACCGGAAAAACAATTTGTTCTAACAGCTGACGTTTAGTACTTCCGTTCCCTCAAAAAACCTAAATACACTTCCTGGTCCCTCGCAAGACACGTGCAAAAATTCCTCGGTAAATGCTTCCAAAAATCAGCACTATCACCCCAAAAAACCACTCATTCTAATATTAAAAAAAAAAAAAAAAAAGCTGACCTATGTGGTTAGGACACTGCAAAAAAACTAAGCTCACGTACGAAGAGTGGCAAAGAAGTATGTAGAATTTGTGACAACCAAAATGAGTGTGTTCACAAAGTGCCACCACAAAAGGCAAGTTGTTTGGAACCGGCAAAGTAAAAAAAACAACACAATCTGGAAAAATACATGCGGAAAAAAGACACGCTAGTGAAAAAAATAAAAGAGTTTCTGCAACAAAAAATTGTTCAAAAGCAAAAACAGGCATAGTAACATGTGACACGGAAACACACCAATAGCAGCACGGCAAAAAAGGAGACAGGTTAAGCGGTGTGGTTATGAGATTCATCACAAGGTTCTGTGCAAGTGGCCCTTGTTAGTAGAAGGTCGAAAATTGAAACATAATTTAAGCGGAGCATTTTCTCAAGCACAACCAACATTATCGAATCAGGTTAAAGAAGAAAACAAAACCTTCATGTCTACTAAATCATTCTGGCCTACGAAGTCGGGTCAACAAATGGCAGAGATGAGGCGAGCCGACATGGCGCAACAACTGCCGACAGATCAGACATCCGACAGGAGGCAAGTTTCAGATCGAGTGATCCCTGGCGTGAACACAACTCGTGGCAGTCGCCACAGACAGCTGTATTCAATATCTCAAAACTGCAACACTCCAAAAAACACCAGTACGCATGCTTCCCCACATTGCACAGGGTCACTGCAATGTAGGGAATAGAGCGACGACACTTACGTAATGCTTCGGTTCACATTCGACTGAACCACGTGCCAAGCTCCTTCCCTAGATTGCAGCGATTCCCGATCTGCATAACATGCAGATAAGCAGAAGTATTGACATTGAAGGCCCGTTCACATACACACCACAGCGCTACCTTAGAGCTATTAGTTGGCACTGGAAATAATGTTAACCTTGCTGATCGCAGACTTTGCACTATATTATTTAATTTCATTTAAATTTTTTGGCTCAGGAGAGTCATGAGAAACGCAGAAACTCGTTCCCGAAGACCTGCTAACACCCAACAGAGCTACCTCAACACAATTAGTCAACGCTGGAAATCACGCTGACCATGCTGATTTTGCCCTACGTTAGTGACATAGCACCGAACTAGTCCTAAGTTATGTTCAAGTCAGAGCTGCATTAGTGCTGCGATGCATGTCTGAACCGGCCTTCCCTGGAGCACACGTTTTCCACACACATGCTGCGATGTTGAGATGTTAAAGAAAAAAGTCGGAGTGATGCGTCTTCTCTAGTCCAGTCCGCGAGACTAGAAGCCTCTGGACTTCTGAGCGGCAACAAACTCGGGGTAGTCTATGAATCCGTCCCTGTTCTTGTCGTCCATGTCCAGAATCGGGTCAATCATGTTGGCCAACTCTTGGTCCGTGAACAGCTTGGTCGTGCCGTGGGGTGTTGGCTGTTGGCCACCCTGGTTAGCCAGGTGCTTGCTCTCTTCCACTGTGCACGAAAAGACACCCAAAGTCAGCAGATTACTCTTCCAAGACCCAAACATTGAGGCGTTAGCTCAGCACGGTGCTGGAGCATAGGGTGTTCCAAAATGAATCTCCACACTCTCAAACAGGTAAAAAAAATCCGGGCTTGTACGTAGAAAGCCCAAACTTTCATTGGCATTGAGGTGGTGGATTTTGACTCGCCAAATTTTAAGGCACAACTCCCTTCCTGTGAAGGATGAGGCCAACAATGTTGCAAGGGTCAATAGCAAAAGTTTGCGCTTCAAAAACCACGGGAGTCGGAAACAGTGCCGGTTCTCTGAGCGCAACTTTCTGGCGACACTAGTCGCAGCCTTACATCCGTGCGGATTGAAATAAAAACGGAAGAGCACGCACCGTGCCAGTGGATTAAGGACTTGATGAGCTCGAGCCCGTCCAGCTTGTTGTTGTCGTCATTGTCGTGCAGCTTGAAGTAGTGGAACTGAAGCTCTTCCTCGCTCATCTTGCTCATGTCCTGGTTGGGCCCGAGCATTTCGCTCAGGTGCTCCTGGATGTGCCTGCAGGTGCACACAGCTGTAGTTCCTCCACAGACACCCATTACAGTCTGATGGTTGGTCCTGACTCACAACTTCTCAAACTGGGCACCTGGGAACATGGCAGTTCTCCAGAGCATCCTCTTTTTTCAAATTCTTTCCATCGTCCCTTTTCCCGACTAAAGCACTATTTCAGCGCGACAAACTGAGTACAACTATGAGCTCAACCCTCGCCAGTCTGTGCACTGCCATTAGAAAGCAATGAGCTTCTTAAGTGCTTTACCGCAGCAATGCCAAAGGGAGGTCAACGGTACCCTCCGCTTTCATGCAAGGCAGCTAGGCGTTCCTCAAGATGAGAAGGTTCGAGAGCTGTTGCACCAATGCATATATTTGTAGGGTACTCAAGGAGTCACGTGACCCATCGTGGCACCAGCCAAGCGCCCAATAGTGGCATCCAGCTAAACTGAGCAGGACGTGAGCGCGCCAAATTTTGACGATCTAACTTCCGCGCCGCTTATGTCGGCACGGTACGGCTGCTGCGACGCAACACATATCCCAGCATCGCTTCGTTAAAACTTAAAATGCATTCCGGATACATAAATTACACAAGCTCGGTAATGCTGACCAAGACTAGAGAGCAGAGAATGTGTTGAGCGCAAACACCTCGCAGAAATTGATGTCACATGACATGGCAACACGGCATCAATTTCCCCAATTGATGTCACGTGACTCAAGGCCACACGATGTAGTCATGTGACCTCTATTTCTTTACTAAAGTTAGCAAAATAATTGATGTCACATGACCCCAATTTTTCCGCTGAATTTAGTGGGGAAATTGATGCGACGGTCCTTCGTGAGAGTTTTCTCGCGAAATTTGGCTGATAAAGCGAGAGGGGGTACGCACGCCCTGTCCTGCACGTGGGCCTTCTCGCGGATGAAGCTTCCGCCTGGGGCCATTTGGGGCACACCGTTATGCTGAGCCACCATGCCTTGTTGCTGCTGGGGGTGCCCGTGTTGTGGTTGCTGCATGTACCTGCCCGGAGAAAAGCATGAACGAAGCAAGTCACAACTAGTGAAAAGTAAGAGAGGTGTAGGCAGTTTGTACCCACGACTAACATGCATAACGACCAAAGCACACATCGAAAAAAACAAAGCCCGCAATCATTCTACAATACAATTTTTAACGCCTGGTTACCTCGCAAGTTACAAAATTTCTGAAATTTCAAGGGTCGCAAAACTTTTGGGTGTCCCAAGTCACCATATCTATGTATAGGTTGTCCCAAGTCAGCAGGCTCGATCTAAAATGGACCGTAAAAATAGACGCCTGCACGAAGCATTCTGAACTTTTCGTCGAAGGTGTACCTCACAGGTCGGTTTTTTTCTTGTAAATTTACAAATCGTAAATTCCTTTTTGTAAAAAATAGGACCAAGAAACTTGCCAGGGTCAAAGGCGGGCGGCGACGTGGACGACGAAGTCGAGTTGCGAGACGCATTTGGCGATCGTATTGATTTGTGGCGCTACCTCCTTATCGAAACTGCTCGCAACCACCATGGTTTATTAAAATGAACACAATTTTTCTGTAATGTACCTTTGTTTAAAAAATAAATAAAAACAATAAAAACAAAACCTAGCAAAAAAAAAAAAAAAAAGAAATAACATGTTTGCATAACGAAACAGCATTTGCTGCTAACGAATTTTGTCTGCATGTTGTCTGCTTCCTTTTACTGGTTGGCTACACCTTCCGACGCTGTTCCCGACGCTGGTTCCACCACGGTTGCTGAGGACGCACCGACAGGCGAGCTTCCAGAGTTACTTTGCAACATGTATTCCACACCGTCAAGAATGCCGGCCTTGGCAGCTTACATATGTAAGCTCGGTCTGAGCGAGCGCAGTGAACAGCGCACTGAACTATAGCGTCCAGTAAATAACCTCTAGAGGGAAGCTCGAAAATGCACCACAATGACAATGACATAACAGATCAATCGCACGAGTCAATGACGGTGACACTGCCGCTTTCCACATGCACAGCTTTAAAGACACTCGTAGGAATGTGAGGAGCACTCGGATTCAACGCAGTTGCAGACGTGATTCAGAGCAACAAGAGCCGCACCCCTGCTGCTGCTGCTGCTGTGGATGAGCGTTGTACTGCATCTGTTGAGGCTGGGCGTACTGTTGCTGAGGCATGCCAGGCTGTGGCATGCCAGGCTGAGGCATGCCAGGCTGTGGCATGCCCTGCTGCGGCATGCCCTGCTGGGGCATCCCAATCTGTGGTACTCCCATTTGCTGGTGCATCTGCTGGTGCTGATGCTGCATCTGTTGCTGAGGCTGCTGGTGCATCTGCTGGCCACAGGAGAGGCTCAGCAGCAACAATGACCATGCCCACCGCATCGTACCTGCCGAAATGAGGGATCGCACCGAAGAGAGTTTTGGAGATATGCTCACTACATAATGTCCCGGCAATTTACTGCACATCATTCATTGACAGCAGACAGTACACAAGGAAACACTTTAGGGTGAAAACCATCATTTTATCAAAATGACCTGATTCATAGCAAAGTCCTTTTGGATAGATGATTTGATACATTAGTAAAAAAGGCAGAAATTTTTTTTTTTTTTTTTTTTGGGGGGGGGGGGGGGGGGGGTAATGATATCATTACATATGAAGAGGGGGAGGGCTCCCCCCATTTTAACGTTTCAGGATTAATGTTAACATTAATGTTAAGTGAACTGAATACTGAACTAACTTAATTAAATTTGTTGCGATACCAAATTAAACTGAATGCTGAAATTACATTCGACGCTTTTCCTATAGCGTACGTGCAGAGATTAGAAAGAACGTCCCTTATTCGTAGTCGCTTCCGACGAGCACTTCATGGAATAATCAAGATTAGCCGTTAGATTCGTTTATTTTGTCCACCACGTGCTACGGGTATTGTTTTCAGGCGGGATTTTATTTACGCTTGGCGACTTTTTCGGGCAGAATATCCACGTCACTTCGAGTTAGGTCACGGAAAGCCGACCTTTGCGGAAAGCGGACGTAAACGATTCACATGGATCGCTGCCGCACAATATTATCCGAGTCTTTAGATATTTAGTTGCTAAAACACCAGCGAATACTTTTGATTACTCGACACGTATGAATGAGGCTAGCGTTAACCGGCCGCGTTCGACATCAATCCCAACCGTGTCCACGTGTACAAGTTGAAAATCAGCGCGTTCGGGCATTTGTGTCGTCAAACGCCTGCGGAGCGCCGACTACTGACGGCCTCTTTACGTAAGAAAAGAACAGAACTGGCCGAAAATCAGAATGGAAAGATAACAGCTGTTGTTCACGCACCTGTCAGTAGATTTGCTAGCACACGTGAGGTTCGCACAGTCCGTACGCTACGTCAGCGTGAACCGCGATCCCATCCGACGTAAAGAAGACCCGGAAAAAAAAATATGGTGGATTGGATTGGCTGATGCGAACGGTAACAATCCACATCTGTTATCAAGCCAGATCCGAATCCGGGTTCAAATTCGAGTCAATCCGATTTTGATTTCGGTTCAACCGGTTCAACCAGCATTCAACTCAACTGGATCATCGCTCAATGCCTGGAGCGTCTGAGGTTTTTCGGGCTCACGTGCAATCTGTTTGATCGCCGGGACGTAACAAACCGTTCTTTCTTTTCTTCCCGAGTCCGCGCGTCTGCGATGGTGACACTGAGCGGCCGGCAGCTTTCGCTGACCCTACTGCTGTCTTTTATGTGCGGTGCGGTCGTCGGGTACAAACTGAAGGCCCTGAAGATCCACTACCTGAAACGGCGGCGCGACCGGCTCGCCGCGAAACTGGCCAACGCGCAGCAAAAGTTGGAAGGAGAGATAATCTCTAGAACAAGGTACTGATAGCGACCGGTCACCTGAGCATCATCAGGTCCGGCCAAACTGCTCGGTGAGCTGCAATTTTCCTACCACTTTTGCTGACTTCACTTGAATCATCGGGCTTACCGATCCCAATAGCGTATTCTGGTGGTTCTTAACCTTTCTCTGAGCAAGCTGCTCTGCGGTTTAGACCCTTTCAATGTAAGTGTGAGCCTGCATACAGTGTATATTCACTTTCCCTCTGCGTTTACTGTGAAGAATTTTAGTAGATCGTTTCGATACCCCCGGTAACAAAACGACGCATGCGCAAAAGCGGCCTCGGAGTGTCGTTGGAGAGTTTTAGGGAACCGTTTTTGCACGTCCGATACCGTACGATGGACCCTCCGGTACGAACGGCGCATGCGCTACATCAGAAGACGCGCATATGCGCAGTTCGTGCCGGAAAGCCCAACGTTCTCCCCGTTATCCGAGTCATCGGAACAATGTACTAGATCTACTGACCATACGAGTCCCAGCGCCTTTACAACGTTTTTTCTCTTCTGCTGCACCTGTCAGGTTCAGTTTCTCCGAGTTTGTGTTCCCTGGTGATGGATCCAACTGCAATGAAACTGTAATCTCATTTTCTTGGTGCCCAGTCTGCTATAAATATAGAAAGGAGAGAAAAAGAAACAGGTGCCTCTGCAGGTTTCGATTGTTTAGATCGAGCGGAACCTGGACACCAATGCTCTCTGCAAGAATGAACTTGTCGACATCTGCTTTATCCGCGTATTAAGTGGTGTACGATGTGTGTGTTCTTTTCCAGTAAACCATGTCGGCTGTGACTCCAGTGATTGTGGTCCATGGAGGGGCGGGCAGCGTGTCTGCAGCTATCATGACTGACAAGTTGAAGGTATTGTGTTGCCGTTCTTCAAGACTAACTCGTTGCAGATACGGGACTAAATGCAAATGCGGCCTTGAATGAAGGTGTTGCGGCAAGCTGTGGACGCGGGCTTTGCACTGCTACAAGCTGGGCAAGACACTGCGGCACTGGATGCTGTGGAGGCTGCAGTTTGCGTCATGGAGGAGCATTCATCCTGTAATGCAGGTGTGGCAATAGGACCTTTTTGAAATGTAGTGCCATCTGTAACACAAATAACAGTTTGCGTTTTGCCTAGCATTTGCCAGTAAGATAAATGTATTTCAGGCCACCTCGGTGGCTCCGATCTAGGCAAAGTGCCAGCCTATGGATCTCTAGGTGGCGGGTTCGAATTGAAGCGGACGTGCCCCCAGTCTGACGGGGGCTTATTACAGAGAAGGCGCCGTGTAACCAACAATTCGGTTGCACATCAAAAGATCCTCATGTCAAAATTAATCCTGTCGTCTGCTGGGGCATGCCAGATGCCTTTTGTTGGTTCGGTACGTAAAAACACCTAAATTTAACTTTGGAAATGTATTTCACCAGGCACCGTCACTACTGGTTTGTACAAAAGTGCTGAGCTGAGCGAAGCCCTTCATAAAATTCTCTACGTCAAGGAACTTCAGAGCCGAGTTTTGATTGGAGTCGAGTCTGAATTGAACATCAATTCCTGCATTGCGCTGTGCTAATGTTTCTTATACATATCTAATGATTCATTCATTTATTTAATGACCAGGAGGAAGAAACATTCACTCAAGGATTCTTAGTAGGCTACTCTAAATAGGAAAGGTATATCGGGAAATAGAGGCACAAGAAAGAGGAAAAGCAAAGTAACAAGATACAAAATACATCAGGATAGGTATGACAGATCATCCGGAAAATCGTCTTCATCAGTCACAAGGGGGCCACCATTTTTATGGCACAAATGAGATGTGATAGACTTGCATGATGATATATATAGCGATCAAAGTGGCCAGACTGTATTTTTGGAAAGAGCTTACATGGGAGATATATCGATGGTGTAAATTGATTCAGTGCTGCCCAAGAAATGCACCACCGTAGAAGGCAAAACGAAAACAATGCTCCTCAATGGCTATTGCTACAGACACCCCTAAAGAAGAGGGGGAGTAGGCCTCAGAACATTGGGTCCCAAATGAGGGCTTGTTTGGACGTTTCTCCCCTTTAATTATTCTTTCCACAGCCAGACAGATTTTTGTCACATGTTCACGTTAAGTGCTGCCTTGTATCAGTATGCAATTAAAGTGAAGCAATTCTCATCTTTTAACATGTGCAAGCTGTGAAAAGAAGGTGGGGCATCTGTGTCTTGATGAGTTAATATTTATAAAAGTGCCCGTTGTTATTTGCCAGGCTACGGGTCCTCCCTGACCTTGGCCGGCGAAGTGGAGATGGACGCCCTTATCATGGAGGGAACCCAGATGAAGGCCGGTGCCGTGGGGGCCGTCCGGAGAGTCAGGCATCCCGTCACGCTCGCAAGGCGCATCATGGAAAAGGCGAGTGGCATCCCTTCTCCACCACTCATTCTCTGCCATTGTCAATCCAAGGACATTTGTGAAGCTCGTCAATGTCAGAAATGCACAATAGACCCTTTTCAAAAGTGTGGGCCCTACAATAGTGGCTGCGTCAATTATATGAGGCCGCTATATTTCAAGCATGCACTTTGACCATGCATTAAACACGAACGCCGCATCATCATTTGACCCATGCCCGGGTCCACTTGCATGGTAGAGTGTACGGATGGCGAATGCTCTATGAAACCAGTTTACTGTGGAGGCTCGCCCACAGCCTGCTGCCTCCTGCACTGCATAGTAAAGACATTATGAAGTGTTAGTAGAATGTTCCGATAGCCTCGATGATGATACCTGATATTCCGCCGGCGCCTTTGTTTGTGCATCATATACTATTGTCTTTATTTGAGGTATCGGGACGATCTACTAAAACTCCCTATTGGAAGAATGGCCAGGACAGAAAGGAGAGCTGGGGGCACAGGGCACTATAAATGTGGATGGATGCCAGCGGGAGACAGAAAGGAGGCTAAACATTTGGTCCGTACAAGTTTGATCATAAGTTGTAGAACGGTGAGGGTTACACAAAGACCTTCTTTGATCACTTGTGCGGACTTTGTGCAGCCTGTGATCGCGGCGGCTTCTTGTTCCCAGTGCTGCGTGTTCGGTGATGCAGCAGATATTGCAAGTTTACATTGTGGGATTTTGGCACGTGCTTGTTGCAGACGGACCACGTGTTTCTGGTGGGTCACTGGGCAGACGACTTTGCAGCCGAGGTCGGCGAGCCTCTCGTCGACAACCGGTCTCTGGTGTCTTCCAGAGCTGTGGAGAGGCTCGAGGAACACAAGACTTTCCTCCACACAGTCAAAGAGTACAAGGACGAGAAGTAAGGGTATGGTGCCTGGAACGCGTCTTCGACTGGTGTGTTTACCGGGTTCAAAAAGGTGGTCCCTCGATTTCCGCCTGATGACGTCATAGAAGTGTCATGTTGTCGCCTGTTGCGACTCTGGCGGCGCCCCAACAGTTGCGGTAAAAGTGGCAGACGCCTGTTCTGCTGTAGGTCGCTTTCCACTGTGACAGTTCACGGAAGCTGCAGCATCCGGAAGTTGGGACGCCTAAAGGAACGCCGTGACGAAAGAGACACTCGCGTTCGCTCGTGCTTTTCGCCAGCATTTCTACGGCCAACCGCCAGGATCGCGACAGGCAACAGCATGACACTCGCGTCATTTGTTGCCACATTGGGACCACTTTTGATGTATGGGCGGGATAGGGCGCTAAACACACCAGTCGAAGACGCGATCCAGGCACCATAGTAAGGGCGACCTCGTAACCTCAGCCTCACGGTCGGGTTCTGGCCAACGCCACTGGATTAGTTGCGGAACTGCCTGTAGACGCTTCCACGCGTAGTACCCCTTTCTCCGCCAAAACTTCGGGTCCCGCCGTTCACGGCGCCGTGCCACCTAGTTAGATGCTGGATATACGGCAAATTTAACTTAATGTCTTTTCCGCGGAACTTGAAAACAAGCAGCAGTGAAGCTGTTCCTGTTATTACCTGCACTCAATGGTCAATGAACAATATGGTGAGATGGCCCGCATTATGGTGCAGTTTCTTTTGTGTCTTTCTGGTATCTTCATTTGCACATTTCAAGCGCGTCGCTGTGTCGTTTCTTTGCGCATTTTCTTTTCCAATGGTAGCGACGGGTCTGCTGGAAGCGGGACGCGGACCAAGCTTCATTGGAAGGACTGCGGCCAGGTGCATGCCAGTCTATAGCAAGGGTTTGGAAACCCTTGCTATAGACCACCTGGCTGTTTACAAATGAGCCCGCGTTGGCCCACACCGGGTGTGGGCACTGCACATGCGCACAAACCAGATTCGCACGGAGAAAGCATTTCAGCATGTGCAGCACCAACAGCAGCGTGACAGAAGCGGCCAACGTCAAGAGGGTTGAGCTGGCGTATAATCTGCTGCAACATAGGAAAGTGAAGAGAAGCCCCACCTGGCTGGCCAAGATTGGCGGTTTCCTCCTCTCCAGCTTTACCTCTGCTAAAGTGGAAAGAGTGAACAGCTTTCTGGAAGGAGCTTGTCCCGCCATTCTCAACCTGCAACAAACTATAGAAATTGCATATATATATGCTCAATAGCTTGGCGTGTCTTCAGCCTGTACCGTCCCACTTGCAGGGACCACGACACGGTGGGGGCGGTTGCGGTGGACTCGCGTGGGCGTGTGGCGTGTGCGACTTCGACAGGCGGCCTGACGGGGAAGCGACCGGGCAGGGTTGGGGATAGCCCCCTGGTGGGGGCCGGGGGCATTGCGGACGACGTCCTGGGTGCAGTCTCTACCACGGGGCACGGAGAGGCGCTCATGCGCTCCTGCCTCGCGCTGCGTGCCACGCAGCTCTTGGAACGAGGTTTGTGGCCCCCGCAATATGCGAGGCTTCTAGCCAAGGGTGCCTTTTAGATGCTTGCCCTTTAGCCATATACCCCTTTAAGTCACATGGGCCTTCTAGATGTGCGGGTCTATCATGCGAGCCTTTTGGTTGCGAGGGCCTTTCAACCATGCGGACCTTTAGCCATGCAGGCCAGACTGATCCAGCATACTTCAAACCTAAAAAATGTTGGTAGCAACTTTCATCCCCAGTCCTATAAAGCATGGGAGGAATCCTTTCAATGTTTGGAAGACATTAAACAGTCATTTTGAGGAGTGAAGAACATTTTTTTATCCGTTTTCCCACTGAATTTAGTGAGAAAACTGGATGGGTGTATAGGTTACGTGCCATCAATTCGGATGAAAAATAGCAGAGATTTAGTGGGTGGGCGCCGGTTTCACGATAAAGGCTTGGCGCTGCTTACGACCGAATGCTTTAAAACCTCTTGGGTCTCTTACGAGACAACAGACTGGCGCCATCTATCGGGGAGCCGTGGGATGCTTGGCATTTCCGTACGGTCCCTACTTTTTTCGCGTACCATTCTTTCTTTATTAACTTAAAAGTCCTTTGACAATGTCATGAATGACCAATTTTTAGACAGCACATTCATCCACTCACACAAATACTGCAAAATCTCTCTAGTGAAGTGCAGTTCCAGGGCCGCCTCATGAATGGCACCAGCATGTTCTCTCGTTGCAAGAAGTCTGTCTTAAGCAAACGCTACTGTGTGAACGAGCCTTTAAGAGAATGAAACTTATCTTTGCAACATATTCATCGAAATCCACTCGGATCCAGTTGGCCCGCGCCTTACGACAACGCATCCAGCGGCCGAGGATTCCCGTTCCGTTGCAGGTCTGAGTCCGCAAGAGGCGGTGGACGGTGCTCTCAAGTTCATGCGCGAGCGCACTCAGGGTTCGTGCGGAGGAATCATCTTGGCCACGCCGGCTGGCGCGGTGGCGACCGGGTGCACCACCGAGATGATGCCCTGGGTGTGTCGCACCAGGGACACCCTCCGCTGGGGGACCGTTCCCGGAGAAAACCACACCGAGCCAGTCTAGCCGCCATTGCACAAGCCATCGACAGTTTGCTAAGAGCGTACTCAAAGCCCAGCCGACCCAATCCGACTGCTATTTTGTTTTTGTATAAAGTGCTGGGATGGGAGGACGTAGAGTCACTAAATGAGCTGCGCTTAGAGTATTGGCACTCCGTTCCCCGGCATTGTTGTGGGCGCCGCCATTTTGGCTCGTATGCAGAGCAGACGCAACTACCGATCGTCATGATTCAAAAGTGCGACTTCCTCAGCATTAGATTCGGTGTTAGGAAGGTCATGCAATATTTCTTTGCTCTGTCGCGAACTGTTTAAACATTTGTGGGGGGCGGAAAGGTGTTTCCTGTGATTTCAGATAAAGCTTCAGATAACTGGCAACCATGATTTTAAGACACAATATGGCCAAGTGTCGTTACTCTGAAGCGTAGCTTATTTAGTGGCACTAGGAGGACAGTACTGTTCCCCCACGGATGACACGAGCCAACATCTGGCCTTCCTCTACGTCCACGGTCCCCACGAGCTCTGCTATCTCTCAATTTGTCAAATAGTCCAAAGTATAGGACCTCAACTTCGCATTTCATTCCTAGTTCAGACCACAGCTCTCTCGAAAATTGGCAGGTACACCAAAGAAGCACGAAGGATTGTTTCAGCCCGTACTGTCCACAATAGTACTACATAGTCTAGGTAAAATGTTTTGGTGGAGTTCGGATATGGTCGGTGTCAGGTTAAGAATGCTGTACAACTATGCTCCACCCGCAGCTCACGCTGGGGCCAGAACTTCTATAACCTGTTGCCGGCTATGGTTATATATGTACAAAACCGTCCTGTGCCTTCTGCGAAGCAACGGTGTCCTCTGCAAATGATGGAAGTGGCCCAGTCAAATGTGCAACGAGTGGCCCAGGAAGATCAGTTAATTTTGACAAAGGACTAGGGGTGATGAGTGTTCTTTGATTTGTGATTGTAGAATCAAGTGGAAAAAGCCTTAGTGTCTAGCTTTTAAGCACACACACACAAAAAAAAGAAAGCGATGTGTAAAGAGTGGTTTTAATTTCAATATATTGAAAAACAAGTGTTACCTATGTACAGTATACTATATTCAATTATTGGGCAGGGTTTGGCCTCAAAGCTATGCATTTCTTGTGCAATAGCCGACACCCAATCGTGGAACAAATAAACATCTGTTGATGCAGTTGTTGCCGGTATTTGTCAAAATAATGCATGGCCGCAAAATGTCTGGGATGAGCAGAAATGTAACACATTTTCGAGAAAACAACTGTCGGTGAAACACCATTCCACAAAACGCGCAAGGGCGGTCCTTCGCGACCATCCCTGCCGTAACGGTGACAGCGGCGGCAAGTGCGACTTTGGAAATATTGTGATGCTAGCCGACTCTGCTAGCCTTTGGTTTGGAGACTGCCTTAGCAGTCAATTGTGGAGTGACCTGGAACACAGACAGTCCTGTTAGGCAGCACAAGGGTCCTTTTGGAGGCCAGTCTCGAGAAAAAGGTGCCAGAGACATTCTTCTGAATTCACAAAGCGGCCACCGAAAGTGAATGATCCACGATTGCCACATGGAGACCCCATGTGTAGCATCTATACATAGAGCCACTAGAGCAGTTCGTAACAACAATCCAACCGAGATTCCTGCAGCACGGAGAAAACTACTAGTAACAGTATTTCTTTGCCAGTGAAGGTCACACGCAGGTGAACGCATCACCCTGGAAACTGCTTCAGCAATGTGCACAAGCCCATGAAAAGGGGCTCTAGAACATCCAGCTCTTTCGCAAGAAAACAGCTGGAAGCTCCCAATTCGCCAAGAGCAACGGTTAAACCAAGCTTTTTAGAAAAAAACGAAAGAAAATTATGCAGAAACACATTTAAGGCACCATTTTTCATGGTTGGTTTTCTACCTCTTTCACAACATCCACACATTGATGCAGAACTCAGTTTTCGCAACGTCACGGCACGAGACGAGACATGTCCCTCGCGGCGCGTCGTCTTGGCCGTTGTTACGACCCCCCCCTATTGTACAAAACGAAAACCGTCGCACGTGGAAGACTGTCGTACGGAAAAAAATCGCAAAATGCAAAACGGTAAAAACAAAACAAAAAAAAAAATTTACGGGGTTTATACGTGGCTTACCCTCCGAGAAACTCGGAAACACATGCAAGGACGCAGAAATATACACACACGCATCGCCAAACGCTTGTTGTTCGCAATGCGTAGCGCATTTTTGCGGTAAAAACAACACCCGTAAATTTCTTGGGGCGACTCATTTTACGCGGAAACGAAAGAACTAGAATCTGCACTTTGGTGTCTTCAAAAGCCAACTCTCAGGGACACGCAGACGGCCGTGCCGGCGCCAAGGCTCCGCGCGAGGATGCCGGACAGCTGCCCCGCCGTCAGCCAGCGCATGCTGGTGCCTTCCTCGCCCTCCAGACTCTCCTCGAGCAGACGGCAGCCGCAGGGGTTGTCTGCTTGCGAGGACAGCAGCTGGGAGGCCTTGCAGTCGCAGAGTCGCCCCGAGGCCACGGGAATCTCGAGGCCGCTTGCCAGGGAGCAGGAGACACTGCCGCCGCAGTCGATGACCCACGACAGCCGCTGCAGCGTCGAGAGTCCCAGGCACGAACGTAGCGCGTGGACGTTGTTTGTGGCGAGCTGCGTTGCACGAAGAGAGCGGATGGTTCTTTTAGAGGAATGCTCAAGTTAAAGGGGCGGTGCAACGATTTTATGATTAAAAGAATTTGCATCTCGTCCTTTTTACGTTGTTTATCGTGTCCCAGAGGATAGAAAAAACACTTCCTTCATTACAAATGTCGCGATTCCGCTGCATAATCGCAAAGCAAAAGTCGAGCTTTTTCCCCACCTGCAGCCCCAAGTGGCAGCCGAAGGAACTACGGCGGAACGATTACGTGACCTCGCTCGGCTCTAAGCTGCAGCATAGCGCCCGCTAAGGTACGCAGAGAGAGGGAGGGGAAGAGTCCTCCGAGATAGCACACGGGAAGCTACGCGGCACTCCGAATGACGTCACTGGGAGTGCGACCAGGCGTGACCCTGAAGGCTGGGAGTGAGTTGAGGGGTGCCCGAAATGCCAATCTTTATCTTTTTTTTTACGCAACAACTAGGACACGCAGGCGAAATCGGTTTTCTGTTCTTTAGTTCAGAAGTGTCAGAGGGCAACCTCCAGAAATCTTTGACCGAAGTCCGAAAATCGTTGCACCGCCCCTTTAACGCGAAATTTCATTTGGCTAGGTGTTTGGCATTTCGCGAAGGCCGGATAAAAGCGTGGCCGCGAGGCTCGGCGTTGATTGATCGACGGGGATGTTGCGCGACCGGGGGTGGAGTAAGAAGAAGAGGTAGGCGAATGGGTTAGAAGGTTCTGGATGATCACCAGGTTTATCATTTAAAGTGTACATATGCCACGCGTTAAAGGGACACTGACACCCCCCAAAATTTTTTTTTAATTTTTTGCCAGGCGCTTCATTATGGTGTCGGGGGACTACCCAATCAATATTTTGCAACAGAGTAGCGTATTTTTTTAATAAAGCCAAAAGACGCAACTGCTCGAAATCGAAACCGAAACCCGACGGAGGTCGGAGAAGTGGAGAGAAGAGAGTGTGTGGCGGAAGTCACGTGGCTACACCCGACCGTGTGTGTGTTTTTTGTTTTTTTTTCTCCTTCCCGGTAGCAGACGACATGCGGCGTATGGGAACTGGTCGCCGTGGGATTCTTTTGCAGTTATGTTTGTTCCGCTCGTTGTTCTGTACTCCAGGATGAGTTGTTTTGTACATTGAGGAGTTGGAGATGAGTAGTGAGTGCCCGTGGTGGATTTTGATCGGCTCCGAAAAGAATACACCCAAGATGTTGCGTGAAGAGCTGGCTCACATGTCCCGCGCCCGAAACAGAAGTGGCATTGTGCGACAGAGTTTCCGAAAGATCAACGGGATCGGGACCAATGGCTGGCTGCAATTCCTGTAGACCATTTACGGGCACCTCGGAAAGCGGACGCTACCTGATTTATATGCTCCTTGCATTTTGTGGAAAGTGATTACATTGAGTTCGCAGGTGTCAAAAAGGAAATCTCATACCATTTAATTCAGCGACGTGTCGTCCACAACATTTGTTTCTTATATTGTTTTTTTTGTTTCTTCAGTAATAATTGTAAAAAAAAAAAGAAATGTAGACATCAAAGAATATTTGAAAAAAAAAAAAAAAAAAAGTTTGACGGGGGATTGAACCCGGTCCTACCGCGTGTCATGGGGACGTCTTCCCCACTGCGCTACTGGGGCACATCGAAACTGGAGTATTTCTTTCCTTAGTAATAATTCAGCCGATTAACTGTAAGTGGGAAAGTTTGCTGCCGATTTTCCTCTAGCAAAAGCACTCCCGGGTCGAAGTCGGGATGCACCACGCATTGGCGACATTCTCACCTAGTAAAGAAATCGTACGCGTGCATATTCAAGTCGAAGTAGACACGTCGCGCTTGACGTTTGCGCGAGCGATGTCTTCAGCCACAAGAAGGGAGCGACGGCTCGGCGACGGCTCGGCGACGTCTTCGTGCAAATCGGCTTGGTGGTCGGGCGTGTCGTACGGGATGAATACTAATTCTTTTGACCAGTCCCAAATTTCTCTTTTAAAGGCAGACAAAATTCGCCGGTACCGCGAACGACAGTTCTGAAATAGAGGTCCCACGCCCGTCGTCCGCTGCCATCGCCGTCCCTGCGAGTCCCACGATACGCGAAACGACGCACGCACAGAATGCTTCCGGTTGTCTGTGGAACTTTTTTTTCAATCAACGTATTTGCAGCTTTTTAGAAGCCACAAAAAATGGGTTTCATATTTTTTTCTATTTTTAATATTGAGTGTGTACCTTCAGTGACCCACGACTTTGATTACATTTGGTGGTCGCATCGATACCTTAGAAAACGGCCCGTGACCGCGAGAAAGAGAGTGAGCGAGACTCGAACCGGCCAGTTCTTGATCGGCGGTTTTCGGGCGGAAAGAAACCGAATTTCGAGCCGCAACTTCTGTTCTGGGTAGTTGAGCTCTCATATGTCACGTACAACTAAAAACCTCGGCGAGCATAAATACCCTGTCAGTGTCCCTTTAACTTATCCGGTGAAGAGCGCCGTGAACATGAACGTAAGCTGAACAGGCTAGATGTCGTACTAAATGACAAATATTTCTGATGCTAGAATGTTTCACGCCACAAATTTTTTTTTTCTGCGTCTTGCGATTGTGCTAATGCAGAGAGGGGATGTTGACATTTTCCAGCAACGCGGTTGCTGCGGATTACGAGCGAACTAGCATTAGGGGGTCACTGCAACGAGCGTTTCAATGCAACAGACTTGTTGTCTGGTTCTCTCTGCTGGACTTGACGCGACAAGTTACGCGGGACGAAGGAAGAGACCCTACGAATACGTTGGGATCTGTGGGATGCTGCGTTGTCATGCAGCAAATTGTTCGGCCTGCATAAAACTTTGCTTCGTCTTTAAACAAATTGCATTTCTTTTCCTTGATGTGTTTGAGTTGTGCATTGGCCCTGCATCGTCTGCTTTCGATCCGAGTGCTTGCTGCAGCTATTGGGAGATGGCGCCACAAGCTCTACCCTCGTCGGTCGCTAATAAAACACGTACAGTCGCCGACCCATCTTTCGGACTTCACAGGAACTGAAAAAACATCAGAATAATGGAGCAGTCCGAAAAATCGGGAGATTAAAAAACTCGCCTTTGTTATGTCCAAGCGGGCTTTAAAATTCCGTCAATAGTGCCTCGTTTCAGGTTACGCCTCCGCTTGCGCTCAACCACTATCTATTCGCTTGAGAATCGCCGCCTTTTTTTCTGGCGTTATGGTCGAGTACTTACTTTCTGCGCTTCTTAGTGACACTTCGCAGTGGCAGAAGAAATGGGGCCATGACGTCCGAGCCAGCGTAGTCCGAAAACATAATTTACTGAGACGAAACAAGAGGCGCAAGTACACGAATTCAGAATGAACAAAGCAGAATGGTAACAATGATAATGACGTTCAGCTAGAAAAAAAAAAGTTCTAGCATAGCGTCGCCTAGTGGTAGGACTTGGCAGTACCCAAATAGTCGTGCCAAACTGAGCCAATCTATGTGCACCCAACATAGAATCTAAAATGGCGGTTTCAAAATGGAAACTCCCGCTAATCGCTCGCAACGATTTTGACGTAAATATCTAACTTTCGGACCTCAGGCTCTCCGAAACATCGGTTATGAATAGTGAATATGCACTATTTCTATCGGGGTAGGACACCATTCCCCATTTAGGTCCGAAATATAAAAGGAGACTATTACTGGCACCCGAAACATCGGTCGGCGACAATACTGACCGATTCGGTCATCTGCGCGTGTGCGCCTGGCACGAAAAATATCCATGATGCTGTTTTAAGTCAACCACTAATATACATCTACGAAAATTCTGACTCGTTGCATGCAAACACCCATTTTACAGCTGTTAAGGGCTAGTTTCCCAAGGATCCGTCCTCAAATGACCTAACTTTGGACAGCTACCGCCATCTATGAGCAACGGCGGCAACCAGACAACGGACTTGGCGGTTGTCTAGTTGCCGCCATCGCTCATAGATGGCGCCAACCTTTTGAGCCTTTCCACTCTGGCTTGCCGACTTGCTGGTGGCCATTACTTCATTCCCACCATAGTACGGCTTCGCTGGTCTTCCTTCTTCACCAGAAAGGAAAGGCTGAAAGTTTTTCTAGCTCGTTTTACGGCGAGCATCGGGATTCGTGACACACCGTAGCTCCTGCGAGGTAAAAAAACAGAGCTTCCCGCAAAGCTAGCAAAATTGCGTCACGAACAGAAGCTCACAACAAGAAAGTGGTACGACCCTGATGCCACTCACATCTCGCGCTTGGGGCCATAGCAGGAGCTGCCGTAGCCGGGGCAACTGTGCGAGCAGTTGGCCGATGCTCCCTCGGAAGGTCCAGCGCTTGAGGCGGAGCACTTCCAGGCTGCGAGGGTATGCCCAATCAAATGAGTCGCTCGGGAGCAAACTTTCCCATCATAACCGCGCTTCCGAACTGCCGGGTCTTTTCTGGCTCGTCCAAGCATTTCCCCACTAGAAATGTAACCAAACATCCGGCTATCCCGAAAAAGGGGCCGTGTCGCAATATTTTGTCGCGTCTTTATTAGGGAAGACCACGCACGACTGTAATTTTGGGGTTTCTGGGGCGCTTAAAGCACGGACGTTGAGTATGCACCATTAAAAAAAATTATCTCAAAAGGCACTTTAGTGCACCTTCCACGGTGTCAAAGCTGGGGACGACATATGTGCTATTTGATTCTAACCACAATTGGCACACCCCTATTTTTGGGCTAGACTTTCCGACACTTTTGTGTATTACTCCGAACAACTTGCGAGCACCCTCGGAGCGAGGGGGCGGTCGCACGAAACGTGCCGCCTCCACTCGATGCATCGTTTGACATCCCCCGCACAAGCCAGAGGATCTCGGAGGACTTACTGCACCAGCTTGAGTAGAACGTAGCGAAAGCAGGGCTGGTCTTGGCCTCTGATCAGGCTGAGGCATTTGAGCTTAGGAAGCTGTCCAAGCTCCAGGTAAGACTGCGCAGAAAACGAAGGCCGTTTAGGCGACGCAAGCCACTGCATCGCAAATGCCTACAATCTTGGCTAGGACGCAGAAATACCAGTTTGTTAATCGAAGACAACGGTAATCGTGCATGCGTCAACGTAACTGAACCGCCACCGAAAATGAAGAATACGTTGGTTTCCTAACGGTTTCTCCTCAAAATTTATGAACTGTCTTTCTCACCCAAAACAACACGAGGCTTTATGAAGTTTATCAAAATCTGACTGCTACACAATGCAAACTATGGGTGCAGGCTTCTAAGGTATGCTTGGAACATGTTTTGCAGCATAAATAAGAATGTCCACGGCATTCGAAGAGTGTTTTCTCACAAACAATCGCCAAGAGATGCTACTATTTAATGAGAAATGCAAATACTACCAAAAGTATTATTATATTTTTTCAAAAAGAAGAAACGTGGCCATGACATGGCACACATTTACTTACTGGGTTGAAGTCTCAAGACCCCACAACAATGGAGCTTTTCAGAACGTAGTAAAGGCGGGTTCACACATTTTCATTCTTACACCGTATGCTCTAAACAATTATAACAATGTTATCAATTTCTCATTGATACATGTAGATTTGATCTCGCAAATATTGCAAAACCTTAAGTCTTTAGTTATGTGCCGACCGAAAGCATTCGCAGGTCTACACGATAGGTGGCACCAGTGTGTTTTCTCGTCATAAGCGGTCAGAGTCAAACGCAAATGTTTTGGCCAACCTTACCTGCAGGCAATGATAATCCCTGGAGAAGCGGAACAAACGGGACAAACAGTGTGTTTGTCCTTTGTTTCCTTTCTCCTGGGATTATCGTTGTCATGCTTGGCCGGCTCGCTTGCACTTTCGCATCAATTGCATTATAATTAATTGCAGAGTTTATTTTGCGGGAAACACGTCTTATCCAGTCAACGTAGGTGCGCGGTGCATGACGGCGATCGTCTCACCTGATTTGTCCAGGACGCACAGTCGCCCAGCTCCAGGTCCTCGAGATGAGGCAAGCACTTGAGGCTCACGAATGCTTCCAGCGAAGAACACCTCAGCGTGGTCATGCTCTGGACACAACAACGACGGGGGTTTGGCACTGTCACGCGACACAAGCTCGCATTCTCACGCTAAAGGCGCGTTCACACTCTTGCAACCGAGTACGACCGAGAAAGACTTCTTGGGACCGGATGCGCTGAGCGGAGCTGGTCCTAAGAGATTGCAAGAGGCTTAAAAACCGGTTTGGTCTCTCTCGGTCGTACTCGGTTGCAAGAGTGTGAACGGGCCTTAACACTTCACCAACGCACAAAAACAACACTATAAAAGCGCATAAACACAAAGAAATACCTCTCACGCAGCGCTCACATTCTCCTTTTCTACCCTGTCTAGAGCCCCCTACATGGCGTTACATGAGGTGAAGGTGCTGTTCAAAATGAAGCAAGAATTTGACGGAGCTTATATTCTAACGTGAAATAAGCTTTTTGGCCGAGGGTGGCGATTCCAGAAAGAGGCGCAACGTTGCAGACAACGTGTGAAGTCGCAAACAGATGTAGCATCGTGGACAGATGCCACATCATGGGCAGATGTAATATTACGGAACAGACGGACTTACGCAGATGCCCTTCCCCGTAAATAATGAGGAATATTTCTAACTATATTTAGCGAGGGGGTTTTCCCACTAAATTATCTTATTGCAAGTTGAATTGTTTGCCATTTTGACCATGTGTTTGTGTATTGTTTTTTACGCACCATTCCTACAACAGTTCTGAACAAAGATCAATGGTGTAAATAAAATTAAATTTAGCGAGGAAGTTAACTACATTGTGGTTGACTTCCTCGTCAAATTTTCCTTGCAGGAGCCTAAGGCCTCAATTATTTATTTCTACAAAAGTTTCCACAAATGAATAGATTGGACTAGGCATGTGCAAATATATTGGATTTTGAATTCAAAGCGAATAGTGGTTTCAGCCTAATGTTTTGTTTATCAAATAGTTTCTCCCAAGACTTTCACTACAATGTACTATGCTTAAACGAAAATTTAGCCAAACTCGTGAAGGTCGTTCCCAACCTTGCACTTGTCCACTTCTAAGCTCAGTTAATTTTAACATAACTATAATTATGAACTGTGGCACGTAAACAAAAGATATGTCGCAGCTATCGTAATCAAGGAGATTTATAAATCTGCATGCTACATAGATATACATTTTTCAATCTCAAATTTGACAAAAAAAAGAAAAGACAGCAGCTCAAATGATGAACGCAAGTTCTCAAGACATCACTACCTAACCTACACTCTCGCATAATGGAGGCAGATGAGCCCCAATGAGTGAACTTCTCACTGAGCACCTCTGCACTGCGGTGAAGCAATACTAGCAGAGGCCGCTGGCATCGCTCTCCCACAGTGCACAGGCGGTTAATTTTGAAGCGAACATTGAATAACGTATTATTCGAAACTACTATTTGCGCAACTTTACATCGAACAATCCACGTAAATTCGGACGTTTGACTTTGACTTGGAGTTGCCAAGAAAGAGGGGAGGCTGGCCTACCAGCGTCCTCAGGGCCAAGAACCGTTGCTCCCCGGACTCCTTGGGCACGGCCCACGGGCAGAGCAGGAGGCCTCCCATGCTGCTCAGTCGCAGACTTCGCAGACGAGGCATGCCCACTAGCGCTTGCAACTCGCCCAGCAGCACCGACTCTCGTCTGGCGTCGTCACCCCGACACCTGGAACGCGGAGGCTTGGACACTGAGCACACCCTCTTTTGCTTCGCATCTCTGACCGCTGCGTTTAGTGTCCCGTCCCGCCCACGTATCGAAAGCGGCCCCCAAGTGGCAACAAGCGATGTCGCAAAAGCCGGCGTGTCGTGCCGTTGGACGAATCGATCCTGGCAGTTGGTCAAAGAAATGCCGGCGAAAGAGGCGACCGGATGCGAGAGTCGCCGTCGGCGCCGCCTTGCAAATCGCATCTGCTTTGGTTTACGTCTACAGTCTGGCTGCGAAGCGACCTAAGGCGGAAACGAATGTCTGCAGTATCTGCCTCCGCTGCCGTACCGTCCAACAGCAGGACGCTCCGGGCTAGGGTGACGTCATTTGATGCGAATTCTGGATCACTTGCGATGCATGTTTGGAATAGGGTGCAAAGAACACCGGTTGAATTTGCATTCCAGACAATGCGATTTCCTCGTCACTAGGTAGCCAGGGCCACATACACAGTTCAGTCAATAGAAGGAGTGGAAATGTGGTCGTGCAACAGCAGAGCTGCCTCGAGAGCCGTACGTTCCTTTTGTTAGTGTGGTGCGAACTAAATGGAATCCAAAAGATTAATCATTCGCATGCATAACCGAAGCATTAAAAGGTGTGATTTGAACATTAAAAGCTGCATGAAATAGATGGGATTTTAATGACTCGGCGAGCAGGCTGGTGGCACCAGCTGCATCCATTTGTTCCACCGCTGGATGTGCCTATGACCGTAACATCGCACGTTATATTTGAGGTCAGCTATTTTACTTTTACACCATGAGGGGTAGGCATATGAGCAACACAGGAAGTTGAGATGGTACAAGCTATACTCCGTTCACCCCAAAGCTGACAATACATCTGTTTCTTGCTGCATGTTTTTGCCCCCACACACGCACAGAGAGCAGGGTCACGTGACAAAAGGGAGGCAGTTGATTGGTCCGATGAGTGCGTAGCTCCCATCGCGCTGCCATTTTTAGGGGTGAAAGAACTACAGGTGTCCCATTTCCTTTTTGCAACAAGGCGGCACAACGTTTCCCAAGAGCTGGCCTGTGCGGAAAACACGAAATGGCCAGGCGTCATCTGCCGCACTCACTGTTGTGGCCTGGTCAGCTGAACGGCATTCAAGGAGGTCATTTGCGGGAAGAGCTTGACAAGGGTGGCCAGGTCTGCCAGGCTGCCACCGTACAGTGACAGGCTTTGCACCCAATCCAACCTCTTCACCCACGGCACCAGGTGACTCGAGGAGCTGCCCTTCACCACCTGCAATCACCATCAAGGCATAACCTAACTCAACGTCCAATACTGTTGAATCAATGACAGCTTTCGAATGTTGCGAACTGCCCGAGACCAAAAAGACAATTGGGACCTGGCAGTCGTCCTTTTAACACAGAGTTTTATCGGAGGATTTTCATGAAGTTCGGTGACTCTTCGCTGTAATGGCCAGCTGTAACAAGAAACTGACACCTCATGTGTAAGAAATGGGAGCGAATTTTCGATATGCGGTGCCATTCAGACGACCTTTTTCTCTTCTTCCCTGGAAGGCCTATCGCACATTCTGCGCTAACCAGTCTCTCTCAGCATGATTAAGCTTGAATAATTTCCGCTCTGCACTGTGCAGGGACGCTCCGTCGACGAAGACTGCACGAGCATTCTTGCGAGAATGCTACAGGCGCAAAAGGAATGGCTCTTACCAGGGTATGTGTTTGTCTCTGCTGCAGCACCAGTGTGCATGTGTCCCAGTCGGTGACATTGACGCCCCTGAGATCCACCTGACCCCACTGCAGACGAGAAAGTACCCAAGAATCGTCAATGTCCCGTAATGACGGACCACCCAAAATCCAACTACAAATTGGTGGAGTGGACACTGTATGGCAGAAAAAAGGTCTGCCTTGGTTAGCCGGCCGGTGCAATCCTGCTACGGTAATGCACGAGGAGTAGTGTTTAACCGCATAATGTCTATGGACATACACGAATCAACGATCCTGGTCCCTGGGTAATACCTCGATCCAGTAAGCAAAGGACAACATGAACGAGCAGTGCACTGCGGTGAAGCGATAAGGAAAAACTTACAAGGTTAGGATGCTTTGATAGAAGGTTCCAGCCCCAGCAGACGGTAGCCACCCTGCATCAAAACAATGGCTTCCAACGTGGCTCACAAAACACGCATCATCTCGCATCTTCGGAACCGAAGACCCGTGTGAATGCACGTGCAATCCAACCCGAAAAGGCCGAGCACTAGAACAGGCTCCAACAATAGATAGCTTGCATGCGACATCACTGCACTGTCCCGGTGATCATTTTTACTTGCTCATGCCAAGAAAATCTTGCCGAAAACACTTAGGACATCTTATGTGTAGGAATGCAAAAGCATTCCTACATGCAGCGCATTCTTACAAGCAGCGCACCACGTCTTCCTTTCGTACACGGCGCTCCGGCGGCGACATCAGGCTCCCCCACTGCGCAGGCGCGGCCAACTCCGCCAGCTTCACAACGGCTTCCGTGACAAAGCATCTGTGTTGCTGCGCTGTTCTTTACAATTTATTTCTGAGGCGCGTCCATTTTGACCTTGAGCGCCCTGCCGGCTATCGTGACAAAAGGTCTGCATGGCTGTGCTTTTCCTTGCGTTTTATTTCTGGGATGCGTGCTTGATGAGATAATTTTACGACCATCTTTCGGGGACAACGCCGTGACAAGGCTTTCACCTTAAAACAAATTCGACGGCGCAAAATGTTAGCCCTGCGGGGGGTAGACGCTCACAGCAAGACCACTGCAGTGGCTACTGATGCGATGTCAATGCATGCCACGATAACCCGCCATTCAAGATACAAAAGATAAAATAACTGCTGGCTTGAATGGTGATGCATCGAGCAATTCGATTCTGAGAGTATTGGCCGGGCAGAGCATGTATCCATTTTCTAGAGTAGAACACATTCGCTAGACCTAGAAAAACAAAGCAAAACCATTCTCGAAATGTGCGCACGAACCTGCCCTGAGGTGCTTATTCACTCGCGCATAGCTGCGCTGAGGGAAAGAGGCACCCACGACAGTGCCATTGAAAGCCTTACTTCACCACTGCATATTCATGTTGCAGAGCAAACACATTCCACAAATCTAAAATAGCCTGCCATGACAAAGTTCAAAGATATAAAAATCATTAAAAGCTGTTTGCTTCAAATATACTACTAGTCGCTAACAAGGTCAAATCTAACAAGCCGATATTCGAACCGACGTGTTTGATTAGGGGACTGCACCAAACACACTGATATTAAAATCGATTTTATCATTTTGAGTGGGCCTTGCCTCGCTATTTTACAGTGATATGCAGCATGGATGAGTGATATTTATCAAGGGACAAAAATTATGCAAACGAGCTGCCGTAAATTGGCCATAATTACAAAGAACGCCGAGATGAGGCGAAAGAAAAAGCATTTGCCTTCTCTTACCTCAGTCTCGGGGTCCTTCGCAATTACGTAAAAACGTTGTCTTAGCCTGAAATAATTACTCACTCCGTTGAGCAAGTATGTTCGAAGCACATACCTAAGGAAGCCGCTTCTTGTGAAGCCCTCCTCACCTGCAGAGCGCCGCCACCGGGAGGAAGCTGAAGATGCGATTCAGGACGGAGGGACCGAATGAAACGCCTGCCAGGGATGCAGACCCCGATCCTCCACGGTTGCCAGCTTGCCGGACAGACTCCGCCGGAACCGGACAAACCTCGCTCCCGACGCACACGGTGCTCGTCGGCGTGACAACCCAGAAGGGCAACTCCCCGGCTTTCCCCGGGACTTCTGACGCCGTGGCTACTCCTCCGAGCCTCGAATTGCACCGTTCTTGCGCCGACGCGTCTTCAGTTCCGTCGGCACCGTCGAACTCCGAGTCCGACAAGGGGGCGGCAACCTCGGGTAACGTCGCCGTATGGCGCGGCTTTTTCATATGCATTCGCGCAGCAGCACCGTTCGGAGGCTCACAGAGTCTGGAGAGGCCTTGCAGTAGCCGCGAGGCCGCACGCTCCCGCAAGCTCAGCTTGCGGCAACGCGAGGGTTCTCTCTTCTGATCCGAGTTCTTGGAACGAGAATCGCGATTTAAGCACCCGTCGGACGTTGTCGCACTCACGGAGACAGTGGGTTTCTCGACATCAGACGCGAGAGTCGAAGTCTCGACGGACGAGAGATCGCTTTCACATTTCGTCACGCCGGGCCGTTCCTCGTCGTCATCGGAGTTTTTCAACATGATTTCCAAGATGCTGGGGCTCTTTCTCTCGTCTTGCGCGATTTCGTCGACGTTCGTACGACTTGAGCTTCGGTCGGGGAAGGAAGTGCCATTCGAGTGAGTGCACGTCTGCTGCCGGTCGGTCTTGAGCGAGTCGATGTCGACCAACGGCAAAGGGCAGGACACCGTCGATGTTGAAACGACGCTGCCCGATCCATCTGTCGCGTACGTGCAAACTATGCTCGATTCCACTGCCTTGTCCTGAAAGATGAAACGGAGCATTGCTTCCCACACAAATCAAAGTGACGTTGAAACTACTGCTCGTAATCGGTAAATTCTTATCATTATAGTCATTCTCGTTACGTAGGGACCAGATGATACCTGAGGGGATAAAACAGTCTTAACATTGACAAACTTAAAAATTTGCCACTTCCATTTTGTTCGTCCTGGCACAAACGGCAGCAAACACATTGCATTTTGAATACCGCCGCATTATCGTATGGCATAACTGAGCGCTGCTTTCCAACCTGCAGTGCCAATGGCAACCATAGCAAGCAAAACATGATGTCTTGTGAAACATGCCAGGGTAGGTTGTAGCTAATTAACAAGCTGTGCTATTAGCTATTCAATTTAAGGCTAAGTTGTCGTCTAGACAGAGTTACGTATCATTATTAGAATTTTATAGGTGATTTAGTTGCGCCATCTGCCTGAAGTCAACAGTACCAGTACTACCCAGGCTTCCACTACACATCATACAGGCTGGTTTGCTACCCTCGCTGAGGACAGCAGGGAAGGGCTTCAGTTGCTCCGTCCCCAGCACGAGCTTCCTACCTTCGACAATGCGTCAATGTCTCGTGCATTTCGACTGCGTGCACGCAGCCAAAGCACGGCAGAAGCACAGGACGCATGCTGGAGGCTGGGCATTCGAAAGACATGCCTCGCTGTTCTCGTCCTGTCAGTGAATATGGTGACAAACAATCTGCTGATGATGAAGATGGCAAAATGCATGCCGCCGACACAAAATCAAGAGCACAACACCAGGGCGTATTGGCAATGTGTGCGACCAAAAGCATCGCTGTGGTTGGCATTTGTGACTGCCCAAACACTATGTCCTTATATGAATTCATTATTCTTTCATCGACGGAAATAGGAATTGCATCACTCTCAACTTTGACGGTGTTGGTTTAAGAATGTGATTTTTACAAGTAAACTAGAAGTTTGCAACCGATGTTAAGTAGCCAGGATTACATCTCGTGACGTCGCAGCGAGGTGAATCCTGGTCGTCACGTCGCAAACAGAAGCCGTAAGACGGCCCACATACCTCATGTTTCACCACACCCTGGCAGACCGGCTTCTCGTCCATGTCGATGACAAGGTCGGAACCTGGCGGGGCGTCACCAGATGCTGGCATCATCGTCGGCTGCAGGGTCGCACTGGGTCTCTGGTTCAGCTGCTGCACGAGAGACAGCAGCGCTGTTCTTGCGGCATCAGAGGACGAAGCCAAAGGTAGCATCTGCCCCCCACACATGGCAGCGGGGAAACGTCCCGGCACAATGGTTATGTTGGGACAAGACGGCCTCACCAGCAGCGACATCAGACCCATCGACGCTGGATGGAGATGTGCAGGTCCATTCGAGCCAGCAGACGGCGAAGAAGCAGTCTGAACAGTTACTGCCACAGCAGATGACCCAGCAGAAGAGACTGGAGCGGACGGCACGGTGCCAGACAAACCAGCAGAGTGCGACACTGCGGAGGGCGTCATTGCAGATGGCATCGTCACCAACTCCACGGCAGACGGTGCAGTAGCACGCGTCAATGCTGACGGTGTCGTCACAAACTTCGTGGGACACGGCACCGTAGCACTCGTCAATGCCGACGGTGTCGTCACAAACTTCATGGGAGACGGCGCTGTGGCACGTGTCATTGCAGTTGGCGTCGTCACAAACTTCATGGCAGACGACGCTGTAGCACAAGAAGCAACGACAGACGGCATTGCAGCAGATGACACCATGGCAGACGGAGTTGTAGCAGACGACACGATAGCAGACGGCATGGTTGTGGATGCTGACAGGAATATTGTGGGAGAAGACGAAGGCAGGGGGATGTGGATGGGGACAGACGATCCAGGGGTAATTATGGTGAAGCGAACGGGGGCGGAAGCCGGGAATGGACCGATGAGCTGCGCGTAGGGGGCATTGACCAATGGGGAGGGTGGCACGGAAAAGACAGATGGAGAGGGACTAGAAGCCATCGATGGAACAGAGAGAACTGAGCCAGACATGATTGCAGGGAAGGCCCGTGGAGAGCCCTGCGTTGTTAACACGGTGCCGAACACTGCACCCGGGGTTGAGGCAGTGGAAGGTGCTTGGACAGCCGAGGCTGGAATGCTCAGTTCTGGTTTCACGGCTGCCGTTTTGACAATGGTGGCAACCGAGCCAAGCTTGCTGCTTGGCACACCTTCCTTCTTTTGGCAGGCCTGGAAGTAAAGAATCAAGGAAACCACACTGAGTGCCAACCTAAGCTTCCCTAGTCCTCTACGTATTTTTAAGAATGGGCGGATATTCGGTTATTACGAATAGCCCCGTTAAATTCTGTTCTATTCAGCATTCGCTTCGAATCAAATTTAAGTACTCAACAATACTCTTGAGACCGGTTATAATGAAGTCAATAGGAATCGGAAATCACTTCGCTATATCCGCTTCTTCGATATATATGAACTCATACAAATAATATAAAAAAAAAAAAAAAAGATAATGCGGGTTGCTACGGGCACATGTTTATCGAGCCTGCAGAAAGCGGTCGAGGCTTCCCTGCACGTGTCCTCTGCTAGATCGAAAAAAGATCCTGTTACATACGCACCGTGTCAACAGCTGCGACGGCCCTGCGGAGGACGTGGGTAATGAACGGCATTATTTATGTTTAGGCTACTCCCTCGAGGATGGCACGTTCTTCATTCAAGGAAATTGTCTCCTTCTTCGAGGTGCCGGCGGTGCTGGGACTCTCCATCCTTGAGAGACGACAACTCGCTGAATCGGTGCTTGATTGAAGCAGACTTTCGCGCAAGAGCAACCTCACCAACCAGATGCCAACATGGATCCAGAAGCAAACAAAGAAGCACGCATGGCACCGAGTTTACGCTCAAGCTTGTTTGTCGTTGGCATAGAGAGCCTAGATTTAAGAGATGGGGCAACTGCTCGATCGGGGACACGTGGTTTGTAAGCTGCGTTTACAAAACGAGCTGCAGCATGCAAGGAGTAAAAACTGTAAAGCGTTCACCTTCTGCAAACGTGTCCGCCTCTCCGCCCAGTTTCCTCGGCACACTGGCCACGCGACAATCAAATGCAGGCATACTTACTGCTCCCTCTCTTAAATCTAGGCTCTCCCTGGCATCTCCCCAAGAACATTGTCGCTAGCACCTCAAATGCCCCTATCGGCATGCCACGATGGTTTCTCCACATGCGATGCGGTAAAGCCGCTTCCCCGATAAGGAGCGGGGAGCAGACGACGTTGCAGAGACTGCCGCCAAAGCTTTTAATGTCGCCAAATAACTCGGATTACATTTGGGATTAATTAAGAACGACAGAGAATTTTCTATCGCTACGTCGCACCCACAGCGGCCGTCTAGCGGGCGCTACCCGAGACTAATACGCACTGCGTTTATCAGACACCAATTAAGAATATTTTCAAAGCCATGGCATAGCTCTGTGGTACCGAACCTGTTCCGCACGCAGCGTACCAAGGACCGAATCCTGAAAACACTGCAGTGGCGGGCTATCTTTTTCGAGCATTTGGCGGTATTGTCGATTGATACCCTATGCCCTACTACAACAACTGTGACAACTAGAACTGCAACAACTACAACGAAAATAATCTCCAGCGGTAGGAAGAGCCCATACGAGTTCCAGCCACACGCCGACGCAGCACTCGCATTCATTATGTGCCCCACGCTGGCCCTCGGTAGGCGACACCCTTTCACCGCCACATATTGCAGCACGTTGAAAGTAAAAAAAAAAAAAACGCTCAACCACCATCTTTAGCACATGACGCAGAAAATTCGGCACTACGGTTTTCTATCCACGTGGCATTGCCCTTGCCGGGTCCGGGGCATCCTCACCTTGCAGACGAAGCCCTCTCCGTCGTCCCCCTTGACGCACACCGGGTGGAAGAGGCACAGGCATTTGGGGCATTGAAGCGACGGAAACTGGCCCTTGGCCTGGGCGCAGTGCAGGTTGCACAGCTCCAGGGAGGCCCCCGTCCTCAGGCTGAAATGGCAGCAATTTAAGAGCGAGCCTTGGCTGAATAGCCTATGCTCCCAACGGCGGCATTTCGTATCTCGTATTTTATGCACCCCCACGTCATCTCGCTGCCTAGCGCAGAGTGGGCACAACTGCGCAGAGCGAGCACAACCGCCAATGGTTACGATTCGAAACTGCGACTTCCTGCGACTGTTCTAACATTTCTGGAGGACGAGAAGGTGTTTTTTGCAATTTCACAAAAAGCTACGGATAACTAGCGACCATAACTTAAAATGCTAAGATGGCTGAACTGTTAAAAAAACGCAGCTTCTGTGTAACAGGCTGCATTCGAGCCGCTCTGCTCGCGTTATGTGCTTGGGGAAGGGCAATCAAATGTAAAATCTTACAGGCTCTGGTTGCCCAGCTTCCACCTATCCTTCGGCAATTTCTGCTGGTGATGAGGCAGCTCCATGTCATGCCTGTGCGCCGGCGTCACTTTTACAATTGTCGTCGGCACCCCCTTCGGCGACACGGTCGCGGGCTCGTCGAGCTCCTTCAGCACGGGCCCTTCCAGCAGGTCGCAGGCATTCAGCACCTTGCTGTACGTCCGCAAGGCCGAACCACTCGTCGGCAAGGAGCTCGAGCATGGTTCGCCGACGTCCTTTTTCTTGAAAGTGGACAGCGGCTGTTTTATCTTGACTGTAGACGAAACGACTCTGATGCAATTCTGTTTGGGTTGTTTGACGGGGGACACTGTTGACAACGATGGCTTCGCGGTTGTCTTGATAAAGGGTTTCTTGGCGGGAGTCGCCGTCGGCACTGCCGTCGTGATTACGCTGTCCGAGCCGCGGTCGTCCTTGCTGCCGTTCAAGGAAACGTCTGCAGGTTGCGCTGAGCCTGCGCAGTGGAGGAAGACGTATTTGAAGATGAGTCACAGTGTGAACAACGTGTTTCGGCGACGTTGAAGCCAACCATTATCTGTGGAGCAGCAAGACCGCGTTTCCACTTCCACGCCCGTCCACCTAACCTTTTGTTCGTTCAAAGATGGCGGAAAAATAAGCAAGTACAGTCAGACGCCCGTATAACTAATTCTGCAGGACCGTCAAATATTTTCGTGATACAAGTATTTCCCTGTAAGGGTCGAGTACAAAAAAATCTATCGCGCAAAATAGAATGACAGCCATCACTTAGCGCTGCATCCAAGTGACATAACGGCCATTTTTGTACAGTTCCATTGCTGTCACGTGGATATTGACGTCACAAGACGGGAGTTGGCATCACGCCGACTCCCGACCTGTGACGCAAAAACCATACGTTTCTTTGCTATGGCTCTTGAGGTAAAAATTGGCTGTCTCTAACATTTCCCAAAAGCATTCTTAATGCGTGGCATTCGTAGGGCAGGGCCTCTTCGAGCTGCACCCTTCGCAGACACAGTAAAGAGAATTCCAAAGAACACGTGGCGATGTTCTTGTGAACATATAAAGCCGTCAGAGTATGACATCATTGCATCACGTGGTACCGTGACAGTATGATGTCATCGAGGCTACATGCTACAAACACACCATCCCCGAGGCTAGCCCTATAAATGCTATGCATTTATAACGAGTCCACCAGTTCAACGGGATAGACGAGCGCGGCCAAAGAACGTACCCTGGCAGTCGGGCGTCTTCTTGCCGGCTACGTTCCTGAAGCGAGGGCCCGCCAAGCCACTCCCCTTGCGCAACTTCAGGCGTTTCCGGCAGGGCGCAGCGTTCTCCGCGTCGCAGCAGAAGCAGCGCTTCCTCGAGTTACGCTTTCCCTCCTGCTTGGGACACTGCACACAGAAAAAACGCTCGCTAGGTACACAAGAAGGAAGGGCGCAAGCAGAGACGAATGGTGGTAACGAGCAGCTGCAAAACTGCCAAGGTTTCAGTTGGGATGACGCAAACACACGCACACACAACCATGCCAACTGTCTTCAGCAGGGTGGATGATCTTTTCCTCGCGAGACAATGTGGCAAGAAACCTACGACACCCGCTCTGACCTTGGCTAGAGTAAGAGAATATGCCCCCAAGCGTGGTCCCTGCTTTTGTCTCACTCTTCACGCTTTGTTCGGCTGATCAGGAAGAATGGCGATCTACGATTTACACCCCCGGCAGCATTTCTACCTCCTAAAGGCGGTCTAGATCAAATAATTATATATTTTTCCGAAATAATTATTGAAAAAAGTGCATTGTCCAAGGCACATATGGCAAAAGAGCCAACACACAAACTGGTTAACTGGCTCTCTTTCAGCAAAGAAAAAGAAAATAGGCAGTTGTAGACATGTAAAGTAAAAAGAACAGGTTGTGCATTTAGGCGTATTGTCTATACTAATAGATAGTAACCGTTCTGACCAAGTTTCTGTGCTGCTCGAGGAAAGCTATAGGTTGACGTCACCTAGAGCATTCATTCGATTCGAGGGAAGAGAATATGGAAATATAAACACGCAGAACAAATATCGCATGCATTGCACGTTGCAGCAAAGTGCAGCACTCAGCACACAAAAGGAACTGCAAGTGTTAACAATCAACAAACAAGCCTCTTGCTAGTGAAATACTTCGAGAAATGTTGCACAGACACTCGCGAACACCGACAGAAGGCACCGCGACAATCGCAAAAGCATTCTTACGGAGGGAGGAGTAGCCGGAGCGGTCCGCACTCCCGCCTTGGCTTGGCGGACCACCTCATGTGGCGGTTTGTGGATCGTCACCCTGCGGAAGCTGAAGTTGGCCGCCGCCAGGTCAATCTCCGGGTGCTTGCCCACTGCACACACAAGCGTACGCACACCCAGAGCGAATGAAAGCGCGCCTCCCGACACAAGCTCTTGGAAATGAGTGCTACGACGGGACTTTGTTATCGGCCATCTTCTTTTTTCAGAAAACGCATGCGGTGGGCATTGGGCACTACAATAACTCCAAAATATAAAGCGGTTTGTTAACGCTGTGGCGCAGCTCGGTGGCAACGTTCCCGCTTCGCAAGCGGCAGACCTAGGTGCAGTTCCTGCAGGCAGCAGGCAATCTTTTTCGAGGATTTGGCAACATCGACGACGGACACCCTACGCCAGGGCCGTAACCAGGGGGGGGGGGGGGGGGGTTAGGAGGTTCTAACCCCCCCCCCCCCCCCCCCCCCCCCCGAAATTTTTTTCTGGGTACGGCCCTGATCGGTGCACTGGCAGCCAGCCGATTTTAATCTCCACCTCTGCGCACGCGCAGTGGCGCCGGTCGGCTACCGGGTACCAAACCGGGACCGGTTTCCGGTTTGCTGTAATTCTCCATTATATGCCACCGATGCACATGATTCATAGGCGAAAATAAGACAATAGACACTTTCCAAATGGCCGCCGTTGTCCCCAAAACCCCCCCCCCCCCCCCCCCCCCCGAAATTTTTTTCTGGGTACGGCCCTGCCCTACGCCATAATACACAAACCGCGACGTCATCAACAGACATATGGGCTTTTCCCACCACTGAAAAGCGGTGGGAAGGACCCATAGCAGCTATCGTTGTAAAATGTTGTTTCGTAAATCTTCCTTTAGTTTGTAAGCATGGAAGGGCAAAAGACAATGATCGCAGGTTGCAAAACGCACAGAGGAAACACTGAAATCTCGAAGATTGAATGCATCATACATACAGGAGCTTGCAAAACACTGACAGTACTGAAGCATTACTGGGTAGTCTTCCAGTTTAGGAAAAGTGTGTGTTGCACAAATACACACTGTTCACCAGAGAAAGTGCTCGAGAAAGAATCCTGTATGAATCTAGTATAATCATTTTCAACAGTGCGTTCTTGTCCATAAAAAAAATTTATAAATGAATTACCATAAAAAGACAAAAAAGGCTGCTTCAACGTGTTCTGCAAGCTTTACTCACTTCTCAATCAATCCTCATACAACTCCTCGCCCTTTTTTTTTACTTACCCTCAAGCTGTAGAGAGGTCAAACAGGGGATCGATAACAAGGTTCATAGCAAATGGAAGTGACGTAAACAATAGAAACACTCCAATATTGAAAAACTTGTCAGTCCATTACTTACGGTAGGTGACGACATCAGGTATGGAACGCTGCAAGAGGATTAAAATATTTTGCATCAGTCGTCTTTTTGGGGGGCACAGACAAGCATCTTTTTACCTAGTAAATGAGCTATGTTTCAACAAAAATGGGTAACGTAAACAATATCTACATAACGTATGACATGGTGAAACTTTACTTTTGTTCACAGAAAGAGCAGATTAGCACCTACCGTTGCCGCGTTCAATTTACCAGCTCCTCCCGCACCAGTTGCACACCGCCGTATTCGATTTACGAGCGCATCCTACCTCAAAAGACAACCGGAAGTACATTTCCCCACACTTTTCTGCACCGGTGTGAATCGGCTAAGGCAAATCGACCGAACCACGCGATCAACCACTCTTTTGCGGCACCTCGATTTACGAATAATTTACAGACCGGAAACAGCCATGAAATATCGACCGCACCAAAAAGTCCCTTACCCCGACTGGCACAAGGGCGCCGGAGAACTATGAACCAGCTTAAGCACTTACCACAAGAACTCGTTCCGAAAAGCGGCGCCCCGCCCAAATTGCGCGGAACATTGTAGCTGCGCACGTTACTGTCACTTATGGCGTGGCTCTTTTGGAGGCGACGTAACTGGCTCGCCCTACGTCGAGTGAACGTCTCTCGGCCATAGTAACTATAACCGCCGATCGAACTCACCATTTTGAGCCCGGCACCGTCGTAGTAGTACACGTCGGCGGAGACCTTCTGGTTGGTGGTGGCCCGATACACGAGCTCTCGCTTGAAACCTGGCGGAAGGGCCATGCAGAATGTGAACGATCGCCGAGGTCACAAAAAAGAAAAGCGCGCAAACGCTTCCTGGACGGAAAACAACACGCTTGTCCGGCAACTCAACGAAGAGACTTTGCCACCGACGTTAAGGGAGCGCCTCCGTCTGTTCCAAAGGGATGGCAAAACAATCTTGCAGCCTTCGCTGGGTGACGAGAGTACGCTCTTCGCGTTCATAAAACGCGAAACAAGGATCGGCCTCTTCGGTTTAGATGTGCGGGCTGGTAGAGACGAGAAGATATAGCCAGTGACACTAGAACTGTTCTTTCCTTCTTGGCACATTTCTTCTCGTCTTTCGGATTGAATAGTTAGGTGTGTACGACGTCAAAGTGGGTGGCTTGCTAAGCCTTCTTTTGGAAGTGGAGGACAATGGGATAATTTCTTTTCTATAGATCGTACATTCGAGTGTGCTCCCCAGAGGTAGAACGACGGAGAAGCATTGTAACTTGCCTCGAAACTTACGAGGGAAAAGAAAACCGGCATGGGCCTACAGCTACTCGTAGGTTTGTTACGAGAACATCGCGGTGAGATTATTCGCGAGAAAGGCAAAGGCAATCAATTTTTCAGCCTTGGCGAGTGTTACAGAGTGTCAAAACATGGACCAGGCAGTAAATGCTACGGGCAAACAGAGATGCATGCAACATGGTATAACTTGAAAGCTGCAAGTTACCATATTCAAAGGGCTTGAGAAGGGGCTCCATGTCCTGGCTTTTCATCGTCGTTGGTGATTCTGTCAAAAGCAGTCACATGCCGAGTCAGGTATCCGCCAAGAAACCAGAAATTTCGTATCGTTCCTTGGATGGGTTACCAACCACGCTTAAAAGATACTTGAAATCTAATTGGACGGTTACAGTGATGCAAACTCTGGCTTGGTCTACCAGTCGTGAAGCAAACTCTTGCTCCATGATTCGCTTTCGGCCTTGGTAAACCCTCCCCCATTACACCAGCTAGGGTACTGCTTGCTTCGGTATACGAAAGTGTGGAACTCAAGAAATGAGGTTAAAGCGACACGACACTGAATAATAAGGTCATGGGCTACCTGTGTTGATTGAATTTGCTTGCAGCGGAATGCCATCGACGCCAATGTCTCCAGAGCCACAATCGGCCGACCGTTGACTGCAATCGTAAACAAGCTGTCAGTGTTGCCCGTCCACGAGCAGTGAAAAAAGTGGAACGTGACAAAATAACTTTTTCGCGTTTGTTTCGTGCGCATTCCACGAAAACATAGACAAAATAATTATGTTTTTCTAGTTAAGTACTCGTCTTGTTATGTCTTAGCTCATCAGATAGCATGAACAAAGAAAGAAACGTGTATTCAAATTGCACCACCAGAGGGTGTGTGTGACAATATTAGGTGGCTTATTTAGTTGGGCGGGGCAAAGGTGGAAATTGTTTTCTTGTTTGTTTTTTCCACCAATATATTTTAGTACATTTGGCCGCACATTTTACTAGCCGCAAAGAGAAACAGTCGGACTTGATTGACAGCAATAAGACATATATGATAGGGTATGCCTGTAGTTTTTACACTGTAAATAAATATTAGCAACTCCAGGAAATCTTTGTTAATGCAAGGCACTCTGTGAAGTTTTGATGAGGCCACAGCTCAGTAGCTGTATTTACCTTCACGTCCGAGTACATGCCAAAATACCAAAATTGGGTTTTCATTTGCGAGCTAAGCAACCCCACATCATTCACGGCCCCTAGCGGTAAACCACGCAAACGCGGAACCTTGGCTGGCGCCCATCTCGTGTGTGCAAGCATGTGCATCACGCACAACACGCGCATGCCAACACGAGCGAGTACCTCAAAGGCTACATGCTCGAGCTTCGCGGCTATACCTTTAACCCCTAGTTAAAGCGATGCATGATCATTCGCGCAGCCGAGGAGCGATCAAAGGCAAGGAAATCGCACTCGCAGCCTCTGCGGTTAGTCTGTGCGAACGAGAGACGGCCGTGCTCGTATTTTTGGCGGTTGCTCCTGCAGCAAATTTTTTTTTTTTTTTTTTTTTTTTTAAGCACGGCGTGAAGGGAAGTGTCAAATGTTTTCTCATTACCCCCCCCCCCCTTTTTTTTTTCTTTTTTTTTTTTTTCAGTCACGTTTTTGAAGTGGCAGGTGGGATCAAGTGACAGTCTGTCCTTGTGACAGCATGCGAGAGGCGCAAGCCGCCCGCGATGAAATGGCAGTACCGCCATGTGACAGAACGGGTACTGGAAAAAGCATCGTGCAGTACCCTCGCGTTGTGTTGAACCGAAAGCGCGCGTAAGTACCATTCGCTTCGAACGAAAGAAGTTTCCAGCTTTTCAGAACGGTACGCCGGCGACAGAAAGCGCTCGCGTCGAAGCGAACACTAATTGAACTAAGGTATCGCTTACCTGCAAGTGGTTGAGGCCTCAGCTGTCTCTGCGATGGGAAAAATAACAACACAACAGAGGCGACCAGCAACCGGAGAAACTCGCGAGTTCCCGAGAAACGAAAGAAAAAGCAGCTCACTTGCGTTCGCCTGGAGAAACAATAGAGGCGCGCGTGATAAACCTCGTGTATTGGATGGTAGCTTGCGTCACCTGTTTATTCGTTTGGTCGTCAAATCAACCAGTTCAAAAGTCATCATTATTTTGTCGCAAAAACAATAAGGTTTTGTTTTTTTAAGTAAAAACAGTGCTTTTTTTAGTATATTATTATACACAACTTTTATGGCATAGTATGTTGTTTCACGCTTGGGCAGTACAATCGGTACGAGTATTATGCGCAAGCGCAGTCGTTTCGTTTGGAAGTGCTTCCTCCAGGGGGGTAAAGGTGGGTGAGGAGGAGTGGCAAATCCCGTGCGCCGACATCCTGGGTCCCGAGTGAACGATCGCAAAAGAGAGCGACAGAACACGAGAGAAAGAAAGCAACGTTGCCATGGTAAACACGAAGAGTGAAAACTCTCAGCAATATAAACAGTGATAATTTAACGTTGTAAACTAAATCCTGAGCTATTCTAACGCTTATAAAAAGCAATAAAGTCATTACGCTGCATTAACTTCCCTTCTGTCGAAATCTCGGAAATCTGGTGGTTGCGCAGTTTCGTATTCCTCAACCGCGCCCAGCCGCGCCCCACCAGCGAAGCCGGGTATATGGTTTAGTTTAGCGTTAACGCGAGGCCGGACATCTGCGCGCTATGCAAAAAGAAACCTTCGAAAAGAACGCGAGTATCTTTCCACCGGTAAGTTCGTGGATTGTTGAAGTTCACGAAACTGCTCTGATGATGTAACCGTGTTTGGGACCCAGAGGGTCTGCCTGCATGGTCCGCCGCTTGCGGCAGCCAGAATGTATGGGAAAATGGCGGACCTTTTCCTCTAGATTTAGTATATGATCTCTATGGCTTCCTCCGACGGCTCCGACGGGCGTCGGAGGAGTGGGAGTGGGACCTGTGTGCAAATCGTTCCTCCGACGCCGGAAGTGACGTAGTCGCGTCGGAGGAAAGACGGCTGTGTGGAAATCACTCCTTCGACGCCGGAAGTAACGTATCATCCCCGGCCCCGGATGTTGCCTTTGTTATGACAATGTGGCCGACCATGTGCGTCTGCCGCTGTAGTCTTCTGCGGTCGGGTCCTGGCCGCGCTGCTGTCGGCTCCGGTCACGCAAGCTATTTCGACTGATCTTTCGCACTCTTCGAAGCGTTTTGTTTAGCATTGTCTTGTTCTTTTTAGCAATGCATTTTTCCGTATCTAGTGCTACTCTTTGTATTTTAGCTTTGATCGCACCCCCAACGTGCCTCGAGTTTTGGTAGCCGGCGATTCGATGGTGAAGTACTTGCCATTGAATAGTCGGTTGGCTGTTGAGGTTGCGCCGTTTAGTGGTATTAGAATCGAGCACTTGTTTTCCCAGGTGTCTGAGAAGCTACCCGATTTTGATGTTGTCATCCTACACGTTGGCACTAATAATTCCCATATTAGTGCCAGCGTGTACATCGACAAATATCGTCGTCTAGCTGCCCAGATCTGTGAACGCAATCCAATGATGCAGATCGCCTTTTCTGCCGTTCTTCCGAGACGGGAGAATAGGTTCTGCTCATTGGAATGGCAGCGTAGTCACGCTGCAGAGATCGAGGCTTCGAATGACCGTTACCGAGAGGTGAACTCGCTGCTGCGAGAGTTGTGTCGCAGGGAAGGGTTCACGTTCCTTGACGGGCTAGCTGACGAGTGGCACCAGTGGATCCACCGCGACGGCGTCCACCCAAACCGGATCGGCAACAAGGTATGCACACGTGCGTTATGTCGCTGCACTAAAGAGCGCGAATATAGGGCGGCTACGATTGCAAGGCTCACCGTAAAAAGGGGAACTGAAAATTGACCTGCGCACGTGGCGAGCTAAATTACTGGTTGGATTCAACTGGTTGACAGAACGGTGCCAACTCCAGCAACGAAACACGGCACAACTTGGAAGGTTGACCAGTCTTTATTGTCAAAAACCGAGAATGAAAATAAATAAGTTCGGTGACGTTCACGTTTCCGGATTGAAGGAAGCACAGCGTAGCTCTAAGGACCGCTTCAGTTGCCTCGTTAGCTAATTGCGACGATTGAATCGCCCTTTCAGAGCGAGTATTTGTGCGAGGTGAAAGATTAGCCGCTGGCGTCTGTCAGCACCCGTGACGACGTCCCTAGCTTCTCTCCATCGCGTGAAGAAAGGTGCTCACCCGTGTTTCCGCGTTGCGCAGGTAAAGTCCTGATAGGATGCGGTTGCGCTCCCACCTTACAATCAAACAATTCCAATTGCTTGTGTCACAACAGCTGCCAGTTCGGGTAGACTTTCCGCCATTTTTACCATTGTGCTCTCCGCGGCTGTTTTCTCTTCCGTCTGGTTTCTCCCTGGCTGCCCTCCGGTCGTTGAACTGCATCTTTCTGCCCTCGAAGTTCACCGTTGGGTCGCAAGAAGCGCAGATATGGTTTTGACATTTTCATAACGACACGTTTATCAATACACCAACTTTGGCGATGGTTTCCCTTCTCTACCGACGATGGACGGATGGATGAATCCGGCTGAGCCCTTTGGATCGGGCGGTAGCTTACGCCACCTAGCCATTCTGTTTTACCATTTAAGCTTAGAATATTTAAAGGTGAAAGCTATATTCACTCCGCACTGCAAAGAAAGTGAGGCTATAAAACACCCTTGCCATCAGTTAATAAGAAAATACCTAGTTTTCTCTCGCCTTCTGCCACCATTCACTTAATATTTGCTTGGTAATCTCTACTGTCTTGAAATCCACTGTTCCTTCGCTGTTTCTAATACCCAATGACTTTATTAAATCTATGTTCTCTTCGTATCAAGTATCAAGTGCTCAGCCGTCTCGTCCTCCTCTCCACAAGCAGTGCACACTGTATCCATTTCCTGGTACTTCGCTCTGTGTGTTCTGGTTTGCAGTACACCCGTCCTCGCCTCAAACAACAATGAGCTTCCCCTAGAATGGTCATAAATGCTTTCTTTGGCAATAACTGTTTTGTTTAATTTATAGTTTTCCAGAGCCGTCTTTGTCTGCATTCTCTCTAGCCACCAATCTCTTTCTGTGGCCTTAACTGACACCTGCTCTTCCTAAGTCCACTATAGCCTTAAAAACTGTCCTCCTAACTCCCTAGTGCACTGTCTCCAGTTTGTATCTATACTCCTCATGTATAAATAGCTGAAAACCTTTTGTGCCCATTGCCACCCATCCATTTGCCTCAACCAATCCTCAAATTCTATCTTGCTCACCGCTTCCCTGCTCTCAAATGACGCCCATCCCATGTCTCCTTGTACTAGCTCCCTGGTTTGGTGTTTTGCAATGTGTCCCCAAAGCCAGCCTACCTACTCTGCACTGTTTTATTTCTAGTCTCGCATGCACTTCGGATTTCACGCATGGCACTGCATTTCCAAAAGTCAAGCCAGGCACCATGACCCCTTTCCAAATCTCTCCCACCACCTCATACCTGTTGTAATTTCAAAGTGCTCTATTTTTCATTACAGCTGCATTTCTGTTGCCCTTACCTATTATATACTTTTCATGCTCACTGAGATATTCTGCAACATCACATATCCATACTCCTAGGTACTTGTATTTACTAGCTTTCTCAACTGTAATATTCTGTACCTTCAGCCTCTCAACTTCATCATCGTTAAAAATCATGATTGGTGATTTTTCACTGCGTCACATGTGCCATCTGTCGACAACGCGCAAAACTAATCCGCATGCGTGTCACAACGGCCTGCTGGGTCCGATTTAAAAAAAAGGGAGTAGGTCTTTGCTTCAATGTTTAAAGGACAACTCCGCTCAATTCCAGGAATTTCGGGATTTTTGGTGATTATACACTAAGGTATACTAATAAACGGCTCGACGTCGTTTGTTCCTCAAAAAAGGAAATATAATTCTCGTAATCCTTGTTTACTCCTGATCACGAACCGAAACCGAAACTGCGCCCGCGCCTGGCAACATTGGTCCCGCGTCGTCATAGTCTGGAACAACCCACGTGGTACGAACGTCACCGCACGACCTCGCCGACCGCGCGGACGGACGGATCGGCGGAGCAAGCGTCGTCGCGCCGTGTCGTCTGCTCCACGGTCTCTGCTATCCAGCGACGTGTGCACTACCACGGCCGCAGAGTGTTTTGACGCAGAAAAAGGCAAGTTGTTTTAAAGTTATGTTTTGGAACCATCAGTAGTTGAAGTTAAGTAAACCACTCGTAATATGCCAGGCCAGGCATCGCAGCACAAAACGTTGCTCCGAGACGCAGCAGGTTCGGTCTTCCCGACGACGAGCGCGGGGCGCTCGCTGAGACGCTCATCAGCGCATGCGCGTTTTGGATCACGTGGACATCGGTATGCACGCTGCTGGCGCCGCCTGTAGGCTGCGCCTCAATAAAGTAAAAAACAAGAAAAAAAGCGGTCCCAGACTATGACGTGCGGCGCAGTGTTGGCTGCGCCAACACGCGGTATTGACTGCGCTGTTCTCTGCGCCGCACATTGGCCGCTAGAATTAGCAGATTTCGGAGACTTGAGGCATCTCAAACTTTGTTTACCAGTTTAACAAACTTTTAGGCTTAATTACGTCGTAAAACTTGACGTGTAGTCTTTCTAGGTGATACTAAAGAGAACTGCATTGTTTTTTCAGCATCGAAAATGAAGCGGAGTTGCCCTTTAATACATTTTTATACATGTACATAAATGTTGATTTAAGTAAATATTTTTTATGCCACTATTGCAATTTATAAAAAGATATGTACATTAAAATTTGACATATTTTTTTAAATACATAAATGTATACCTAGTAATTAAAGGTTTATCCATTTCTGTAAATCTATATATTTAAGTTTTTTTTTCCTTCACTAGCAAAGATCAATACGCCCCCATCTTGTCGAAACGGACACGGCATGTGAACCCTAACAGGGAATGGGAAAACAATTGAAACTTCCCCTGGGAATCCCTCCAACCAGTTAACTCCTTAACTGGTCCCAGTTACCCCTACCCGTTCCCCATCTGGGCATAGTCAAGCCAGTTGACCCCTCAGCTA